GGGGCGGAGGCGGGGGCGCGCGGGGCGGGCGCGGGCTGCAGGGCGGGCAGGTTGTCCAGCTTGGGCCGCTTCCGCGCGCGCTTGGGGGCGGCGGCAGCGGCGGCAGCGGCGGCTGGGGCGGCTGGGGCGGCGACGGCGGGCTTGTCCTTGGCGGCTCGGCCGCGGCGGGGCTTCACGTGCGGCGTGTCGTCCTTGGCGTCGGCGTCCTTCCGCTTTCGGACGCGACGGGGCTTGGCGTCGGGCTGTGGCTGGAGCGCGGTGGCGCCCGGGGGTGTGGCTGGAGCGTCGTGCTTCCTCGCCGGCATCGTCGCTGTTGCGGTCGCTGTCGTGGTGGTGCTGGTGGTGGCAGTGGGCGCCGCAGGATCAGGAGGCGCGGCGCGAGCAGGATCCGCCGCGGGGAGAGCGCGGTGGCTGCTGCTGCCGGCGGCGCTGTGCGGGTGGTGGTTGGTGCTGACGGTGGGCGCAGCGAAGCTCTCGCACTCGGAGAGCGTGCTGGAGGACGACGCAAGGGCGGGAGCGGCGTCTACAGCGTCGTGCGTCAGCAGGGCGGGGGCGGCAGCATCGCCGGCCGTGGGCATGCTCTGTGGCAGGTGACGCGAGGGCGTGCGTGGCGGTCACCAGGCGCGGTGGTGGTGGTGGTGGTGGTGGTGGTGGTGGACGACTGACGACGACGCAGGGGGGACGCGGGCGGAGCGAAGAAAAAAAATGGACGAGACGGGCGACGCAGCGAAAATGGGAAAAGTCGGGTGTGTGGAGGATGCGGGTGGCGGAGGGGAACACGAAAGCGCAGACCAGCAAAGAGCAAAGCCAGAGGCGAGCGACGGCTGGAACACGAGAGGGCGAGAAGGGCGAGAAGGGCGAGAAGAGACGAGAAGACGCAGGCAGGAAGAGGAGGAGGAGGAAGAAGAAGAGAGAAAGAGAGGAAGAGGGAGAGAAGAAGACAAGCGACGGGAGGCGAGGACGGCGCAGTTGGCAGAAGCAATAAAAGGAACTAATCTTACGGCCTGGTGGCATTTGCCTGCCTGTCTGCGCTGCGCTGCGCTGCTGCCCGCCCGCCTGGCTTGTCTGGCCTGGCCTGGCCTGCTGCTGCTGTGCCAGCTGGCCGCACGCTGTCTCACCCCTGTAATCCCGGCCGTGATCGAGCCCGCCAGAGCTGTCGCTGCTGCTGTTGCTTCACGCTGCCCGCCCGCATCGGCACACACAAACACACCGCACACCGGCCGCTGCTCCAGCCCCTGCAGCCCGGCCGCCGTCCTGCCGCTGCGCGCTGTCTCCTCGCGCCTTTCGCTTTTCGTCCGAATTCGAGATCGACCGCCGGCAGTCCGCGCTAGCCCCGATACGGCATGGCGCCCCGGCGGCTACCGGGCCCATTTAGAGTTTTAAGCCGCCCACCCAACCTGTCGGCGCGCCGCCGAAACCGAGCTTCGCCAACCCAACGCAACCCAACGCGCGCGCTGCCTGCCCGCCGCCGCTGTCCCGCTGTCCCGCCATGGCCCTGCGCGGCGAGCGCTTCATCGTCAGCCTGTCCGACGCCGAGGACGACGCCCCCGCTCCTCCCCACAGCTCCATCCCCGCCCTCCATGGCTTCGTCGCCGACATCAAAGAGCGAGAGCCCTCCGCGCCCGCCGCCCCAGCTCCTCCGCGGCTAGCTTCTACAGCAACAGGGTTTCCGCAGCCCAGGAAGAGGAATGCTCCGTCGGCATTCAGGCGACAGCGTGCGACGCAGAATGCTGCTGCCACCGCGACTCCGCCGCCAGCGAACGCACCGCGCTCGACCCCCGCGACAGATGAGCGACGCGCCATCGACGAGGAGAATAAACAAAGACTGGCGTCTATGGGAGCTCCTGAGATCGAGAGAGAACGTGCCGAGTTGATGTCGGCTCTGTCGCCGTCCCTCATCGAGCGGCTGCTGAAGAGAGCCACGATCTCAGATGAAGAAGGCTCAAAAGAACGACAGGCAACCAACATTAACGAAGAGAGCTCACGGCCAGCTGATATTCCTACCAAAACTCCAACTGAAGATATCCCCCAAGCTTCTACCGAAATACACCAGGCAAACACCCCTTCCCACGACGACACCCCACCTCCACAGGTGCCGCAGGACATCTACCCGGCCTCCCGACCCCCCGCCCCCATCCACTTCCCCAGACCTCCTCTCCGCGACTCGCCCATGCCCAACCTCGATCCCGCCTCGCCGTCCTTCCTCGCCGACCTGCAAACGCACTACTTCCCCGAGACGCCGCACAACGCCTCCTCGCTCTCCTGGCTGACACCCTCCGCGCCCGACACACCGCCCACCTCCGCCTACCACCCGAACAGCATCGCCACGTCGCTCGCGCCCGCCGCCCTGCGCTTCTCACTCACCGGCGCCCTGCTCGCGCCGCGCACCGCGCTCGCCCTGCCCACCACGCTCGGCCTCCACCACCACGCCAACGACCCCGAAGCCGCCGGCTACACCATCTCCGAACTGGCCATCCTGTCGCGCTCGGCCGTGCCCGCCCAGCGCTGTCTTGCCTGGCAGGTCCTGGGCCGTCTGCTGTACCGCCTGGGCCGCGGCGAGTTTGGAGAGAAAGGGAATGCCATGGCCGAGGGCCTGTGGAGTGTGGTGGAGCGCGAGAATGTCGTGGCGGCTATGCTGGATGAGGCTGCCGGAGGGCAGGGAGGGACCGAGCCGGGCGTGAGGACGCGGAGTGGAGGTATTGGGAGGCATGCGAGTGCGAAGGCGTGGGCGACCGAGGCCGTGTGGCTGTGGCGGCGTGGGGGAGGCGGGGATAGAGGCCTGGTGAGAGAGGGCGAGGTGAGGTCGAAGTGAAGCCGATTGCAGTCTGATGAAGATAGATGATAGTAATTTCAAAGGCGTTTTGACGGCACCGTCGGCTTGATCGGCTGATATTCGGAACGAGAAGCTCTCTCGTATTCACTCAGCTTAACACCATAGCTGAACGTATAAACGATGCATCGACTCTTCTCTGGCCTATCTTCTCCAGCTGTGTTTCTAAACTACTTACAACTACTCCTCATATCCCAGTCTCCGTGATGCCTATTCGCCTCCCCAACCGCACGTCCTTCACGCCCCAAACCACCGTCCGATCGATCTGGGAATCTCTCCATCTCCCACCCTCGGCCCTCTCATCCCTCTCCCTATCCTGCGACCCCGATCACGACCGCTTCTTCCCATCCTCCTACAAACTCGACCATCTCGCGCAGGCCTCCACCGCACTCGCCACCCTTGCCGGCGCCCTCCTCTACTCCACACGCGCGCGCCTCCCACAGCCTCCCAGCGTCACCATCTCCGCCCGCGGCGCTGCCCTCTCGTTTGTCTCTGAGCGGCTCTACACGCTCTCCTCGCAGCCGCCGCCGTCCTCGTGGGGCGTGATATCCGGCCTGTACCTCACGCGCGATGGCGGCTACGTGCGCGTCCACGACGCGTTGATCAATCACCGTCGTGCCATTGCCGAAATCCTAGGCGTCGATATGACGCCGGACGGCATGGTGAGTCGCGAGCGCGTGGCTCAGGTCATTCGGGAGGGTTGGGATGCGGAGGAGCTGGAGAGAGCGGCGTTGCAGGGCGATGCGGTGGTGGTGAAGCTGAGGCGGATGGGCCAGTGGGAAGCCTGGCCGGCGGGCGACGAGCCCGTCCATATCAACAGGTTTGCGGTTCCGGACGCTGCGACTGTCGGAGATGGCGGCGCGGGGATGGCAGGCCATTTTGGAAATTACACGGATGCCCTGGATCCTGGCACGCAGCCAAGGCCGCTGAAGGGATTACGGGTGCTGGAGCTAAGTCGAGTCATCGCCGCTCCAGTCGCTGGAAGGACTCTGGCCGCTCTGGGGGCAGATGTCCTGTGGGTTACGGCCCCGGATCTCCCTGCTCTCCCCGCTCTGGATATCGACCTCGGTCGCGGCAAGCGCACAATCCAGCTGGATTTCCGCCGGCCGGACGACAAGCAGACGCTCCTCGATCTCGTCCGGGGCGCTGATGTCTTGATCCAAAGCTATCGACCGGGCAGTCTGGCAAAATACGGGCTTGGGCCAGAGGATCTCGCGGCCGTGAATCCGGGGCTTGTGTACGCCAACATGTCCGCTTACGACGAGCGTCCGCAGGAGTCGAACGAGTCGCGGCCATGGGCCGGCTACAGGGGCTTTGACTCGCTGGTGCAGACGTGTTCTGGAATGAACGTTTCCGAGGCAGAGCACTTCCTCGCGTCGTCGCCGGGCCGTGGGAACGAGAGCACGGCTGACACCACCACCCCTGCTCGCGTCCTGCCCTGTCAGGCTCTCGACCACGGCGCGGGATACCTCCTGGCGACCGGGGTCCTTGCCGCCGTCTACCAGCGGGATTTCGTCATCGGCGGGTTTGGCTCCTACGCGGTCGACGTCTCTCTCGCCGGCGTCGCGAAATATCTCCAATCCCTGGGGCAGTATCCCGCAGACTCAGGATTCGCCGTTGCAGATGCAATCCCAAAGGAGTATCCGCTGCCCAGTGACGGTGGCGGCTGGAGCGAAGACCACTGGGAGACCAGGCAGAGCGGTTTTGGCGAATTGAGAGGCGTCAAGTACCCTGGGTCTATCGACGGAGGTCGAATTGCTTGGGATGTGATGCCAAAGAGGCTGGGGAGTGATTATCCGGAATGGATGGCTTGATGTCGCTGTTGCGGGCCACTACGCTTTGACACTCACTGTGGACGGTGCTTGCACCAATTGTCCTCGAGCCTGGCCGGCAGCAAATTTTACAATAATACTGGCCAAGTGATACACTACTCTTTTCTGTTTCTCTATTTTCGACGCGAATGCAAGTTGATCCTCGGGCTGACAACACTGCATAGCTCAGGAGCTGATTTAGCGAGAGACCTCTGACAACCCCCAGGTATTTTGTGGATCTGGTGTTAGCCAGCTAGAGAGCTTTTTGTTTCAACGGCTTTTACGCTTCTTTGACACCTTCCGCGGCGAGGAATCCACCCATAATCCTCCAAAGCGCAATGCATTTAACGACAATCAAAACAGCAAGTGATGCGAAATGTATCATATTCATATCGTCGGAATCATCATAACCTACGTATAAGTATTTATTACTAACCGAGGTCGCCTTTCACGCTAGTTTTCTGGATATAAATTGGATGGCCGCCTCCTGGTATTTCGGAATATACCACTGATGAACTCCAATCACTATTCCACGATCACAGAAGAAATCTCCTGTGTCGCAGAACGATTGCATGCGATCGGCATACACTGAACATGACTGCGCTTGTCCGCGTGGGAACAGCTGGGTTGAGGCAGTCAGCAATCATCATGGAAGACAAAGTTGCCGAGACCATGGACTTACTCCACTTCGCTTCGAAGTCCCCACGTTGTAGGAGTTGCCCTCCGTATGTCGCGGGTCCCCGAAACCCACAAAAGCGGTCACTAGGCCTGATGTTAGCGGTGATCAAGCAGCACACTCTGGAGGGATTGAAACGTGCCATGATTTCCAATTTCCCTGGCGATTGGAGGAGTAACGGGACCGATGCCAGCAACGCCGCCCCCTCCGCACAGACTGTCACCGATGACATGCGCGCCTTGCGAGTAGCCCAGCATGACGATTTTCGAATTTGGGCACCGCTTCACATACGCTGTGAGCTGCCTAGTCACAGCCTGGGTTCCTTGGGCGGAATTGGTATCATATGGGATGATTTTTGCTGGCCACACGATGGCCTCTCGTGTGGCACCGGTAAATAAGGCAGCAAGCGCCGTGGCCACTGGAGCCAACGTCGAGCCCTCGCCGGCCGCCTGGTTGCTGCCGCGCGCGCTCATGATGTGAACCGCCGCACACGCTTCCGTATTGGCAGAGACATCCCGGGGCGTCGTGGGGAGAGCTCCCGCAAAACAAGCACTCAGCGCAAGCGCTGTGAAAAGCTGGGCAAGCATGGCCGTGAAGGGATGGTCCCTGAAATTTGACAAGGCGGAGCGGCGTCGGTCACAGGGTTCGTGGAATGTCGAGCCGGAGCCTTCTGCGGTTCCCAGACAATGGTCATGCTCTTGACGGCTGGGGAAGCTACCAGCTATTTATATTCTGGGTTTGAACTGCTCTGCAAGCACAATAATCTCTAGCAATCCGATGCAGCTGCCCAGTTCTTCATCACATGCTTGTAGATATTAATGTAACATCGGCCCGTGGGCGGCGGGGAGGTTGCCGTCCCCCAGATTCTCCGCCTGACGGCAATAAAGCGATCTGCAACAAAAGTCCTCTGGCTGAGCAAGAGCAGAACTGGTTCCTTTGCTAGATGGTGAGTAGGGAGCACATTGCTGCTGGTGACTCTTCATGTATAGGGAAATTGTACAGAATAAGACCACCAAATCTCATATCATTGGTGTGTTTTAAGTAAACAATCATACTATTCCTAAAAAAAAACAGTTAAACTAGGTAGTTATCTAACGAGCTAGTTAGTTAGTTGGCATTCCCATGCACTTGGCTTCAGCTTCACTCCCCACAAAACCACTGGAAAGAATGGGTATTCTTATCCAGGTTTGTGCAGGCGCTGGGGCTGGGCTGTGGACTTGTCTCCTGGTTATCCTGCTGGAAGATCAGCGGACTTTCGTTTTCCCAGAGAGGATCATCGCCTGCTGGAAGCAGATCAGACGGGATTGCGCGGACGGCCTTGGATCCACGTGCAGGCTAGCAAAAGCATCGCTGCCACTGTTGTTTCATGAGTGGCGATGTTTTTAGACTAAATCCCATGAAGCATGTTCATACATGCCTAGTGGCGCACTTTGGATACAGGGCCTGAAGAGACAATTCAATCTAAATGATTAAAGGCTTGTGAATGTGATTTCTTCTCTGTTCATGGTATAGCACATCGCTATTCCACTTCTTACTATTAATTTGGGGTTTTTTCTTGTTGCCAAACAAAGGGGGCAGCTCTGTTTGTTTTCTGCAACCACATATATTGTCTATCACGGGGAAAGGGGATCAATATGCTGTTTGTTGTTGAATGACAGCCTGTTGAATCACAGTGAGGAACACTTACAACAGGAGCATGAAAAAATGCTGCGCAAAATAAAGGGCAAATGCCTGTGCGTGAGCAGCTAGCACCCTCTGGAGGCAGAAGATTGCGGAACGTTCTATACATCATTGTGCTCCTCGCTGGTAACAAACTGGGCCTTTATTCACAGCATGATACTCGGAGACAATGGATTTGTCGACCTTTTCAAACTTGCACACACCTTTAAATCAAAACTCCTCATCATCTCTCTTTCTCTTGGTTCCAGGCCCATAATCTGCATCTTCAGCAGTATTCCAGATCAGCATCTCTATCAGCAGGACAAAGGTACTAGACCTTCAAGCATCCACGATGAAAATGGCCTTAAAGGCCGCTCTTCCAGCCCAGCATAATCGTTTATACCAGGCTGTACGGTCTGTGTTTATGAAATGGCTGAGTGAGCTTGGGGACTCACTCATGGACTATAGCCTGATCGTCGATGAAGGTAAGCAACACCCAGTAAATCTCTCATTCGCCTTGCGATTTGGGCTGACGGAGATCACTACCAGAATCATTCATTAATCAGGGTTTCGTTCGTGTTGATCTCGGCCTCGTCCCATGGCAGAATCTTGGCCCGCTCTGCGTGATCAAAATCGCGTATGACGAACCAAAGGAGAAATGGCTGTCAGAAATCCGTGGCTGTGTTTCGGGAAGAGAAAATAGCTGTAGGCTTGCTATCGTGGTGGAAATTCATGAAAAGCCCGACGAGACGCGACAGCCACCACCAGCTGCGGAGCTATGGAGCTGTCTTCCCTTTATGCATAGACATGATGTCGGTCAGCTGGCAACGTCCATTCTGCAGTTTTGCAACCGGAAGGGCTACCATCTCACAGAGAGGTTCTCATGCAAGATCCATGTGCAGTACCTCCGTGAGACTAACCCGGAGCTGATCTGGGAGTGCGAGTTCACAGAAGAGAGAGTCTATTTACCTATAATGCATGATGCATACGAGGGAAAGCTCCAACTCCGTGAAGTTTTCTTGCCCGAATGGGAGACCAAAAGAGTTTATTCGCTCCCATTTCTTCAGCTTCTGGAGGCCATGCCGCGTAGCCTCAGCGCCCACGGATACGCGAAAGCACTCCACATGGCGGGCATGAAGAAGAAAGAATTACTCCCGCCAGTTGAAAATTGCGAAAACTGCAGGCTCTGCAAGAGCCACTCTGAGCCCTTCGAGTTTCTCAGGGGGATGTATAGAAGGGAAGCAGAGCAGAATGAAAAGGAAGAAAGGGAGCGCCGGGCGAAGGAGTACAAAAGCGGAACTGCGAAACGGGCCAAGCCGCAGGAAAAATTTGTACTCCTCGACGATAACGACAGCCTGGAAGATGCGGATGGCGAATTGGACGACCTAGAGGATGAAGATTCAGAGCAGGACGAGGCCAGTGAGTATGAGGACGGAGACGTAGACGGCGATACGGATATGGATTGACCCGGATCAAGGCTGGGTCAACCACTGCGGACTTCGTCTCGCCTGAATAGCTAGCAGAAATGAGGGCTTTGGTAATTGCATTTGGATTGGCGTTTGTATGTAGAAAGAAAGGGAGCTTTTCGACATTGCCGTTATGTGACTAGTTAAGGGTGGCTATCGTCGGCCGTCAAGCAACCTCATCACAGCCTCCGCAAGCAAGGAGTGACGCTCTGTTTCAAAGATGCCTTCGTTCTTGCGCCTGCGTTTGCGCATTCCAGTCGCTATTATGCATTTCCAACCCCGGCCTGTCCGTTTCATTCCATCCGAGACGTAGTTAGTCAGAACGGGATTTCGCTCACGGCTTTTTTTTTGACAGACGTCTCTCACCGTACACACAGCCCTCGTCCAAGGCTCACCCAGCATTCTCTTTTCCCTGTCTTGCAAGTGTTCATCATTTTGAACCCAGCTCGTTCATCGACTGTGCGCGATGGTATCCGCTTTGTCTAGCGATGTGGGAGGGGCCCAACAGGCGACGCTCAACAGCCCGATCTTTCAGCTTCCCATGGAGCTCCGGGAGATGATATACGTGCATCTTTTTAAGAGAGGGCGACTCCATGTCTGGTACTTCGGCAGCAAGGACTCGAAGGTGTTCAGGGAGGGTTGGTGGCATACCGTCTGCCATCGCCTGGCCGACTATGGGACAGATCGGTGTAGGACGCGCCCCATTGCTGCGCAGAAGAACTTTCTTACCCACGAGCAAATTGAAATCGCACGTCTGCAGGTCTTTGGGTGGCTGCTTAGCTGCTCCAGAGCGTGAGTTGTCATTTTATTCAGTATCTACGATCGTATCTGTGACTGATATGGCTGTATGCGCCCACCTCTCCAGGTACCATGAATCCATCCACTTCCTCTACTCCGCAAACACATTCTCGATCGAACCAAACTACTTTCCCCCATTCTCAGACGTGAAGCGACTCTTCCCATCCCACTGCCTTTCTGCTGTTCGATCTCTCGAGCTCCTATACCCTGTTGCCACATATCGTGATCTTCCCGTCCTTGATAGATTCACTTCTACGATTGCCCATATCCCGCTTATATTCCCCCACCTCCGCTCATTTCATATTGCAATTAGCTCCTGGTGGATGCTTTGTGCACTTGAGCACTGGGAGAATTTTGCTGCGGACCATTCAGAACTTGTCAAGTCCGAGTTACTCGGCACGCTAGATGGACTCGTGAGGTGTTTTAATGGCCAGCTTAGGGACTGTGAGCTAACGGTGGACCCTAATTATTATGAAATAGTGAAAGTGCTAGAAGACGACAGGACTGGCCCAGCCGAGGTTTCGATGTTCAATTGGTCGAAGAAAACGCTGACGAAAAGACATTGGAGGCAGTTGGATGGAGAGACGGACTCTATGAAATCAAAATTGGGTTATTGGATTGTCATGGCATGCTAAAGGCATGGATCCTCCGCGGAATTGTTGATAGAACTTGATACAGCAACGAATATGGCCGCCGAATATCGTGATATGGAAGGCATTCTCTCACTATTGGCTTTCCTGGGGAAATTTCCGGAGGTATTATTCTGGTCGCTACTGGTAGGACCTCAGACGGAAGTTGACCGGTATGGCTGGACTATGCATATTCTGCGAATTGTGCTGAAACGTATCGGCCGCTGGGTCTAATTTCCGTTGCATGTCATTACGAAAGCAGCCCATGCATGAGGAAACCTGTATTATACTCTAGCACTGCAACTTACTCAACCATTTAAAGACGATTTAATCCAGGAATTGGCATGTGTCACGCCCGCACATCAAGCTTTATACTGGCTTAACGCGCAACACCTACATCGTGGATGTACACAAAGAAGAGGATGTATATGTGAAATTAGATTATTTGACTTCTTTGAAGGCTCGTGAATACAAGAAAGGTACATAATTTTGCTCACATCCACCAGCTTTCCTAGTTCTCTGTTGCCTTGAATTAACACATAGTCCAAATATGAAACACCTCAAGAGACACTGAATTCCCGAACCTTTTTACCATTCCCACCTTATTAGGAACAGCTGATACAATTAACTTGATAGATGCAGTCATTTCTGTGCTGATTATATTACCTATCAGTCTTCCCCCGAGAACCAACCGATTGGCTTCATACGGGCCTCCGAAGAACTTTCAGTCTCCTGTCTTACGTTGTCGTAGTCTATGATAATATGGAAATGTGTACTCGCAATAAATATTTTGGTGCCTTTTTTAAGCTGGTGTATTTACGGAGCTCTATATCCGGCGTGCTGTCAAGCAATTCTACCCACGTTTGAAATGACCCATCTGGGATAGGATGTGCATGCTGAATCCTTGGAGTTCTCTCAGAATTTCCAGATGGCATATGTTAGATGTTGATAGCCCCTATTTATCAACTACCCAGTCGCGATATACTCAACTGGACAGTTGATATTTCTCATCACAACCTATTCCTTGAAACCAAGAGAGCCAGAACCAACGTCTTATGGCCAATTTGGATGCTTATCGGTGTTTTATCAGCATATAACATTAATAAAATAAGGGGTTTAAATCAAATGCCTCAGAAATCCCTCGACAACTCCAGGTTATGTTGGGGTAGCCACGGCAATAGTAAAGAACAAAAGTATTCCACAAAGTTATCTTCTTTTAACGAAATTGAGAAGTGCAGGGGCATAACCTTAACCCAGCTATAAAGAAACCGGTTACATACAACATCGTTAAAGCGAGTAGTATGACCCTTATCACATATCCTTCCTTAGAAGGCGAATAATGGCATTTACGCGACTTTGGATTTCAGCGACTGATACCCCTCGATTGTGAGACCCGTACATTCTGGCCTATATCTATTACCTTTTGATGATGATATAAGGAAATATCTTACTCATACCCTCTCGTTACCGCTATATGATTCTCAGCACACCAGCGATATGTATGCCTGCGAACAGCCAAAGACGCTTACGCTAAGCTTAAATACATAAATATGGCCTCCAGAGGGCTTGGGGGAAAGCTAATAGTGAAGGATTGGAGGCGATTTTCAAGTGGCTGGGTGAGATGGAGTTTACCATGCAAAGGGTCCGAGAGGGAAGGCCTTAAAAGAAAGATTTTAGAAAGGAAGACAGAGTTGGTCTAGGTCAGAAATAAAATGAGCATATCTGTGTCAATATAGAATAAATAAATAATCCGGGTGATATTAGTTATACAAACTGGTCTTCCACATGAGTTCTTGTTTAGATCGATCAGTAAATGCGATCACATATATGCTCCTTTCCCCTTGGCGTCTTCTCCATTCTCCTGGCAAAAATACTTCGTACCCAATTTCCCATCACTTGAACATAGTATTTCGCCAAGCGCAACCATCTTTTCGGACTGGTCTTCCCCGCTGGTCTACTGACTCGAAAGACGTAGTATAGTACCACTGTCGCTAACACATTGAATCCAATATATGCCCATCCAAGGCAAAAGTTTCGCCATCGTTGGTTCCACGATATCTCGGAGCCAGCGAGAAACTGGTCGCCTGATGATAAGGAGCAGTATTCACAAGACTTAATGGCAGACGGGTTATAAAGCTGACCCGGAGCTCCAAGCGAAAAATATCGCTCCAGATATTGACCACATGTGATCCCTGGCGGGGGATCGAATATGGCAAGTTCATTGCGGGCGCAATGGACAACACGGCCATGGAGAACAGTCGCAGCTAGTCCACCAACGATATATGTGAGCGGAGAAACTCGCCACATGAAAATCCAAAATCCCGGGAGCGCCTTTGGGGTCTGAAGGACGCCATTGAACGTGAGCATTAAACTAAACAGGGTCGTGGCAATGCTTCCAGCCGTCTGGGCATCAGGTAACCCGGCAATCACCATTTGCGCAAAGGTGGAGGCAAAAATGAAAAACTGAACGGAATATATAACGAATAAGCCTTGCCGCTCGGAGGATTGATGGATACCAAAGACTGGATAATAAAGCGCAGCCCACACAATGACACCGAGGAATATTTGATACGGTATTTCAACAATCATATTGGCTATAATAAACGCTTGCCAGCTGTATACCCGAGAGGGGCGCTCACGAACTTCGAAAAGGCTCCGCTGGGTAACAAATCGAGGCATAATCTGCAAGTGTGTTAGTGCTGAACTTTGCAGACAACATGACTTGAGACTTTACCTGCTGCACCAGGGTGCTAAAAATTGTCATAAGCATAAAAATGGAGAATAAAGAATTTTGGAGGCCTGCTATAGATGAGTTTTGCATGTAAAAGGAAAATCCACTGTGATTAGACTGGTTAGCATCCGAATAAGTATTGATTAGGGAGGAAACATACATAAATACCGCCGCCATTGCTCCTAAAATCATCTTCCCCCAGATATATGACGGCGTTCTCCAATATTGCTGAAAAACACGAACGGTAACATAGTATACCTGATCTTTGAAAGGCATAGCGAATTTTCCAGATGCATCAGTTAGCTCTCCAGACGACCCCTTAGTTTTCATCTCTGCATGAATTTGATCGATTTTCTCTTGAATCCTTTTAGATTCTTCGCTTGCATTCCACACAGCTGGCCAGTCCTGCTTGGATGTGCCGCTTGGACCTGCCCCAACTATGTCGAGCATGTACTCAGCAGGATTATCATTAGGCCCACATGGCACCGCACCGTGGGCCTCAAAATAGTCAAGGAGAGTCCGAGAATTATCCCCGATGTCTCCAAAATATACCGTTTGGCCACCTTTAGCCAAAAACAAAAGTCTATCAAACTGTTGAAAAAGTATCGCCGAGGGTTGGTGTATTGTTGAAAGGACGGCTTGCCCATTGTCGGCCAATTTTCGTAGAAATGTAACTATAGACCACGAACTCTGCGAATCTAAACCCGAAGTTGGCTCATCTAGGAATAGGAGAAGAGCTGGTTTAGCGGCAAGTTCAACACCAATCGTCAGGAGTTTTCGTTGTTCAACATTCAGGCCTTCTCCAGGATTGCCCACAACGGCTTCACTGAACTCTTCCATGCTCAACATTTCGATCACCTTTTCAACATACGCATATTTCTCGGCTTTCGAAACGGATCTTGGTTGACGCAACATAGCAGAAAAGCGAAGTGCTTCACGGACGGTAGTTGTTTCTAGATGTAAATCCTGTTGCTGAACATAACCAGTTTTCCGCTGGAAGGATGCATCCAGGGGTTTACCATTCACAAACATGTCCCCAGTGATGACGCCAGTTGTTGTACGTTGCGCCAGCGCATCCAGCAATGTAGTTTTCCCAGCACCAGAAACACCCATCAGTGCGGTGAGAGTGCCAGGTTGTACCCATCCGGAAATATTATCCAGGAGCCGTCTAGGCTCTCCTTTGATGCTTATATCATAGACCACATTTCTCCAGGTAAATATGTCTTTTTGAGGAGGAATGACATTAGCGACTTTTTCTCCCGGATTATTCTCGTTTGTATTGAAATTAACCGGGTCTTCATGATCACGTTGCAGTACACTAGTGTCGTTTTCTTCATCTTGGTGTACTGTCTGTTTAGGTGCATAACCTCGTCGAAAGATCAGATATTCTGCAGTTGACTGATTCGAAAGATTGAATTCAGTGGCAAGAAAGTATAGGCCATAAAAAAAGAACATGAAGCCAAAAAGGATTCCCAAGTTTCTCCACAGGTGAGTATAGCTGTAACCATAGCTCGACTTAACCCAGCTGTCTCCTGAAACGGTTCTTTCACCAGGAACAGCACCAGCCACGGCACAGTCAAAATTGGTTCCAGTTCCATACGGAGGAACAAGCACAGAACAACCGTACCGCTGATTATGTATCTCGTTCACAAGAATGGCTTCAAATGCGTAGGCAACCGGGTTAATCCAGCTGATCCATTTGAACCAAGGATGCCTAGTGCGATATTAGATACCAAGTTTGGAAAAAAAAAACATGTGCTATTAAAAGCAACCAACAATGAAAAATTCACTCACATATAGGATCTTTGAATCGTAAACCCCGTATAAATAACAATGGCAAGGATCATAACACCTGCATAAGCTAGAGCCTGTGATACTGTTTTTGTGGCAGCAGCAAGCGTACGGAAAATAGCAGACATAACCAACATCGTTATGAACGTGAATAGAAAGAAAATAAAAAACTGAGCCGGCTCTCTTATGAGCCCTCCTAAAAAGTAAAGAATGACATTGAATACTGTAGCCATTACAAATTTAATGGGAATGTCGGCCACAACACCAGCCATGGCCTCTGCATATGCATGATAGAAGGCAAAGCTGACGTGCTTGGCAACAATTGGGCGCTGAACGTCTATGTCCAAGTCAGTATCTGCGCGAGTGTATATAATTCTAAAGTATCTTACATAGTCTAGATTCAATTAGTTAGCTAAGCCAGTCTAAATTTCAAAAGGTTATATTAAAGAGAAGTATTACTGACCCGTTGATTTCTGTGATGGACATTAAGCCATTTAAGAGAATAGCAAAGAACAAAATTGAACCCTTTGCAAAGAAGCTACTCGTGGTGTCCGGAGTCCCGAAAAAGATCGATCCAATGATCAGTGACATTACAACATGACTGATAATAGCCGCAACTGTGGACGCCTTTTCACCCCACATTCGTTGATACGCGCGTACCATGCATAGTTTGAGTTGCATAAAAATATTGACAGTGTATGGCGACTTCTTTGGAACATGTTTCGCCTGAGCTTGCTGATGAGCTTGACGTTGCTCAGCTAGGGCTTCGCTGACAATAGGATATTCTCCTTCGTTTCGTTGGATGGCATCTTGCAAGTCTATAAAAGCCCGAGACTTATGCCAATGCTGCTCAAATTCCAATGCAGTCCGGGGGACTTTTCCTTCGAACCCTTGTCGGGCTCTTCGTTCTTGTGGGTTAGTGACGGAAGTGAGGAAATCACCCGTGGTCTGTCGTGGAGGACAGAGCCATCCCATATCTTCAAAATACTGCCTCGCTAACTTTGCAGGCCCAAAGTATATTTGCCTCCCTTCGTACAATACAATCACCTTGTCGAACATATCATATATCGCTTGGCTGGCTTGGTAAATAGCAAGAACCTGCGTCATTCCGCCGACATGGGAACTTATCTTCAGGGCACGGGTGAATTCAAGAGCTGTTGCTGCATCAAGACCCCTGGTTGAATTGTCCCAGCACACCAGTTGTGATCCAGAGAGCGACAATTCAGCAATGCTGACTCGTTTTCTTTCCCCTCCACTCACCCCACGAACATAATCATCGCCGACTTTCGTGTTTCGTGTATGGCTCAATCCATAGATACTCATCACCACCTTCGTGATGTGCTTCACGAAAGTCTTCCTTGGGACACCCATAACTCTAACTGACGGAGTTCGAGCGGCAGCAGCAAATTCCAGGGTTTGACCTACTGTTAAGTGAGGAAAATGCTTTTCATCCTCCGCGCTATACGTTGCCTCTCCACGAAACTCTTTGCTGAAAATACGTTGGGGCACGCCGTTATAGTGAATGACAGAATCCTTCCCTTTCTTGAGACCAGCTAGTTCACCGCTAAGCGTTTTCAGGAGCGTAGAGCATCCACTTCCAGGTCGACCAAGCACGATCAACATTTCTCCGGCGCTCAACATGCCATTGAAATCATTAAGTATCACTCTCTCTGACTTTTTACCAAGATATTCACGCAGCCGGAGCGGAGCCATCAAGGGTGAGAGTACAGTACTCTGGTAGTGAACAGCACTTCCGGATCCTGAAACGCGGAGATTCTTGAATGTAACGCCTGTCCGGGGTTTTTTGATGCCGTCATCTTCCATTAACTTCATAAACATCCGAGCCCACTTGTAGAAATCAAACTCCGGCATTGTTGGGTTCAAAACTGGATCTCCAATCTCGACGCCCGCCAATGTATCACGCCTTTCTAGCTGAGTGCTATCGGCCCTCTGTCGACTGGGTGACCGTGACAGGATGGAAGCAACCTGAGCATTGTCGGCGCCATAATTATGCTCAGAAAGGGTTCTAATAGCTTCGTATATCGGTTCATTGCTCTCATCCGACGAAAGGTCAGAAGGTGGAGTACTAGGTGATTCAGGACGATGCTTTTCGTTAGGATGCTTGGAGTGTTCAGTCACAGCATCGGAAGGTGGAAAGGAGCTCATTGCAATCAAGCGCAGCGGCGAGGTGAGCGATGCGTAACGAGAATTTGCTCGCCACTGCTGCAGGTGGTAAGCAAGTTAAAGAAATACCATTGTAAACGTAGGCCTGAGATGCTAAACTGAGCTTCGATCCAGAGTGCCTGATACATTTGCGTAACATTAAGCTTCCCGAGCCCCATTGTTCCCATAGGTCGCATGTCGTCATCACGATTTTTGTATGGTTTAACGCAAAACTGTTTTCCGCGTCGCACAGCGTCAACTAGAAACTCAGCGAATGATGGGGTGGGAAGAAGGTTAGACGAGTTAATCGGTAGCACAAAGAGGAGTCATAATGCTCTTGCGGATGTCGGCTGTGAATGATATAAAGTCAATCTCTGCTGAGTCTCATAATATGGAGTTTGGTAAACACGCTCCTCAAAGCTCTAGATCTTCTACGGGCCGAAAGTACCGCCACAAAGTTCGTCTCGCCATAGGTCCGAATCTAAAGTTTCCAGCGCCAAATTACTATGGGTTGTATTTCACTATCAATTTCGAAAAGTGTAGGCTTTCTTATGAAAAATGCTCTGCCATACGACTAGTAGTCTCACGATGGCCCGTCGTGTCGTGACATCAATGAACAGTCGATGTTGACTTGGAGTGCTGAGTCAGCGGTTCTGGCGCCTTACTCGACTTGGCATTCCCGACGTCCTGACATCGCGGGTTGTGGCCGAATTCCTCGCTTCGCCTCGACGTCAGCGCCCCTTGATCCTAGAAAAACTGGATTGATGGAACTATTCTACAACATGAAGAATTTGGTGATACAGAAAGATACCAGGCTCAATATCTTAGGATGAACGAACAACACAAATCGACGATATGCATCAGTAATGATTTGCAGCAATCCAGGGCCTTGAGATGAGTACGTAAAACGTGGCGAGAACAAAAAGCAGTTTAAAAATAGGCCTCGGCATCTGCATCTTGAATCCGCCTATACCTAAAGATTTCCTCCTTTCCGCACCGCCGAGCCAACCGCTGTGCACAGTATCGTCGGTTCTCATACCAAGATGACGCCCAATCATAACCATTCGCATAGCAGACTCAGCGCTTTCGCTTAAGAGCACCGGAGCGTTAGCGACCGCGTCTTCAAGTGTTGTGGGGCCTCGGACCATGCTCGTAAACGCATCTATTCCAGCGCTATAGTTGACTGTCGCGTTTGTGCCGATCGTTCCCGCAATCGCGATTACAGGAATCCCACGTTTTTTCGCCCGCAGCGCGATTTCGCCAGGAATTTTCCCTTGAGGAGTTTGATAGTCTATGCCACCTTCAGCTGTGATCACAAGGTCGCATTCGCCGAACAGCTCCTCGATCCCGAAGTATTCCATAATTGCTTCGAATCTTGGGCGCAGTGTGCCTCCCATAAGCACAAATCCCGTTCCTAAACCCCCAGATGCTCCACCGCCAGGCATCATCGCGACACTTACTCCAATTGTGGCCTGTACAACTGCGGCATATGTCCCCAATGCCGTATCAAGCTGATCAACTTGAGCCGCTGTGGCCCCTTTTTGCGGCCCATATACCCGCGCAACTCCTTTAGGCCCACATAGAATGTTCTTCCAGTTGCAAAGCACGTTGATTTGAACTTCCTTTATTCGAGGGTGGATTCCAGAAAGGTCAATGCTTGCCAGATTCTTAAGACTTTCTCCGCCGTTTGCTCGACCCAACTCGGATCCGTCTCTGTTTAAGAATCGTGCCCCCAGAGCTTGACACATCCCGACCCCTCCATCGCTTGTTCCGGAGTCTCCGCAGCCAATTAGTACTCGCTCCGCGCCTTCGTCCAGAGAAGCTGCTATCAATTCTCCAACCCCATAAGATGTTGTTTTAGTTGGATCTCGTCTTCCTTTTGGGACCAGACGCAGCCCTGCAGCTTCGGCAATCTCTATGACAGCTGTGCGCGGCCCTATACCGCCAAGAAACCCATATGAAGCGCTAACGGGATCCCTGACAGGGCCGGTGACTGTCAATCGTTTATGCTCTCCTCCGGTTGCTCTGACAAGACCGCGAGCAAATCCTTCACCGCCATCAAATAATGGCACCTTTCGAATGATTGCGTCTGGGACGACACGCAAAATACCAGTTTCGATGCAATCTGCAGCAGCTCCAGGCTCAAGACTTTCCTTGAAACCACTTGGTGCAACTAGTATATTCATAACTCTTCTTTAAGGGGTACAAGGTTATTTGAAATAAAGAAAATCGCGGTAGATACGTTTTTCCAAACAATCACAAGATTAACAGGTAACAGCAGCATTTACAGTTGAGATTGCTCCCTCATGCATCCTTATATCATTTACTTTGAAAAGTCAAACTAAGATGCCCTTCACAAATATTGGCAGTCCACAAAGATCTGACTGACATGCCGAGCGTGAGATGATTGTGGCATTGGGGGGCTGTGTCGAGGTATTTCCGGTCGGCGTTTCGAGGTGCCTATTCCTCCTATGTCACCTCATGAATGCCCTTGGTTGACATCCTTGGCTCTTCGGCTTTCTGTGGACGTGATTGTGGAGCCACAAAAACGCCAGCAGTTGAGCTGCGTTGGATGATGTATGATGCGGTCAAGACCGTCAAGGGAGCGGTTCGACAAGAGAAATCCTTTCAGGTTGCCAGCTGAGCTGAGTTGGCTCCAGCGGCGTTTACGCCCAGCCGATGAGCCTTCATTCCCCGACTCCTTGGTGTTCCTGGGCGCCGCTTAAGAGGCTCTTGGAAAGAAGCAGTGGTCCAGGCACGCTAGACTGCGTCTGGAACTTCTGAAAGAAGTTTAGCGCGATCCTGTCCAAGCTTACCTTTCTGGTGGATCGAGATGATCGCCCGCTTACCTACTTAGTCGTGAAGGGTAACAGTGCACGCGACCGTGGCGCGGTCTCTACGAATTACCTTCACCGCCACAGCTCCGGTCGCATGTTGCGCTTGGCTGGCGCAAAATCTGCTGATTGACCTGTCGTGTCGAGCCGGCTTTCAGGCCCAATCGGTCGGCCCTACTTTCCGTTTCTATTTCTGGAGTTCTAAGTCCCCAATGTAAGGCGTTTCATTTCATCTTGGCTTACGGAAGGGTGTGGGCACACCTGAGGCTTTCGTTGACCAGCGCCCCAGATCTACATTGGTTGACTTACCGGGGCAGTGCAAGGATAACAAATTTATGAAACTCACCATCGACATATGTATATGCCTTACCTACCACAATACTACAAATATCCTTATAAACCCATAGTCAATTTAATTGGCATTTATCTTTCGTCATCATTTCCTACTAGCCTCTCTCTACCAAAAATTTTTTAACAATCAGTACCTGTGCACCCTCTACTCATCTGTCTTGCTTTCAACGCTGGGTAGCTATGTTTTCCCGGCTGCTTGAACCTCGCCCCAAGGGGTATAATCCGCCAACTGCTGGGAGCCCGCCAGACGTTGAACAGGGAGTTAGTGATCAAGAACAAGACGAGGAAGCAAAAGATGATAATCTGGTATGTCGAATGCTTGCTTTGGAGATTTGAAATACTGACGGTTGGATAGGTCACTTGGTCTGGACCAGACGACCCTGCCAATCCTCTGAATTGGTGTCGACGTAGAAAATGGGTCTGCACAATGATCATTGCCCTATTTGCTTTTGTTTCTCCTGTTTCTTCGACCATGTTAGCGCCTGCCCTGTCAGATATTTCCAGGGAATTTCGTATCACAAGTTCCATGGAACAGGCATTGGTTATGTCAATATTTCTTCTTGCATATGCCATAGGCCCATTTCTTCTGGGGCCTCTCTCCGAGATCTTTGGCCGTGTTGTTGTTTTACAGTGTGCAAATACAATATATTTGATATTCAACACGCTATGTGGGTTTGCAAGTTCCAAGTCACAAATCCTTGCCTTCAGGTTTTTAAGTGGTTTAGGTGGAAGTGCTCCGCAGACGGTACGTCCATTAGACCTTTACTTGTTATATTTACTCTTGTGCTAACTATACCTGTTTCTGTAGTTGAACGGAGGTATGCTAAGTGATTGCTGGCGTAAGGAGGAACGTGGTAAAGCGATTGCGATATATAGCTTTGCGCCGTTCATTGGACCTGTGATAGGCCCCATTGGTAGATTTCCAGTTACCTATTTCTTGTTTAGAACTTTTTCATTAACTGCCCTGTAGCTGGTGGGTACATTGCGCAGTACACCACATGGCGATGGATTTTCTGGTCGTCATCTATTTTCGATGCCGGTATCCAGATTCTTTCATTAATCTTCCTTTCCGAGACCTATGCTCCCAAAATCTTGCATGACAAGGCGAAAAAATTGCGCAAGGAGACTGGAAATCAAGACCTCCATACAGAATATGAAACTCCAGATCGAACGTTTTTACAAATCCTACGCAAGAATCTAGTAAGGCCGTTTATCATGCTGTTTACTCAGCCAGTGATTCAGGTCCTTGGTCTCTACCGAGCATATCTATATGGTTTGATGTATCTTGTGTAAGTTCTTCCCTATATGCCCTTAAAAAACTTGGAACTTTCTGATAAGTTTACGTAAAGCCTAGCTACCTTCCCTTTCGTGTGGGAGAAGACATACAATTTCTCGTCCGGAACAGCAAGTTTGCACTATATCTCCCTCGGAGTTGGTTTTATTATCGGACTTCAAATCTGTGCTCCGATAAATGACCGAGTAGGATCGATCCCTATCCCCTGTTCCCAGACCCAACTGACTCGACATAGGTGTATTGTGCTCTTAAGAAGAGATATTCCGATCCTGGCCGTCCAGAATTTCGCATTCCTCTTATGATACCAGGAGGCATCCTTGTTCCGATTGGCATCTTCATTTATGGTTGGACCACACATTATCGGACCCATTGGATCTTTCCCGACATTGGCTGTGCGATCTTTGCCACGGGGCTGATCATCGGTTTCCAATGCGTCCAATCATACGTTGTCGATGCGTATAGTAGGTACGCCGCCAGTGCGACTGGCGCCGTGGCATTTATGAGAACCATGGCGGGATTCGGGTTTCCGCTCTTCGGCAATCAGCTTTATGACAGATTGGGGCTTGGGTGGGGTAACAGTCTTCTTGGGTTTATTTCGGCGGTGCTAGGGCTCCTGGCGCCTTGGGGCTTGTGGAAGTTTGGGAGGAAACTGAGGGAGATAAGTGGATATTGTGCGGGGTGACCACCAGGATGCTGCTGTTAGGGTTGTATTTAGCGGTGTTGGCATTTGGCAAGCAACTGTCTTTTGAGAGTTTTTAAGAAAGTTACTTCGTAATATAGAATGCTACTGGATGAAGGAATGAAATAGTGGATAATACCAACCGTTCATGTCAAAAATTAGCCGACAGCACTCTTAACAGAATTACTCCGGCTTGGAACTGACACAGACCATCGCCAACTAGGTGCGGAGTAGTTATGGATCTAAAGTTGGGTTGGCTTCCGAAAACTTAGTCAAAGCACTGATCCCAACCCAAAACTCAAAGCAGACATCAGGAAATATTCGGCAGGCAAGACGATGGCGATACAAGGAGTTAGCTGCTAGGAGGGATGACGTGTTTTTCTGGAGTTGTTGAGAGCTATCAAGTGAGACGCCTGTGAGTCCATGGGAAAAATGCGACTCTGAATTCTCAGCACCAAGGAAAAGCTTCGGACCCCTTTCTTACTAACTAGTTACTTAATTTCTAGACACCTGCACAAAGAGAATCCATGCTTGTATATGCAGCAGTACATCACCAGGAAACCCACACTCGTGCCGGCTAAATTATACCCGCTTCAAGGAAAGCAGCCCAGAAACTTTCTACCTTACACAAGATGAACGTCGCTAAAGAACGGTGTGATGTGAAAATTGGCTTTATCGGGGGAGCTCCAGGCACCCAGCTGCTGATTTGGCAATGTCTCCCGCGAAGTGACAGTGCGAAAGAAATTCATCCGCCACCAAGTATCACGGGGGCTTTCGACATTGAACAAGGCTAGAGGAATTTGTGCCTTCGAGACCCAGAGCTGCGCCTTGCGGTCCAGATCTGTAGATGCTATAATGCCGTCGACAATTGGGTCGGTGATGAAGAAGTGGTCAAACGGCGCGCCCTGCTTGCGCACCTTGCTTGGATTATAGACAAATGCCTGGTAGGTGACATTGTTTGGGTTCACTTCGAACTCGAGGTAGGTTTGCGGATCATCTCGACCATGGTGGATAAAAGCTTCCATCACTTCATACATCCAAATGTCATCGTTGATACGTTGTTTGGGGTCGAAATAGAAGCTACGCTCCTCAAAGGCCTTAAAAGTTAATTGCAGAGTATTTGGCTCCCAGCATAGGTCAACGGCAGTCTGGGGAAACGGCGCTTGCTCAGGCACTGATTTGCTAAATCTTGCTGTGGCCATTTTGGGGCATCTAGGGACGTCGAGTGATGGCCGAGTAGGTGGAATATTTGCCGGCTTTGGAATCGCTGAAACGGCAACGGCTGCTGTCAGCAGAGAGAAGAGAAGAGAAAGGACATGCATTTTCGCTGGAAATGGTATAAGTATCTCTTTGGCAAAATGACCAGAGAAGATACCACGAGGAGCCTGCAAATGTAAAATCAGGGAACGCCGCTGCGGCGTTTTATAGCCATAGTTGATTCAGTGACCATGGCTCCTTCCATTACATTCACTCCGGGTCTTGGAACGACGGCTGGGCCCATCGAGGGAAGCAATTCGAATTCACTGTTGGACAGGCTTATCGATGCATCGAAGCAATGCGGGCCTAAGATTTTGGTGTCAGGGTATCATAGAAAATGTGACTCTGCCAGCCCAGATCCAGGTATACACCCAGCCTAGAGCTGACTGCTTGTTTGGCCCAAAAGCAGAGCCATGGTACAGATCTATGGAGATCTACGCATTCAAGCGCCGCCTTGACTGTTGTGCTAGGAGAATTTGGCTCTTGATTGACCAATTGACATTAGGGCGAGAAGCTGCCCCATAGTTCGTTGATCGCTAGGGTTTGCCTGTATGCCGTGCCCAGCTGAAGGTCCTTTTGACAAGCGTTGGACTCTTTTTTTTGGCATTCGAGAGCATAGCATCCGACCCATTATTAATGAAGTACTCGGAAAAATGCCTCATTCTAGGTCTGACTACATAAAACGAAACCCTTGCCGGCGGTCGAAATTGTACGCCGATGGCAAGGATTTGTTGTCCGTGCTATTATAGTATCAGCAATAGTATTGTGAAAGGGATTAGGATAAGGACGTCAAACAGCGCACCAGCATTGCATTTGGATAACGCAAAAATGCTCCCGGAACCGGTAACTGCCGGGTCCGCGATGGGTGTTTGCCACAGTACTCAGACGGGCATAGAATAAAAAGAATCAAGAATAAATGCCTGGGAAGTCATATAATGGAGGCAGGATTTGTCGCTGTTCTCCAACTACCCATCCCATACATAATCTAACCTTCCCGTTAGAATGATTAAATATTGGATTTCTGCCAGTTAGTTATGTTGTTACCCGACGGGTCAAAAACCGGCGCTTCCAGACCGATGCAGTCAGGGGGAGGCGGATAGTCAAAACCCAAATACCGCCGAGAATGGTTTATCCAAGACAAAGATCAGGGTTTGGGGATCGGCCTCACCGGGGCTACATTTAATAATGGAATGCTGAATCTATATTTTAGTATAAACGCATGCGCCAGGATGTTGCAGACATGCTTGGGCGTGGTGTTTTGAGACATAACTAGTTAACTAACTAGTTGCTAACCCCAGCCCTTATTCAAAGGGCAACTATTATTAGTTAAGGAAATTTGTCGGGCGGCAAACAAATGGAATATAGTTAGTTACTCTGTACTTTGCCAGGTAAGTAAGGGTATTTAGTCGCCGTACTCTATGATGTAGTTAAGTCTAGTTAGGAGCCAGAATATCTGTCAGTTGCTCACCCAGTCAGCTATTTTTCAAGCTGTCAACCGGGCAAGCCATTGTCAGTTACATCATGGCATTCTATTCCAGGTCGATCAAAATCGGCTTCAGCTATGCAAAAACCTCATGTATACCCGCATTTCTTTCATGTGATTGCAGGAAGAAAATACAATTAAGCCCATTCTTTACATCGTAGCCTAAGCTTCTCCCCCTCCTAGCCAGGGATCCTGTAACAGTTCCTTTGCTGTTGCCCGATCTTCAGGTAACCACGTCAGGGCTCTCCGAATAAAACGAAGGAAACCCGATTTATCCTCTAGTCGGCTCTCAAGGCTTTCCATAGTTCGGCCATATGGAATAGGTGCAAGCCCTAGCCATTCACCTAGGCATTTATTAGACAGAAAAATAAGAATAAAACGTTCATAGCCTGTACCTTTCTCATTCCAAAAGTCGGCCATTCTTTCTCGATTTTTTTCAAGAAATTTTCTTGGGGGCGGCCCAATCGCTGCAATCAATTGTGCGAGGTGTGCAGCATCGTAGAGGTCCCCATCATCGTCGCGTGCAGTGAATAGACTGCTCGGCTCGAGAAGATCCCAGGCCTGATGGTCAAACATTTTAGTATTGAAGGTATTACTGAATATAGGGAGCCTACCGTAAGCCCAACACTCCAAATATCAACAGGATAACTCCAACAGATATAAAGTAGAGTCTCAGGGGCTCGATACTCTAGTGGCATTATGTCACCAGCATGGGGCCCTGGCCCGATCCTAGCTTCACCAAAATCAGAGAGAAGCATCGGTCCTTCTTTAGGCCGCATGAGTCGTGAAATGTAAATGGTCCGACAAGACGAGACCTGCTTGCGTGGCACAGGTGATGAGAATTCTGCTTCTTCGAGCGTTTTTAACAGATTGTTATCATTCACTCCAAGGAGCAGATTTCCAGGGTGTACGTCTGCAGATATTAGTGTCCATGAATGGGCTCTAGAGGTAGAAAGCAATACCAGTGTGAACAGCCTCGCCGTGGGTATGCAAAAAATCCAAGGCTTTAAGGAGTTCAAAAATAGCACCTTTGACGAATCTCTCATCGAAGCCATCCGGTTGAAAGACTACTTTCATAGCTTGCAAACTCATCTGCGCAACTTCAAAAACAAGTGTAATATGCGTGCCACATGGACCATCTATCGTGAAGGAGTCGAAAATTAATCGAATATTGACCCGATGTTTACGTGAGTTGTTTCTAACACGGTCTTCAACATGAGCGTAAAAGGGTAGCTCGCGGTGAGAGAGTGAAGAATTGACATAGATTTTCAGTGAAACGTATTGGTGGTCTCTGTGAGAGTTAGATAAATATTGTGGCCTGCAAGTCTGTTTAATTACCGCAAATCTCGAGCAAGCCAAATCGTGGAAGAAGAACCGAAACCAAGCTTCGCAATGATTTGATAGCGTTCTTGAAATATTTCACCTAGCTGAACAGGGTAAAACCGATCAGCTTTATAGTTAGGTATTTCCTCTTCCTCGATGAGGCGATCGGCTGGGATAGTTTGGAACCCATCTTTGGGTAGCACTCGTGGTTTTTCTGGGCTGTTAGCCGTCGTGGAGGAGAGACTTTTGAAGGAAGTGGCAGCTGCAGGCATCACCCTTAGTGAACAGCCAGCTCTTAATCGAATACCGGCCGGAATTGCTATCCGTTGATAGAAGTTGAAAATCACCGATTTCCTCATGATGTAAAGGCACTTTGTCTCCAAACGCGAGTAGTTATGGGGTTTGGGCGTTTTTTATTAAATCACATAAGATCGGCACAGCAGCTGACTGATTTCATAGTTGGCCTCCAGTTAAGAGGCGATAACGGATAAACTGGCTGTAGAACAGATTCCTGAGGTAGAACTGGAGTCCAAAAATGCTAGGTCACGGGTTTTCGCGCCCAGGGGCACTATGATCTGAGTGGCATTAGCTCTTAATCAACAGGTAGTGATTTAAATACAGCGACATCCGCGGGTTTACGCGTTACAACGAGTGGGTTTCAACTCGTCAACCCATTCATTTAGTTAATAACTTGATAGTCACAATTATCCTGTACTTCTCAATGGTTTCTAAGGTCTGCTCCAAACTACAACAAGCTCTGCTGTTGCCTGTGACGGCAATTATTCCGATACTACTGATGGGGACCCTGAATGCCTTTGGGAGCCGTCGTTCAGTCACCTGTCTTGAAAGTTAGTTAATTATCAACCCGCAATATTCGAACATATTCTGTTTCAGCTCAAAAAGTCGACGGATACTTTGAACTTTGGCGTCAGTTCGCCTTGCAAATTGACCTGTTTGGGCGGCGTGATCATAAAACCAAAGAGAATGTTCATATTGCCGTTGGCATCTTGGGAATGGTCAAAACGGATCGCAAGATCCAAGTAAACCAGGAATTTATTTTCGATATCCTTCCGCCTCCATGGTCGTGAACTCTTTCTTCTCTCTCTCTTGGCCGTCTGGGAAAACATATATTGGCAAGCTTGAACGACACTGACCGACTAGGCCTCTTGAGCCAGCTCAGAGAAAAAGGGCAAAAGGTCAAAGTTGTGGGATTGACTAGCCTTATCATCCAACACGCCGTCCCGTCCTATGACAGTACGCTCACTACATGATATAGTTATGCATGCATGCACTTGAAATGCCACGTCTAAAAGCCAACAAACCCACAATTAGCTCATTTAGCTCACTTGCATCGAAAACGGACTGGGGATGAAGGTAAGGTCGTCTCTCTTACCGTCACAAAACGCTAACTAGATAAATGTAGGCCTGTCTGATTGGGCCAGCGATAACAAGCCAAGTGCGGCGTGTAGAGCACACAGATGTTGTATCCCAAAGCTGTGGTTACTACTACCCAAAGGAACTACCCGGACTCCGTAATTAGGGCCACTGACTAAGTACACCAATCTAGTTCGCCTTTGGGGGCACATGTGAGTGGCGGGCACCACAGCCGGGTTAGGCTCTAAACTCGAGAAATAGGCTGAGCGACGCAAGGCCATACGCTAGCAAGGCAACAATGGGACCAGCTGTCGCCCACGTCTCTGAGCCTCTGCTTCGTGTGGTTTTATCAGATCAGATGTATTACTCTGTACGGAGTACATCGGGTTGAATCCGATGACCCCGCCACCCCGGCTATTTAAGGTTAACTAGCCACAGCTGGAGAGCCGGGTCACATGCGCCGCTAGCCCTACTGCCGGCCAATCATGGCCGCTAGAAAGACCCGGTGGTGGCCCGAACCACGCTCAAGCCGCACACGTCACCTATGGATAAAACGAGCCCGTCCGTGGCCGTTTGTGATTCCAACACCTTCTCGTTTCATTATTATTGCTCTTCCTGTTCTCGTGAGGTACACATATCCCTCGCCGCCAGACTGTCGTTCTTTCTTGACTGATTTCGTGGATCGTTTGTCCGATGAACTCTAGACCCTATCACTTCATTTGCGGAATCTCTTTGATCATCGGCCTCTCTCCTGGATAACCACTAACGTGCGCTGGGCGGACAACGGGCCAACATCTGCGCGCTAGACAGCGCTGTTTTCCCCTTTAATTCTTCCGCTGTTGCATGTCGTAAATCGAGTGGATTTATTTTCTCTCCGTTCGCCCCTATCTGTGATAGCCTAGCCACTGGAACCTTTCCCTGGACTTCGCCATCATGCCTGACCACAGTCGTGCTGGAGATGGCAAGAAGACTGTTTCTCGAAAATCCGTCAAACGTGACGCAGATCGACTGCAGACACTTCTATACTCCTCACCTACCAGCCTTGCTGCCCGGAATAATGCCCTAGATCTTTCCGATATCTCGCAGAGCGCCTCTAGGTCCGCTTCTCGAAACGTCTCACGCAATGTTTCTCGAAATATCTCTCGGGTCCAATCTCGAGAAGAGTCTCGTGTTCCAAGCAGAGAGCAATCTGATGATGAATTAGAAACCGGCAGTGAGAGCGGCGAAACTAGCCTAAGGTATTTTGCCGCAGCAGCACCGTCCAGAAATTTACCAACTCATCTCATTTCAGTACCGTATCCTTTGACGAGCGGCTCGGCGAGATCTCGGAATCTGGCGCTAACATAGACCGATCTTTACCTGGTCTAATTGAAGATCTTGTCGACCGCAAACACGACAGCCTTCGATATCGCGAAGAAAACTTGTTAGCATATTCGCGCATCCTTGCCCACCATTATGCCGCAGAAGAGTTAGAAGACCATGTGGATGATCTGCTCATAGTTTTTATGCAGAGCATCCAACAAGAGTCCTCCGAAAAAGAGACAGTACTGGCTCTCAGGTCGGCCTCTCTGACTGCCGTGACATCACTGGATGGTGCTATTTACAGCCGGGTGAGCAGCCTGGTGAAACAGAAAATTACTGGCGCTTCTTCATTGCCAGTTAAAGTTGCCGCCCTCCGTTGCTTAGGTGCATGTACATACTTTGGTGGGGCGGGGGAAGAAGAGATCATTGACGAGCTGGAATTTTTGATTGAAATTGTCACGTCGAACGGCCATTTCGCTGATGCCCCAGATGACCCAGAAATAGTTGTCACTGCATTGCAAGAATGGGGCCTCCTCGCCACACGAGCAGAAAGTCTAGAAGAGTTGAGCGAGGATGCAGTGGAAGCGTTTGCTGACCAGCTCGAAAACAGCGACACAGATGTACAGGTCGCTGCCGGTCAAAACATCGCCCTCCTCTATGAACGAAGCTTTTCGACTCTAAGGGAAGACGACGAACTTAATGAACGTGACCTACAGATATCTCTTGACGACATATCCAAAGCCGACTACAAAGACGACAACGGCACTCTCCTCGTGCAGCACTATAAACCATACCACGACACCCCCAAAATCGAGCAAAAAGTCCGCCATCTGTCCAACGTCTCCGGCCAGCGCGCCAGCAAGAAGTCCAAGCGCTCGCTCCATATGCACTTCGATGCGATCCTAACCACTATCGAGAACCCCTGCCACGGCCCACGCTACGGAAAGCTTATGGAGAACGAGAAAAGTGAAAGCTACGGCGAGCGCACACAGGTGAAATTCCGCCGCTTCGCCCCCCTCAATGTCAACAGATGGTGGAAATGGATGCGACTAGTCGCCCTGCAGCGACTTCTGGAAGGCGGTGTGATTGAGCATTTGCAAGCCGGTAGCCCCGCGATCACTAACAATTTACCGGGACTGTCCATGGAAGCTCCTCCTCCTGTGAAGCGCCCAAAGCAGACGCGAAGCAAGGGGAAGGAAAAGAGAGCTGTGGACCCGATGAAGGCTCCAAGTGGTAGGAGTGGAGAAATGGAGATGTTATTTGATACCTTGCACGTCTGATCTTGGTTCAACCAGTGGTATTTTGTTAGAATGCTATTGTTTTGGTGCCCATGACTGAAGTACAGCTTCTGGGAGTTAGATGGATCGGATGGGAAAAGTCATGTTATCACATCAGCATTTGGGCTACTGTCGATATCGAAAGCTTTGGAGTTTACAGGGGTACCTTTAGAGCCTTTTTATTGATAAAATAACATTATCCATATTTCATATCCGCCTCAAAGCCCTTTGGGGCCAAATGAAAAAAAGGGGGTAATTTTCTGCACCAAACAAAACCAACCCGATATCGCCTGCATCTAAAAAAAAATCCGCAAAAACATATCACAGTAAATATCAATCGTAAAAGTACATGCACACAGCCAACGGAACTACTTCATCTTCGAGCCTTCTTTCCAGTCAGCATATTAGTATACATCATCTTGAATCCATTGCATAATGCCGTCATGTCGGGATATGGGTTCCGTTGAAGTTCGTATCCCTGGGGTATCACCTTCACCGGCCAACTGTTCATTGATGCGTTTTGTCCCGCTTTGAAGCAGAGGTGAAAGTAGCCTGGGTGTTTGGAGTCGATGCAGAAGGCGTAGGTGGACCGGGTAGGATTTGCGGTGGTGTAGGTGGTTAACCAGCGTTCTATTAGTCGTTAATATATATATCACAATGTCACCGTGAGATAGGGAATGTATGCACATACCAGTAGCGTCTTTCGAGCCAGTTTGGTACTTCTCATGTAATACCATGTCATCGACCTTTCTAGCCATGGCCTTGACATGATTTACAATCAACTCGTCAAGATCGCTGTATGAATACTTTCCACCAATACTGAGAATCCTGCCAACGGAAAATTCATTGTCCTTATCAAGCTCCAGAACATCAATATGCTGGTATACGCCGTCTGACACCTTCCATGTAACCGCCAGATGATCAGGGCCTTTCGAGGAAGGTCTGATGACGGTGTCACCGCGACTTTGCGAAGCAAGAAATTCTTCAGCTTGAGGACCATTGAATGGCCTAAAAAGAGGGTGTTTGATGACCCGTAGGGCACGGCTGTTGCTCTTCGTTTCCTCTTTCATCGTGTCTTGATCACGCTGTTCCTGTCTATCATCCCATTCCTCAGGGAGGCGATCAAAGTCTCTCCGGTAAGGTCGATTTACCTGGTCTTCGCGAAGAGAAGCATTGGCGACGAAGTTCTTACGGTTCAAGTATAGTATTTTTGCCGGAACCGTTTGGTGGATAGAGTACAGAGTTCGAATTGGAATGTCATAGCGGTCTGTTAGTTCCACCTCAGGAACGAGAACGTCGACACCACAGTCAAGTTTGCCATCGATATGGTCATCTGTGATCCTTTTAATAGTTATTGGTATGACCATGCCTTCAGTCAAAGTGTCAGGAGTCTCGCCAGTAAGCATAGTGAATATTGCGTCTGTGCTAAGGAAGACAAATTGTTTTCGCAGTTCTTCGTATGGCTGTTGTAGTTCGGCACGAATAGTCTCAAGAGTGGCACGTTTTCTCTGGTTGAGATTTTTCTCTAGTTGTTCGGCATACTCTTCAAGAATAAGATCGTTGACTTTCTCTTGAGCGTCTTCCTTGACGAGCTTTCTTACAATAGCTCCAGGGCCGTTCTCGTCAGTTTCAGCCTTGATGTCTTCTTCATCAAGTTCAAGTGCATCGGCAGCCATCTTCCGACCAATATCATAATCTTCTGGATGTACACGGGTATTATCCAAATAATCAGTATCAGGATCAGCAGTGTCATAGTCAATATAAAGGAAACTAGCACAATTGTTCCACACTTTTACGCCCATAGCAGGGTATTGAGCATTAACACCGAGAAGCTCCATTCTGTTGTTTACCACACCGCCATTCATGTTAATAATTTTTAGTAGCTGTGAGGCTTTTCGGGGGCCAAGACCGCATACGTAGGTGAGAAGATTGGCTGTACACTGGTCATGAACAGCTTCATTTATGTCCACGCCGCACAGGTTAACCATGTCAACTAAAGCGCTCTCAAGCTGTTTTAGGAGTTTCTCTTGAGAGATGAGCTGTTGGCCAGGTTTGAATTGAATCGATACTATATCTCGGCCAAGCGAGGCGTATTCTTTCATCGGATTTTGGAGATATTTGGCGAGGGCAACACAATAAATACTGAGGTGAGCAAGGCCTGGATGTTCCGACCTGGCCTTCTCGCTGGTGTGATATAACCTTGCAACTTCGTCGTTAACAATGACTACATCGAGAAGATCGCTCACTTCCTCGTCGTTGTCATTAGTATATGGAGAGCTGCGCAAATTCTTTGCGTCAATGAGCTCCGTTAGCTGCCTGCAAAGCTTGCGAGTTTCAGGCGACATCCCCGAAACGCCAATCACATCAGGTCTGCGCCGTTCAACAAGCTCAATAAAAGGCTCGACATCTCTGCCATCAGCGATCATTCTGTCTGGATCGCCAAGAGCAAGATCGGCAAACTTGCCATTCTCCAAAACACGACCATCCTCCTCTACCCAAGCCCAGTAAATTGGATCTTTGCCGATTGTGCCATTGCCGGTCGATAAAGCGAGCACACGAGGAATAGTTCCAAGCATCATGCCTTTGGGTTTGTATGGAGCTTGGTCGAGTCGCAAGGAGAAAGCTTCGCGGCACTCTTTGCCAACATGGTTCTCGCACTCTGTCTTGATATTCTCCTTGACACCACGAGTCATTATCCTTTCTAATTTGCCGAGCGCCATGTCAAGGACTTCTTTTCTCGCTTTATTCCAGGCATCGGCCACTTCACTAAAATTGTCGGATTGAATGTCACGATAGAGCCGTTTTTTATAGCTATCGAAATTCTGAAATCGGACTTTAACCTCAACTAAACCTTCTTCTTCGGCATTTAGCATTCGTAAAAATAGTTCAGGGCGTCGTGCAATGTCAGGGAGCTGCTGATTCCTTAGGTACTTAAACTCATAATACGGGTGGTGTTCGTCGATCTTTTTGAGTCCCTTCTCGGTTCTGAAGCAGTCGATAACACCATTCATATAAAAGGCTTGTCTCAACTCCTTCCGTACTTTTGGGCTCATCGTCAGCTCCTCGGCAAACATTGCCTTGGCCGCTTTGAGGGCGTGAGAACCATTGGCAAAGTTGGTGTCGATATGACCATCAGCCATATCTTCCGGGAGTTCAGTCGGGTCGTCGGTATGATGTCTCTTTGCTTCTTTCATGGCATTCTGGGCAAATCCGTCAGGCGTAATTCCGAATGCACGAACGAGGCCATATGCTTTGCTGTTGCGAATTCTTTCAAAAAATGTCTTGGTAGCTGCTTTTCGACGATGGCTGATCGTCCCGTTTTCTCCATTTCCGTTGACCAACGAGACATCTTTAAGCTGGGATGAATATTCAAAGTAGAGGTAGTCCTGAATATCCTGTAGCTCCTCCATGGTGATTGCGGCTGGTAACATCTGTTCAAACACTTCATCTTGTACATTTGAAATAGTTCGAAGATTGTCATACGTTCGCTGAAGGATATTTCTTTTGTCAACAAGGGCCCGAAACTTGAGGTCATACTCGAAAATATCCCACAAGTCGGTCATATTTAACAACTTTTCGGCCCGGATAACGTAGTCTTGACCGTCAGCGTTTGATTCTCCGGGCGACACCGGCACTTTCGCTGTATGGATAAGATAGTCCTTTCGATGTTGAAAAATGAACGGCACTTCCCAATCATCGGTGACCATGAACTCGAGCACCTTGATGACCGCTTTTTGAAACGGCTCTTTTAACTCTTTGTCCAACCGTTTTTTCAACAGCATAATATTAGAGATCCAGAGAGCCTCTTCCTTAAATTGATCCTCGGAGAGAATAACATGCTTGTAGGGCTTCCTTGCGATTTGATAACGTTCTGGCTCATCAGTAAAGCGAATCAAGTTATCTTCCTCTGTCATCATCTTTTCAGCGAGTTGAGATGGCTCAAAAACATCTTTCAAATCAAGCGGCTTTTCTTCGTCTCTACGATCCTCCTCTTCCTCTTCTCCTTCCATCTCAAGGGCGAACATATAATCGGTTCCGTCTCCAAATGCGGCGCGCATGTCATCGAGAGCAGCTTCATCCAAGCCAGTGGCTTCGGTGACACCAAGTCCAGATATTCCTTTTCTAGCCGGGCGGGCAATTTCTTCATCATCCCGCATACGTTCGTGCTCTTCATCTGAAAAGACGTCCTCTTCAATGAAGTCATCTAGATCATCTTGAAGCCCCCTTCGATCCCGAGCACCTGCACGATACCGGTCAACCTCTTCTTCTTCCTCGTCAGAATTGAATATATCGTTGATTCCCCGGGAGACACCCCGTTCCCGGTCGCCTTTATGGCCACGCTTTAATCGCTTGAATTTTGACTGAGAGGGAAGGAAGAGCAGAATTAGCCACGATGAATAGCTACAAAAAAAATCACAAGGAGATTTCAAGTTACCTCTTGAGAAACAGGTGCTTCAAAGTCTGGGTTATTCTCCCCGATCAGGTATATGTCCTCCTCATCGAGGTCTTCATCGTCAAGAGTGCGTTCTTCGCGGCGTCGCTTTTTCTTTTCTCGTCGCCTTCCAGATCGGTCCTCTTCCTCTTCATCTTCGTCAACGATAAAGCCCTCGCGAACCTAGCGATGTCAGCTTCGGGAGAACCGTGCCTAGACATGAAAGCCTTACAGCACGCGCCGCGTCCTCGTCCTCATCCTCTTCCTCATCGCTAGAGTCGTCATAGCCACCATTTTGGCCCTCTTGACGTCCAGCTACTTCGCCTGTCTCAGCATCGTAGTCTTCGTCATTTTCCTCGTCATCCAACAAGGCCTCGTTTTCTAAAAGGTCGGCGGCGCTCATTCTGGGGAGTGGAGGGCCGGGTGAAATTCAAACAGGATGTCGCACGTCCCCGAGCCAAGATGCACACGGCAGCCGTCACGCTGAAAAGCGAAGGTTAGCAGAGAGAAGAAGCAAAACCAACTGTTCAAAAAATTCCCTTGCGCCTCTTCGCTCCTGGTGAGGTCAAGCTGGACTGGAACCAGCGGCGGCGCCATCCCCGAAGCGGCATAAGCGGCTTATGTAATGACAATGTGGCTTATTAGTGGCTGAAGCTTTGCACCAGCCATATTTCCCGTGACTGACTTAGTCAGCACTTCAAGTCACACGTGATGTCATTTGTCCGGTCCAAATTCGCGTCTTTTTTCGCCTTTCGAGACAAAAACTGAGAGTTGGCGAGGCGTAAAGTCTAGAAGCACGGGCGTTGTGGCGAGTCGTTAGCCGGCCAGCGCTGCAGCATGTGTTTGGCTTTCCGGGCTCTCTCCCACGGATCGGCTCAGGCCTGCATCACCAACGATAAGCTGAGACGCCGTCGTCGCTGCCCTGGCATCTTCCTATGACTCTTAGAGGCTGCTCTCCGTATATCGAGTGGATGGCAGGGCATGGCTGTGCCCAGCGACCGCGACACCACGCCCAGGGCTGGTTTGGCGCCCGCTGCGAGCGCCAATCGCCGTGTGTAGCCAGCCCGGCTGGCGTAGACTGCTAATCATCTGTCTTACAACGCCGCCCTCCAATCTGGGGGCGATTCGCACCTGGTCGCGCTGCGCCGGCCCGCAGAGCCCACCCGGCACCGCAAACCCAGCGAGCCTGCGCGAGTTATGAGAGCGAAGCTAAAAAAACATCTTGCACTGCCAATTCACTAGTTAGCGCCTTGTGTCAAACTCCCTGAACCTTGCAGATAGTCGAGTCCAACCCCTCTCTTGCAATATGCAAAACGGGATCGCCATCGTCAAGCGCCAGCAATGATTTGCCGTGCTTGAAATGCGCCTAGGCCTTTTTGAAAGCCATCAAGCTGCCTGAATAATAATAAAGGACTGCGAACACCCTCTGCTCGCCTGCCGACGTGCCCGACGTGCCCTTCCGCCCCCTCTCCCACCCGAAGCCGCCGTCGTTAGTGAATGCAAGCATTCTCTAGCGGGAAAACAAGGATTTTTGTCTGGGACCTCTACCCTGCTGCAGTGTTCGTCAACGACGTGGTTCGTCTCCCAACAACGCAGTTATGGAGGACGCCTTCAGAGCGCGGACGCTGAAGCGGAAAAATGTCAAAGGCCTTGCACTCAATGCCGCGGCCTCGAAGCTGGGGCCAAAGCCGTCCGACGGAGATGCACAGGTGCCTGGAGCTATCGGGAATACCGAAAGCAGCCGAACCGACACGTTGGAGATTGGGCTCGAGTTTCAGCTGGATCTTCGAAGCGAGGACCTGGTGGTGCTGAAGGAACTCGGTGCTGGCAATGGAGGCACCGTCAGTAAGGTCATGCATGCCTCGACAAAGGTCATTATGGCGAGAAAAGTATGCCCTTTTATTGTATCGCACGAATCCACGAGCCAGCGAGCTAATTGCTATCTGCTAGATCATCCGAGTTGATGCGAAAGAGAACGTGAGGAAGCAGATATTACGGGAGCTACAGGTTGGCCGCCATTGCGACTCTCCACATATCGTCACATTCTATGGTGCATTCACGAATGAAGCCCGAGATATTGTGCTGTGCATGGAATACATGGACTGCGGGTATGTTGAACAGGCGTTCTTGTTATGAACGTGTCACTGTTCTAATTCTTTTTGCCTCTCATAGTTCCCTCGATCGCATCTCGAAGGATTTTGGACCTGTTCGAGTCGATGTCCTAGGAAAGATTGCAGAGTCGATTCTCGGCGGACTTGTCTACTTGTACGAAGCACATCGTATCATGCACAGAGATATTAAGCCGTCCAACGTGCTGGTCAATTCAAGGGGACATATCAAACTCTGTGATTTTGGTGTTGCAACAGAGACCGTCAACTCCGTTGCAGACACTTTTGTCGGCACATCCACCTACATGGCCCCCGAACGTATTCAAGGCGAAGCATATTCAGTCAGATCCGACGTATGGAGCGTGGGCTTGACTATTATGGAGCTGGCAGTTGGCCGCTTTCCCTTCGACTCCTCTGACACGTCAGCTGGAGATAGGGCTAGTGCAGGGCCAATGGGAATTTTGGATCTCCTTCAGCAGATTGTGCATGAACCAGCTCCGAAGCTTCCGAAAAGCGACGCATTCCCAGCCATTTTAGATGAATTCGTTGCTAAATGCTTATTGAAAAAGCCCGGAGAACGCCCTACCCCCCGCGAACTCTTCGTAAGGCATTCCACCATACTGGCCGAGTCGTTACTAACATTCTGATACCAGGATCGTGATGCTTTCATTCAGGCTGCCAAAAGAACCCCAGTTAATCTTCGTGAGTGGGCCATTAGTATGATGGATAGACACAACAGAAAGTCATACCTCGCCCCCCCTGCGCCCCGGGCCATCAACCGGGATGGCTCTAGGGACTCGATCTCCGAATCTGCGCCACCTCAGCAACCGGATCCAAATCCGCATGTAACTCCTACCTCTGGTGAAATCCCTCTAAACTATTCTCATGAGCCATTCATCCAACGTGAGGAAGCAACACCACGGAAATTCACCGCTTCTCCAACTCTCGGCCTTGAACACCTCACTATCAATAACCAAGCTTCTCAAATGAATGGCCAACCTGGTTGGCCTCGGAGGTCGCCCTTCCTAGCCGGGCATCATTCTACAGTTAACTCACCACAGTCATTTGTGCCTCCGCGCATGGCTCCTTCGCCACGCCACCCCCATCCGTCACCTCGAACTGGCGCGCACTCAGCTGGTCTTCCACTTAAAACAGGCCCGTCACCCAGCGGATCGTTGCCTCCTCCCCCAGGCTCTAGCGGGCTAGGTTCCTGGCAACGAGGCCAAGGCAATAGGGTTTAGTGGAATACCCAGCTATGTTCTCTTCGAAATAGACTAGGCGATTGTTTAGATATTGTTATACTTACAATACCCACGGCGAACCAGGACTGCATTGGTCATCAGGAGAGCAGGGGTGCTTTAAGCAACACCCCAACGCTGCCATTCCTTATTACTATCTTGTACCCGCAGAACGGTGCTTTTTCGATTTCTCGGTGCTATCTCTTGCTTGCATGCTCAGGCGTTTTGGTTTCTTCGACTGTTGGCAGTTGTGTCGTCGCCATCATTTTTCCGTTTTTAATCATTCTTTGTCTCTGTGTCTTTGGATATAAAACTTTTGGTTTCTTATCTGCTTTTGTCTTTTGTTGTTTTGAATGCAAGCACTTTTGAGCCGCTCCTTCATACATAATTTTGACTGCAACACGACAGCTAAAAACCGAATGCAAATTTCGATACCCTTGTATGTACATATGTTGCACCTGAATGTATGTAGTTTTACTCCTCTTTGCGCTTTAGACTGGCACCTGACTTAAGTTAAAAACACCTTAACTCTTCGGTTATCCGTTCCATATTATACTTTCGTATATCGCCTCACACTAAACCCTTGCTGATCCAGGGGTTATATTAGACATCTGACGCCCGGTTACACTCCATAGAATTCGGAGGTACGGAGTACGGATGTGACTCATTATTCAACACGGACCAACTGCTATACATATGTGGGCATTTCAATACGAAGAGGTTCTCTTGAATTGTATAAAATCTACTGGGTATTGCCACTTTTTGATAGTTTATTTTTCTTAATTGTTAAAAAGGAAATCAACACACAAAACAATCTTGATTTACATATTTCGAAGGACGAACTATGGCAATACGAATAGCTAATGGAATAAAGTTACGCCCGGAGCTTGAAGATGAAAACGAGCGTTACGTGACAGGAGGTGCTCCCCTCCAGCCGCTACGCGCTATATTGCCCCCTAAAGAGTCTATGCCTACTGTTCGTACCGAGAGGCTTTGCCTTCGGCCCCTGACACATGATGACGCGCAGGCCATTTTTGACTGTAGATCGAAGGACTTGAGATTGTATGTATACATACATCGCACCATTTCGTAGCTAATGTATTATACAGAAATCACTTTAAAAATATTGATGACGTTCATGCCTGGATGGACAGGAAGATTTTCAGTGTGCCGTCCGCACCGGAAAGCCGACGGGTTCAATATGCAGTAGTCCTGGGAGATAATCCTGGCGGACCTGTTATTGGAAGTGTAGGCCTAAACCAAGTGCATCCGGTACCGAATATTGGGTATGGGATTGACGAAAGGTTTTGGGGAAAGGGATATGCGTCAGAGGCAGTGGGGGGGTTGTTGAAGATGTGGTGGGGGCTTCCGCGGACGGAGGGATATGAAGCCGAGGAGAAGAGCGACGACTGGGACGGAAAGGAGCGAGTGTTTGCAACTGCGGATAAAGAGAACACGGCGAGTCTACGAGTGCTGGAGAAGAACGGCTTCTATGTGTATTTCGAGCGGACCATGGGCGACGGCGTGCGGGTGTGCAGCGCGGCGGTGGAGCGGCCGGATAATTAATTGGGCCGGCTGGCAGCCGGCGATTTGAGTTTGGCCGGGCCCGATTACAAACAGGACAAACGGTGCAAACCAACGGTTTCACGTGTAGGTAACCTCGGTCGTTGAGGTCATTGAAGAGGAGAACAGCTGTCTGTGGCTGTCGTCTATCTCTTAAAAAATACCTTGCACAACCAAGACTGCTTGGACCCGGGGCTTATTAATTCTGCTTTTTCCAACTTCCATCTCTAATCTTCTCCTTGTAGCTCTGTACCTGTCGCTGGATTGTGTGATTATAGGCCATACTGAACTATACCTTCATACAGAGTACAGGTGACTGAAAATGGGCGCCGTTGATATCCCAACCCTTCAGTATACCCCAACTGGGGATATATCGGGCAAAGTCGATCGTCTTCGTGCTACCTTTTTCCAACAGAAAACGAAGTCCATTGAGTCCAGGATTCTTCGGCTTCGCAAGCTGTATTGGGCGTATGTATCGCGGTCACCCTCTTGGCCATCGGAGCTAATATGTTTCTTTTGAACTGCAGAATCAAGGATCGTGAAGATCGCATTAAGGAGGCCCTTCGCCGTGACTTAGGAAAGTCTGACTTTGAATCTTACCTGGCCGAAATCACAATGATGGAAAATGATATTATTTTCGTCACCAAGAACTTACCGAAATGGGCAAAGGACGAGAAGGCTGCTGATATCGACTTGACATATTCCTTGATGAAACCAACAATTAGGAAGGATCCGTTAGGATGTGTCTTGATCATCGGGTTTGTTTGACAATTCGTATTGTCGTCTGCATTACTCAGCTAATCATCTGTATCTAGAGCTTTCAATTTCCCATTTTTGCTCACATTTGGCCCTCTTATAGGTGCTATTTCCGGCGGCAATACCGTAATGGTTAAACCCAGCGAATCAGCACCAAATTCAGCTGTGGTCATACAAGAAATTATCGAAGCGGCGTTTGATCCCTCTGTTGTGTCTGTATCCCAGGGAGCTGTGGAGGAGACCAAGACCCTGCTTGCCCAGAAATGGGACAAAATATGCTTCACAGGCAGCAATAAAGTGGGTCGAATTGTGGCCCAGGCCGCAGCTCCGACTTTAACGCCTGTCCTTTTGGAACTTGGAGGTCGTAACCCGGCCTTTATTACAAAACATGCGGACCTCCGCCTAGCTGCACGACGCTTGTTGTGGGGAAAGACTTTCAATGCTGGCCAAATCTGTACGTCTCAGAATTACATCCTCGCCGATAAGGAAGTTGTGCCCAGGCTCGTGGACGAGTTCTCCAAAGCCCTTAAAGAGTATTATCCCAAAGGGCCCAGGGCCTCTCAAGACTACTGCCGGATTATCAACAAAGGCGCCTTTCATCGCATCAAGGCTATGCTTGATAACAGCAATGGCAAAATCCTTCTTGGTGGTAGTATGGACGAGGACGAAAAATTCATTGAGCCGACGGTTGTCCTAGTTGATTCCGTGGACGATTCTTTGATCACCGAAGAAAGCTTCGGCCCGATAATCACCATTTTACCAGTGACAAACTTGGATGAAGCTATTCGGATTGCGAATGAGGTTGATAGTACTCCACTGGCTCTTTACCCCTTTGGGACAAAGGAAGAAGTTGCAAAAGGTACGTTCACCGCACTTCGAGATATTCTGGAAAGTTCTCACTCTTATCTCTATTCAAGTTCTATCCTCTGTCCGGTCGGGAGGTGCATCTATCAATGATTCGTACATGCATGTCAGTATTCCTACACTGCCGTTTGGTGGCGTTGGTGAGAGTGGTTCAGGTTGTTATCATGGACGAAGCAGCTTCGACTCATTTGTTCACCGGCGCTCGATCACAACCACTCCTAGCTGGGTAGAGCGTGTCCTCGCAATCCGCTACCCGCCATATGCGGGGAAACTCAGCAAATTTCTAGGAGCTGGTGTGTTGAAGCCCAATTTTGACCGCCAAGGTCGTGAAAAACTCGGAATTTTCGGCTGGCTGGTCTGGTTTATCACGCTTGGTGGTGGGCCAAACAAATCTGGCGCTGCTAGAACTGCTGCGGTTACTCTCGGTTAGTCTTTTCCTTTCTCCAACATGCGGTTCTTTTTGGTCTTAAACCATGTGGGGACTGTCTCCGGCCTTCGGTGATTACTCCTTTTTCGGCATTGACATCATGAGGCTCCAATCATTCTCTATAACTGGGATATCAATTGTGATTCTAAAACTTGACACCCTCCTATTTTGGACGCTCTAATACACCATATATTCATTGCGTATGTTCTGACTATCGTGATAGTTGCCTACGCTCTGCATCAATACTCGCATCGAGCTTCGAAACTTTGAATATCCTTTGTCGAATAGCAACAGGGTTGCTTAAGTAAGGATCTTTTGAATCTGTAAATTTTTGTATATCTTACAAATAGCCCCGTGTTTTCGGTAGTAACTATGAATTTTGTGTATATAATGTTCATGATTTCAATCACCTCAATGCTATCATCCGGAGATTTGCTCCAATTTCAATACTTACCTGCCAACACCAGGCTAGATTAATATCACTTTTCTGCTTAAATATAAAATGCAGAACATTCTTAGCATCTTCTTTCGATACCCCTTCGGCTCACACAAACATACTTCACGCCCTTATATGGTTTCACACCTTCACCTAGGCCCCGACTTCGTCGCGGATCAACCGCCAGCGCATCCACACGAATTCCACTAGGAATCCATCCACGAATGGAGAAAGAGACCGAAACAGAGTTCGGCATGAGGAGGGATCGTAGCTGAGCCTTGCGGGCTGTAGAAAGGGAAGATTTGTTAGATGCTAAACGAGATTGCTGTTCCTCGGGCTGGTCGGTGAGAGTGCCATCGTCATAATAGCCATGTAAGGGGTTAATGCGGGTGTTTTCATCGACGTCATTTTCTTTTTCAGCCGCATTCTTTGTGACTGTGTCGATAAATCCAACTACAGTGCATCGTAAAACGGCACTTCCAGAGACGTTTCCTGTATCTTTTGGAGTGACAGGAACACGCCACTCTAGGAATTCGTTTCCTGGTAAAAACGTTGCTTCTCCACGGCTGGTTTTGATATCTGTAAGATATCTAACCGATGGCGGTATGGGAACGGAGACCACAACATCTTCTAAACTTGGAGAGGAGCTACCGGAGCCCCCTATATTCCCCAGGAATGACGGTGCTGAGCTTCCAGATCTAGAATTCAGTGGGCCATTTCCACGAGACGTATTGATGCCCGGGAAGTTTGTATTTAATGTAAGTCGGACCTCAAAATCCAACCCATTATTACCCAATGATTTTTGTAGCTCAATATTTGTCGGGAGAAAAAGCTTCTCCATAAAGGTGGGCGGTTCGTCGATACTAGGGTCTACAGGGAGTAGGTCAACCTCGTAGCCAGCAAGTATGAATCGCCCATCCGGTGGCACAAAACTTAATTCTCCAGGTTTCTCGCGCCATCTAGCAAGCCTTACACATGGGTGAAAAACGGGAAGGCTAATTTTATGCTCCAGGCTCTTGTGACCACCAGGTGCGGTCAAAGAAAGTAATAGATTGGGGACGCCTGATATTTTGGAATTAAAGGCGATAGTTCCATTGGCGACGGCGGACAATGCACGACCGGACGGCGCAATAGTGACCTGAAGCGACTCGACTATATCAACGTAGATCTCATTAGAGGTGTGGCGAACGCCCTGCCTGCGCCACGGGATAGCAGGGCCAGCGGATATAGGGTTGTTGGGGGCGGGCATGGTAGTCAATGAGGTTTTCAGGGGGTTCGAAGGTCCCAGAGAGGGAGAGGAGCTAAATTATTTTTAAGGTATTATATTCAGCAACAGCAATTGGCAGCGTAAGATATGCAAAACACTCCAATACCCACCCTGGTAGCCCTACACCACTGAGAAACTTATTCATCCATCCAGGCACCTCGACAACCTCCTGTAGGGCATTCGACTCGGTATTGCACACCACCCCTGCATCGCACATTTCGTTCAATATCTGTGCCACGACATCATAATTATTTTGGATTTTGCTCGCCAATAATGGCGAGCCTATGAAATCCTCCAACACGTCAATGACACGGTGGAGAAATTCGAGAACATGAAGCGGTTCTGTTTCACAACTTCCGGGTACTAAAAATAAGAGGTTTGCGTGAAGTGTTGAGAATACTGAAACGGGAGGAATCGCATCGGGGAGGTATAGCACCGAAGGACGTGGGGCAGGATGCTGAAGGAAGAGTGGGAGGAGAGCGGTAGCTGAAGGTGGGCGGGAGCTGTAGACATGCTCAAGGATAGGAACGCTATTCACAATGATTAAATTTTGCAAAATCAAAGGGTATTGGTATACTTACCTTGAATCATCATAAATATAGAGTGCTTCTATGATGTTGCTCATTTTGTGTAAGAATTGGCTGCGCAGAGCCCAATAACCCTTCCCTACATTTTATAGCTACAACTATAGCAGTTTGGAGTGAAAAGTAAAAATAATCAAAGCCAGAGAGCCCATGTAGAGTGTGATTTCAACAACCCAGTAGATATTTTGTTCATGAGTTGGATCGACATTTCCCTCTTTTGGTCGAATGACATGGTGGATTAGTCAGCATATAAACTTGCGCAAAGAGATTACTATGTTCCATATAATTCCATAGTTAATTCTTCTTACCTTTGGGGATTGTATTGGTGGAGGGAAGGCCTCATCCCGCAATTCGATTATTGTTCAACAGCTCTTTGGAAATACATAGGCAGAATACCATCTTTATATCTTCCATCAGGGTTAACTAGGGAAGAGTAGGGTCTGGTTCGTATATGTACATTTATCATTCACTTCATTGACTGGAGAAGGGGAATATTTTGATTCAGTTCTATTTGAAGAAATTCATGCTAACTGAGCTGTATCATATTCGACCTAGAAGATGAATCGAAATGCTCCATGGGAAATAAACCCCAAAGATATTGAGGAGATAGCCAATAAAGAAAAGTATCAGGATGATTGCCTAGCTTGTAGGCTTATGGGTAAGCTTTTATTGACCTCTATCCGTCTTCGGATTTCCGGAAACTGAGCCTAGGGTGTAGGCAGTGCCGCTTTCGTTGGCCTCGGTGGCTATAGCTACGTTTCAGGAATGAAAAATTTACGGCAACAAGAAGCAGCTATTCTGAAAAGCGGCTCAAAATACAGGATGGGGTCGAGACGCTTGGGTGTAGCATCAATATCGGCGACATTGGTAGGGCTAGGAGTTTGGCGTTTCTTCAGTTGACTACAAAGCTTTGAAGACGCAGTGTATAATGGAAGAGATGAATATTCAAAATTTAGCCTCAGCCGTTGCCTATAAAATATCCTGTAGCTATCTATCTGGTTAGAATAGACTTAGGAGAAAAATGATGATAATGCCAAAAAGTTTGAAAACTCCGCAAAATGCTGCATTATATGCACCGTGACCGGAAACAGGAAATGCATCGTTAAGTCGAACCTCCAAGTATCGACATAGTCGACTATAAGAACCTTCCCCGTTTCCCCCCTCCGAATCCGTCCTTACCGTTCCCTATATTTGAAATGTCGAAAAAGTCGTTGAAGTGAAATTTCCGTTTCGAGCCAATCGCGGAACTGGGATCTCGTGTAGAAGAACGGCCGTTATGTCGAGAGTTACTTCTATGGGGAGTACGAGGGCCACGAGGAAGGACTTCGAGTCGAACGGAAGGGTGTACTATGTGTGAATGATTAACTGATTCAGTCTGTATCGGCGGAGAAGTATCTGGTATCCGCATGTCGGTGTCCTCTGGTATAGCCGATGGAAACTGCGGGCCTGCATTAAACGTGAACAGAGTAGGGCGGCTATCATTTGCGGCGGAATGCGGAGTCGGGTGGTCTTGTCGGGGAGGCGATGCTGATCTGACTTGTCGGCCTGGCTGGCTAGATTCGACGGATTCTTTCCGTGTAAAATTTGGAGATGCTCCCCGATGTGTCTTTGTCGGCTCTCCTTTCTCGTCATCACTGTCATTTGCCGCAGTCCCCGTACCATCTATTCGCTCCGCTATCCAATGGCGAATTTTGTTTCCTTCGCCATCACTAATCCCCAACCCTTCCTTATCTAGAAAAGCCCGGAGATCCTCAAGGGCATCTTGGTATCCAATATGTCGAGATTGGATTTGGTCCGCAACAGCACTTTTATAAAGATTGGTTACTGAGAGCGCTGCAGTCTTGAAGGCCTGTAATAGAACTTCGGGGCGCTGCGTCGTAGAATTTGAGGAAGGCAAGGAGCTATTTAGCGACCGCATGGAATCCATTATAAGCCACCAGAATGATCTGGCAACAGACCGACGTAGATTGCGTGCACGGAGAAAGCTATGCTTTTGACCATGAAAACCTCGTGGAAAAAGTGGGGGACGTCCGGGTCGGAGTCGTAGGACAAACTTGACTCACTGGCCGGAAGAAAACAATTCTCTCAAAGCGTGGCGGCACTGGTAGGAAATATCACCAAAAATGGGTTCTCAGGAGCAAACACAAACTGTCTTGACAACGGCCTTGGGGTGACTTCAGTCTGTCACTTGTCACCAATGTCAGCCGCCCACCTGATTCGGCTGAACGTTCATTACGGTACTCCGTACTCCGTACTGTGGCTCGTTTCCGCGGGAACGAACCGTATCACCAATACGGCCACGATACATTCGGGATATCATTATTCCGATAGAAAGCTTATGAGCTTAGTCATATCAGATACAGCCAATCAACACGTCAGATTTGCCATTAAGCCTCGGGCGCGCAGTTGTCTCGTTTGGGAAGTTCAACTGACGGCGAGCGATTCCCACCCTCGCCGTCCATTCTCCCTTCTAACATCGCTCGCCACCTGGCCAGTAATATCGCCGTGCTCCCGCGCGTTCATGCGTTTCGCTGGATCTTATTGTCCATTACGACGCGCTCAATTCTTATTTACGCGCTATTCTTGACTTTTTTTTCTTTTTTGACAGCGGAGGGTTGCCGCAGCGCGGCTCACAATTTCCAACATGGCCTCATCGCTTGACATTGAAAATTCCTCCCAAGGAGATACACCTATGATTGATTCCACTAGAAACTCATCTATACACCCTGGTGATGATGAAGTCGCTGAACGTTCCGCAGTATGACTTTTCCGCGTCTCCTTGTCTAATTTATTTGGGCGGATCTACAAAAGGACTCTGCTTAAATCTATAGGATTGATGCTAACTTCATTTGTTGTAGGATTACCAAAACACACCTGGCTATTCGGTGAGCACAGCTTTCTGCTCTGTCCTCCCCGGCGCCTTACTGGTTGCCGCGAGACTTACCTCCTATAGGACTCAGATACAAATCCTAATACCACTGCCAGTAGTGCTGCTGGCGATGCGGGCGCGCCTGATGGTCGAAAACGGAGATCCGAGGCTTTTCAGCTTCGCAAGTCTGTTTTGGGTAAAAAGCATGGCCGTCTCGATGAATCAAAGGCAAGTGACCATAATTTACCTGGGCTCCAGCAATTTGCTGACTCTTCTGTTTCTCTCTAGGTTGATGATTCTATTCGAAGGTTCCGCTATTTACTTGGACTTACCGACCTCTTTCGACATTTTATAGATGCTAATCCAAACCCTCGACTAAAAGAGATTATGAGTGAAATAGATCGCCAAAATGAAAAAGAAGCAGCAGCCAAGAAAAGCTCAACGCGAAAAGGCGGTGCTAGTGGTGAACGTCGCCGGAGGACCGAGCAAGAGGAGGATGCAGAGTTATTGAAAGATGAAAAACGAGGAGGACCAGCAGAAACCGTTTTTCGAGAGTCACCGACCTTTATTCAGGGCGGCGAAATGCGAGATTACCAGGTAGCTGGCCTAAACTGGCTTATCTCACTGCACGAGAATGGTATATCGGGTATCTTGGCAGACGAAATGGGCTTGGGTAAGACATTACAAACAATTTCATTCTTAGGCTACCTCAGACATATGTGCGGCATTACCGGGCCTCACCTAATTACAGTTCCAAAATCTACCCTGGATAATTGGAACAGAGAATTCTCGAAATGGACACCCGAAGTCAATGTTCTTGTACTTCAAGGTGCAAAGGATGAACGTCATCAATTGATCAATGATCGTCTGATTGATGAAAAATTTGATGTTTGTATTACCTCCTATGAGATGGTACTCCGCGAGAAATCCCACCTCAAAAAGTTTGCTTGGGAGTACATCATTGTTGACGAAGCGCATCGAATCAAAAACGAAGAATCATCTTTAGCCCAGATTATTCGTCTTTTCAATTCCCGAAACCGACTACTAATCACAGGCACCCCACTGCAGAACAACTTACATGAACTCTGGGCACTACTAAACTTTCTTTTGCCGGATGTTTTTGGTGACTCAGAAACATTTGATAAATGGTTTTCCAATCAGGAAGCCGATCAAGATACCGTCGTCCAGCAGCTTCACCGGGTTCTTCGTCCGTTCCTTTTGCGGCGAGTTAAGAGTGACGTTGAAAAAAGTTTACTTCCTAAAAAGGAAGTGAATTTGTATATTGGCATGTCAGAAATGCAGGTAAAATGGTACCAGAAAATTTTGGAAAAGGATATTGATGCCGTGAATGGTGCGCAAGGGAAACGGGAATCCAAAACCAGACTTTTGAACATTGTTATGCAGCTGCGAAAATGTTGCAACCATCCCTATCTTTTTGAAGGAGCAGAACCAGGCCCGCCATATACTACCGACGAGCACCTGGTTGACAACGCTGGAAAAATGGTTATCCTAGACAAATTACTGAAACGACTGAGGAATCAAGGCAGCAGAGTGCTGATTTTCTCTCAGATGAGCCGTGTCCTTGATATCTTAGAGGATTACTGTGTTTTCAGAGAACATGCATACTGCCGAATTGATGGCTCAACTGCACATGAGGATCGAATCGCAGCAATTGATGAATATAATCGTCCTGGCTCTGAGAAGTTTATATTCTTACTGACTACAAGGGCTGGTGGTTTGGGCATCAACCTTACTACTGCTGATATTGTCGTTCTTTATGACAGCGACTGGAACCCGCAGGCTGACCTGCAGGCAATGGATCGAGCTCATCGAATTGGTCAAACCAAGCAAGTTGTGGTATTTAGATTCGTCACGGAGAATGCAATTGAAGAAAAGGTCTTGGAGCGAGCGGCCCAGAAACTGAGGCTAGACCAACTCGTGATTCAGCAAGGACGATCTCAGCAACAGGCCAAGAATGCTGCCTCAAAAGATGAACTTCTCAGTATGATTCAGCACGGTGCAGCTAGTGTTTTTAGCAACACGGCCGCGAATACCTTTTCAAAAGATATTTCAGAAGATGATATTGATAAGATTTTGAAAAAGGGGGAGGAGAGAACTGCTGAATTGAACAAAAAATACGAAAAACTTGGTATTGATGATCTTCAAAAGTTCACATCGGACAACGCGTATGAGTGGAACGGAGAAGATTTTACCAATCGCAAGAAAGATATTGGTCTCAACTGGATCAATCCCGCTAAACGAGAACGTAAAGAGCAATCCTATTCCATTGATAACTACTATAGACAAACGATACCCACCGGGGGTCGGACAGCTGACCCGAAACCTAAAGTACCCAGAGCGCCAAAGCAAATTCCAGTTCATGACTGGCAATTTTTCCCTCCCAGGCTCCGAGAACTACAAGATAAAGAGACTGCCTACTTTCACAAGGAGATTGGCTATAAAGCTGTCCTTCCGGAAGGCACAGAAGAAGACTTAAGCGACAGAGAGGCGGAACGTGAACTTGAGCAGCAAGAAATCGACAACGCAATTCCTTTGACAGAGGAGGAGAAAATAGAAAAGGAAAAGCTATCAGATCAGGGATTTGCCACCTGGAATCGTCGTGATTTCCAGCAATTCATCAATGGATCTGCCAAATTTGGCAGAATAGATTATGATGGTATCGCAACCGAAGTTGACAGTAAAGCTCCAGAGGAAATCAAACAATATGCCAAGGTTTTTTGGAAGAGGTACACTGAGCTCCAGGATTATCCCAAATATCTTCGTTCGATTGAACAGGGTGAGGAGAAAGTTCGGAAAATGAACCATCAACGCAAACTACTCCGCAAAAAGATGGAGCAATATCGCGTTCCACTTCAGCAATTAAAGATCAATTACAACGTTTCAACCACAAATAAAAAGGTATATACTGAGGAAGAGGACCGATTTCTCCTCGTTATGCTTGACAGACATGGCGTTGATGGTGATGGGCTGTATGAGAAAATTCGGGAAGAAATCAGAGAAAGCCCTCTCTTCCGATTTGATTGGTTTTTCTTGAGCCGTACACCAGTGGAGATCAGCCGGCGATGTACCACTCTACTTAATACAGTGGCAAAAGAGTTTGAGACCGATGGAAAAGTACTGAATGGCGAAACAGGTAAAGGAAGGGGCCGAGATCGTGATGACGATTTGGACAACGGTGAGGCAGACGGGCCTGTCAAGAAGAAAGCCAAGAATGGCGCTGTGGTAAGTGGTCATCCGCAATATGGAGCCGAGGCAAAGCTGATAGACACCCTGCAGAATAAGAAGTTGAAGGCTGTCCAGTCTGTCAAGGGAAGCAAGGCAACCTCTGCTGCAACATCCAGGGCAGCTAGTGTCTCATCCAACGCCCCAGCCACGTCTAAATCAAAGGGCAAAAAGAAATGAATTTTGAATATATACTGGCGTGAGGCAATTTTTGTATCGTACTTACTACTACGTACATTGGGAAGGATTTCCGGTCAAGTTGTGTTCATTTGCGGCGTTTCGTCCATGTTGGTGCTTTTCTAACCAAAATGAACATCTTGCTTTTCGTCGGTGACGTAGCTACATTTAAGGTGCCCTGTTCATCTGAGTTCATAGCCAAATGTTTGCATAGATAATCCCCTCGAACCCACCAACCACTAAGTATTACATAGGTTTATGTATGAAGGCTGCTTACCATATATCCAACGCCGACAAAATGCTAGAATGCTATATCTAAAGATCATATACAGAGTATAGTACATGGGTATCCAGAGAGGGCAAAACTGCCCATCAAAAAACGCGATCTGAAGATTCGGTCATAACGGTTTCTTGCTCAGGAGATTCCGGCTCAATGCGAACGTCTTCAGCATCAGGGACCTGTGTGGTGGTGCTTTCGAAGAAATTAGGAGTAGCTTTTATTGCACTGGTTTCTCCTTGCTCGAGAGGCGGAGTGCGCATAAATGCTTCACAAAGAAGGCCCGCGGCCACGCTAACGTTAAGACTATCAACTTTGGCAGGATCATCAGAAATATTCCCTGTTCTAGCACCAGGGATAGCCACGAAAGCATCGGCTTTGCGTTTAAGGGACTTGGATAGGCCATATCCCTCGCCGCCGAGCATTAGAACACAAGGTGATTTGCGAAGCTGCGAAGATAGGTGATGCGGCGATAGTAACTTGCTCCGCGGTATTGGGTTATAACCAACCATTTCACCAGATGATGGTGCTGGCGGTTCTGCGGCGAAGAAGCGCCACCCGTTCTGCTGTGTGCTGCTCATGAATGAGATAGGGTCATGAATAGACATGAGAGGAATATTTTCTGTGGCACCAGCGGAGGATTTGATAGTCACGGCTGATAATGGGGCCGAATTCCGAGATGAGAACGCAATGGCATCAACGCCGAAAAAATAAGCACTTCGGATGATGGCTCCCAGATTTCCCGGGTCTAGAATACCATCAAGAAGAAGAGTCAAGGGAAACCGAGATAACCGCTCCCTATTATGCTCTCCGTGCTGTTGAAGCAGCATAAGTGGAATGCGACCATTTCGGCCATTGACGTCTGCTTCTTCTCTTGACTGCGGTGCAACGTTGACATCAAAATGGGTGGCCGTACTTGAAGAAACGGGTTGATAGCTCAACGTGGGGAGCTTTGGTAGCGGAGAGACTTCAGCGACAAAGCCATTATGCGGTCGATTGTCGCAGACTTTATTCAACAGATTTGACCAGGTCCCAGAAACAAGTTTCACTCTGGCCCCTGCAGCAGTAGCAAATTTCTGCAGACCATTGACTTTAGTTTCTGTCCACCTCGGTGAATCCACATCAGAATCATAGATATAGAGGGTATATATCTTACGACGACCAGACAGTACAGCAGCTTGCACCGCGGAATAGCCGTAGATGAATTCAGAAACAGCACTGGAATATGGCACAGATTGAGGAGCAACAATAGATACTTTGGAAATAAGTGATAAAGGAGCCGAAAGATCTGTCTCTCTTTCCTTCTTCTTCCTTTTTCCCTTTGATTTGACATGAGGCTGTCTGGACCATCCCGGTCCCTGCATGAACCCGTGGTCATCATTTTCACATTTTCTCTTGTTCCAGCTCAGATTTTCCTTGGATTTTCCAAACCGGCTTCGTGAATTCCCCTGAGAGGCATCATCAGATCTAGGCGTCCAGCGTTCTCTTTGAGGGCTGGCATTATTCCAACTGGGCCTATTATCGCCTTCAAATTGTCTTTCGTTAATTCCGGACCATGTAGTCCGACCCATCAGTGGTATACGAGAATTTTGTCTCCCATGTGGCTTGCGGTCAGGTTGTGCCTTGTTTTTGCCGCGTTTTCCGCGTTGAGCCCAGGCAGGATCTTTGCGACGGCCCCTAGAAATCGCAGAATTAAGAGAGGCATGTCGAGAACCAGTGCGGAATCCGCCTGAATTCAGGTAGGAAGAATAAGCTAGAGGAGCCCTTGTCAGGCGTGGAGCCAGAAGAAAGCCCATTGAAGCAACGACCCGTACCTTCATATGTAACAGAAAATGAAAAGTTCTGGAAATAACGTTAAAAAAATACTGACTAAGCCGCGATAAGGCGATAAGGGGGCTATGGATTAGTTATATAATCCGTACTGCGCGTAGAAGACTTCCAACGCGTCGGCTTCCTCTAATTTCTTATTACTATGTACGACGCCTAGCCGATGATACATTAAAGCTCCATGCCTGATTTTTATGTGCCAATTGACTGCCCCTTGATGCGTAGATCAACATGGAGTCAAGCGATGACAGCAACAGTGAGAAAGGGGCCGCCGATGTCCTCAATCAGTTTGTGGCAATCAAACCCACCCAGCGGCCAAAGGAAGAGCGGTCAGATGATGAGGATCGGCTCCTTTGCGTTGCTATCTCGAAATCCAACTGTGAAGATGAGTTTAAATACTTGCCCGGCCATTCTTATGTGAAAGAAATTCTCTCCAAACTAAATGACGATGCATTTCTTGTCGAACTGGAAAGTGGAGATAGTATTCAGGTGAGAGAAATCGTGCAAGCGCTCAAGTTCAACATCTCATAAGACCTCTATAGATATCATACAATAACCTTCTAGAGTTCTCCGGCGGCTCGGCAGCTCTTCGGAAGTTTAAAAACAGCATTGCAAGACCTCAAAGATCCCTTAGGCGGGGAATACGGCCTCCAACAGATGGATTTGTGGATATTGAGACCCTTTCCTTATCCTCCGACGATGATCAAAATGGTACGCCGGATGAAAGTACGGATTCTTCGGCCAGCATAGCGCCTCGCATGCGCCGTTCGCGACGACTTATCTCTAAACCTACTCATAACTACGGCTTTCCTACTGAGGATGACTCCGATGAATTAAATAGCCCTGTAACTTTCTGCAGCGGTCGCTATTCATCCAGGGGAAAAGGACTTCGTACTTCGGAAAGACTTAAAGGCACCTCAGCCAAACGTATGGTCGAACTAACGGAGAGCGATCTCCCTGAAATTGAAACCTCAAAATCTGTTTCCAAATACCATGGCGCCAGAGAGATATTTGACAAAACTCTCTCTAGTTCCCAATTTCGACTTCAGCATCAACCTATCTGTGCCTCGTGTTCTCGTGGAGAAAACTTTGGCCGATTGGTGCCATGCCAAGGCTGTACGGACTCATATCATCAAGCCTGCCTTGGCTACCGCAACCAGAGGCTTCACCTTGTGACCAAAATAAATACTGGATATTTTATTTTACAGTGCCGCCATTGTCTTGGGGTTGCTAACTCGAAGGACCCATTAGTACCACATCTTGGGAAATGCACCCAATGCCATGATACGGGGTTTTTCTCCAAACCATTACGGCCTCAGTTGACTTCACGGCAGGAGCAGATGCTACGTGAGGAAAATGGCGGGATAGATCCTATAACGAATGTTGACATGGACATGGTGAATAATCCTGAAAATGTCATGTTTCGTTGTACAACATGCAAACGCTCATGGCATAAATCTCACCTGTCCACTATGGACCCAAATACGCTGCAATGCGAAGAATGTGAAAATGCACCCGGAGAGATTGAATCTCTAGTGGCATGGAGACCCTTGGACCTTGATAGCTACACACCAGGCTATACTTCAGATATGCTCCCTGAAGAGTCAAAGGAGTACTTGGTGAAATGGAGGAAACTTTCTTTTTTTAAAGTAAAATGGATGCCTGGTCCTTGGGTATGGAGCGTTACTGCAGCTGTAATGCGTAAAGCTTTTAACAAATCAACTAAAAGCTTAAAGCCGTGCATGACTACGGAGGATGCTACCCCTGAAGAGTTCCTCCATATGGACATTGCCCTTGACATCCGCTACTCGAATGTTGTTTCAAACAGAACAAGAGACATTGATTTAGCTCGTATCAAGGAAGTGAAAGAAGTTTATGCAAAGTTCAAAGGCCTTCCATATGAGGACGCAGTGTGGGAACGTCCCCCAGATGCTTCCGATACCGACCGCTGGCACAGCTTTCAGGCTGCTTACAATGAATGGGTCGAAGGCAACTATCTCGCCCCACCGAATCCTACACAGCTCAAGCATCGTTTATCTGCTGCAAGATCTCTCAATTTTGGCCAGTCCTTAGTAAAAAGATCGCAGCCTAGTATTTTAACTGGTGGTCAGCTGATGCCGTACCAGCAGGAAGGGTTAAACTGGATCTATTTCATGTGGTTCCAGCAAAAAAACGCAATATTGGCGGATGAGATGGGGTTAGGCAAAACTATACAGGTTATTGCATTTTTTGCAACCCTTGTCCAAGATCACTCTTGTTGGCCCTTCTTGGTCGTTGTACCCAATTCTACGGTTCCGAATTGGCGTTCAGAAATTAAAAGATGGGCCCCAAGCCTTCGAGTTGTGACTTATTACGGCCTATCAACGGCACGGAAGCTAGCCCATGATTATGAAATGTTTCCCGGTGGCACCGAGAAGTCAGGACTTAGATGCCATGTTGTTGTCACGTCATATGAAACTGTGGTCGATTCACATGCTCGTCGAGTTTTCTCTTCGGTACAATGGCAAGGTTTAGTTGTTGATGAGGGTCATCGCCTTAAAAACGACAAAAGCCTGTTTTACGAAACGATTTCGAAGATGAAATTTCCGTTTAAACTTCTACTCACAGGAACCCCTTTACAAAATAATATCCGCGAGCTGTTCAATGTCATTCAATTCTGCGACCCTTCCAAAGATGCCAATGTTCTTGAAGAACAATATCGAGACCTGAATAAGGACAACGTCAATGAACTTCATGAAATGATTCGTCCATTTTTCCTGCGAAGGACTAAGGCGCAGGTCTTAACATTCCTCCCTCCAATGGCACAAATTATTGTTCCGCTTTCAATGACTATCGTGCAAAAGAAGTTATACCGGTCAATTCTTGCCAAAAATCCGCAATTAATCAAGGCGATTTTTAACAAGAACGATGGTCAGAGGCTAAAATCATCAGAGAGACACAATCTGAATAACCTTCTTGTTCAGCTCCGCAAGTGTCTGTGCCACCCATTTGTGTATAGCAAGGCAATTGAAGAGCGGGATGTGAGTGCAACATTGCTATATCGAAATCTCATTGAAGCCTCTTCAAAACTCCAATTTCTTGAACTTCTCCTTCCAAAGCTTCAGGAACGCGGCCATAGAGTGCTTATTTTTTGCCAATTTCTGGATTTTCTTGATATTATTGAAGATTTTCTGGACGGTATCGGAGTCTTACATCTGCGCCTGGACGGCTCTATCACTTCACTTCAAAAACAAAAGCGTATTGATCTATTTAACGCCCCAAATTCACCGTATTTCGCATTTTTGCTATCAACAAGGGCTGGCGGAGTTGGGATAAATCTTGCCACTGCCGACACTGTTGTTATTATGGACCCTGATTTCAATCCGCACCAGGACATCCAAGCGCTTTCAAGGGCCCATAGAATTGGGCAACAAAAGAAGGTCCTTGTTTTCCAACTGATGACCAGAGGAAGCGCTGAAGAGAAAATAATGCAAATTGGCAGGAAAAAGATGGCACTTGACCATGTCCTAATCGAGCGAATGGATGCAGAAGAAGACGCTGGAGATGATTTGGAATCTATCCTTCGATACGGTGCTGAAGCACTGTTCGATGATAACGATAGAGCCGATGTTCGTTACGATACCGAGTCTATTGAAAAGCTTTTGGATAGAAGCGAGATTGAGAATACCAGAACCGGCGATGACTCCTCGGCTGAATCCCAGTTCGGCTTTGCTAGAGTCTGGACAAATGAAAACGCAAATTTTGAAGAACAGCTCTCTGAATCCGAAAGCACGACGCTAAGCAGCACCGTATGGGAAAAGATCTTGAAGGAGCGGGAAAATCTTGCGAAAGAAGAAGCATTGTCGAAAGCGGAGGCGTTAGGCCGAGGTAAACGTAAACGACAGACAGTGGACTACACCGTACCCCAGTCTCGAAGGGCTGAACATGCAAGTGATACTGATTTTACGGCCACCGACGTGACTTCAGATGTTGAAGAAGAGCCGGCCAGCCCACTTGAGCAACCTTCGAAACCACCACGGAGGAAACGCGGCCCAAGCCACAAATCTGCAACTTCTGCTCTTGGTATGGTTTTCATTCATAGCTTTTATATATTGGAGAATCTAACGTTATGCAGCCCGGCTCTACAAGCGTGCTCGGCTACCAGAATCCGCACCATCGTCGATGCAGTATCAGCCCTGCATCGCATGTGGCATCGGCCATCCGCAGGGATATTGTCGCCTCAAGCAGGCAGGCGTAGAGCACTGTGGGCTCTGCGGCATCGCCCACTTTGGTTATTCGCGAACATGTCCTCACCTGAACTCCGAATCTCAAGTGGCCAGCATGCTTTCTTCTCTCAAGGAGAGCACGGAGCAGAGAGCCTTGGTTGAAAATGCTACCAAGTACTTGAGGGGCATCAGAGGTGATCTAGTGCGTCGCAAGAAAATCAAGGCGGGGAAGCTTCAGGAAGCTACCAGCACAAACAAGAACCTCAGCCAACACCCGTACGCTCAGCCAAGTGCACCCATTCCCTCAGCAGTAGCAGGGCCGTCAGGAGCGCAGTTGGCAAGATATCCCGGTGTTGTCGCTCCCCCCTACCCTGCTACTGCCCCATATCCCCCGTATCCCCCAAATCTCCCTTACCCCCCGTACCCCGCATACGCCTCATATGCTCCATATCCTTCTCGTCCACCTCCTCATTTCAACCCCCCTCCTCCACCTCCACCGCCGCCTACCACACGCTAGGCTTACCTCGCGTTCACTCATAGAGATTAAGAAGATATTTCCTTGTTTTGCTTTGCTGAGACTAGTGGTAGTTAACTATGGTTGGTGGACAGATATCTATACAATATACTGCTGCGCGATTTTAGATGTTAACCATAATTAAGCTTCAGTGCCATCTCGTGTCTTTGCTTTCTACTCTATTCTCGATAGACGTTGCCTGCCCAGCCTTTGGTGGGCGGCACGTGACCAGGTCACGGGCCGGCTGGGCGCAACGTCCGGCCTTCCGTGGTTGGAGTGTTTGCTGTCAGTTCCAGCATCACCTACTCGACGTATGAAGGCACACGCCGGCTGCTGGGCTGCTGGGTACAGCCAAATGTACTGCTTAACCGGGGTGAGGTTCGGGCCCTCTTGTTCCAGAACTAGGCAGCCTAGTTCCCAGCCACGGGCCAGCAATATGGCCTTACGATCCGCCAATTTTTAAGCGTGCAGTGTAGAAGGGTTGACGAGTGCCTTTTTTATACTGTTGTTTTTTTTTTTTTTGGCCACACGGGCATACTTCGTCGTACTGACGCCCTGGCCCCCTCGTGTTTGTGCTCGTTGACGGGGCGTTTTCTTGATAATCAAGATGAAGAAGCCTAGCACATCATCGTGAAGTATATGCTGCCTTGCATCGTTTCTGCCTAGGGCATAGCCTCTAGGCGGGCGTTTCTCTTCTGGCCCAGTCGTAGAGGCCGGAAAGCCCTCTATTATACCAGAATTCCCCAATACCCGCGACCTGAGACAGTCTTGGATCCTGAAGTAGCAGCCTACTTATTTGTTGTTTTAGCAAGCTTGGGCTTCCGTTCTCCATCCGTGCCACGGATGCAGGCTGCCGAAAGTCAGCTTCTAGTGGATAAGACCGCTCCGCCTGGCCTGAGTGGACGACAAACTGGACTCCGTGCCTGTTGGCAAACAAGGACAGCAGCCTAAACAATGATGGCTGCTGCTATCGCGCAACTTGCGTTGCCGGTGTAAATCATGTGCTCCACGCCCAAGTCTCTCTCTCTCTGAGATACGTGGAGGCCACTCATCTCTACAAGCCCATCCATCTGTGTATTTATACTTCCATGCTGAAGCCAGTCTTTGTTTCTTCTCTATATCCTTATCATGGCGCTGGCGCACTCAGGATGCAAGGTGGTAGCAGTCTAGCTGGGGCTGTTGGTGTTCGTCGTGCTGCCCACGCTCCCCTCCCAGCAGGTGCGGCAACTCCCCTCCCCTTTCTGCTGTGTGTTATTCCTTTCTTCGCTTAACCCATATTTTTACTGTGTGCGTTTCCCACCACCCAGCCCCTCTATTTCTACTGTTCCTTTATTTCTTGTGCTCGCTTTTTCTACTCCTATCTTGTTCACTCTCATCCTCAGTGTATTCCAGAACAGCATATTTCATCCAGCATCTCCGGGCTCAGGATGGATACGTCCCTCCGCCCCCAGTTTTTCATTTCTCGTCAGGATGGCAGCCTTACCGCCCTTATTGCAGTGGATGAACTCCCCCCGCACATGTCCATTCGTGGCATCCCCCGCCTCCTGAATCAGAACGACACCCAGGGCATGACCAGCCTGGGCAGTGCAAACCATCGTGGCCTGTTCTATTCTGTTGACCATTTCCCTCAGAACCCCGGCTATGCAATGAACAACATCTGTGACCAAAAAGCACTGCCTCCAGGTCCAAAGGTATCTACTACACCTCTTTCTTACAAGCATTGCTGTTGAGCCATGTGCTGACAATCAAATAGAATGGAAATCGTCATGGAAAAGACCTTTTCAAGAATAATGTATGCAAATTCATTGCTCTCTAGATAGCTTAGTGATTGCTGATGCGTTTTCAGCACTCCAATCCCCGTCAGGCTAAAGGATGTGCTAAGAAGGAATATTGCTCATTTTGGCTTCGCCATGGAGAATGCGACTACCAGCAGCAAGGTGAGATGGACCCATTCTTTTTTAGTCAGGTCAAAGGGGCTTACTGGGCATCAAAGGCTGTATTTTCAAGCACGAAATGCCCCGCGATCCCATCACCCTCGAGAAGCTTGGTCTCAGGGACATCCCACGTTGGTACCGAGAAAAACATAATGTCAAGAGTATTGCGGCTAGTATTGAGAATGCACGGGCTCGCGCGAACCGCTCCAACGTTCAAACTCTGCTTTATTCTGGAAAACAGGAGCCTGAGCGCCTCGCAATTGAGGCTTCCAATAGTACCATCAATCCCAACAACATGGGCCCCGGTTGTGCTGCTGCGCCCCCCGCTTCTATCTCTGGTCCTATCAGCCAAGTCAATCTTGTCAATGGACCGGGCACCAATCATCATATCACAGCAAAAAATAATGAAGTCTCTTCAACCGAAACGCCTGGACATCGTCAGGGGTTCGACATTCCCTCTCATGGCGGCCCGACTGGATTTAACAAAGTAAACATTACCAATTTGAAAGACAAAGAAAATACTACAAATATGGACAAAGGTTTGCACTTCTACCGCCAAGCCTATCCGAATATCCCAAATGCTGTCGAGCACTTTACTGCAGCTAAGAATGGGCAAATCGGTACCAATTACCACATTCGCGCGATGGGTCAGGCTCAAGCTAGCAGTGCGACCTCTAGCCAAGATGGTCGATTGACTTCTGTCCCAAAACAAGGCACAAAATCGCTGTGGGCTCTGCATCGTGGGGCTGTCGATATATCAGAGCTTCCACTATCTCCGTTTCCTGTTCCTAAATCAATGGGAGACTTTACCATTAACCAAGAGCAGCCCAAGAAGCATCAGAAGTCCCGCCGTCTGTATCAACCCCGAAATGACGCCAAATCTACTAGCGGTCAGGAGAAGCTTGCTGCTAATGATGACACTAAACGCTTTTACCCCTTCGGTGTCGCCTCACCTCTCTCCGTGTCTAGGATGTGTACACCAAACATCGACACAAATGTTGGGTCTTATTGCTCTCCTAGTTCCTCTGGGAACAATTCCTCTGCTCAATCCACTCGTTCAAGCCTCGCAATCGGTACCTGCACTAAGACTACTCCGGAAAATCTTTATTATGAGCGCACTGCAAGTATGACTAGCCGTGCCTTCGAGAAAAACAACTATCCCCGTGATGATGGGGCTGAATTTGACCTCTTTAATCTAGGCGTAAATGATGATGTCCCAGGTCATTATGCAGCCTTCTAACTCCTCTCTCCCTCGATACTATATCACAAGATATCTGATTTCTCTGACATCTGATACACTGTCTTTGAAACCAGTTCTAGGAAATTTCTTGGCCTCATTTTGACTGGGAGATATATGATTCATGTATTTGGACAAACAATATTGGATTTGTCTTCTATTACATTGGATTATATAAACATGCCCGCTAGTTTCTCAAGTGACCCCTAGCGAGTGTTGTTGACCCTGCTGTGTTGATTCTGCACGAGATCTCGCAGTTTTTTAAATATTTATGTACATCTTACGTACATTCTCTCAGCCTTATTTCCCTACTTCCATACCGGTCCAGTGGAGTTTTTCTTTTTATACTGTTTTATACGTCTTGTTCCCCAAATTGTCTCTTCAAGAAACCGTATGGTAGTTACGCTGTGAACCCCTAAACTTGTCCCCCTGTGTTTCTAGCTGAGTCCATCGCTGCTATTTTACTCTTCTGTTGTTATTATTTTTGTATTCATTATCCATGTTTTCACACTCTGATGCATACACCAAATTGCTAAAGTCAGAGCGTTTCTGCCTTGTGTATTATGATATCGAGTTTTAAATGTCAATACTATTCTGAATGTTTGAGGCAAGTATTCTGGAAGTAGAACGAATGTTTATCAAGCGATTTTTATTTCAAAATATAGTACATATCGTACAGAAAATAGTAAGCTGGCTATCAAAAAACCTAGAGGTTACAAAGACATGGCTCTAGATCTTTCTAATTCAGTATATTGAACTATCTGCTAAAGCGGGTCCCTCTCTGCAGTATACGGCGCCTTGGTACCTTCACTTTAACTCTTTCCTTCCATTGATAAGGGGGGGTAGGATTCCGAGCTGTGCCCCCGCGTAGTTCAGGCAGATGATTAGACGCCATCCAAACAGTGGCGTTCCCGTCTACGCAATTCGAATTGCCTTGTTCTAGCCTTTCTTTCTCCCGTGCTACTTCCAGCTGTTTTCGCCTATCTTCCGTCATATCCCAAGACTTAGGGTACGCCACCTTTTGCTTCGGTTTATAATGGCGCAAATCAAGAGGGACATCCGCAAACGAGTCTCCTTCTTTGGCTTCTGTGATCAGCTTCTGGACCAGATCGCCGAGATACCGTTTGTTCTGTGCGCTTGTGGCGAACTTCTCACAGGACATGCGGACAACGTCAGTCCCTGGGTTGTAACGGGTGCCGACGAGTTTAAGGAAGGTGATGCGTTGGTCTTCGGTGAGGTAAGTAGGGGAGAGATCTTTCGAGCTGAGTTCAACCACAACCTTGGATTCGGCGGGATGGCTTTCACCCAGATAGGTAGTGTAACGGAAACGGAGGAGGTGGGTTTGGGGAGGAAGAGAAAAGGGCTTTGCGAGAGCTGTCAAATGCCGTTAGTCTGGGAGCACATCAGAAATGTAGAATACCAAGATACGTACCAGCTAATGAGGGCATATCCCATGCAGCTATACGGGCGTATTTTCTTATGTCGCGGTGCTCCTGGAGCTCAGCGTGAGCCATTGAAGTGATATCATCATCTTTCCAGTCGTCATCATCCTCATACTGAGCAAAACTGTCGTTTTCATCTTCTGCCCAAAAGCCAGTTTTTTCTGGCGGCTCCTCAAAAGGCTTATCCTCCTCATCATCGTCATCAAGATCATCAAGATCATCAAGGTCATCGTCATCGTCCTCATTATCCAGGGCGTCGAGACCAGCCTTAAGGTCTCTCAATGCCTGCAGATCCAACGTCGCAGCAGCTTCTTCCAAGCCCATACTAATCTTCCATTCTTCTAAGGAGGCTTCATCGTCATCGTCAGCTAGACCGGCGGATGTTGGAAGTGTGTCGAGAGCGCCATTGTGCTTATCGTGGGAGAAAAAGGGTGTCGCGGAGAACGGGCGGCGGGGGATGCGTGCAATTGGACATGGACACCGTACTTTTTGCTTCGATGTGGTTTGCCGAAGCACAGAAAGCGCTGTCCGGCTCAATGACCTCGCGGCTGTCGCCATTTCCAGTCGATTCACAGTTCGCGGTCTGTCTCGTCGCTCCTTTGATTCTTTTCGGAATTTATGATGGTCGGATGAATGTTATGCCGATTCCGGGCTCAGAGGGCTGGCCGAACCGCAATTGTGATCCATGACAAGTTGACAACAGACAAAGCCGGGGCGAGACACGCAGGGCGGGCATTTCATTCACCGGTTCCGTTGCTACAAATGGAACATATCATTACTGCTCACCGTTTCTAGATTTTGGCCCCTCCCTACGGAGTACTCACTGTGTAATGCATGTTATACTCCTGACCAGTCGATGGAATTATCATAAAATAGCGCCTACCTGATCGTGACTCCAAAATGTCTGCAGCAGGAAAGGGGACGGATATTTTCCAGCAGAAGAGCTGGAAGATGGATCCAGAAAGATATTCTTCTGACGACCCTGCCTCTCCTGTGAAGCTCTGCTTTGTGACCGTTGGCGCGACGGCATCCTTCAACACGCTTGTTCGGGAAATCTTAAGTGCGGATTTCCTGGAGGCCTTGCGAAAGCAAAGCTACACTCATCTTCTTATCCAGTTCGGCCAGCTAGGATACGAAGTTTTCAACACGTTTAAGAATACCAGCGGGCCAGATCTCAAAGAGAAGTTCGGGCTGGCTATCGACGGATTCGACTATAATGTGGATGGTTTGAAGCAAGAGATGATGGCGATAAAGGCCAACCCAGGTCTGCACAGACTTGAAGGAGTGATAATCAGTCATGCAGGTAACTTTCCTCTTAATAGACACTCATACACCCTACTGTGTAGCGACTGATTATAGGAAGGCTCTGGAACAATCCTCGAAGCTATGCGCTTCGGTGTCCCTACAGTTGTAGTACCGAATCCTGAACTCCTACACAACCACCAAGTTGAACTCGCTCAGCAACTGTCGTCTGTTGGTTATGTTATGCATGGCAAACTAGGGTAAGCGGCAGTGGTCTTTCTTTTTTGCGTTCAGGAAAGATTGTGTCTAATTGAAATTCTTAGATCGCTTGCTGGCCTTGTGGCAGAAGTAGAAGATTTCCGTACTAAGCTCCATTCGTGGCCTCCCGTCGACAGCCATGAGGGAGAGCCTGGGAGAGGCTTGACTGGGGTTATGGAAGATGAACTTGGATTCGTTGATTGAGAAACGATGCTCGGTGTCAGGGTGAACATGGGATATGGATCATAGGCCATTACTGTCGTGGATACAAAATCCACAGCTGGCAAACAAGCCCGGCGATTGAGATTTTGTAGAATTCTTTGATACATAGTTGTATCAGGCCCATTAGGTTTGAAGGTGTTGGCCAGTCTCAATCAATTATGTATTTACGTCAACAAACCTCCAAGCTCAAAATCAAGTAGCTGTTAAATCACAGGCCTCCTCGCGTATACCGTCGTTCACCCATTATTGTATTGTTGGCTCACAAGTTACAACCGTCTATTATCCGGGGTGTTGTCGAACTTTGGCCGCGAGCTACTCAATCTCGCTGTTCGAGCCAAACACACAAAGTTCTTGATCATAAACAAACCACAGGCCTGAAGCTCTTGTCTGATACCTGAAACTCCATGACATTCGCTTTCAAGAACACGTCGATGCGATAGATACTTCGCCCTCTGAATCCTCCCTGTACCTCCCAGGCCGCCGCCCGGTCGCTCGCTGAACGCGCACCGCGCCGCCGCCCAATTCATCCACCCCCCGAGACTCGCATTATGGCCGAAGCGACGCTCCACAATGCCCCCATAGTTCTCGACAACGGCAGCGGCACAATACGTGCCGGATTCGCCGGCGAAGATCTTCCAAAATGCTACTTCCCGTCGTTCGTCGGTCGCCCGAAACACCCCAGAGTCCTTGCTGGCGCATTGGAGGGCGACGTCTTCATCGGCCAGCGAGCTCAGGAGCTCCGTGGCTTACTCAAGATCAGATACCCGCTTGAACACGGCATAGTTACAGATTGGGATGATATGGAGAAGATATGGCAGTGGGTGTATGAAGGGGAGTTGAAGACTCTGAGCGAGGAGCATCCAGTGCTTTTGACGGAGCCACCGCTAAACCCGCGCGCGAATAGAGATACGGCCGCGCAGATTCTATTTGAGCAGTTTAACATTCCTGCACTGTATACAAGCATTCAGGCGGTGTTATCGTTATACGCGTCTGGTCGAACGACGGGGATTGTGCTTGATTCTGGAGATGGCGTGTCGCATGCGGTGCCGGTGTACGAGGGCTTCGCGATGCCCAGCAGTATACGGAGAATAGATGTTGCTGGACGAGATGTCACGGAACACTTGCAGCTGCTTTTGAGAAAGAGTGGATATGTGTTTCATACAAGTGCGGAAAAGGAGGTTGTGCGGATGATCAAGGAGAAGACGACATATGTGGCCCTTGACCCGAAGAAGGAAGAGAAGGACTGGTCAACGGGGGTAGGGAAGCAGGAATCAAAGATACAGGAGTATGTCTTGCCGGACGGGCATAAATTGAAGGTACTTGGATATACTCTTATGCTTCCATCTCAGTATTTCTTCGGCCCGGCATGAAAACTGACGGATACAATAATCGCTAGGTCGGCGTCGAACGATTCCGTGCCCCGGAAATTCTCTTTGACCCCGAATTGATTGGACTCGAATACCCTGGCGTACACCAGATTGTGGTCGACGCGATTAACCGCACGGACATGGACCTCCGCAAGTCGCTGTTCGCCAACATTGTCCTTTCGGGTGGATCTACGCTGTGCAAAGGGTTTGGAGACAGACTACTGCATGAGGTGCAACGACTGGCGGTGAAAGACATGCGAATTAAAATCTTCGCTCCACCGGAGAGGAAGTATAGTACATGGATCGGGGGCAGTATTTTGGCCGGGTTGAGCACGTTTCGAAAGGTACATTCCTGATATGCTTTACTTTGTGTCTTTTTTTCAGACTATTGCTAACCGGGCCTGCAGATGTGGGTCAGCATCGATGACTGGCATGAAAATCCGGATATCATCCACCAGAAATTCACCTAGCACGGACAACTATGCAAACTATGCAACTCAAAAACAAGGATATTACACCGACTTTGTTGTTGTTTTTATACCCAATGCTTGTATTCCCTTGTACAACACCAGGCACTATATCCTAGAATCTTGCATCATCTTGGAATTGGCTGGCATCTTCCTTAAGATTTTTCGAAATGTAGTTTATTAGCGCGCCTTTCTGTTTAGAGAGCGGCGTTTAGCTCCTAATAGCGGTACCTTGTGCGAGATTCTAGACACCACAGTGGTCTGGAAGAAAGAGCGTGTTCTTATTTGATACCCATTATTTCTTCTAATCACTTAAAACTAGGTGCAATCTTGTTGGCCGAGTGATACATGTGCCATCAAGGTGTTGATCTGCGCCCAGACCGTACGAGCTGTTGTATATGCCGCAACGTTCACAAAGACAGTCGGCGAATTCGTCTTGTGTACGGAGTACGGAAGGGAAATGGCATTGGCCGTCATATGACCAATGGGCTATGTTACAAGAAGCACCAACCCTCAAGGAGCATAATTTTACGTCTTTAGGAAGTATTAGGTGATAAACGGGCGCTATAGTATTTTACCTGACTTTTACAGATACATAGCAACCTATATATTCGCCAGTATACCAGCTCGTGGCGAGCTACTCTATCCTGTATTCCCAAAATCCCAACACAAAACGTGGGCGGAGTAGCGGGAGGGCAACTTTTGTTTGGTTTTCAACGATGTAATGTCGTTGCGAGCGGTAGGGAAGATCAGTTAATAATCGGCTTGCCTGTTGACAGCGTGAAAGAGAGACAGACTGGTGCAATGCGGGTGATTACCCTTGATGCGTTGACAAGTAAAACAGCAGGGGCAGTAAAAAAAAAAAAGCAAAGTGCTATGTGATGCGATTTTGATGATTGTAAAGTATCATATCGGTCGTTGAAAGGGGTTTTTTATATAATTAGGAAATTGTATGCTGGTACGAATGAAGGAGACGACCGAAATTGCGAGAAAAAGGAACGAGTTCGGGGCCATTGTCACGACGAGTTGGTTCGATAGCTGGTTCGCCACGAGTCACTGTTTGTCTTGGTCCACGAGGTCTTCTGCGGGTTCGTCGACTCGTTGCCGGAGCTGCCCACACTGGAAGTGGAGCTCTGTTTGCGGCTGAAAGTCGGATTGTAGTTGCAGGCATTGTTCGAGCGCGTATTGTCCTGGTAGAACGAGCTCCTCGCACCGCTTCGGCCAACGTGGAAGACGGGAGCAGCCTCCTTCTCCCGGCGCAGCTCGTACTCCAGCTCCTCGTCGAAGCTGAAGATGGCGATCTCACTGGTGCTGCAGGAGTGTATGCCGCCGCTGGAGAACATCTGCTTGGGCCGGTGCGAGGAGAGGTGCTTTAACGAGGCCATATGGTCCACGATAGGCTGTGTGAAGGTATTGAAGGCGCTGGTCTGGCCAGTTGTGCTGCCCCTCCCGGAGTAGAGGCTCTGTCTGCGAGAGGCAGTGGGGGCGGACGGGAGAGGTTCGACGAGGCGAGAGAGAGACATGGCGGTTGACAAGGAACAAATGTGTTGAATAAATCTGCTTTCAAAGCGGAGGACGGAAATTGAAGGCGTCGGTACAGCAGGAGAGCTTTTGACTGCTAGGCAGATGAGTCAAGTGGCAAACGGAGGCGGAGGCGAAAGGAAGAAAAAAAGGACAGCAAGCTTCGCAGAGCAGCGAGGCGGGAGAACGCTGAGGCAGCAGGGGATGTTCGACGACGGTGCACGAAGGATGGTACCTGGCAGTGAGTCCACAGATGGTTCCAGGGGAGCAGACGCAGGCCTGAGGCGGGCGAGTGGCTGTTATAAGCGTCCCTGGTCTGGCGTCGCCAACTAAATATACAGCACGGGGTCTAGACTGCGAGGCGAGTCCGCTGACGCTGCACGGCACCTTGGCGGCGACTCGCCGTGCGGAGCCCCCGGCCCCAATCGCGACGGCGAGCTAGTAGTTAGTAGTAGTGTGCTGGCGGTGACGACAGCGAGAGCCCGCACTCGTGTCTGCTGGCGGGCAGCTGCCCTCGTCTCGCTCGACGCCGGCGTCCACCAGCAGCATCGCCAGCGGCCAGCCATCGCCCGCACCGCAGGCCCGAACGCAGAAGGTACCTGTGGCGGCGGACCAGGGTACCTCTGCGCTGGGTGAGACGCCAGTGTCGACGAAGGTCTCTGCGACCCGCCGCCAAAGTCTCTCGGCAATTGGCGGCCCAGCTCCCGCCGTCCGCGCCCCTCATTGGCCGCCGGCTGCAGCGGGGCTTAAAGCGGCGGCCCGTCGCACATACATCGCCGTGTGCCCCGCGAGTGCCATCGCCGCTCGCCAATTCCAGTCTGCCACGCGATCCGCGTCTGCAGCTTCGCGACAGCACTGAACTGCTGTTCGCCCCCTCTGTACGCCGCGTGCAGCGCGCCCGCACCGCCTGCGTCGCACGTCTCGGGTCTCTCTGCGTTGCCGTGCAGTCGCGGCGAGCGGGGTTGCCTGCTTCGGACTAGCGTTGCTGCTGCCCTTAGCGGCAAACCTTACCTTCGCAGGTGACACACGCTGACATAATCGTGTTTCGGTCTTGTCACGCACCACCGTCCGTCGGCCAATCAGCCGTCGGCGTAGATGACGCAGGACGGCCAAGCAGGCGGTAATACGGCGCCAGTACCGGACGCAAGGTTCAATTGCGCCATTTAATTCCGCCGGAGAATCTGCTCATGATGCGCCCCCTGTTCCTGATGCTTCCACAGAGTTCCCCATCTGACGTTCTTCACGCTCACTACACGATGGCGGGAGATGACGCCATGGTGACAATAATAGTAATAATCGGAAGCCCGCACAAGTTGCACCGGCAAAAGACAGAACAGTAACCATGCATGAATGTGCTGTATTTGCATGGAATACGCCTCTCAATCTAGAGCACAAGTTAGGAGAACTGACCGCTAAACCTTGCTCTAACTATAACCACACTCAGCCCCTGCAACACAACATTACCAGGCTCAACCTACTCCGTACCATTCGCAAGACCGCCGGTCCTCCGTCGCCCAGCTTCCTTCTTAGTTCGCGCCGCAGTAAAACATATCACATGATTGTTGATTCCAGCAGGCAGGTTGCCTCCCGGGCCCCGGCTGAAATCCTCGTACAGGCTCTCACTGATATTTTCAACCCTTCGTGATATTTATTTGTCGGAAAAGATACCCAGTCCGTCATGTACCCGCAAGCAGGGTCTGTAAAGGATACACCATCCCTCCCGATCCGGTTCCGCGGAAGAAATACGGCCTCTCCCATACAGCTCGGGGTAGATACCAGTGCTGATTGGATAGGAGAAGGCGACCAGGAAGTCCGTATGCTCGCACATGTCCGCCCCGTGGCACTGCTGTGCCGTTACCCCTTTTGGGTCTAGAGTTTATCCAAGGCGCCGTTGCTCTTGAATTTTTCAATGATTTTGTGATGTTTGTCATAGGGCTTGTGGTCCCCATGGTAACAAATCCTATATTTGTTGCCTAGATAAATCTGATTTGGGGTGGGATTATTGAGGTAGTATAGCTGCCGTGGGGAAGGTAAATGACAAAATATTCATTTTCTTGGGGTTAGTAAAACGCAGCAGCTATTGCTCTAGTTGTGCTTGGCGACTGTGGTGTGTGATGTTTGCCTTTTGATTATAGAGGAATTTCAGGTAGTTAATATAACTTGGCCAACCATCAGAAACAGCTGGAAGTACGGAGTATCTGCTAACACTCATTAGAATTTGAATTTTAGCCGTCAGCTACGCTCTACTAGGACCCAAAATTCAATGTCTCCCTGTTGAAACCTGGTGATTGATGTGGTGTCGTCCCCGCCATTCCCATGCATGCTGCTCCACGTATCCGTGGAGGCCAGTGATCGACCCGACGATGGGACGAGCGCAATTGGGCACAGCCTAGCTTTGTACTGCAGGAGTTTATGTAGCTCTGATATCTCCAACACACGCTTCCTGCGACAAGGTCCTGGAATGTGTCCATGTGGCTCTATGATTTCCTCGGGATCAAGCGGAGCTGCAGGAATCTAAGATGCAACTAACGTCCGTACAATAATTTAAATGCAATATATATCACTGAGACGTTGAATATGTTATCGTTGGGTGTTTCTCGTGTATAACTTACTCAAGTCTTCAACACGGGCGTATCCCAAGCGCAGTATCCTAATATAGAACCGAATGCGCAGACCAGAATCAGAAGATCCCGCAAAAAGTAATGTTACTGTACCTGGTCATCCCGAAAGCCTCAGCGGGGAGCACGCTAACAATGATCATCAAAAGCCAACAGACTCAGTCTGTCTCGAAATCGCCGGAGTTGGTTCTTCGTATTGACCCACGGACCGTTCTTGGCATCGCTTCCCGCTCCCGGAATATTATTAATCCCGAAATATCTGTTTGCTCTTTGGCTTGAAACTACCCAACCACATTCCACTTCTACTGCATATGTACGGAATCTTAAATACCGTCTCTTGATCTTGGGTATATACTAAGATGAGACTACCGGGGTAATTTATTTTCACTTTATAGCCTCTCACAGTTACCCAGATGCATATGCACACAGAATCAATGTGTTCTCCAGAGAGGTGATCTAAAAAGCGGGACCTGAATACTTCACCCATGAACACTCAACATTCACACCTCTTGGCCTGAAACCCTTCTCTTGTACTGTTAGAGGCAGTCAAAAGTATTTGCTATTTTTGGTCCAACATGTAACCATTTTTAGCCTCCAAGTACGAAACAGCCCAGGTTATGATCATATAGGCGCCCAGGGAAGGTTGTTGACCAGTCAACGCCGACCGCGGTGATGTTTGTGGCTAGAGGTCACAATAAAAACACAAGGCGACTTGAAAAAACAATCTTTACTACCTAGCTGTTTGAAGTGCTCTCTTTCAAAGGCTTTTCTGCGATCCCTAATAGCCGCCACAACAACAGCGCTGCCCGAATGTGGTTTAGTGGCGTATCTCCGCCGCTTACCCGCGCGGTGGGTATACCTGAACTACTTTTTTCCCCTGATGCGTCAGTCCTATTTCAAATAGTAGGCTCTACATAATTCTCTCGGGCTCTTTATATCAGCTCTATAGTTTGAATATTCGCTGCGTTTTACTACGCGCCCAGAGCGCAATAAGGAGACCCTGCCTTGAATCAAGAACCAGTCGCCTTCTGCACTCCATGCACTTGGGAAACACAGGAGCAAAATAATCCCTACCTATGTACTCACGGCCTACAAGGAGCTGTTTAGAAGGGCTACAAGTTCCTCTACCAAGACAAGCTTGATTCGATGTTAATAATTGGCGACAAATACATCAGTTACAAGCTTCATACCCTTCCAGTAAACACCGCCCTATGAGATGCATATGTTTCTTCAAGCATGTGAGAAACAAAACAATAATTGTCGCAGAAGCAACACTTCTTTACAATTTTGATTCACAATAGGGATGCCAACCGTCAGGATGGAGACCCAATTGCCAGCTGAACCATTCTGAGTTTATTCTCTGGTGTTCAGATATCAGCACCTGATTTTGTATATAAAGGATGTTGTGAACACCAGTGTGGTGCTTTGGAAGCCACACCCTCGACTGGAAAAGAGATACATCGGATATACACTGCACCCTGGGAAAGGCCAACTTTGCTAACTTCTCTTCGTTCCAATTGCCTCATGTATTCCAGCATGTTCGACTCTGATCCTTCAATTCGTATGCGACGCTTCCTAGACTCAGCCCAGTATTTCGATAACTTCAAACCTGAGCTCACTAAGGTCTCAAAAGACGACGACCTATATCATGATGGTTTGTGAAGCTCAGAATACCATCTTTTTGTTTTTTGGTCTTTTTTGTCCTGACCAGCACCAGTTGCTTGGCGATTCCTAGATGGATGGAATGCTTTGAAGCTCCCCTCAATCTTGAGTATTTATCAACTTACCGGAAACCTACTTGCAATGAATCGGTACAACAAATATCGGTAAGTCTTGACGTTATCATCTATAACATAATATATTAACACCTTGTACCTAAAGATTGAGCCTCGAGAGAGAGGGGGAATTTAGGTTCCAGGGGTTGAGTTTGGCAAATGAGAAGCTCCTCTTTCGCGGCGTTCCTCGATATTGTCCTCTCGGGGAACTGGGAGTTACTACTCCCTGCGCTCACCCTGATTGTAAACTTTGCCAAGCCATCTGTGAGGGTTTTGGTCCCGATCTAGAGTTGAAGCAGTCAACCGGGTTGTGAGTTTGGTTTCTCGAACTACGTATCGAAGCGACCTAGGCTAACTGATCAATTTCGAAGTCACGGGGCTAGACTTGGTCTGGGGCTTTATACAACCGCAGAGAGCTCCAAGTATGTCGCTGATCTATTGCCTTTCTTACTTTCGAGCTAAAATTGGTGTAGGGCCGACAAGTATGCGAAAAACAAAGATACAAGCATTTACGATAAAGCTATGCTTCTTTGTAAGGTTGCTCTTGGAGAGCCTTTTAGAACAACGGAAGATATGCCAATGCTGACAAGCCCTCCTCCGGGCTTTGATTCGGTGTGTTTCATCTTATATCAAGTTTATCTAGAGTTCGATGTCTAACCACAACTGGCTGCAGGTACACGCTGTGCCTGGACGATCAAGCTCATTTTCATCAGATGAACGAGTCGTTTACACTGAGGAAGCGATCGTGCCAGCCTTTCTAATCATATACAACAAATCCGGCTAGGTCGCATAATATACCAATTACCTCCGATTACAGTGGAGAATTCCAGAACAGAGTTTGCTCTTGGTGCGAGCTTATATATAGCTTGGAGTATCGATCGTCTTGACATATGGTTGGCATGCAGTCTTTACCACAAGGAAAATTGATAGGTCCCCTTTTCGCCTTGGTCCTTTTTTTCTTTTTCTTTTGGCACGTTTTGGCTCCACAATATCTTGGTTAGAATTTAAGCTCTGTTTAGTTCTTTTGTTTATAGGTAGTAAATCTGCCTAATCTAGCATGCATGTGTCTAGTTGCCAGGAAATTTTAAGCGTTCACTGGCATTGTTAGTTGCAAAGACCCCCTATAGTAATATAAAGAATCACTACTCACCACTAGCATCCATACATCTTTTGTTGACTATTTGTGCAAGCAGTCTAAGCTTGCTCTCTTGAGCTGAGCAACTCCTGGCGAAGGAGAAAAAGTGCTTCAATAATCGTAGCGTTTCGAACCCGTTCGCGTGAGCCGGGAAAAAGAAATGGCCCGAAGCCCTTACTACCTTTAGCAGAAGCCACACCGATGAAAACCATCCCCACTGGTTTTCCATCCTGGGGATCTGGGCCCGCCACTCCAGTCGTACCGATTCCCCAAGAAGTCTGGGCCATGCCCTGCTGGGTCATAATGTCCCTCGCCCCGGTGGCCATCTGGGAAGCCACATCAGAATGTATGACTCCATGCTCAGATATCAGATCGCCGTCGACTTTGAGAAGATGCTGCTTGACTGGAGTGGCGTACGATACAACCCCGCCGCGGAAAACAGCACTGCACCCTTCAACAGATGTCAGAGTAGCCATGACTCCCCCGCCGGTGAGCGACTCAGAGACAGCAAGGGTTTCACCCGATTGCTTAAGCAGCTGAACAACTTCACGCGCAATATGGTATACAGTTTCGCTAGAACGAGGAACGTATACAGGTTCAGCCGCCATTTTCTATCGTTATCGTGACTGTTGTAGGGTACTGCAGCTGAGTTATATGAGAGCACAGCTTCAAGTGAAGAGTGAAGTAGTGACCGTTCTGAGGAGGGGTGGGATTCATTCTATCAGCCTCACGGCAAGGGTGCCTTGTGAGATAATGCATGCTGCAGGTGGGCTAAAGGCCATGGTCCAATAGTCGAGCAAGTACAGTCTCAAGAAGAGCGCGCAGTACGCTATCGAGTAGAAGCGCTACGTGAGTCTCAGCGGTTCGACGGCGGGTTTCCTTCCACGTACTCCCGCATTCAACACAGCACACCTGGACGTTAAACACGTTAAATGCTGTTGGAGAGAAACCGATGTTGCTCAAATACTTTAGCAGATCTTCGCAGAGAAGTTTGAACGGCGCATGCAGAATGGCTCAAAAGAGAAAACACGGGCCTGTGACTCAATACTTGACGGGCTGCCCCACGGCGATTAGAACACCTGGGTTGTAGACGGAGTACATAAGAATGCTCTGTGTGACTCTACGATTTACCAACCATTCTTTCCATTCTTTCGCTGTCAGTGGGTTCTTTTTTAGGAAGAAGAATATCATTTAAGGCCATGTGTTTTCAAGCGCAGAGAGAGATGGTGGTCATGGATCAGGGCGTTCATGCAGCGAGCGACGAAGGCCTCGCTCCGTAATTCAAAGCGGGACCATCTATATTCAAGAAAACTCTGCATCCGGGCATGGTATACTAATTTGGCGGAGGAATCGAACTTATAATGGATATTTTAATATTTCTCTCTGGAGGAGGTATTCTACAACCGAATTTAAAGAACGGAGTTCTGTTTCGCACTTTGGTGTCATGCCGCTATTATCTGGTTATATAAGCATTGACATAATGACTAATCAGGTTCTCTTGCACGTGATATAGTTAGTTAAATTATTTTGCCCCTCGTCTCCGCCCTGGCCATCAAGCTTCATTTGCGACGCGGATAGTTGGACGACAACGCGACGCCCTTAGTCAAGGGTTTGGTTTTTTCTTTAGCTAGGCCTTCTGTAGCCGCTCATTTTTAGTATTTGAAAGGGTACCTCCTTTGTCAATATCTGAAAACGTCCACCCCCTCGGTCAATTCATCAGACCGACAACGAAGCGAACGAAAACGTGGAGGCAAAGCCCTCGAATTGTCAGAGAGAAGGAAACGCTTCATTGAACACAGTCTCTACGAGTTGGAAAGTGCGGGTGGTATTTCAACTCGCCAATCAAGATGCCGAAATATAAGTCTACCCCCATATGGCCGCGATGCGTGCAGCATGTCTCCTCCGAGACTTGACAATAGGTCGTCCAGCTAACCTTCTGTGCACTCTTCTGTAGGTTGAGCTCTTCACTATAATAATACGATTTCACCCTTTGAGATCTTACTGAACTCCACCCGGGCACCGCTTGGAATTGGTTGGGGTCGGAGAGATGTTTGCGCCAACGAGATGTTCAATTCGCTAACATGGTTCGTGTGCCTTAGGTGACTATTGTGATGTATACCTCACTCATGACTCGATGAGTGTACGTAAAGCCCACAATGCAGGTCGGAATCACTTGAGAAACGTGGTCGAATACTATCAACGTGAGCTTCTCGTCCCGGTCTGGATTGCCATTCTATTTTGAAACGACTGACTTCTCTTTTTTTTTCGATTTCTAGAGATTGGTCACGAAAAGGCCCAATCGGTTATTGATTCCATTACATCCTCTTACGCCGCTGAAGGCCAGGCTGCGGCCAACCCCATGCTCCAACATCCCGGTATTCCTGGAGTTCCAGGCGCCCCTGGTGGATTCCCGCCACCTCCATTCGGATTTCCAGGTACGCTATAAACTGCTTCTACAGGCCATTCAGAGATACCGGTGGTTAACCATGCAGCGTTTAGGTCGCCCAGGGTCAATGCCATTACCACCACCATTTCCGATGCCAGGTGGTCCCGGTGCCCCGCCCGCCGGCATGATGCCTTGTACGTTGTCTTTCATCTACCACTGTTTGTCAATTACCCGGATACAGCAAACTTACTAAATACTTTCCGTCCGAACAGTTCCTGGCGGCAGGGGTATGCCCCCCTTCCCACCCAACGCTCCGTTTCCGGGTGGGGTACCACCCCCCGGCGAATTCCCGATCCCCCCAAACGCTCCGGGCATGGTACCACCACCGGGTAACCTTCCATTCCCACCACCCGGTGGTCAATTCATTCCTCCGCCAAATTTCCCGCTCCCACCCCCGGGTGGCCCTGGTTTCCCTCCACCACCAATGATGGGACCTCCAGGTGGTCCCAGCCCAAGCAACATGCCTGGGAATGCACCTAGTCCTGGAGTACCTGGAGGAGCAGCGCCGGGGCCGCCTGCTGGGTTTTCTGGCCCGCCTCCAGGAGTAGGTTGAACAAACGTTTCTTCGAATCGTTTGTGTCGTGTTCCATTTTCCCTTTGACCCTACCCCTGGTCTGGTGAATTTCTTCTTGGTGTTTTGTTTGTAATCGGTCGGCTTCTGTATTTAGAGGCGTTACTTTACCTAGGCGTAAGTTATACTCGGTCAGTGTGAAAATTTTTGAGCTTGATCAAGACTATGATCGAGGATAATTCAAAAGTCTCAGCATTTTGCTACAAATAGCATGATACTTCATTCTATAAAGATGTCAAATTTGTAATTGGAATTATAGGTACCTGTGAGGCATCACGTAAAGTATGGAAAAAGACCCAAACCGGTAATAGCACTCTCTAAACCAAGCCTGTCAAAGAACACTACAAGGATGCACAAGTAAATGTACAAAGAAAGTAATAGTGAAGGTCATCATAAGTAAATTGAGTACATCACAAGAGAACTCGCCGAACACCTTGAGAGTAAGGAAAAAGGTTATTAGCCGTAATAAATATTGTGAAAATATGTATGGGAAGTGGTGCCATGCAAAAATTGCAAGCACAGAGAAAACCAGCAATAAAACAAAACGCAATTGCTGGTCATGAATATCTTCAAAGTAATAAGTACTCGCTGCACAACTGTGCAACCTTATTCTCCGATATACCTAGTTTGCAAGTCAAAAGTAATTTTTAACGCTCATAACCAGCACCTCTTTGCCAGGGGCTTCCATTGTTTTGCATGCGGTATTGATGGGGATTTGGGGCTGCGGACCCATCTCTGCCAAACGGTGAGCCTGTGTATGCTCTAGGCACCGGTGACGTATTCTGAGATCGGCCGTAAAAGTCTCCACTATGAGTGCTAGCATTGTTGTTGTGATACATTCCACGGGGATCATGAGTTGGTGGTATGTTGGATGGAGAGAGTTGGCCTTGGCCTTGCTCCCCCATAGGGAAAAGTGGAACAGATGTGTCCACTGGGGAGTGAGGCGGTTGTCGGGCACCCTGCTGGCCGGTAGCAATACCAGAAACGCCGTTCTTGACGGAGTCATTGTGGCTGCGATTTAAAGACTGATTCGAGAATGAAGTATCGTCATCCATATACCCTTTTCCTTCGCCGCGTGCTGTCGCACCAAGGGCATCCAATTCAGTTGTCAGTTGGGTTTGAGATTTAATGAAGGAGCCACGATCATCCCTCATGGGTTGGTAACGCGTATCCGGGTTCTTTGATACAACGGCGTAGATTGAGGCAATGAGAACAAGAATAAGAAGTATTAGGGCGAACGCCACATTAGTGATGAAGAAGACAACGCCCATGACACCAGTTACAAGACCCTAAAAATAACCCATTAGTGAATATTATTACACATAAAATGATATTGAACTTACCGGTTGTCGGAAGATCTCAGTGAAAAAGAGTAACAGAAGGACATTGAAAAAGTTGACCGCAGCGATAGAAATGTTGAAAATATTAGTCTTCTTGTCCATCCAAGGGCGGAAAACGGACACTCCGATAAGCATTGCCAATTCAATAAAGAACAGGCCAAACGCTTGGACTCTGGGAGCATTTTGTGCTAATGCAATGAACATAGCTTTAACAAAAAGGTAGACCAGAACGGGAACAACAAAGTAGTATGCTGTAGCCCGATATTGAATGTAGAGGAAACCCCATTTGTTGAGAGCAGACGGATCTGAGTAGAGGATGTATGCTGGGTTCTTATGCATGAGCACTGATTTTTTAGCTAGGCGAATGACTTTCCATGCTGCCCAGGCAAGAGAAGCAACCACAGCAAGGACCATCACAACAGCAAGAACAACTTCTGCAGGAGAATCTTTATGCATCATCTCCCAGAGGCATAAAATACACATCTGTGGGAAGCCGATCAATGTCTAAAGAAAAGAGAAAAAAGCTCATTAGCCGCGGAAAAAACACCAGTGTTGACAACCTCAGAACTCACCAGCCGAAATAAGATACCTCTCATCACAATACGCCACCCATGTCGGAAATCCTGGAATTTTTCGCTCTTCATTCTTCCAGCTTTGGCAAGGAGTTCACAGACACCTTTAAATGCTGCCACGAGGCCCATAACAATAGCGACAAAAATGACGAAAAAAATCAAGCCGGTCATGAAGATATTAGTGCGTTCAATACGAGCCCGGAAGCCAACTCTTTCGATACCCCGAACGACTGTTGTTGCACTATTTTCGCTCACGCCGTCGTCTCTGTTTGTGCGCTTAACGAGCTGCATAGCTGCTCGGGTAACAAGCTCATGGAGTATTTCAGGTGATCTCTTTCTCAATACTTGAACCGATGTGTTCGAGAGTGACTGTAAAACGGTGGAAGGCTGTCCACCCGTTGCACGTTGATACCACGTAGCAAGTCGCTGAATAAAACCCACACGAATGATACCCATACTCCACTGGAAATTTTGCGTCCAAGATTGTACAATCGGAGGCATCTTCACGCTAGACATTCCAATCATAGCCTGAGCCTGGAAAAATCCAAACAAAGAAAGTGCATTAGCAGCAACATGCGCCGCGGTATTCGAGTGACCCAATCCAGAGGTGACAGCGGATGTGACTAGACCTAAGCCAGCGATAACAGCCACAATCCAAGCGACGGTTCGATGATAAACAGTTTTTCCATTGGAAAGCGCAGCCTCAACACAGGCGATACTGGTCCTCGAATTCGTTGAGTTTACATAGATTCTGACTTTCAAGTCAAGGTCTGGAACGCCATACGCAACGCCTAGTCTCATCATTAATGGAAAGTCCGATCGAAGGGTGGCCAGATTACCTACCTGGTACTCTATTGACCACATCAGAAGGGAGATTGTTATAATTAGTCTCCAGATTGATCGGCCCCTTGGTCATCGGACACACGGCATTATTTTTCAGCTTGCACGGGTCGATGACTTGCTTGAGTGCAGTGAAGCCATAGGCGATCAATTCCACTTGGGCAGTAACATTACCAGCGATGGAGGATACACCAACCACCTCAACCCTCAAAGAGTTGTTGTGTGGGGTAAAAAGGACACTAAAAAGTGTGGCGGTAAAGTTGGAATTATCCTGGCAGGGGACGAGGGACTTCGATTCAATCAATTTGATAGAGGCTGCAACATGGGAGAAGGGAAGAAACGCAACCAAAGCGCAGAAAAACGACAATAACCTCATCGTGTCGGTCAAGTTGGGAAAGAGCAATTCTATTCAGTCGTGATGGGGGTCGAGATGCTCCACGGCGTTCAGTAGTCTGAGAGGCGGCTAGCACGTCAGGATCCTCAAAACCACCCGCGATTTCAGAAAAACGGAGGATCAGTTCAGGACATATAGAGACAGGGCGATCACGACGGGGGAAGAAAGCGGTGGGTGATCGAGGTGGGTTATGCCGCGTGCGACGGCAGGTGGTTGCGAGGGCCGGTTTTGAGAATATCCGCTTTCCAGAGAGGGCGGTAAACGAGCGACGGAAAGATGGAGCGGCTGGACGAGAGTGTAATCAAATCATAAGAAAGCGTGGGACGGACAAGGCATGAATGGAAAGCGACGCCAGCAGGGGCCAAGCAAAACAAGCCAGCAGAGCGACCGACCAGGTAAGCCAGCAACGGCACGCGGACGAGAAACAGACGAGAGAACACGGGGGACAAAGGGCACTGAGAATAGAGAGATCAGGGGGGGACGTTGGCGGCGACTTGACGATGGTGAAGCCGAAGCGATGAGGTTGCGAGATCGAGATGCAGCAGGTGGAGACGACGCTACGGCGGGCTGTCTCATACGCGCTCGTACGGGGGGCGGCAGGGGCAAGGCGCTGCTTGGCGGGAAGGCTGGCCAATCGTGTGGCCGGACTGGCGCTTGGCGCTGCTGACTACGCCGTGCCGGTGGAGCGGCGATTACTCAGCAGCGCCTCGGCCGTACGGTATTGTCACGCTGCACAGCCGCCGGGCGCACACGCGTTCGCCAGCCCAGCCTCAGATCAACATCAGCATCGCCCGCCCAGCGCTCCGCAGCCGGTTTGCTTGTCTCGCCGCCCAGAATAGCAGCTATGGCTCGCTGATCGCCGCGCAGCCGCCTGGCCGAGCGTTTTTAGGCGGCCGCTACGGAGTACTTGCAGACATGCCATTTGGCGGTCCTCGGCGTCACTCTTGTTTCCTCCCTTTTGCTGCCGACCGAAAACAAGCGAGGTGGAATCAGTGCACCAAGGGCTTTTGTCAACCTTTTATTGTCTTGGAGCCGCTACCCCGTATTAGACGAGCCATGTTATCGCTGGGTTCTCCTTCGACCCGTTGCGCTTCCTATGCGCCGACAACAGCCTCCTACAGCCGGCATCGTACACTTTCCGCTCTGTTAATTCTCTCAGTTTTCCCGGCTCCGTTTTAGTCTATTATTAGGTTTCTCCTCTGGTTAATGGGTTACATGTCTGGAGGCAAATGTGTCCCATGTTCGCCCTTGAAGTTTCAAGTCTGAGCTTCGAACCCGCAATTCAACGCCTGGCCAAATAGCACCGCTATTATTCTTCTTCTTATTATTATTGCTGTTGTACCGCTCATCCATATAGTATTCCGTATCTTCTGAAACTGTGAAACGTCCTGTTGATGGTTTTGGACTCCGTACGGAGTTGTGCTCTTTTCATACACCACGAACGTAGCAGGGTCGCACTACTTCATATAACGATGTGTACAATGAAGCTCCCCATTCGTACGGTCCAGGAATGTTTGTAGGGCTCCAGTGAGCGAATGCCAACCTCCAGAAGAGATTCCATCTTGTGTTCATCAACTGATGCTGTGGCTGGTGATGGGCGGGGTGGCTCGTGCAGGTGCTTATCGCACTATCTTCACGTGATCGACATACGCAAAACTTTTTTGGTCGAAATTCGAAGCTGTTGAAGAGCGAACGACACCTACTTTAATAATACAGAATGCCTGCCGCAATGGAAACATCGAAAGAGCACTCGAAGAAAAGAAAGCGGAAGCATGCCGGGGGTGGGAATGCCCCTGCAGAGCCCACAGAGAAAACGATTAAACCTTCGATCCCGACGACCGTCACCGTACAGGAGGTAAAAAAGCGCAAAACAAACCATTCGTCGCCCTCGAAAGATGCGGACGATACTGATGGAGCCGAGACCCCAGATCCTACTACCGAAGCTAACAATGGGACTCTGGAAGCTCTAGTGGAGGAGAATGGAGACAAAAATGTGGAATCAGAAGCACCCGAATTACCCTCCCTAAATGCGGTCTCCTTGCCCCAGACAGAAAATGAGCCCCTGAAGTTTTCTGAGCTTAATCTTTCGGAGAAGACGTTGAAGGCAATACAAGAAATGGGCTTTGAGACTATGACCGAAATCCAACGAAGGGGAATACCACCACTGATGGTTGGTAGAGACGTTCTCGGGGCCGCAAAAACGGGCTCAGGAAAGACCTTATCGTTTTTAATACCTGCTGTCGAAATGCTAAGTGCTTTACGTTTTAAACCTAGAAACGGTTAGATTATAGATTTTCCTCTCGGAAAACGACCCTTACTCACTATTGTGCTTTCCTAGGAACTGGTGTCATCGTGGTGTCTCCTACCCGCGAACTCGCGCTTCAGATTTTTGGTGTTGCTCGGGAACTCATGGCACACCATTCGCAGACCTACGGCATTGTGATTGGTGGCGCCAATCGAAGAGCAGAAGCGGAGAAGCTGACCAAGGGAGTAAATTTGCTTATTGCAACACCCGGACGCCTGCTTGACCATCTTCAGAATACAGACGGTTTCGTATTCAAGAATCTTAAAGCTCTCGTGATCGATGAGGCGGATCGAATTTTAGAAGTTGGGTTCGAGGATGAAATGAAACAGATTGTCAAAATACTACCCTCAGAAGATCGCCAGACAATGCTCTTCTCCGCTACGCAAACGACCAAGGTTGAGGATCTTGCGCGCATCTCTTTACGCCCTGGTCCCTTATACATAAACGTTGATCACCGCAAAGAGCATAGCACCGTCGAAGGCCTCGAACAGGGCTACGTCGTGTGCGACTCAGACAAACGCTTTCTCCTCTTATTTTCGTTTTTGAAAAGAAATCTTAAAAAGAAGATAATTGTTTTCTTCTCGAGCTGCAACTGTGTTAAATACCATGCCGAACTTTTGAACTATATTGATCTTCCCGTCCTCGATCTCCACGGTAAACAGAAACAACAAAAGCGAACAAATACGTTTTTTGAATTCTGCAACGCAAAGCAGGGCACTCTAATTTGCACAGATGTTGCTGCAAGAGGTTTAGATGTATGCTGCTTACCCATTTCCACTCAAGAGGGATTATCGGTTACTAATTCATTTCGTTAGATCCCCGCTGTGGACTGGATCATCCAGTTTGATCCACCAGATGATCCAAGAGACTACATCCATCGTGTCGGTCGAACTGCTCGTGGTGCAGATGGTAAAGGGCGCAGTTTAATGTTTCTTCAACCTTCAGAGGTTGGTTTCTTGAAACACCTCCGGGATGCTCGAGTACCGGTTGTAGAATTCGAATTCCCAGCAAAAAAGATAGTTAATGTGCAATCTCAACTAGAAAAGTTGATCGGCCAGAATTATTATTTAAACAAGGTAAGTTCTATGTGGTCGCCTTTCTTTCAGCCGTGTGGATTCTTTACTTATTTTCCTCACAGTCTGCCAAAGATGGCTATAGATCTTACCTGCAAGCCTATGCGTCACACTCTCTCCGTTCTGTCTTCGACGTCAACAAACTCGATCTTGTCAAAGTTGCAAAGGGGTTTGGCTTTCCCACACCCCCAAGGGTAGACATCACACTAGGTGCCAGCATGAGTCGTGATAAAAAACAACCTACTCGACGAAATTATGGAAGCCAGTCAAAACATGGGTCAAAATTCAAGAGGAACGGCTCTGGTAATTAGATATCCTATTTCGTTTAATAGTCTAGAAGACCCATAGACCCCAAATTTATTGTTACGACAGAGACGTCGTGCCAATCTTCTACGTTAACGCCCTCTCCATTTGGTCATTGATGTTGCTTGCTCGCACTCCAGACCCAAGAAAGCTGTGTTTATTTTGTAGCTCTCTCAAGCCCATTCATTCTAAATAATCTCCGTACGAAAAATACCACACATGGTACCACACATCCTGTGTGAGTGTACTTCAATATAGGAAGACTATATATGACAAGAATAATGAAAGCTTCTAAGGGAACAAAACCCTGCCCATCAAGTAGTCCCATTTTTCGGTATACCAATTGAGGACATGGAGCGCAACAGGTCCAGTGGAAGCATGTAAGAAAACCAACCTTCTTCCAAAGTATATGGGCATTTGTACGTGCATGATCCGTGGTAAAATTGGCACCCCAGTGGAGATGATACTCCTTGTGTATCACCACTGGTTTTTGGTACCCTGTGGTTGTGATGAACATCCACGGATTGTAGTTATTTGTTGGCAGGAAGTTTTCAATCATTCCATTCCTAACACGCCCTTTAGAAAATCCTAAACTCTCAGACCACCAGCCTCTCTTGCTTATGCTTCTTTTAACCACCTCAGTAGCTCCTCTATACCAATCAGCATTTGTATAGATTCCGTACGGTCTACGGATCCTATACCGGAAGCAAGACTCTACATCCAGAGCAAAATACTGTTGCACAACATGGCAGCAAATATCACGAACCGGAAAGGAATCCGCAGCAAATCCAGCCGTTCAAGGCGGCAGATTTCTGATGTGCCACAGTGTCCAGTAACCTTACTATTAGGTCAACTCACAGGAACATGCGTGGTATATTTGGGCGTGGCTCCATTTTTGCTTGATGGTGGCACAGTATCCCAGTCACACAGTTTGTAAGCCCAGTGGCTAAAAAAAACAAATGTATTTTGTTCCTAAGAGCGCCCTAAAGTCTTCTTGGGCTACTTCAAATTAACTAATAGCACCACAAAGCGTGTGCATAAAGTATCCTAGCTGGTAGATGGCAGCTTCTAAAAATGTTGGAACCAATGTGAAGTGTGCACCAGCAATTGCCAGGCACCTTGGCCGATATTTAATAACAAATGTGACACGGTATGGCCAGTGACAACAAGGAAGGTTGCGTTCAATATGCCTCCATGCAAACATAACTGCATATGCAAGTAAAGCTAGAGGATTGGGACAAGTATTGACCATGATCCAGTACCAGCCCTTTTTGTGACAAACTGTGATATGACTTTAATGTTGAGGGACGTAATACCCAGATATACCCGAAATGTGGGAGAGAGGTGGGGTAGCTTGAATCAAAATAACTTTCTCATATCTAACTCAACAGTTCAGCAATGTGATAGCCGCTAGTCAATATGAAATAGATATGGCAGTTGAGAACCCGAACATTCAGAGGTTTCTTGCCTTTTTAAATTTTCCTATGGGCAACCATATGAGATTCAGGTATGTACTGCTGACGAATGTAGACAGACAGATATATGTCACTAGAATCTCATTAGATATTGATCACAGACACTGATCCTGAAAAATATCCACAACCTAGTGATCACGAGATGTGCTGCTGCTGTTGGCCTTGTACTAGCATGTTCCTTGACAGCAAAGGCCTTTGAGAATAGCAGGAGAAAAGAGGAAATGTTGAGACTTTTTTCTGATATTGTATGTACATGTAACATACGGAGTCCAATTCCAACGTGTCCGTTAAGTGAGTACAACAAACCACTGCCACGTAGGTTTTGGTTTTTCTCCTAGTTCAGCTATAAGGATAATCAGTAGGTATCAATACTTTATCGCATCCAGGTCAAAAACCTTGCTTAGTGTCGAATTGCAGATGATCATGTGCCTGTAAACATTTTGTATTACAGTTATGTCAAGTTGCAACAAGGAAAGTCACTGGAGCGCCCTCTGCAAGCCAAAACAACCAATACAGTGATCAGGAATGGAGTAACAAGTCATAGATGTGCTTATCGGGCATCTATCGGAATATGTTATGTTTGGCAAGTATAGTGACTGGATTTTTGAAAGTACCACGCCATCAAAAAGGGTATAAAAACGGTAACGAGAAGTTGGGGAGGGTGTTGAGTTCTCTCAACATCCAGGGATAATTATGAACCCTGCTAGGTCGCCGTGGTTGAAACTTACGGAGTATACGGGGTTGAAAGATAGACTATGACGACTGAGATCGGCATCGAACAAGGAGTTGTCCGGTTGCATGATGGTTCGCGCCCTGAAAGTTAGAAGAGCCATATTCGCATTGACAAAGTAGTGGGAAAGACCGGAAGGTGCTTTCGTTATCAATAGTTACACTGAAACTATTTTGACAGTAATACTGCGTTTTCAGTGTCCTTTTCCACATCAGATGAGAGTAATAGGAACGAGATATTGACAGACTCCGAAGAATCTTTAGTCAAGTGCATCCCAGCCCAGTGATCAGCAGACATGAAGGCGGTAATCAATGGGGAAGTCCAACGGAGATGCATACACGTATTTGCATACATACGGAGTACTCATGTACAGTATGTACGTACACCCAGGATAACCACCTGACCATCGATGGTTGTGAATCCAATTAGGCTGAACCATTCCATCGGATTTTCAGTCTGGATGGAAGCTAGTTTGACGGTCAAAGTGTACTGAGAGGACCTTCTAACAGCGCCATCACGTTGGCGTTACATAGAGTAACAGTCAAGATCAACCTCAGTGATTATGGAGAGCGTCGGAATTCCGAGTCTTCCACGGAGAAAAAGTGGCCCATACGAAAGTATATGCAGGAAGGGACCAATAAAGAGAAACAACCCAACATTAACCCCGATAGATAGCCTGGATAACAGCCTAACATCGCTAGCCTTAATGCAGGATGGCTGAAGGGGCGGGAAAAGGTGTGACCGGGATTGTTGAACATCCATGGAGCAGCCAGTCCTAGCCCCCCGTAATATGCACTAGTACGGAGTATATATGCAGGTATCGAGAGTTGTGACGCCGGCATTTGATCGGAAAGGCGTCCAATACGGTCGGGTGTTGAAAGCCGTTGAAACGAATCAGATTTAAAAGACCATCGGGTTCTCCCAGTGTCGGCTAATTAAAGGTAGATTGTGAGTGGCTAAGAAAGATGGTGATATCACGCCACATCATACCCCCAAGTTATGATTGGTAAAGGGGGGGTTCTTGGGATGACAGGAAGCGAGAGTTTTTATTTGAAGGGAAAGGGCGGAACTGGAGAAACAGCTTACCAAAATTATTGAAGGCGGTGATTGTACTCAAGCGTCTATATATAAAAAAGATAACATTGCAGTGGATGTCTGTAACACTTGTGTAAGGTTGGATGTGAACAGTGTAAAGGCTCAATGGTCCAGGTTCCATAGCCGTTCGGAAATTCCGGGTAGTAGAAGCTCCATTAAGATCAATGAATCCTTGAAGAAGTAAAACTAGGTGCATCTGTTGTTGTTCTTTTGGCCTATCCTTGCGGGCTGACTGTCCGGCGACCCAGAGAATCCGAGGACGTGGTTGCTGATCGATGTGGCGCAATATGCATTCAAATTTGAGACCTCGTTTTGTTATTGAAAACCCAACAAGGGGCGAGATTCCACCCGAGCCTTCCATCTTGGCTGTTCAACTGATAGGACAAAGCGGGCTATAGCTGCGTATAGAGCTCATGTTATGCATCAAGTACCCCGTACAATTAACATTCCGTGCGCTGCGGTAAGGCATTCAAGCAGGAACTTGCATACAACCCCCTTCTCGAGTGCTTTTTTTCAAGGAGAAAATCCGGGAGCATCATTTCCGGAGAAACTGCAAGATAACGGTATAAAGGTAGTTTCTTTTCGCTTAGTCCAGCTATAAAGCGAGGATTGACGCATATTAAATTTCATCTTCCAAACATATAGTCTAGACCTATATTGCCATTGTTAGTTTTTAGAAGAGATTCGGAATCCGCGTCAGACTTTGACTTCGTTTCAGTCATCTTTCAATTTGTTCCGCATCTCACTTTAAAAGCCCTATTCTAGAATGGCCGCGCCCGTAGGCGCCCGAGTTTCAAAGGAGGAATTCATGCAAGCGCTTGGCCTTGATGTTAATAACCCTCAGCATGACCCATTATATCGCGCAATGAGAGTGAGTAGCTGAAGTCCAATACCATTTTGACCAGTGGAACTGACAATCGCCCTCAGGACGAAGCGATCGCTGTTTATAATCAGATGAATTCGGATAGTTCAAATTTGCTGGAAAATCTGAGGCACGACCCGGAAGCGAGGCCGCCATACTTCTGGCACCACATGCGACCAGATAGACAAAGATGGGGTATCTTGGAGATCTGGTACCGAGCAGGACCAGTGACTCGACCTTTGTTCGATCGCGGCGCAACAAATGGCGAATACGGCCCTAATTGGGTAACTGGCTGGCTGCTTTACAGCGTCTTTCGCTCAAGAGATATTCGTAACAATCGCAATCGAAAGAAAAATGACGAAAACAGCCCTGGAAACAACTCTGGTAATACACCACATCCCCTCCCTTGTAAATAAATTGCTTCAAGAACTGAAATGTGTGCCAGGTCAACCCCAATCAAAGGGAGGGAAGGGTGGCACGGCAGGATGTGAGGCACCGACCAGAACTACGGGATACTATGACCCTGTGCGGAACGGCGCACGATGAATCTCCGACATACAGCGGATACATCGAACGGCGTCATGACATAAACTAGGAACAGGTGTTATTTCGGTCTTTGCGTGGATATTGGCAGGATTTTCCATTTTGTTCTATGGGCTCTCTTTTATGCTCTGTTTATGGCCTAGTATAAATAGGCTGTTTGATACGGTCTATCCAGGCATCGAACTGTCATTTTGTTTCGGGATAGATATTGATGATCTTTCTGAAGCTTTTTATGAAGGTCGCACCGTGCCAAACTCCGCACTGAACGACCGTTGCACCTGTGTTTCTCTGTCGCGCACAGACACATTTACGGCGTCTAAACTTCTCCTTGTACAGTGTTAGATTCGATCGGTCTCGGAATTATCAGGAAGGCTCATGCAACCAAGTTACCGAGAATAGAGCCGAAGATGTGACCAAATCACACTCAAGGTATTTGGGTTCGTCGGCTCTTTTTTGCTTTGAAACGGTGCCAATCGGAATAGAGGTATAAATTTACGGTCCAAACAGGGCAATTCCATCTTCATTTAACGAGTGGCTCAGGGTATGATTCTATTGAGAGGAGTGCAGGCTGGGTTGAATCAAGAACAATCCACCCAAAGTCCATTTTTGGAATATCAAATATGTTTGCACTGTTTGGCTGGGATTTTCACCACACATCCTAGGTAGTTACAATAGCCAAACATAGTGTCTCCTCTTTTCACAGATCAGCATGGAAGAGTAGCAGTGCGAAACAAGGCACATATTCTCGATGTTTGATACATAGCGGCAGAAGTAACTGGTTATCCTCCGTATACAGAGGGTTGCATCCAATTAACTAACTACATTCAAAGCAGGGAACATCGATCATTCTGGGGGTAGAAGAGCGATTCCAGCACTATATTCTCAAATTAAACTCGGCGAGGAGAATACCAAATTCTATGAAATCGTGTCGTCATCACAGTCGTTAACATTTCAGTCATAATCATGGCTCATTACCCCAGACAGTGCTGTAAGACCCGTCTGTCTAGCGAAAGAACTCTCGAAAACAAACAAACGCAGGCCGTAAGCGTCATAAGGAGTCCCATCAACCGGACACCTCTTATTTTTCGTCGTACATGTGGTCATCATCTGCTGAACTTCAGGGTCATTAAGCGGCTGTCGTAGAGCATAGCCGGAAAAGAAGCTTGGAAGTCAGAGCACGCGGGAGCCAAAGTGCAAGGCTCTGCTGGAAGCGTTGCCCTGGCGGTCTTCGCAGCTTTGTGGACTGCTGCCTCCGCTCCGGCTCCTATCACTGACAGACGACTCGATGTCGTCGTTGTGGTAGCGGCTCCTTCGACCGGTGCCGATGGCGACAGGCACGCCCTGGATGATTCCCCCGTGGTCATGGCCGGCGGGATACATGCCATCGTTCACGGAGAAGTTGCGGCAGATCAGGTAGGCGCGCATGGCGGCGTTTTCGCGCGCCAGCATCTCGGTTTCGCAAACGGTGTCGGTCTGATACTCGCGGTTGTTGACGCGGACGACACACGTGAATCCTGCGGCACCGCCGTACGGCTCGTAATGCGGCTCCGGCCAGCGGCGGCGACGGCAGAGGCCTGTGACGAGGGAGTTTAGAAAAAGCAAATCACGGGTTTGCTGCGCGACATCAGAGGGCCGTGGCAAGGCGAGCAAGGTGTCTCAACATGCATGTACTCTGTACAGACTAATAGGCGATGCTCAACGCAAACGCGCCCACATACCGGCTTGGTGTTGTTGGTGCGCAGGTACAATCACCCCCATACATGGCAGAATCCAGATCTCTAACAGGGAGGGCGCGTTTTATAGTGGGAAATCACAGGCAGGCCGAGGAGCGGCAGACAAGCGGACTACTGGGGCAGGACAACATACTGGCAAGATATAGGATGTAATACATGGCGAGAGGCCCTCACAACGTGGTTGGATCTGCTCTTGGGGTGTGATACGCGATTGTCGACTCTAACCGGCTCTAGAATTCACCAAATTCTGGATCACGGGGAGCGAGACTGAGATCCACAGAGGTTTCTAACGGCGGTCGTTGCCCGACAGCGCCACAACCATTCAATAGCACTGGCAAACGGTCAAAAGCGAAGATAAGGGGGCGAGGCAGTCCGTGAAATTGTTATCTGAACCGAAAGCGCCCAGTATAAATCAGGAAAAGACAATCGGGCAAGACTATAAGCTGGGTGCCATCACTCCTTCGGTCGGAAATATGTAGACGAGCCATTGTCAAGCAGACAGCGAAGCAAGCGCGTTTTAATGCAGCATCAGACTGTCAATGCCACGGTGGGGGCCGCAAAATAATCATATAGCTAATATCAGGAACCCTGGCCACCGAGCGCGAGCTTTTTTATTTTTTTCGACCAATGCCATATATGGTTTTTCCGCAGAAAGACCAACAGGCCGGGAAGAAGAATTTTGTCTTCCGTTGTGTGGGAATCTGGCTCCCCTTTTTTTGGCTTTTTGATGCGTTGGCAGCATATCTGCCAGTGACGGCGCTGAAATTCCCTGCCAGCCTATCAAGCGTTGATTCGCTGTCGATCGAGACTTGACAAGACCAGCGCTTGGACAAGTGTTCCTCTCGGCCCACCTCTAGCAAGGTGTGCACTTGCAGAGGGAGAGCGAGTCTGCGGCAATCAGGCTCGCTAGAAGCCTTCCCGGTCCCTTCAAATGTGATCGAGCGAAACCCCGCAGACAGTCAGCCAAACACCGCTGTTCTGTGGCCGTCGTCGACCCACGCAACGATGCCCACGGCGGCGGCCACTACTGTACAGTACACTCACGTCGTTAGTGGCATCCCGCCCGCCAATGCGATTACCGCCTGTTCCCCGCGCGCCTCGAGTCGGCCGTGATTTCGCACCTCCGCTTTGTCGAGTCAAACAGCCAGCTTACCGTGCTGGGGTCCAACCCACGGTCATGCACCTTTGCAGTCGCAATACAACCTCCAGTTAAATTGACTTTCCATCCCATCGGGATGAGGTTAATGCTCGCCCGGACCCGGGGATTGTTGACGGCTGAGTCTCGTGGCGAAAGGGTCCGGGAAGGCTACCAGGTCTTCATGTGCAAGTCTTGGAGGCTCGTTTAAAGTTACAACCCCTTTACATATGTAGCACTGAGATATCGAGAATATGCTGGTGGGACGCCTTTCGACAAAATGAAAGAGTGTTCTCCGTCTCGTCGTTCTACCGTTAATTCAGGGCTAGATGATGGATGGAATACTCCGTAGTTCCTAGTTGGCAGCCTTTGGGTGCGATTTGCCCCGTCTGTGGATATATTTACATGCATATCGTAACTCCACCTTTAAAAACGATAGCCGTGAGCTTGTAGACCCAAAAACATGCTGGCTGGATTCCTGGTTACAACAGGGGGGCATTCAGGCGACTGGCGCTCTGCATGTTGTCAAGCACAGCCTAGCCAAATGTCAAGACGGGGGGGAATGAACCGCAGAATATTCCTGTCACCTGGCTTTCCTCGGCCCTTTTTGTTTTGAAATCTTGCCAGCCCGCGGGTACGCTAGTTAAAGATCCCTGCGCTTTGCTCACCAAGGGCAAAATCGTAACTGCTGAGTGTTTCCCTCAGTTCTTGTGGGACGGGGTGTAGGGTGGCATGGGAATCTGTCCATCATTCTTAGTCCAAGACGGCATCGCGCAGGGATGCAACATGCCTGCACAGATGATAGCTGAGACCCTCGCGATGACCTATCCGGTATGTGCCAAGCAGGCCTCGCAGCGGGCGAAACGGCGATAAGACTGGTTTGCAGCCTTCTCTGGCTCTTCCAGTTACTCCGGTTGAGACCGGGATACCCATACAGCCAATGCTGCGGGTGATGGCCGCCTTCAAACTCACACAGAGACAGCAGAGTGAACGGAGAAAAGCCCTTCAGGAACGAGTGATGCCTTGCATCAACGCCGTCTTGTGTTGTAAGGCTGACCATCGCAATTTTCGGGGAAGGCATTCCGGATTATGAACTTGGCTCTGGTAGAGACGAGCGCCGTAACTAACTAGCTAGCCAAGACGGCTGTTCGACTTCAAATTACCATTCTCTGGCTGTGCCGCCTAGGAGTCCTGGATACGAGCTGGCTGAATCGTAATCCCGGAACATGTGCCGCACACAAACCAACTCGTCGGGTTACATATGACTACTCTGGATAAACGACTACTATGTATAAAGCATCGCCGCACGGGACTGCGTGTTTGGGGCGAGAGTTGGCAAAGATGCATGAGAAGCCCACACGTTGCGCCACGGTGTGTTCGAGTCCAGATGCGCAAACGGAAAGGCGAACAAGGCAAGAAAAAGCGTTGGCATTATGTATGCGCTGTGACAGGCATCAGACGCAGTGATGAGTTGGCAGTGGGGAAAATATGCAACATGCTCCCAGAAACGAGTTGAACTACGCCAGATGCGTCTCCTCTCCTGCAATCCCTAGGCGGGATCCGAAGAGAAGCGCTCAAATAAAAAACCAGACGTTGGATTTCCGGTAGTCAAATGCCTCACAATGCATGGGATGTTAAAACGGCTCATCTTGTGTGTGACGAGAACGTTCTTGTTTATCATAAGCCCTGGTTGCGACAATCGCCGTGGCGGGCCACACCTCGACGCATAATCTCGAATGTTCCAAGAACGCCTCTCTTTCACTCTCATTGGTGAAGCAGAAAAGATGTCATTTTCCATCGCCGCTAGGAAAATATGGGTAAGACATGCGGCTCTTCTTTAATAATGTCTGAGAACAACGAAGCGTGACATGGGTTCTTTGCCGCATTAAACCAGAACGGTATAGCCAACCACGTCTCCGTCGCAGCGACCATTGCCCCGGAGCCACTTCAAGGATGTATATTGAATTCTGGGCTTGGACGTGCATCGTACCAGGATCTCATGCCTTCTGCCGCAGAGTGAGGGATAGCAAAGAGGGGGTGCAGGACAGCGAGCCGGTCCCTTTCATGGAACACCACCCCGTCAGGTTCGATATCCGTCTTCGACGTAAGCGGGGCATGAGACCATGAGAATGCGGAGGAGAATGGGTCGCGCTCGGTGGGCCCTGCGGCAGTGTCAAAATGGTAGTTTTGAGTGCTACTTAAGCCAGCGAGAGTGTAACACGTATGATAAGAGTCGGCTGGTCTAGAATTTGGATGCAAGTTAGTTCCTTAGTGATAAAGTAAACAGTGAGGGGGATTTCGATTGCTTCTCATGGTTTCGCTTACTTTCCAGGTTTATCACGCAGCCCTCCATGCGGAGATTGACAACAGCCCAAAATATATCTTGTCAAACCCTCACGGCTGTAAAGGCTCCCAAAACGGGGTTGAGGATCGTTCGAGCTTGCCTGCGTGCCGTTCAAGGCAGCTTGTACCATTGGCCAGGAACCTCCCAGCCAAAAGCTGTAACATCCATCTACCAATTTGTTCGTACGCCCCGAAAATCCGCCTTCAGGGGCATGTTGCCTTGCTGACAGCCATGATACCAGCTGAGGGACATCCAGATACCTAGCCATGATTAGCTAAAGTCCCAATATAACAACACGGTACATATTAACTTATTAATCATTTGAGATGGGCTACCCATGAGGCACAACGCCCCGAGTGCGCAAAAGGTGTAGCTGCCATGTGCTTCCGATTTGGGGCTTCCAGATATACCGCCTTCATACGTTTGACCTGAGATACCATCAGTTTAGACTTTCGGGCCGTTGAAATGGACTCCCACATGTAGAAAGGTATTCTGGCAACCCGCTCAGAAACGTGTCATGCCCAAATTCCCGTGCTGGTGCATCCGGGGGCAGTTCAACCGGAAGTCCGAGTAGCGCCAGCATCACCAATGCACAATATGCGCCTCTACTTGCCGATTAGCCTAAAGAAACCTCTCGCCATGCGAGAGGTAAAACTTACCGAACGTCTTCTTCGCCTCCAAGACAGACTTGAAATCCACCATCCGCCTGCTTCAATTGCCCTAACCACTTCCAGCTTTCAAAGATATTAGCTCAAAACCAAACACGAGGTCACGCGAGAGATCCTAACTTACATTGCTACCCGGTCAACTAGCTCCAGCGCTTCTTGTCCTCCTACCATAGCAAGGCTCAGGATAACGGCGTATGACGATGCACAATGCGACATTTGGCCGTGTCCCCCGCCAAAGCCTCCAGTGCGATTTTGCATGGGAAAAATCGTCGATATGACTCTGGTAGAGAGGCGAGTTAGACAGGGCTCAGACAACAGTAGCATCGAACATCTCAAGATAGAAGACAAAGGATTCATATCACTCCAGCGCAGCACTGATAGCAGTACTGGCCAAATAGAAATGTAGACCGACAACATATCAACTTACCGCCTTCGAAGTTGGGTCACATCTTCTCCCAAAAGATATAGCCCAATAAGCGCCCAGTAGATCATCCATGGACGACTCGCATCAAGAGCGGCAAACCCGCTTGGATAGTCTTCCAGAGCATCATAAAGATAAGCGACGTGGGTTTCTCTGTACAGACTGGGTATGCCATGCTCATTGAACGGGCCGTAGAGCGTATCAGACACGCCCTGCAGAAACGGCAAACACGTCTGAACGGTTTCTTCCTGGACCTGAGAAGTCTTGGTCTCCAAGGTATCACGGATCGCGGGAAGCCGAGTAAAGAGATCCGGGACCGCCTGCGGCGGAGCGTATTCATCTGTCGTGGCCATTTTCTTCTTCGATGGGTGTGCGTCTGGGCGGGGTCGTGGTGGGCGCGCTTTGGCCGTGCCTCCCGATGGTTTTGGCGTGGATTGCTTGAAGGAAGGAAATCGAACCCGTCGACGGAGCGGCCTGGCGGGCCTTACGCCGCCATACATGGAAGAGATAGGTTCATATACTCCGTGATATGAATATGAGAACTAGCACCTATTGTTCTGCGCGTTTTCTTTGTCGCAAGGATAGTTAACTAGTTTGCCTATTGTTGTCGGGTTTGGAACACTGCACAATCGTGTTGTGTTTGCGAGAACCATGGTTCTTTTTGCTTACCAGGCCAAATAGCATCCGAAACCAGCAAGTTGACAAATGTTATGTCTTGATGAGGGCCTTCAAGTGCCTTCACTTCCGTTCATAGAATCGAATGGACTCGGTCTCATCTCTGGCACTTTCTCATCCGGTAGAAGACCATGCCGCTTGAATAGAACCATGACCAGTGCGAAGGGCACATATCTACAGTGCTCATTTCTTCTCTCCGCTTAGAAAGAAAATATAAAAACACCCGAAAGAAATGGGAATCGCTGGGCAGTCGGAAGTATTGTATTTGATAGTATATCGCTGTCTCAGATATCTACCAAACACTACTACCAATGTGTTTTAACTCCATCTGATGCAAGACTCTAACAAGAAAGAGATGCTAGCGCATGCTGGCCATCCTCTCTTCACTAGCAGGCAGGGCTCCCGAATAAATCTGGGCTACAGAGTACACTATTTGTCTACACTTGATCGTGGACTACGGAGTACTTGTGGTCGTCGAGAGCAATAGTTATCGCCCAAATGATTATTTTTCGACAGTCCCGCCATGAATGCCGAAATTCCGATAAAAGTATATAAAAAAGAAAAGGTAGGTGAGCATACGGTGTTGGACGTTATCAGTCCCGTTATTGCCCTTCAAAGGCTTTTGGGGGGCTACACAACCGTCTGGTGGTAACTCTGAGTGATGGGACATACCTTCCACGAAATCAATTAACAGTAACGTCATCTGATATATACCGGGACTGCAATCGAGCATAGCGCGCCCGATGATGTCAAAACGAATGCCATATTGTCAGATTTTTGTCGGCCCGAATTCTTCCTTCTGCAAGAAAAGGCAAGATCAGGCTTTTCGTCCACTTGATCTCGCTTCGGCTATTGTGGTAGCAATGAGCACAGGGCACTCCGTTACGCATGGTGACATTGAGGTCCGTGTTGAGGGTCGATTTTGTTCTGGACGGCCTTGATAAAACTTGTTTCGTATCACATATCAATGCACAGTTTTCAATGGAGAAAGGGGGGAAAACAAGGTAAACCATTCCCCGTTCCCCGAGCGGCAAGCCAGCTAAGCATCAGTATCAGCATGAAATAACGCATGGACTGCTGGTTCTTGACTGTGGGTTAGGGGGACGGGGAGAAACGACGAGCAAAGAACCCAATAGTGAACAACCGGACAACCCCGCCTGATCCTGGGAATAGTATTCATGACCAGAGGTGCCCCACGTCGTAAGGCATGTCTCAACAAATTTCATTGATAGCCGGCAAGATGCGGACCGTGTGATTGCATGGTAGCCAGGCCAAGTCAAATAGATGTATGTATGTGCCATAGCGGGTACTTTGCGATTGACAAGCATGACAAATACTGCCAATCAATAGCACCTAATAGGTCTTGGGTTTCGCAAGGAAATCAATAGTGACCTTGGGTAGAGTTGACTTGTCGAAAAACAAGCGCTTAGCAGCAGAGAATTATCTTGCCCATCGACAAGACTCATGTGTAAAGAGGAATGCATACATTAGTTAAAGGGAGGGCTAGGGCGGAAGTTATGGTCACTGCGCGCCCAGGATTCCCAAAATAGTAAGCGATGGGAGAGCTCTGATGGGAACCAGGGCGGGAGGAGGAACAGTCAGCATTCCAGCACCAACATACGACTTGCATGGCGCCACCTCTGATTGGCAGTCAGTGTCTGGGGTTGGTAATACGGAGGTGCAATTAGCCAGAAACGCCGGGAAACGTGCGAAATTCGGTGGTTTAAAGCCTGGACACAACCGGTCAAGGCTCCCAACGGACAAGGGCGCATCACTTTTCTCGTATGTACTGGAGGTACTCCGAATGTGCATTTGGACTGCTCCACAGGAGGCATCATCATGGGCCTGGTAGTGACGAGATGAGACCATAGAGCCTCGCCACAGCATTGTGCGATAGTGCGTAGTTTTTCGCGTAAGCCTAGAGAGGCGGTCAATATCTTGCTCCGACGGAGAACAGAAGGAGGCAGCGAGTTCTAGGCTAGTTGTATTCGCCAAGGCGCGAGGCAGCACACAGTGTTCGCCCGAAGATTTCGGCAAAGGCTGCCAGGAGGGGTCGAGGTCCATCTTTTCGCCTTTTTTTCCCAGCCTGCTCCAGGGTCCACGATGGCACAGCGCTGGCCAAGGTCTCTCGCAGCGCATGGGTGTTAGCGCCGCACGCGGCCAACCCAACATGGCGCGCGTGCATACCTAGCATCAGTCATATCGTTCGGACGGCAAAGGCTTGGAGGGGTTGTATCGAGTCGTGAGGGCGGGCGGGCGTGGGCCGCGAATCAAGCGGGAGTTGGGCGAGCCAGGCAGTGCCCATTGCGTAATGGCGGGCACCACTCTGGGGCAGCAGCCGGGCCCGAATAGGCATAGCCTGCAGGAAGCGGCATCGCCAAAAATGGATACGTCCTGCTGGAAAAGAGCAGATCGAGCGGGCGAGGAGGGGGAGCTGCAGTGTTCCGATCGTCGAATCGGATGATATCGAGATGGCGGGGCAGCAGGACGCAGCAGAAACACCACCCAGCCACCGAAATTATCCGTGAGGAGAGCTTCCACTAGTTAAGTTTTCTGGATCCGAAACAAACAGGGAGTGCGAATGGGTGTCTCTGAAGCCGGGGATCGGGGGGAAGGGGGCGTCCCCTGTCGGAGATGCAAGCAGGCAACTCTGTCTTTGATGCCGTGCGTTCGTGCAGAACAGAGCCCTCAGTCGACGGCAGAATAATGAAATGGTCGATGCAGGATGTATGAAAGCGCATGCATCCGTCGCCAGAACCGCCGTCGGGACGGCGTTGCTGGCTGTTCTCCCGCCCAGAGCAGACCGCCTGATCTCAATAATCATGCAGGCAATTTAAACCCCACGGGAGATGACCAGCATATCCTGGGTCGGGCGAGAGTTCTGGCAGGCCATGGAAAAGACTTGGGATCGGAGAATTTTGAATTTTTAGCGACAAGATCGAGGATTTTCGCTTGACCTGGACGAAGCTCGCGTTGGATCCCAACCCATTCCGCGAGCGGCCTAGCAGTAATTTAGGGCCGTATGGGCTAGTACGGATCTCTTCCCTTCTCTCTCGCTTTCTCTCTGCCCCGGCATTCTTTGACGTGGCTGCCGGGCTTCCCCAGACCTCAGCTCGGTTGGGCACCACAGGAGACTGCCGCAGATCATCATCTCCCGCGTCGGGACGCACCAGTGTAGCGGACCAGCCTGCTCGTGAGCGTGCAGGCGGAGGGGAACCATCGACAGGCGACGACGCAGACGGGCCAGCAGTGCTGGTTCGGACGAGAGACGGGCGGCGGTATCGACGATACGCTCGCTGGCAGGAGCGGGTATTTGGGCTGCGCGCGATTCGGGATGAGGCCTGTTGCCCCATCAGGTGACGGTGGGCGTGGTGGTTGGCGCGCGGGTGCGTGGCTCAACCGCGGCACTGGCGGGCAACGACGATCAGCGCGCCCGCGCGCGCCAAGGGGCAGCGGGCGGTTGGCCGTTGGCGCATGTGCGTGTGCTGGCAGCGCGCACGCAGCCAATGAGCGGCCCGGCGTGGCAGTTGGCCAGCCTTGCTCCAAAGGCTTTTTTTCGCTTTCCGAGCGGGCGCACAGCCAGACGGCAGGACGGGCGCGGGACCGCCGTCGGGCGCTGGGAGAAGAGGGGGGGAGCGGCGGTTGGGAGGAGCCGGTGCGGCGAGTGCTCGCTCGCCGGCCAGTTAGACTAGCTAGCTCGCGCGCCCGGCACAGCGCAAGCGCAGGACAAGCTCGCCGCAGCAGCGGGAGAGCACGGCGGCTGGTCTCCAGCGTCGCGCGCGCGCATTGACGCCGGCGCACGCCTAAGCCTCGGGTGTGCCGGGGGCTCCGTTAGGCGTGGCTCCAGCGCCCAGCGCCCCCCTAGCCGCCCCCACCGACGCCGGCGAACCAGAGCCCGCGCCGGCTCACCGCCAATCCGCCTCCCCACGCTCAAGTAACGCACACGTCCCCCCTCCCAGCCCGTCTCATCCTCCTCTCTCTCTTCCTCTCGTCTTTGCTTCTTCGCTGGTCGGGCCCCTTCGTTTTCCCAACAGCTAGCTGCCCGCCGTCCGCTCGATCCATTCGCCGTCGTCGCTGGCCTTGCCCGTCGCCCTTCAGCTGCTCACGAACCGCCCGCCGCCGCCCCCTTCGACCATCGCTGCTGTTTGCTCCAGTTGTTTCTCGTGATTGTGTTCCGCTCGCCAATGCTGTCCGCTGCTGAGGCATGACTGAGGTTAAAATGTCCGCTGACGGGATGATTGGCCTCGACTACGACCCCCGGAGATTCATCTCAGCTCCGACATGGCCGCATGTGGGCATCGACCAGACCTCATCGCAGCACCATCGCGCCGACGGTAGGAGACCCGCCGCCTCGCCGTTGCACGCCAGCTGCCATGCCTTCGGCGCCGTCGCCCCTGACCACGCCCTGATCTCGGACTGGGGCATCCAGCATCTTCAACCGCACTTGCAATATGCTGCAACGCAGCCTGCGTCCCTGGAGACCCCGTTTACAACGGGCTATCATGTCTCGTTGCAACCCACGCCCATGGACCTGATGCCAGTCACAGAGCATCTCGACTCGGGCCTGCTAGGCGGGGCCTACATGCCGCTGGCGAGCGCTGTTGACGTTGTGCCCTATACGTGGCATGACTTCCAACCGGACATTGCGTCTCTCGCGCCTATCGATGGCCTGGCAGATATGTTTCAATCACAGCATCTTCCTGACACCAGCTCGCCCACAGAGACGTATCTGGAAGTGAGATCGTTGCCTAGCACGGCTAGCGACCACAGCTGGACCTTGATAGATGGCCAGCAGTCTCTCGATTCATACCAGGACCGCAGTGTCTTTGTCAACCCTAATCAGACGTTGCACCATCGAAGCCTATCGGAGTCGTCGTACTCTGACTTGGACCACAATCCAAGAGGTTCACTAGGCAGCTTTGTGGATTTACCGAATGCCATCAACTCGCCCAGCTCGGAATCCAACCTTGAATCGGAGTATCATGCCTTTCCCAGAAGACCGTCCACAGATATCGTTTCGCACGGTTCGTCGTCGCCGCCAACGGCCGCCGTCAGCCCTCTTGCAGTATCTCGACCAATTCCAGTGCTTGCTAAGAAGTCAACGACCACGTCGAGATCGCCAAAACAGGCTGCAGGCTCTCCGCCATCCAGGAAACCGTCACGCAGAAGCCCCATTGCGGCCAAGAACACGGACACCAAAGTCCGAAAGCAGTCAGACCCAAACAAGCCCGAAAAGGAGAAGCGTGTTGGCAAGCGGAAGGGGCCTCTGAAGCCAGATCAGAGAAAACAGGCGAGTGAGATTAGGAAACTGCGAGCGTGCCTTCGTTGCAAGTTCTTGAAGAAGACGGTAAGCTTTTGGAGGCTCGGCGAAAATTACATCATCAGAAACTAACATTACTGTTTAGTGCGATAAAGGAGAGCCATGTGCGGGATGCAAACCTTCCCATGCAAGACTTTGGCAGGTCCCGTGCACCCGTATTGATATCAAGGAGATTGGCTACTTTATGAAGGACTGGAAAGCTGACTACGAACGTCACATCACACTTGGCTTTTCTGTTGGGAACATTACGGGGTTTTCTGATGTCGAGCGGACTCTGTTTATCACCCACGGCTATGGAGAAGTTCTTCCTGTCAAGGCTCGCGAGGTGTACGTGCGCGATGAAGAGTGCTTCAACATTGACTGGGTCGAGTCGCTGAAGCGAAGCCCCAACACATACGAGTTGAAGACGGCGAAACTTTCGGCAGGAATGGAAGGCATATCTACTGCTATGCTCTCGGACTATCTCGACAGACACATTGATGGAAATGGCAGCTTTGAGAAGTTCGTCGATGATTATTTCGGTGGCACGCCCTTCCTCACCCAGATGCTCAAGACTGCATTCCGCTTCTATTTCCGCACCAAGATGCCAGTCATCCGCAAGGCGCTCAAGCTCATACTGGCATACAATCTCACACTACACGTCACTATGGTTGAGGGGCTTGGCGATTTGGAGCATTTTGTTGGGAAGATCGAAGACAAGACGTCGATATACAACGGCAAAATCATGGCTCCGGTCATGATTAACTTCCAGATTAAATGTGCGTTGGCCAACATGTGGCGCGACTTGCAGAAGGACGTCTTGGAAGAGCTATCAGCTCTGTACTCTAGCGTCTACAGCGGAGAGAAGCTCAAGAACTGGCCAACAATCTTTATTCTGGCTTCGATACTACTCGCTGTGTGGGAAGAGATGCAGTTTGATTGCCATTATCGTGTACCTGTAAGTAGTCTTTTGTCCCATGCTTGTCTGACGCGTCAATACTGAGCAATGCCGTTCTAGGATGCTGCTGCCGTCAAGAAGTTTTGCTCCGACATGGAGACAACACCTGTTGGTGTCATTATCGGCCTCTTCCAAGCAATCTCCCAGAAGCTTCCTGCATTCACGGACTGGAACTCCCAAGAACACCACCACCTCCTGAACTCCAATCCTGATGTCTGTAACACCATGACTGAAATTCGGGAGCATGTCCGCCAACATGGTAAGCTTCTATTCTCGCTGCCTCTATGTCGACCTGCAGATTGCTAACGTAAATCACCAGAATCCTACCTCCGCACCCGTGCCAATTCCAACTTTGACCGCAGCGACTTTGATTGCTTATCCAATAAATTCCTGTCCCGGCTCGTTTTACGCGCAAACCAGGCAACCCGAGAGGTTGTCCATGCATCGTGATACGATAACTACCCCGGATATATGCTATTAACGGCCTCTTGATTCCAAGCAAGCATTTCGTCTCACCTTAGACCGATGAGCTACGACCCATGACTATCTATGACACAAGAGTACGCTCCTATTTGCAAACGAAATGAAACGAGGAAACGACAAGCGTCTGTCTGCGTTTTTGATCCGTATAGCTTTCCGTCACTCATTTATATTTCCTTTATTTTTTTTAGGTTTCCTTTTTTTGAGTACAGCGATATTTTTCCGCCATATTATACCTATTTTGATTTTTTTTTTCTTTTCCTCTGTTTGTGCACTGCCGTTGGTTTTGACGTTTCGCTTTGTTTTTCATGCGACAATGGAACGAAGATGATGACCACGATTTAACGACTACGCGACGCTTAGTATTTTGCCATCGAGACATACAACACATGCACAGAAAAGCCGCCCCAATTATCAGACAAATCAACGACCCTTCGGGGCGCTCAAATTCAGAACACAGCACCGATTGTGACAGGCGCACCCATCTTCTTCTAATGTTTTTTTATCATTCGTGCTATTGTCTTTTTTTTTTTTTTTTTTTTTTTTGGTTTTATGCCATTTTTGGATCTTTCATGAGTTGGTTTTCACAGAACTAACTCTTAAAAAAATCGTCATTTTGACCTGACTCTTTTGTGTTATTTTTCTGCCCGTCTGCACTTTGCATTGCATCCTAGGTGATGTATGTATTGATCCGGTCTATTCTTTGGTTGTCCCACAGATATTCTGGCAATACAATATTGGGGGCGAAAAAAACTTTGAACCCAGAGTTTTATACATATGTACTGTACATTTCACAAGTAATTTAGGAATACTGTTTTCCTGTTTTGCTTGCCGATACTGGTGTTGTGTACGATCGACTCTCATTTTCCACGCCAGTCGCCCAAACAGCACCGATTTGTGTTCCTTTTTCTTTTTTTCTTTGTATTAATTTGGTCTGGAGGGCGCGCGAGGGATAAAGGTACGGGTCAAGAGGGCGATTTTCCTTTGGCGATTTGGAGAGACATTTTTGTAAACAAGTTGTTAGTAACTACTAGTTTGAGATCCAATCTCCCACACCATGGGAACGTAATGGTCCTCCGAATATTCAATAACAACACTCTCTAGGCATGCAGCAGACGATCCGGCCCTAGCCACCAGCGGCTAGGTGCGTTTGACCTTGAGCTCCTCCAAAACACCTTGTGGGAATAGCCTTTTTGCAAATCGTCGAGATGTCGAACAAGCAAGCGATTTGAATGGGAGTCACCCTGTTGGCACTCTTAGTCCCGCCTGCAGTCTAGGCTAACGCGCGATCCATGACCGGGAGCTGGCAGGACGAAAGTAAACATTTTTGTTCGCACGCCAAAACACATGCTCTGATGCAGAATGAAGCGTTGAGTGCTGAATCTTCAGTGTTCAACCATGTTGATATAACATGGCAATCGCGCGATGTCACTTGAATGACGCAACTGCAGGTGACTCAGCTCCGAGACCGGTTTATTACCCTCAGCAGGCTTGGGGCGTGTCTTGTTTTGTCATGTGTGCCTAGAAGGTTCTCGCGGGTTCCACCTCTAACCCTATCTGGCACACTAACAGGGGCAGCTGCCGCCGTGATTGGCGAACGCGAGAAAAGCCCCATTCGGCGATACTGCCCGATACCGCAGGCGGAACCCCCGCTGCTTCGCCTCCCCTCACCTCCGTGATCCTCTTTGCCGCCAGCCTACTTAAACCCGCCGCCGCTCTTTCTTCCTGCATCCTCACACCATTTCTCACACCACCCTTGCTTCTTAGACATTCTGTGCACGGCCTGATCCCTTTGAACACCTTCCTGCCCTCCCTCGCCCTATACACTGGTGCCTGAACTCCATTATGCAGATCTTCGTCAAGACCCTGACTGGCAAGACCATCACCCTTGAGGTCGAGTCCAGCGATACCATTGATAATGTTAAGACTAAGATCCAAGACAAGGAGGGCATCCCTCCAGACCAACAACGCTTGATTTTCGCTGGTAAACAGCTTGAAGATGGCCGCACCCTCTCCGACTACAACATCCAGAAGGAGAGTACCCTCCACTTGGTCCTCCGCCTCCGTGGCGGTATGCAAATCTGTAAGTTTGTCGCCTTGATGGGAATATCACCACAGTGTGCTAACACGTTTGGCTCTCAGTTGTCAAGACTCTTACTGGCAAGACTATTACCCTTGAGGTCGAGTCTTCTGATACCATCGACAATGTGAAAACCAAGATCCAGGACAAAGAAGGCATCCCCCCCGACCAGCAACGATTGATCTTCGCTGGTAAACAACTCGAGGATGGTCGCACCCTCTCGGATTACAACATTCAGAAGGAGTCCACTCTCCACCTTGTCCTTCGTCTTCGCGGTGGTATGCAAATTTTCGTAAAAACCTTAACCGGAAAAACAATCACATTAGAAGTTGAGTCTTCTGATACGATCGACAACGTCAAAACAAAGATTCAAGATAAAGAAGGTATCCCACCAGACCAGCAACGCCTAATCTTCGCCGGTAAACAACTCGAGGACGGCCGCACACTGTCTGATTACAACATCCAAAAAGAGTCTACCCTCCACCTTGTTTTGCGGTTGCGCGGTGGTATGCAGATTTTTGTCAAAACACTTACCGGCAAGACCATCACATTAGAAGTTGAATCTTCGGACACGATTGACAATGTCAAGACAAAAATTCAGGATAAGGAAGGTATTCCACCCGACCAACAGCGCCTCATCTTTGCCGGCAAGCAACTTGAAGATGGCCGTACGCTTTCAGACTACAATATCCAGAAAGAGAGCACTCTGCACTTGGTTTTGAGATTGCGTGGAGGAAACTAGGCATCTGTATATATGGTGTCGAATGATTGGCTCCTCACTTTTTATGTGGTGCATTGGTTGGTACGGCGTTTGTGAATACAGCTTTTACGGTGTATAATTCTGCATTCATGTGGCTGTGATGACTTTCTCTTATGACAATACTACCTAACTCAGGTTACGGTCGATAATACCCATCCTTATTTATCAAATCAAGATACATATCTGCCTAACACCCAGTACCATCAAATAATTACGTCTATGATCAGCACCTTGTTGTCTTGCTTTGTGCAGTCATTTTTATTTCCTATGCCAGAACTATAACTTTTCTGAGTTGTAAGATCAACAATAATGTTGGAAGACCCGTAGACTGTATAGATCGTATGACGAAGATGACAAAAACTCTTGAAATTAGTTGAATAGCAAGTAAGGGAAATATTACTTGTAGGTAACTACCCTGTACTTCGTACTTTAATTTGATCATTGTGAAGGTTGAAAGCAATGGAATCAAACCAAAAGGAACTGACTAGTCTACTTTTGGTTAATTAGCTAGTCAGCTGATTGACGGAACAATATTTATCCGAAATTCCGATTGGTCTGACCCATATCACATGACTGGAAGTCTGGGCCCTAACGGGTAAGGGCTATCGTCAATGAATGAAGAAACTCAATATCAACAAACCTCGAGGTTCCTCTCGCACCCTCTAGGCTGGTTGATAGCTTTCAAGGAGCGGGATGATGTGATGACCTGGCGATATGCCCTCCTACTTCTACAAGATTTGCCTTGAAGTCCTACAAAACGCCTCAGACAGCAGCTGCACCAGCTCAGCCACTACTGACACAATATATAATTCGCTACGGCCGTTTTCCAAACAGCTGAGGTTTGGACACTCAAACCTGATAAATCATTCATCTCTTTCAAACATTAATTACAGCTCTGCAACGAGCGAATTTGGCTTTACAAAAGATTCACAGTATTCCCCTTCCGTTAGTACTAAGGGCTTGCCAGCTCCTTACTCTACCGTACACTCAACGAACCCTACCAGCGATAGGCGCGCCGATAATATATCCATTGGCGGCATCGATATGGTTCCAAAGCCAAACGAATGCGACTTGAATGCTCCGGAAGCTCGTGGTGGTGCTGATAACAATCAAATAGCAAAAGGTATTGGCTCAAGTGCCATTGGGGGCCTGGCTACAAAGGGGAGATATGTTTCTCTCGATCAAAAGGCATCAGGTAGCGTATGGGGCATCATTCATCTCTTTCGTGAAGGCGATCCTACTCCAGGTCTTTCTCGAAATGATGACGACGATCCATACTTCCTGAAGGGCTCTTCTGTTGCGCGAAACACAAAATCATCAGCTTCAAAGAATCCCAGATACTCAGAAAAAGGAGCGGATGGCAAAGGGCCTGGTTTGCCTCTTTCTCTGGAGGACTGTACTACTCTGTGCATTCTGGCTGTCCCTTCATATATGTATCCTTCGGACTTCATAGGCTGGGTTGGCCAGGAAACGCAGAATGAAGTCAGCCATTTTCGTATGATCCGAACTGAGAGACGGAACCGTTATATGGTTTTAATGAAGTTTCGGAATGGTCGAAAGGCCGTCGAGTGGCAAAAAGAATGGACTGGGAAGGTGTTCAATAGCACAGAGGTGAATCTATTTGAAATGTCCTTGTATTTTCTACAGTCGTTACCAAATAAAATTCACTATGGAACACAGCTGATATCCAGTTTTGCTATAGCCTGAAACATGTCATGCGGTATTCGTGAAGGATGTCGAAATTCTGACACCACAAACCTCACCAGATACGAAGTTTCCAGACACTAATAATGATCCATTTATTTCGCAAGCACAATCCAGCGCTGCTGCTGTAGCTCCGTTGTCATCTAAGCCGTTAGCTCCTCCTACGCCCTCACTTATTGAACTACCGACGTGTCCTGTTTGTCTGGAACGTATGGATGAAACTAGCGGGCTCCTCACTATAATATGCCAGCACGTCTTTCATTGCACTTGCTTACAGAAATGGAAAGGAAGTGGGTGTCCTGTATGTCGTTACACACAGGAAGATCTTGGGAAACGTGCTTCCACCTTCGGTTTTGATGAGGATCCGGCGGAGTGTTCTGTATGTCATTCTGAGGAGAATCTTTGGATATGTTTGGTATGCGGTAATATTGGATGCGGCCGATATGATGGCGCGCACGCGTTTGCACACTTTGAGGAAACGGAACATTCGTTTGTAATGGACCTATCATCACAGCGAGTCTGGGATTATATTGGGGATGGATATGTCCACCGAATCATTCAAAACAAGTCCGATGGAAAGCTTCTGGAGCTGCCGGCAGCTGACCACAGTGCTCTAGATCCACCAGATTGGGACGATGCCATCCCGCGAGAAAAGTGGGAGAACATGAGCCTGGAATACACACACCTTCTTACAAGCCAATTGGAAAGCCAGCGTACTTATTTTGAAGAAAAGGTTGAGCGGGCTGCAGATAAAGCGGCCCAAGCCAGTGCTGCCGCCTTGTCAGCACAAGAAACGGCAGAGAATATAGCTAAACAGTTCAAGGCATTGCAATCTGATCATGAGACACTTCTAAAAGAGACAATGCCTGCTCTTGAAAAAGACAAAGATCGGGCAGAAAGACGGGCAGAGAAATTTGAGTTGCTATCGCGCAAACTAGAAAAAGAGTACCGCGAAGAAAAAACCATCAACAGTAGCTTGATGGAGCGCGTGGGATATCTGACTAGTGAAGTCGACAAGCTGAAAACCGCTAATGAAGATTTGAGTGAGCAAAATCGAGACCTCACGTTTTTCATCAGCGGGTCTCAAAGGCTAAAAGATCAAGGCGAAGACGTGGTTGAAGGCACCGTCACTGTTCCAGAACCCTCAAAGACTGGAAAGAAAAAGAAAGGAAAAGGCAAGAAATGATTTGGGAAAAGATCGACTGCCAACAGGTTAATTAATTCATTATGGTAAAAACATCATATACAATTTACCAGTTTTTCGAGAATCCGGCGCGTTTTACGAGTTGAAATACCTTGATAGTGGGGTTTTGGGGAAAGGGGCTGGAGGTGTGGGTTGGCATTTCCTCAACGCCTAGGCGGTCTAGCAAAAGGGTCAATGCTAACGATAGGTCTTTATAAAATGGTTGGCTACCCAAGCATACCGCGCAGCCTTTGGCAAAACTTATTTATCCTAACCAATGAACAACTCCTATCATGCATGCATACGTGAGGTAAAGCGGAGGCGCCTGCAATGGGGCACGTGAGCTACTTCCGTCGTGGAGAGTTTGATGTCAATATTGTGAGCAAGCGATGAACTCAGATCGAAGTCTCGAACAGTCTACCCAATACAATACGGCCAGGTACGATTCCGATCGTAGTCTGATTTCGCAGTGCAGAACGAAACCATCCAATCCCGTCCTTGGAAACTCTTAAACAAGCTTCAAGGCGTGCGGCAGGTCTCCCGAACGCGGATGGCGTATCGGGTTGGGCGGAGAGGAGCGGACGCACCGGGTCACGGTCACCCCCACAGGCAGAAAAATCCACGGCAGGGGAAAATTTTCTCTTATTTGCAGCCACTTAATCTAGCACATGTTGCAGTCTCTCGTATACACCTACATAGAAACGTCTCTGTACACAAAAGAGTCGGGCCTTAGGCTACATCTCTGCCGTACAAGATGCCGGTTCCCGGGAGGAGGAACGAATGGGGGTGAAGACCAGACGAGACAAACCTGTTGCTTCTTTACTATTGGGCGGCAGCTCGAACAATGTATATAGTCTCTTAGACACTTTCATGAGTTGTAAGTCGATCCTTTCCTTTTCCGCCGAGCGCCCAGGCATTGAGCTTCTCTCTTTCGCCCGCAGAGAAGGTCGAGCCCAGTCCGTTTTTGCCAATGCTTTCCGCTCAAAAGTTATTTCAAATTTCCCGACGATAAGAGCGGCGGCGGTGGCTGGCCATGTTTCGAATGTTGTGCATGCACGAACAAGGCACGTGGGCGGAAGCGTTTCCGATATCGCGTGTCAAGCCCTTACTTTGCTGAGGACTGCTCGCTTCGTCAGCTCACGCGGAGAGGCCGTGAGTGCCATCCTGCTTCAGTAGTTGGTTGCTCCGCACAAAGTCCGCTCAGCTCCGGGGCGTGAAGGCGGCTCCGGAGGCGAGCTGCAACAGCGTCCCTCGAGCCTCCGCGATTGCCTGACTCGCGTCGAGGCCGCCGCCAACGGGAAGCCGCCAAGGCTGCCCTCCACGCAGCTTGGCGCTCGGCGGCCACTAAGGGCGGTCACGCCAAGAGCTCCGCCGCGTGGCGAGACACTGAGTGACGTCATTAGCGCTGTGATTGGTCAGTTTTGCTAATCGATCTGGTGGGGCGTTGCGGGAAAGTAGCCAATAGGGACTGAGTGGCCCGGAGGAGGTGGGGGGCCAAGATGGTGGAAAGCACGATGGATGGGTGCTGTCTCAGGAAGACCGAGTGGCCTGATAGGGCCTGTTAGGGGTCATCTGGGGCTGCTTGATCATATCTCAGTCAAAGCATGTGGTAGCATAAACCTCCAACACAATGGAAGAACAGGTTTGGGCCAGGTTTATTAAGGAGGGAACTCGTTTACTTTGGTGGCGCCCAAGGTTTCCTAGGGCCAAGCCTGGCATATGAACCCGCTGTGGTCCGTACCCTCCAACAGCTCGCTGGGTGGAATGAGCTTTGCCAAATAATGGAAGAAGCTTCTTGGCCAGCCTTGGGTCGCAGGAACTTAAAAACCTTTGGGCTCGGAAGCTATATATACCCGGATTCCCGCTCCGCCTGTGCAAGGTGTAGTTCCTAGAAACAGTCGCGTTCCCGCTAACGGTTCTTTTTTTCTGCACGAGAACTCACGGAGCAATAACCGGCGCCTATCCAGCCCGGAACAGCGGAGACAGATCATTGGTATTGCGAAGCTCCGATTCGGATTCTTCGATCACAGGTCGTGGCGAGTTCTCTCGTCGCCCTTTCGAAACCCGGCTCCCTCACTTTGTATTCAACACCACGCGAATGGGTTTATTAACCCTCTATCCCTTTGACCAGCAAAAATTAGACCACCCCTTTCCTCTCTTTGGACCGTCCTTCCCTTCCGCCTCCTCGTCATACGGGTAAGAAAGTGCAGACGAACAGTCAGATTTGTACTTTCCCCTTCCACTACCCTCCGAAAGCGTCGTTTATATAATTCGAGGATTCTGCGAAGCTTCATAACAGTGTAACAGCTGCGTGATGCATTCCTCCGGCAAAAATGGCTCGCCGGTTCAGGAGTACGAGCGACATCCGTTTCTGCTCTCTATCGATAATCTCGTTCCATTCCTGCAAACAGACCTGGAAACTGGTCTGACGGGCGATGCAAGAATAAAAGAACTTCAAGAAAAATATGGCCCAAATCGTTTGCTCAGTGAAGGCGGAGTTAAATGGTATACCTTGCTTGGCAAGCAAGTATCGAATGCAATGGTATTGGTAAGTTGTACATCTCTTCAGTACCCGCACATGTTGTTCCAAACCCTCAAACATATTATTTTCGCGACTGGTCCTACCAGTGCTTTCGCGTAGTACAGTAGTAGGCCAAGGTTTGTCTGAGGTGATGGTGGTTGTCGAAAAAACAAATTCTGTCCAATAAGAATATGCATGTTTTTTCTTTTGTTTCTCGTTCCTTTTGCTCTCAGAATATATCACTGCAAATCATCACTGGCATTATTACTCTATCATAGATCCGTTGATATGGCAGTTAGTAACCATTTCTGGGGGATAGGTACTAGTTCTTGCCATGGCTCTCGCCTATGGCGTCCAAGACTATGTCGAGGGAGGCGTTATCACGGCCGTCATTGTCGCAAACGTGCTCATCGGCTTCTATCAAGAATTCCAGGCCGAAAAGAAGATGGACTCACTTCGTTCTCTATCTTCCCCGTCTGCCACTGTGATCAGAAGTGGGCATGAAGTTACCGTTCCTTCTGGCGAAGTTGTCCCCGGTGATATTGTTCAAGTGAAAACTGGGGACACGGTGCCTGCTGATCTTCGCCTTTTCGAGGTGATGAACCTGGAATGTGATGAGAAAATCTTGACTGGAGAAGCCGTTCCAGTTGCAAAGGATGAAGAGTTTGCCACTGATGGAGATGAACTCGCCATTGGGGTGGGCGATCGACTAAATATGGCCTACTCATCTTCAACCGTCACCAAAGGCAGAGGACGTGGGATCGTGGTCTTTACAGGAATGCACACCGAAATTGGCAAGATTGCCCAATCCATGCAGGGTAAGCGCCGCAAACCCGGCCGCTCTATGTCCCGCAAGAAGTATGGCACTTTTCAACCTGTAAAAGGCGGCGCTCTGCGTGTTTGGGACCGGATTGGAAAATTCCTTGGATTGACTGAAGGTACTCCGTTGCAAATCAAACTGAGCAAGCTGGCATACTCGCTCTTCGGATGTGCCATCTTACTTGCCATCATCGTATTCGGCGTCAACAAATTCAATGTAACAAACGAGGTTGCAATTTATGCCATCTCCACAGGTAAATATCCCAAGATAACAATCTCAGCCTCTTTGATATAATAGCTAACTGTCTAGGCATTGCTATCATCCCCGAATCTTTGATTGCTGTACTCACCATTACCATGGTTGTCGGCATGACACAAATGCGAAAGCGTCGAGTTGTGGTGCGGCAGCTTAGCGCTCTGGAAGCCTTAGGAGGAGTGACAAATATCTGCTCCGACAAAACTGGAACTCTTACTCAAGGACAAATGGTCACACGAAAAGCATGGATTCCGGGTGTCGGTTTGTACACGCTGCATAAATCCAACGACGCCAATAACCCGACACGCGGCATAATTAGTCTCGGCCCTGCACCAGCATCCAAGCAGGAAGCTGAAGAAGAGCGTGAGCGCAAGCGAACCGAACAGGACCAACTTCGTAGTGCAGCGGGATTAAAATTCGATGTACCTCCTGAAAAGGAGGAGCGGGATAAGCGAAAGCAAGACGAACTACGGAACGAGAAAAATTCCTCTAACGATGAAGATGAGGATGACCAACCCGGAAGCGTACCTGATGTTGTTCCAGAGCTAGAGGCATTTCTAGAGTCAGCAGCATTGTGCAATCTGGCTAAACTTCGTCTTGATAATGAATCTAATCAGTGGCAGACTATGGGTGATCCCACAGAAATTGCATTGCAAGTCTTTGCCCACAGGTTTGATTTTGGAAAGCCAGTTTTGGAGAAGGAAAAGGGCTGGAAGCAGCTGTCTGAATACCCATTTGACAGCAGTGTAAAGCGCATGTCCGTTATTTATCGATGCCAGGAATCTCCCGAGACTGTTATTTTTACAAAAGGAGCTGTCGAGAGGATTTTGGATCTCTGTACATCTGTTGGACTTGGAGAGCACCAGGCCCCAATGGATGCCTCCACAAAGGCAAAAGTACTTGACCAGATGGGCTTTCTTGCAGAACAGGGATTGCGAGTGTTGGCTATCGCACGAAAGCCAGGACCAAAGGCGTTCGATCATCATATGGAGCTTCCGCGAGAGGAGGTTGAAAAAGACCTAACGCTTCTTGGCCTTGCTGGTTTATACGATCCGCCCAGGTTGGAAACTAAGGATGCTGTGAAAGGTAATTTTGAAATATCCCTTTACGCTATCATCAAAGGCTAACTTTCAACAGAATGTACCATGGCTGGCATTCGAGTCCACATGCTTACAGGTGACCATCCTTCTACAGCGACTGCAATCGCAAAAGAAGTTGGGATTATTCCCCGAAATACAGCTACTCTCTCTGCTGAAGAAGCCGCATCACTTGTCAAAACCGCTGCTGAGTTTGATGGAATGACTGATGAAGAAATCGACGCTCTTCCATCTCTTCCATTGGTAATAGCTAGATGTGCACCGGACACAAAAACAAGGATGATTGCTGCCCTTCATCGCCGAAAGCGATACTGCGCCATGACTGGTGATGGAGTCAATGATGCACCATCCCTTCAAGCTGCTGATGTCGGCATTGCCATGGGCATGGGTGGTTCAGACGTTGCCAAATCCGCTTCTGATATCGTGCTGACCGATGATAACTTTGCGAGTATTGTGAACGCCATTGAAGAAGGCCGCCGAATGTTTGAAAATATCCAGAAATTTATCCTTCATCTCTTGACCTCAAATGTTGGTGAGGTGGTTCTTCTTATCGTTGGCCTTGGATTCAAAGATAACACGGATGTCTCCATTTTCCCGCTTTCACCTCTTCAAATTTTGTGGATCAATATGTTGACATCGTCTTTTCCGGCTTTTGGTCTTGGTCGTGAGAAAGCGGATGCCGCTGTGATGCACAGACCTCCACACGATACCAAGAAAGGTGTGTTTACATGGCAGATAATTGCTGATATGATGGTATACGGATTGATCATGGGGTCGTGTACTCTCCTTACCTTCGTCATTATTATTTATGGTGTTGGTGATGGCGCGGCGTCCTTGGGTATCGATTGCAATCGCACATCAAGCGATGCTTGCACAACCGTATATCGAGCGCGTGCAGCAGTTTTTGCAGAGCTCACATGGCTTATCCTTATCTCCGCCTGGGAATTTAAGCATTTCCGAAACAGCATGTTTAACCTTAACCCATTCCGCGACCATAGTGATGACCGTGTTCCCTCATTCCCCTTCTTCCGTGATGTCTGGGAGAATCAGTTCCTGTTCTGGGCCGTCGTCATCGGTGCCCTCTCTGTTTTCCCCGCCGTATATATCCCCGGCCTTAACACGAAAGTCTTTAAGCATCAGGGCATCACCTGGGAATGGGGTCTGGCGTTTGGATCTGTTTTTGTCTTCATTCTTGGCGTTGAGGCCTGGAAGATGATCAAACGGAAGACAGGCTGGTTCGCATCGGGCGAGGACTATGGAGGCGTGGCAGCAACCGGCTTCAGACGACGCTGGCCAAGCCACGAATTGGGCCTGAGACAAGGATTCTTCACATTCGCAAAGACCTTGACTAGAGGAAGCGAAAAGAGCGTTGGTGTAGGTCTGACGAGCTCCAGGTCGAGTGTCAGTGGGAGGGAAATGAGCAGAGGAATTGCCGAAAACTCCAGATCAAAGGAACGAGTCTAAAGTTTATCATCATGGCGACTTCGGACGTGTGTTGTTAGCTCTGATAATTTGACTTTGAAGAGAGTGTGGGGTTGAAGCATAACGGGCTGTAGATGGCGGCCAATGGACCTGAATAATTTGATATCTCTATTTGCATTTGTCTGGTAAAATACTAGCTGTTGAATATACAAGCCTACTGTTTACAGTGAGCTTGACTTTATAGACGTCCAGCTTCCGAGCTTAGTCAGCATAGTTACCTGTCCGGCCACCAGCCCACATTGATACACGTGCAGATGTCCGTAAATATATTCGAATGCGAGCGGCAAATAAGGAGCAAATGGCAGTTCAAAAATGATTTGAGCCTTGTTCCTCTTTTGAGCTTAATTGTCGCTAGAAATCTACGGGTTGTACGTATGCATGAACGTGTTTATCTTAAAAAGAGCAGTTAAGGGTAGGTAGGGAATATATTGTAAGTTGCAAGCTCAAGATTATCCCTTTATAGAAGGCCTCTCCCAACAAGTCGCATACTCCCCGCACTTCAACACGTCTGCCCGTCGTCGACGCAGAATTTTCAAGGGCCCAAATCTCGTCGCTTTTATGAAAGGAACAAGCTCCGGATACGGAGGTACGGAAGCTGGGTATTTTGCTTCTGAATGGTGCTTGATGGACCGAGTCGTCCTCCGAGCTGCAGCCCAGTCTGCCAGGAAGCTCCGATACGCCGCAATGCATTTTCCTTCTTCTAAGGGAACAATTAAATCCCATTCTTTCATATCTTCGACTTTCTGTACTTCTTGTTCATCAAAAGGAACTTCTCTAAAATGATCGTCTTTGGTAAAAGTTTCGTAGACAGTGAATATGAGGCCATCAATGTCATTGCGCCTCTCTTCTTGATCCTCCGCTCCAATCAAACATGATCTGTCGAAATCAAAAATTTTCAAACCTTTGGTAGTAGGCTCGAATAGTATGTTTCGAGGGGCTATATCTTGATGCATAACTCCAAACCCAAGGTTTAGATCGTCAATTGCATCTGTAAGCTGTTTAAGCCAAGAGAAGTAGAAAGGGCGATCACAGGGGCCTTCACGGTGGTTTTCCCGGTAGTCTTCAAGGGTACCGCCTGGGATATACTGCAAGGTAAAACCAAGTATCTTTTTAGATACATCGTCAAGAACCACGCGACGGAATGTGACAAATGATTCGTGGTCACGGAGCGCTTTGAGAGTGTGTAGCTCCCTCCATATGTATTCGACCCGTTGTTGATAGATTGTGTATTTGAAAGCAACAATCTCACTGTTCCCATCACAACCTTTGTATTCCACAAGGTCTGTACACAGATGAAGTCTCTCTCTCTCAGTGAGCTGTGACCTGTATGCAATCTCCTGGTCGGTCAGAGGCCCTGGGTAATCTGGATACCTGAGCTCCCATGTTGGATCCTCAGTAGAGACCCCAATCAGCTCTCCATTAGCAGACACCTCTAAGGTATGTATGTCAGCACCAACTGCATCTGCATGCTGTTCAACAACCTTAATTGCATCTTCTTCATCAGGGAGGGCTTCAGCAGGGCCAGTTACCTGGAACCATCGCCGTAGTTCCCAATCGATCACTGCCCATTTATGAGGGCCTCCTGGCGTTAGGGCACCCTCGGGGCTGTAGAAGCGCCAGGACGGGGGAATCATCTCGAGTATTGCCGAGAAGCATAAGACAGCTGTTTCAGTTTGGATTAGCTGGCGCTGCAAAGACAAATAACTTGCAGGTCACATTCAATCGACTTCTCGTTCCAAACTGTCAAACGCAACTCAGGCGGGACAATGAAGCTTCATTGATGCAAGTTGTGAAGCAATGGATGTTGAGATGCAGCTTTTGATGAAGGCGCTAACTAATGCAGCATATTGCCTTCATGTCATTGGCTGCCGCTCAACACGCCTGGCGTTGTGGCTGACAATCCCGGCCCAAAGCCTCTGGTGAGGGGCTCTTTGGCCTGGAATTACCAGGGGACTAAATTCTCCAAAGCTGCAGTCTGTCCACTTATGTATGCACCCAAGCTTGCCCTGGCCCTCAAAGACGCATCTCATATTCGGTGCAGTTATGCTGTTGGTGGCGGGCATTGGATATGGATGCACCGGGACTAAATCTCTTTGATACGCCTCCTATGCATGATTGCTGTTGGTGTAAAAATCAAGCAGGCGGTAGAGCACAACCATATGTATGTCGGCACCTCGCCGCAGGAGAGATGTATATCGCATGAAAGATTATTCCTTGATACTAATTTTGGCAAATAAAAATTCATTTTCGCCCTCTGTTATTTATAAAAAGGACGTACGCCTCTTGCCTAACCTCAGGACCTTAGTGCATTCACAGCTAATTTTTTTCAATTCTTCCTATACGTCTCACTCACTAATAGCTAACCCACCGACGATGGCCCGTTCGAGTGAAATTCCGAGGATCAGCCCCAAGTTCATTCCCTATGCAATGAAGTTTCAACTCCTTAGACAACCTGATAGCCATTGCAAGTGCGGTTGGTACATATTTAACTCCTCCGTATGCGGCCACAAGTTCCGAAGAGTCTCATACAAGTGCGGGAGAAAGACTGGAATTACGGGGAGAAAACGATTCTGCGAGGTTCCCGCATTTCTGACCACTGTGGCCGTTGCTCAAATCGACCTTCCATGTCCGGACTGCTGAATCGGGGGTGACGAGAGGTACGTAAGTTGTGGCGTTGGGTGATCTCGAGTGGGAACTAATTGGGTTAGTACAGCCTGCTTGGTTCGCTTATACGTCCAGAAACATCCCCGCTTTGGAGCGCCATTAAGGAGATCACTTTAGTTTGGATAGCTGGATCAGCATGCGTAGCAATGTCTGTAGGAGTACGGGGTATGGTGTCTATAGTCTAGAGCTCTGATTGGCCACAGCTATGTTTGCTTGTTTTGCTCAGCGTACCTAGCGTTTGCAGTGTTTGCCTTGTTTTTATAGATACTCCATCCCATCCAGTTCTGACGGATGAAGCAAAAGCGTCGCCAGCCTAACAGCTGTAGCCCACCCACCGGCGTAGCTTCGAACATCATGTATGCGCTACGTGCTCCTGCTCACCCTCCTCATCTATTCTCCCACCACTAACATCGAGACAGACACCCCCTTCCGGCCCACGATGGCATCCGGCCTCCTCCCTTGCACCGCCGCTCACAACCTCTCCCGACTCCTCCACCATGTCCCGCGGCGCACCACCCTCCTCCGGCGACTCCTCCGGCAGCACTCCACCACCGCGACCGCTCCGTCCTCGGTCTCCGCCGACGAAATGACGCATTTCGCGTCCCTCGCCAGCAGCTGGTGGGACCCGCTCGGCCCGTCGCGCATTCTACACCTGATGAACCCGCTGCGGCACGAATTCATCGGCTCGTGCCTGGCTGACGAGCAGCCGCAGCCGCAGCCGGTGCGCAACGACAGGAATCCGGGACGAAGCTACCTCGACGTCGGCTGCGGCGGCGGGATCTTCGCCGAGTCGCTGGCGCGCACGATCCCGCTCCTACCGGACTCCTCGCCATCGACGCAAACAGACGCCTCATCGCTACTCGCCATCGACCCGTCGCCGACCATGATCGAGATCGCGCAGTCGCACGCCCGCCAGGACCCCACGCTCCACGCGCACCTGCAATCCGGCACGTTCACCTACCGCAACAGCACGCTCGAAGCGCTGCTCCTCCCCGCATCACCCACCGCCGCCACCCCGCCGCGCCAATTCGACATGATCACCGCCTTCGAAGTCCTCGAGCACGTCGACGTGTCAACATCGTCGTCGCCGCGACACTTCGTGCAGGCCTGCATGCGCCTGCTGCGGCCCGGCGGCTGGCTGGTCGGGTCGACGATCGCGCGCACGTGGCCGGCGTGGGCGGTGCACCAGGTGCTGGCGGAGGCGCCGTGGCCCGTGGGCGTGGTGCCGCGCGGCACGCACGACTGGGCCAAGTTCGTCGACGTGCGCGAGCTGCGCGGCTGGGCGGAGATAGAGGGGGTGGAATTGGCGCGGTGGAGGTGTGTGGGCGCGGTGTATGTTCCCGGGGTGGGGTGGAGGTTGGTGGCTGGGTTGGAGGAGTGGGGGAATTATTTCTGGGGAGTGCAGAAGGCGTGGTGATTGTATTATATGTATGGTATGGTGTTGTGTGGAAGATGAGGATAGTATGTATAAAGCTGTTACTACGATTCCACCGCATCCAGGGCACAGATAGCATTGACTAGGTACAATCTTGCTAACCATGCGTAATATTAGAGAAGAAAGAAAGAAAGATGATTGAAAAAAAAAAAAAAAGAAAGAAATGACGTATCAACCCTAGCACAGTTGGTGCCCCTCTATAATAGATATTCCAGACAGAAAGGAAAACAGGAGGGTCAATGGCATCTTCTCGTGAATCGTCTCATCCGGAAGGGGGGTAAGGTGATCACCAAGTTCTGCCAACACACCAAAGAGAGAGAGAGAGAGAGGGAGGGGGGTGGAAACAAGGAGACTGTGTACGGAGTGTGAAGCCCGGAACGCCCAAGCCCAAGTCTATGATGCGAAAACAAAGAAACGGAAAAAAAAAAAAAAAAAAGGCAAAGCAAAACAAAAAGCACTACTGCAAAGGAGGTGACAAAAAATACAATATTATGCGGGCATAGTATGTTGTATGTTGGGAGGCGGTGAGGCAAGGGATTGGAAACAAAGCAAGCAAACTGCTCCAAAAAATGCAACCACTAACTAGATATAAATGGGAGTTGAATAATGGGAACAAAGAAAAATGATATGTATGTGTAGGTGTAGAGATGGATAGTTTTTGTTGGGGAGGATTGTCGCAAAAGGTCCAAAATGCGATGTGGGAAAAAAAAGGGGGTTGTCGAGGGAGAACTAAGCCAAGGTTGGCTTTAACAAAAATATATAGCTAGATCAAACATGCGCGACCCAGGGCTCCTCGATCTTCGGCCGCAGCTCGTAATTATCCGGCTCGGTGCTCTGCGGGCGACGGATGGAGGAATTGGGGTAGTACATGTGGGCGGGCGCGACGAACGGGGGAGGATGAGGAGGAGGCGCAGACGGCTCCGGGTACGCGTACTCAGGGGCGGCAGCGGACACGGAGCCGGGCGAAGGTATGCCGTTCAGCGGGGGCGACGCCCAGCCGACGGAGGCGGCCAAGTGCGGGCTGGCACCGCCGCCGCCGCTGCCGCTGCCGCTGCCGCCGGCGACGCTGCTGGGCCGCGACGTGGAGCTGTGATTGGGCGGGGGCTCGAGGGGCTGCGGCGGGCCGTAGCCGCTGGGGTGCGAGGTTAGCGACGGGCGGGCGTGGTGCGAGAGCGAGAAGCTGGAGAGCGTGGGCGACGGCGCGGACGACGGTGACGCGCGTGGGCTGGGCTGCGCGTGGTGGTGGTGGTGGTGGTGATGGTGGAAGTCGCCGCGTAGGTGCGGCGGCAGCGAGCCGTTGCCCAGGAAATGATAGTCGCCCATCGGCCGGTGCGGGTTGAGCGGCGGCAGCTCGTGTTTCGGTGAGAGCGAGTTTCGTTGGGCCGGCGAAGGAGTGCCGTGGGCGGAGGGCGATTCGGAGTACATTCCATCGCCTGGGCGGCCCAGCTTGCCCTGTCGAAGGTTCGCCTCCGTCTCCGCGGCGGCTTCCTCGATCGTGCCGGTGTGGTGGTTTTGGTGCCGCGTCAGCGTGGTGCGGCGCGTGAAGGTCTTCTGGCAGTTGGCGTACGGGCACTTGTAGGGACGCTTCCCCGAATGTATCCGCCGGTGCCTGGCGAGCGAGCTCGAATCGCTGAAGGGCTGATCTTTTGTATTAGCACAGGCGATACTTTCCCAAGCCGCTAAAACTCGGCGCGCGGCGTCAAACGGCGAAAAAGTAAAAAAAAATTATAAAAAAAATGTAGAGATAAAAATACCTTTCCACAACGGTCGCACATATGGGGCTTCTCGCCCGTGTGCACGCGAGTGTGCACCGTGAGAGCGGAGCGCTGGATGAACTGCTTGCCACAGCCCGGCCAATCGCACACATGCGGGCGAATACCGCTGTGAATCCGTTCTACAATAGTAAGGATTAGAGCCAAGACTTGATCTAAGACAGCAGTTCTTCTTCAACTCACCATGTCTGGCCAGATCGCTGCGTCGCGCGAATCCCTTGGAACACGTTTGGCAGTGAAAGGACTTGGGCGCCGGCTCTCCGTTTCCTCTTCCGTTGGCGGTGCCGGGGACGTTGGGAAACATATTCTCCTGGTCGGGGGGGTAGGTGCCTCTTATTAATGGGGTGTGGTGGTTTCCCGAATGGTATTGGGAGAGATTGGGGAGCTGGATGGGCGGAGGGCTGGCAGAGTAGGCGAGGTGCTGGGCGGCGGCGGCGGGGAGGGGGTTGTGCTCGGAGCCCATGTCGGAGGGAGATCGCGATTTGAGATGCGCGGCTTGAGCGAACTGATGCTGCAGCTGGGCTTCGGCGGCTACCGCGACTGATGCTCGGTTTTTGTTGAGTATGGTGGTGATATCCATGGCCGCGTCGTAACGCGCGAACAGGGATTGTTGGGAATTTTAAAAAAAAAAAAGTATAATATATTCAGACGGTTCGTATACGTCAAGAGTTGCCCTTGGGTGCAGAGGAAGCCAGGCGCACACGACGACGTTGTCGATGCATATAAGGTCGAGTCTGCAGGTAGAGACAAGGCTTCTGGGGCTTCTGTGATGAATGAACAACGGTCAGCACCGGTGCAACGTTCACGCCTTGCGGTCAGCGGCGAGGCGACGACTCGGTAACACACAAGAGGGCTCAAGTGCCGGGCAGTCTCGATATGTCAAGGCCAGGGGCTAAATGTTTAAGCACGCAGGTATCGCAGATCCAGAACACTGGGAACCAGTCGAGAGCCAGCAACGACAAAAAAAGAAAAGAAACAAGCAAACGAAACCAGCAATCCTAACCGGAGGCTTACTCACATGGCGGATCAGCAACCGTCACAGTGCGACGCGGCAATCGGGAGCAGGCGCGCGCGCACAGGGAGAGGGCTATATGCGGGGAGGATGCAGGGGGTTTGGTGGTTGAGAGCAGGCCGCGGAGAACGGAGGGCAGCTGGTTCGCGACAGGCAAGTAGCTGGCTGGGTGGAGGCAGGGTTGGGCTGCAGGTTACGGTGGCGCCATGCGGCCTGGATAATAAACAGGAGAGACCAAGGCGAATAAATTGGGGCGGACGAAAAGGAGGGAGCACAGATGCGCGCTTGGCGACGCAGGGTAACGGTGTCGAGGGCGGCGGGCGTTTGGGGCGCGGAGAGCGCGGAGGGTATCGGCCACGGGAGGGTGCAGGAGGAGGGCCAGGCCGCGTGCGGGTGTTGGTGGAGGGGCCCTCTGCAGGCGGGCAGCGGGCGTCGCGGCGGTCGACGCACCGGGGGGAGGGATGGGAGCACCGGCGGTGATAGTGGTGTGACGGGGGCGTGTGCTACAGCGAGAGAGAGAGAGAGAGAGAGAGAGAGAGAGAGCGGGCGCGCAACGACCAAGGCCGGGCGTTGTTCACCGAGAAAGCCTTCGGGCTCCCACGCGCATCCCTTGCGGGCGGCCGACGATCTGCGAGATTTTCTGCGCGTCTGGGCGGGCTCGGGGTCGGGGGTGTCACGGACGGCAAGGCACGACGACGACGGGAGTAGTTGTAAGAAGAGACGAGCGGTGCCTGGCGGTCATTCATCAGTCATCGTGGGTGGGTGTAGGGAGTCGAGCTCGGCTGTATGCGCGGCGGGGAGAGAGGGAGGGCAGGAAGAGGAGGAGGAGGAGGAGAAGGAGGAGGAGGACAGTGCAGCAGCTGGTCGGAGAGCGGGCGAAGGATTATTGAAACGGCGGCGAGCAGGGCAGGGCAGGCAGAGCAAGCAAGCAAGCAGAGAGCTGAGCGGAGTTGGGGGATGGGTAGTCAACGCACCTTTGGAGGAGGAGTGGGTGGTAGCGGGCAGCGAGTGGTGATGCGAGAGGGAGGGAGGGAAGAGAGAGTGTGTGAGTGTGTGTGTGGTGATGCCAACCTAAAAAAATAAAAATAAAAAAAAGACAGGGTGGCGGCGCGCAGGACCAGCACACAGACACGACGGGCGAGCGAGAGAGAAAAAGAGCGAGAGCGAGAGAGAGCGAGAGAGATAGCGAGAGAGACAGCGAGAGAGAGTAGCGTCTGAGCGCGAGGATAGACAGACAGGGGCCGGGGCTGGCTTCGAGAAGGCCGCTGGAAGGCCCGGCGGGCGTGAAACAGGCCGCCGTGGTTAGTTAGTCAACGGCCTTACGCTTGGCATCCTTCGCGATCCTGGCCGCCGTGCAGCGAAGGAGCGCTGCGACGGTAACTACATAAGAGCATCATTAGTACGGAGTAGTTAGTTACTGGACTGCTGTTACTACTAGGAAGCCTTCTAGAAACCTCATTTCGGGCGGCCCATGTTTCACCTCTCCGATCCACGCGCTGCTGCACCGACCAGCCTCAGCCCCCGATCTTACTCTTCTTCTTCTTCTTCTTCCTTGATAATAATAATAATAATATAACTAACCATCGGCCGCCATGCGCCACGCCCGTCACGCCACCAAGCTGCCCAAGGTCCATTCTCCTTCTTCGATTCTGATTCCGCACCCTGCCAAGCACTCTCAGCGTGGACCGGTGCGTGAGGCTGCCGTTCTTCTTATTCTTCTTATTCTTCTTGTGCCATCCTTTGGGAATCGATTTCGCCCGTTCCTTCGCCCGATACTATTCTTATATCGCTTCAACGTGCACCGCCTGCCAACCAGCCAGAGTGGCTACGGAGTACATCCGGCGTATTCCACGCCCGTGGGGTCGCCTTGTGCGCCGTGAGACCGCTAACTAGTAACTAACCAACTAACTAGTCTTTGTCTGCCGTGCGCGCGACGTCGCCCGACGATCGACCGTTACATACATAGTTAGAAAACGACACAAAGCGACGGCCTGTTATTATACAAAGCCCTGTTTCCGCCCGCCAGGAAACGGGCCTGCCATGCACATACATACATACTTAGAGTTACCCCATGCTCCCTAAACGCGTCTTTGTTCGTTTTTTTTAACCTCGATGGAACATCATCCTCCCTGGCCCCCTTCCAGACCAAAAGAGAGGAGGATTTCGTTCTCGACGCGTCTCCTCCCCCTGCTAGTGAGAGTTCGCCGGGCCCGCCCCACGGCCTGAGTTCAATTCTTCCCCCAGCAGTCTAGCGGAACTAGTTCACTATCCGGCCCTGCGCCGAGTGGAGCAACGCGGCATCGTCGCGCAGCTCCAGGAATAATAATAATAATGCTAATATACTCCGTAATATAGTCAAGAAAAGGGGGGCAGTCGGCATACATGAATATTGATTTCCCCATCAGAGCGTACGTAATGAGAGGAAGGTATGTAGTTAGTCGACTAGTTATAGATATCTAGTTAGATAATAATAACCCAGGCCAAGTCTAAGAAGACTCAGGAAAAAAAAAAGAAAGACAAAAAGGAAAGAAAAAAATTCAATAATGCACAGGACAGGCTGCGTTCTGAACTCCTCGACAGCGTCCCCCTGTCCGCTTTTTTTTCCCAGCAGGCCGGCCGGGGAGGGGAAGGGGGGGGGGGCGGGCGACGGACGGGCCAGAGGGAGGAGGGTGAGCGAGACGACGACGGAGTATTTTGACTAGCTAGGTATTTACGGAGTACATACTAGACTACCGGCCAGGAAACAGCCAGAGCTTCAAGGCCGCCGCGTCTTCTGGCCGCCTTCTAGAAACCAGGGCCAACCATGCCCGCGAAAAGAGCCCGGTTCCACCGTGCGCCGCGCCGCCCCTTTAATTTGCGTGCACTACAACAACCACCACAACAACAGAATAATAACAATAATACGGGCGAAAACGAGAGTTGTTGTTGCTCCCCCCGGTTTGCGTGTTTCATCGTGTTCTACGACGAAAGACGAAAAGCAGAAAAGTAACTAATAAAAAAAGGAGGCATGCCGCCCTCTCTGGGCTGTCCCAGGCCGGCGGGTATCACCCCGTCGGTTTCGACCATGCAGCGAATGAATACGGAGTATTTATTAACTGTTAGACACGGAGAAGAAGAAAAAACAATGCCCCATCCTGCTGGTCGGTATGGAACGCCAAACGCACCCAAAACGCCGGACGGGGCCAGTCATGGCAGAGAGCACCACTAGATATGTACACCCAAAACGCTCGTGAGGAACCAATCAGCAAAAAAAAGAAAAGGAATCAAAACCCAATGTTTGGATATTAGGGAGCCCCCCCCCCCCGCTCAGAGCGAGCCGCCGGTCATGCTCTGACCACGGGCGGGAGCCACGAGCCGAGACGGCTTTGCCGCGCCCGCCGGCAGCCGCGTCGACAGAATGCCAAAGCGCAGAATGACCTCGGCCAGCGTGACGATGATGGAGATGAAGATCAGGACGATGATGATCCACGTCTGGCCTATAAGGAAGATCAACTTAGTATACGGAAAAAGGGAAGGGGGACCACCACACTTACGCGACATCTTGTTGTCGGCAATGGAGTCGGACAGGATCTCGATCAGGTCGAGGAAGACGCGGCAGCGCTCGTTCAGCACCTGGATGCGCGGCTTGATCTCCAGGTACTCGCGCACCGCCGTGTACAGCGGGTGCAGCGTCGGCTCGCTGTCCCAGAAGAAGTTGGGCACGTCGAGCATGTTCGACGCTAGATCGTAGTCAGCAGTAGTCATGATAGATAGGATCTCGGACGACGCACAGAGATTCACCTCCACGCGGCTCTTGAACAGCTTCCCCATGATGCGAAAGACCTCCTCGCGCTGCATGCCCAGGTGGCCCGTCAGCGCCAGGCGGCGCGGCACGTCCTTGGCCTCGGCCATCTGCTTGGCCATGACCTCCTCGAAGAAGCTGAGCTTGGTGCTCTGCGCGATGCCGTGGCTGATGGCGAGCTTGATCATGTGGTCGCCGCTGCGCAGCGTGATCATGTCGTTGTACACGCGCGGCCGCGAGATGCGCGTCGAGTACTCGAAGTGGAACTCCTCCGTCTCGAAGTCCGCCTCCGCCAGCCCGTTGGTCGACAGCGGCATCGGCAGCCCGTCCTGGCTGCACGCGAACGCCAGGTCCGCCAGCACGTCGATCTCCTGCCGCTCGCTGAAGTTCCAGAACACCACCACCCCGTAGCTGAACACGAACATCTCCGCGAACGACAGCGCGTTGGGCGGGATGCTGGCCGCCCGCGCGCGCCCGTGGCCCCCGCCGTCGTCCGCCCGCTCGCGTTTGTCGAAATCGTACAGCTGCTCTCGGCCAGACGGGCGGTCGTGGTGATGGCCATATGTCTCGCCCTCGCGCTTCTGGCTCTCTTTTCCTGCCGCTGCGTCATGATGGCCGTGGTCGTGATGGTGGTGGTGGTGGTGGTCTTGCACCGAATGCTCGTCCTGCTCCGCATAGTACTCGTCATGGTAGTCCCTCTGCTCGTTCCGCGCAATCTCCTCGTCCAGCACCACCTTACCCTCGGCGCTGCGGATGATGGGGCTGCTGCGGATGCGATAGCCCTCGCGGCCCGGCAGCAGCGGCAGGTGGTAGGCCGTGTACAGGCAGTCGTCGTAGAGCTTGGTGCGCGCGTCGTGCGACGCCTTGACGAACGCCGCCGTCAGGCTCATCTTGTAGCCCTGCGCCGTGCAGTACGCCGTCACGCGCGGCAGCTTCTCCGCCCGCCGCGCCTTGGGCAGCCGCTCCGCATAGCTCTTCGCCTGCTCGGGTGCCACCCGCCGCCGCCGCTGCGCCTCCTCCTCCGCCAGCAGCGGCGCCAGCTCGTTATCCACCGCGAAGTCCCAGCTGCGCAGCTTGCGCTCCGCGCTCACCCGCCGGAACTTCTCCTCCGCCGTCTCGCCCGTGGCCACGCCGCCAATCAGTTCCCCTTGTCGAGTCGCAGCCGCGCCCGCCGGCGCCGGAAACACCCCCCCCTCATCCCCCACCACCCCCCCCTCCTCCTCCTCTTCTTCTTCTTCTTCCTCCCCTCCGTCTTCAGTCCCCTCCTCTATCACCGTCTCCGGCAACAGCACCAACTTCTCACTAATCTTCGTCGAGCGCGGCGGGAGATGCGGCAGCGCCGCCAGCCGCCCCGCCGACCGCGGCCTACCAGCATCCCCGGCTCTCCCACCGACTCCAGCACCAACACCGCCACCACTACCACCGCTAGTGATTACAGCTGTGCTGCTGGCACCACCGCCGCCGCCGCCTGCCGCCGCGGCCGCGGCCGCAGCAACGGCGCTGATTCTCGTGGCGCGCGGGCGGGCGCGACCGGGCGGCGGGTGGCGCTGCTGCATGGACGGCATGTCGGACGCGTACTGCAGGACGTTGTCGACGGTGATGAAGCGCGCGGCGGGGTTGGGCAGGGCATGCGGGTTGCGGCGGTTGCGTTGGAGGTCGCGCGAATCGGTGACCTAGGGGTGGGAGGTCAGAAAGAGGGGGTGGATAAGACAAGGAAGATGGCTGTGGCTTACAAGGACAGTCGGGTTCCGTTTTCCCATCTCACTGCCTCCCTTGGGAGCGACCATTGGGAAAGTGTTGCGTGGTGGAGTTTGTTGTCTTTGAAATTGGCTGAAAAAGAAGGTTGCTTCGCCCCAAGAGGTTTTATTTTGGGCTTAGGGATGATGTCAACAAAATTAAATTTCGGATGAGAAGAAAAAACTAACAGATAAACAAGCAGAGAACTACTCAGAAACAGCCTCCTCACACACAAAGGCCTCCACTCAGCCTTCTCCTCGCCAGCGTTGAGGACAAGTGGCGCATCGTTTCGGCGCGCGAGGTTGCGGCTCCCCTCCCCCCAAAGCTGCAGGCTGGGCCGAAAGCGAGTTAGGGTCTTGGCGCGCCCGAGCTCTGTCCAGCACGCCGGGGCCGGTCCAGGAATATTATAAGGCCTGTTAAGCATACGTCCGAAAGCATGGGGTGCAGGATTGGGTTTTTAAAGGCTAGGAGGTAGTAGTGTATTATTTATTATTAGGATCATCGACGCAAAGGTCTTGGGAGATTGCAATTTCGGGCAATATTTAATATGCTCCGGCACATGTCACATATGGCATGATTTAGCTATCTGGTAAGGGGGGTTGACAGGGTAGTAGGTAGGTAGTCTCTTCTATCTTGCATCTTCTCCTTTTCAACATGGCATGCATGAAATTGCCATTATTATTTTGCACATTCAGAAACAAATAGGGAAATTAAAGAGCTGAGTATAACATGATGGAACAGGCTAATAACAACAAGAGACTTTGAAACACCAAATACAACCGCCAGATGAATGAACGAACATAGACCTTATTGCAGGATGGGGCATATATGTCATGAAATAGAAAGTGTATGGGTATTGTTTTGTTAAAAAAAACCAAATAGCCAAACCATTCATAAATCTCTTTTTTATTATATTTTTATTTTTATTTTTGTTTCAGTATGCAGAGGAAAAGAGCGAAAAAAAAAAAAAAAGACAGACAAATAAAAGGGGGAGGAGGGGGGGAAAGAAATCCTATCTCAATCTGCGATCTTCATCCCAAATCTCCTGTTTCATCTTCTCCAACCGATCATGCTGTCGCTCCAGCTTCAGCAGCTGGTGCTCCGGCGGCGCCGGGTGATTGGACAGGTCTTCATGTAATTGGCGGTACTTGGCGTAAAACTGCTTGAACTGCTGGGACTTTTCGCGGAGCCGCTGGCGCAGCAGCGCGATGCTCGTGGGCGGAGTCCGGTTGCCCGACGTGCAGTCGCTGCTGGACACCGTCGACGGCCGCCGCCGCTTGTGCTGCTGCTGCTGTAGGTCCGGGGTGCTGCCGGCGTGTCTGATCCCAAGGCCAACGCCGCCGCCGCCGTTGCGGATGGTCGTGGTAATCTCCGGGTCGTTTTCGGCTTTGCGCTTGAGGGACGCGGTCCGCTGGGCTGGCTTGGCGGCATTCGACATCGCGGGCTTGGCGCCCGCAGTGGCTCTTTGCCGGGGGTGCTGGAGCATGAGTGGAGACGACGAGCTGGACGACTGGTTGGTGCTGGACGGTCGGCTTCCGCTGTCTATATCGGATGCGTTGGTGGGCGGTGAGGAGCCCAGTGGTGACCGCTTCTGTGGCGACCGATTATTCGCTTGTTGCCATGTTTTCGACGCCTGCGATTTGGGTATTGGGCCATTTTCTGAGACCTTGGGTGTCATCGCGGGCGATTTCAACGCAGCAGACGGCTTACGCTGCTGAATGGCAGGAGACTTCTGACTGGCTTTCACATTGTTGGGTGACTTGGTGCGTGTAGGTTTAGAGTCGGCCATCTCAGCATCGTCATCAGAATCGACCACAAACTCGGCCGATTTGAACTTCGCATCCGATTTGGCGGCATTTTTCTTGTCAGGAGCCTTCTCCGTCTTTTTCGTAACTTTCCCTGCAATAGTAGTAGTACCCTTTGGTTTTGGAGCCGCTGCTCTTTTAGCCGTAGCGGCGGGCTTTTTCTTCAGACCGGATGGGCCGGGCTTCTTATTGGCAGCGGTATCAGCATCTGCTGGCGTGTTAGGAGTCGCCACGCCGTTCATCGGAACATCAGATTCATTTCCAGTGCCGGACTCTTCTTTGGTCTCATCTGGAGATGGCTGGACGTGGATACGGGGAGTGACGCTCTTCGGCGGAGGACAGGTGCGGAGGTTCAGACGAGACAGAACTTTGCCTTTGCCTCTCTCGTTCTTAGGAAGTAGCATCTGCCATAGTTTGTCCTGCTTGGAGAGCCTCATCCGATCGAAAGCAGAGATGGCATTGTCAATGGCCTCCTGGCGCTCGTCATCGGACGGATAAGGGAAGCTCCAGATGTCCAGGTCCTTGTAGACCTTGTCTCGGAGGTCGTATTTCTCTCTGTTCAATCGATTCTCGGTCCCGTATCTGCGGACCAGGGTGAGGCAGTCTTCCTGGGACGAGCGTGTCTTCTGGGCGAGGAACTTGACAGAGACCGGCCTGACGGCGAGCAGGTGAAGTAACGGCGTTCGTAAAGCTTCTAATCTGACTTTATCCTTACTCTGGGATACCGACGCAGACGTGGGCGTGAGGGCCGGCGACTGGGCGGCCAGGAAGGCGGGGCTGGCCGGAGAGGACCGACTGGCAGCGTTCTTGAAGAACTTCTCCTTTTCGATATCGGCCTTGCTGGTCGACATGCGAGCCAGGCTGGCGGCTTCTCTGCCGGTGGCAGTGCGGTTGTCGCCGGCTCGCAAGGCCCTCATCTGGTCGGCGGTGATGACGGGGGTCTTCTTGGATTCCTTGCCATGGCGAAAGGCACTGAGACTCTGCTCCAGGTTGGCCAGGGCATCGTCGGTCGCTGCGGTGGCTTCCTTCGCTCGCTGGACCTCCAGGCTGTGGCTGAAGATGCCGGAGAAGTAAAGGTTCTCTCGGGCGTCGAGCGACGAGAGGTAGAGCTCGGAGCGGTGGTTCTCGGGGTAGGCGTAGATGGGCTGGGCCTGGGCGCCCCAGAAGAGCGAGGGCTGTTTGCCCAGACGCACTCGAGCATTCTGGTCGTTCCGCAGGCTATCGAGCAGGTCATCGAGGGTATTCTGGGCGAGGTTCAGGCGTAGCACCTGGGCTGGTCTCTGGGGGGAGTCGGGCGGGCTGTCGGGTCGGAGGAGGCTCAGGCCGGCGTCGGGCACGGCGAGGGAGGTCATGGTAGGAAGGAGAGCGAGGAGAGCAGAGGATTAGGATGGGTAGAGGGTAGATAGCTGCAGATCAGCTAGGCAGAGGGCAGTGGGCGAGGAGGGTGGGCGCCGGGTAGGACGGGAGACTCGAGAGGAGGAGTAGGAGGGAGGGCGGTCATTGCGGGAGGGACGGCATGGTGGGAAGAAGGCAAGGCGATGGCAGAAGAGAGACAAAGAGTAGAAGGATGAAAGAGGAGGGAAAAAAAAAAAAAGAGAGAGAGAGAGAGAGAGAGAGAAAGGTGTGTGGTGAGGGAGAGAGTGCGTGAGTGGGAGGATGGGCGAGAGCGGATGTTTGGGATGCGCCAAAGGGCTGTATGGAATCATCCGCTAAGTGGTTAAGGGCAGGGATGGCCGACACCCATGCAGGCCGCGACGGCGACGTGCCTCTGGAGCGTGAGACCGGCACACGATTACTACGACTGCTATTGCTGCTGGAATTACTCTACTGCTACTGTTGCTGCTGGTGGTCTTGTCGCTGGTCCGAGACCAGTGCCGAACACTGCGGTGGTCCTGGGTTTGTTTCGAGTGTTTGTGTCCGAAGGGATTGCTGGCGGAGGCCTGGAGGAACGCAAAGGAAGCAGCGGCGGCGGTGGGGGGGGGGGGAAGCCAGCAATCGTTAGCTTCCGTGGGATCTTCTGCCCCCCTCAGCTCGTATTATCATGGGACGATGGTTATTATTATTATTGTCGTGCTGGAGAGCGGCGACCGACATGTCAGAATCGACTGGGCGGCACGATGACGGGCGTGTGTTTGTTTGGCCTGGCGGTGGGGGAGAGCGCAGGTCACTAGGCCTAGCGTGCCGCCCGGCCAGCTCGCCGGCGCTGCCCAGCACAACACACGCACGCCCGTACGCACGTCGGCAGGAGCGCAGTGCTGAGTAAATGAAACGGACGCAGTTTGCGAGTTCGTCAGGGCTGCGGGATCCGTTGGCTGCGGCAGCAAGCAGTGCAGTGCAGTGCAGGGCACGGCAAGGCAGGGCTTTGCAGGGGGGGGAGAGGAGGGTGACGGGCGATCCTTCACGACCAACGATCAGCAGCGGGCGCAGCGCAGTCGAAACACACAGATGTTTTGGAGCGAGCCACGGCGGCGGCGGGCTGAAACTGCGTGTCTCTGGCCGTGTTTCCACGGCGGCTGGCGACGCAGTGGGCTTCCGGGGCTGTTCTGCAGCGTTAGACTTCCGGCCCAACCGACGCCGGCCCCGACGAGTGGAGCGCGCGCGCGCGGCGGGCGTCCCGCCACCTGGACGGACGCACCGCCGGCTATACCGTCCAGCTGCCCGTGCAACAACACCGCAGCGCGCGCGCGGTCACCGCGGTGTGTCTATCCCGCGTCCACCGCCGTCCACGTGGCGCGCGCCGGGGCGGGCGCGACGGCTGGCCGTATACGTACACGGGCCGTGCAGCCCGTGCAGACCGTCCAGCCTGGCCAGCGTGCCCAGCGGCAGGATCGCGCGGCACCGCCAACAGCAGCGACGGCAAGGGCAGGTTCCTCACGCGTTCTAGAAAGCCCCCGATCGACATGCACGCTGGCTCGCGCACTCGCAGGGCCTCTCTCACTACGGAGTAGTCAGTAGTAGTTAGTAGTTAGTCTCCCGCCGCGTCGATCGCCTGCACGCCCAACGTCACCTGCCGCGACTGCGCTCCCCCCGTCCGGCCCTGCAGCTGCTTCTGGAACGGCGACGGCCCCGCCGCCTGACGTTCCAGCGCAGGCTCCACCTACTCTGGCTCCTCGCTCGGCGGCGTCTTGGAGAGAGGGATCATGATGGCCCCTCCCGCCCCCGGCTCCCAGGAGCCAGTGTCCTGCTCGGTGGCCCGGTGTAAATTAAATAATAAATTACTCCGTATTGCCAGCCAGAAAGGAGCACCGTGGACCTCGCCCACTGCGAGCCTGCGATCTCCGATCGAACACGACCCAACTCGCTGGGAATCTGTCTACGACCAGGTTCGCACCCCCCTTCCTCCCGCTCCCCATCACCGCCTGGCCACCACGTCCCGCGAATGCCCGGCCTACCAGCCCCTCGAGCGATACCCGATCGCTGCCGCGAGCCCTCCTTGGCGGGTATGTCTTTAACCACGCCATCCCGCCGTCGGCCTTCGACTCGCGATCTTGGGTCGCACGGCTATAAACTATGTCCTATGATTAGCATGCTTTCTTGCTGGCGGTCCGGGGACCCAGTCTAAGCCGCCAACCCCCACGCTTGCCCATGTCTTTTTTTCTTCCCGGGGTTCTCCTCCAAAGCCCGGTGAAGAAAACAAAAAATAACATAAAGAATAATTAATGCCTTGTCCTGGTATCGCCCGATGTGATAGCTTCGTCAGCCTAGAACAACCCGAGGCTTGTCCCCGGCCTGCTTACACACCAGGGAGTCAGCATGTCGTGCTTCCGGGCTCGTCTTGTTATTCTTTATGACGCCGTGCGGAGTACAGGTACACATGCTGCCCTACCTGGGCGAGAGGCGGAGAGACCACATGACGGATGTACGCTGTATGCACATCCGACATATCTCTCCGACCTTGCAGTTCCTCCGCATAGCAACTCGTCACGACTACATACATCTGTAGACCATTCCAGGAGTCTGGTATCGCTGCACGTTAAAGTGGCAAGCCACACACCTCCAATGCAAAGTACTCCTGCCCGTAGCTTGCTTGGACCGGCTTCCCGACCCGCGCGCTGTGCCAGATCCAGCTGTTGCTCAGAGGCAAAGCAAAAGAAAAAACAAAAGAAAAAAAAGGAACGAACAGTCGTTCTCGACCACTAATAATAATAAATATGACCTGTCGCTTCCCATCAGGAAAATCCTGGAAGTTTCAACGCCCGTGCTTGATTCCTATGACAGCAGACCCGCGGTTCCGATCCCGGTTCACAAGCCGCCTTTCAAGACTTCGGGTCGCTTCTGGGGGAAGTGTCTTTTGGAACTTCGTGACCCCCCACTAGTTCCTCCCTATGCCAGCTTGGCTAGCTGCACACCAGCTGGATATCAAGCACGTCGACAGGGTGGTTTTGCCACTTATATCGCCGTCCATTCCAACATTTCTGATATTTCTCCCGGAGACTCCCAAGACCTATTGGTGGTTCCTCGTACTCATCCAATGGACTCATATTTCTTCTTCTCATGTAGGCTCATTATTGAGTGCTCTGAATTTACTCAAGATCAAGTAAATTTAAATTAGTTGTATGCCTTAATTCATACAATCTCTATCCACGGGCACCAGGGCCATGCTCTGCGACGGCTCCGATATATAGTATTACAGTCACTATATTAAGGATAATCGATCTATTCATTTCGATAGGAAACTATCATAAATACTTCATCAATCAACCTTTGTTCGGGAGCTTGGTTCTTTCCAGGCTTTATTGTCTTTCTGGCTTTGATGTCTTCAAGGATCTAGGGATACTTGGAGGGCAGCATGGGGCCTCACAGACCCTCCCCCTCACAGGACCAGGCCCCCAAGGTAGATATATATACTCTATTCCTTTTAATGAGCTAATACTACTCGGTCGTTCCAAGCATGCTATTATTTCACCTTGATAGTTACCGTCACTCGGCATTTATAATGCCGTACTATTTGCTTCATAGCAGTATTGCCATTCAATCAGGGTGGCATTTGGAGAAGCCCATGTGAATACGACATGTCTGTCTCTCTTCTTCCTCAACAAGATGTCGTTGATTGATGCTTTTGCCTGCTTAGGCTCGAATCGCTCGGTCTTACTGCAGCTGTCCTCGTTTAACATCTGGACTACGGCGGGATTGAAGAATTGAGTGTCATGATTAATGGAGCCGTCTCTGGTAAGAAATTCTTTATTCATACTAATGAAGATGATTGAGCAATTTTTATGTTTCAATAGACCTCTGGTCACTGATGTCACTCTCAAATCATGGCAGGCTGCAGGTGACTGACATTATCTGTATGCTCGAGCAAGAATCATCTCAGATTGATGGTGATATTTTTGAGAACAAACTCAGTATGGGTAAGACTGGTGAATCTCTGAGTTTAATATCACTCACAACCAAACCACTATGATACTATTGGTTCCGGTGGTACTTCCAATCCATACCAACAAAACCTGAGAAAAGACTAGAATCCAGCTTCTTCAATTCTTCCAAAATCTGGACCCCAACGACTGAAAAACCAGCAAAACTGTTGTGCTGAGGTCCTATTCAACATGGAACAAACAGCGATTCCCCAAAGGCAGATAATTATTGAAGCACAGATACTCACATATAGAACAAGAATGATAGACTGTGGCATGAATCAAATTCAACTTGCAGAATATGCAAAATTACATTCTACTCTTGTGAAAAACCTGAAATCTGACAGGATGCACACCAGCAATGCCACCACCGCAGCAACTGCTGAAGAGATAGGTGGGCGCTTTGACAAGAGTCTGTATTGTCATCTTCATTAGACATTACTGTGTCCTCGACTCCCGGAGTCCTGGACTGAAGCAGTCTTTTCTCAACATCAACTTTCCCGCGGAAGATAAATAGAGCTTCAACCCAAGAAGTTAGGACGTCATCCAAAAGCCTCCTCCTAAGCAAGAGCAAGATATTCTTGATCCAAACCTGCCTCAATAAGAGCATGGCTTCCTCGGATAGAACTAGGGTCTAACAACAACTCCTCCCCGTCATTGTCCAGCGCCCGGCACCTTCTGGGACATTCTCTAATTATCATCCCCGTAACCCACTAGAAAAGGCCACCGGGGTCCTTAACGCCACAGGTTATCGGCCTCAGCCCGTGATCTCGCCAATGCCCATCGCCCGTCCCAAGACACGCGCGGGTGGCCGGCCCCGCAATTTTACTTCGTCAGCCGCCCAGGTTTAGTTAGCCGCACTATTGACCACTCAGAGGCCGATCTGCATCATATAAGCCCACCTCCGTACACGCCGCGCTTGCGAACTTGGATGTGGATTGCAATGTTAGACGCCCATATTATCCTATTTGCCTTCTTCGCGCCGGACTTCTTCTCGCGGATCAACTCCATATTATTTCAAGACTAGTTACCTTCCTTTCAGCCATGGATCTACTAGCCAGTTGGCAGTACAGTTCCACATTTTGCGGAATCTTAGATTGGGTCTACCATGATGGCATTGTTTGCTTGTACGCAAAGCGGCGAGCTGTTACTCTATGCCAGCTTGATAACATCCATCAGTATCACTCAGCAGCTCATTACCTAGTTAGTTGCCTCACTTGAAACATACCGCACTTCGTGAGCTGGGCGTTGAAACCACCTAGCTTGAAAGCCGGTTTTTCTCCACGCTCGACAGTAGGCTCCATAATCTTTCAAGGAACAGACCTGCATATGGAGAAGTCTGCCAGGTGATACGGTGTCGTGATGCTGGAACTAATCATTCCGACCAGAACAACCAAATGGCATACTGGGGGCCGGTTTCCACACTCTTTCTACAACTTGCGATCCTTCGTCGGGGCCATTTCCCCAAAATGTATATAGTTACCGCGAATTTAACCTTATCTTAGTAGGCAGGTGCCCGGAAAGTAAGGAGTATCGCGCTGTTCTGTTGCTAGCTCTCCATTCTACCGGCCTTCATTCGACCAGCCGCATAAGACGCGGTTAAAGGCCTTCCTACCATCACAAATCAAGCTCTGCCAGAGGTGGCCAGATATTATCCTTCATGTGCCCGAAAGGCGCAGCAGGGTTGACTTTATCCCATGTTTTTAGAGATCGGCGTCCTGACGTCTTGCCGGTCGCCCATCCAATCTGGCGATCCGTTCCCTGCACTCAAGCTGCGACAGATCATCTCGGCCAAAATATTATTGCTGGCGCCTATGTAGCTGAATCCACCCAGGTGCGAGAAAAACTAGCCAAGATTTCTAGACAGCCATGGACGTAGAGGAAGCGGGACGATGATGGATCCGGTGGTGTTTTAGAAAGGCTGCGCGGGAAACGATAGGCAAGATGGGTTGCTTCCGGTTTTAAAAAAAGTTCCGGTCAATATGTACGCGTTTTAGAATTGAGTGGCAGTAACGTAACTAATAGGTTTTGATGAAATTTGAGGCTTTGATTCTGTGAGTCGCCTAGCAAAACACTAAACCTAGTGTAGAATAGTGTGGCTTCTTCGAATAATTCCCGAGAACCTCCCAGCGAACTCCACACCTCCCAAGCTTTCCATGTTGAACGCAACAGTTTCGCCATGATTTCGGGTAGGTAACCAAGATCTTTCATTTCCTTGATTCGCATTTATCCGATTAGCTCGCTATCGTCGTCTGAGCTCTATCCTCCATTTGATGAACATGCAACTTCCATGATGAAGTTATGACAGTAAGCTGACTGCTCTAGAAGATGCAGATGTAGAAGTGCTAGAAGCCATTGCTAAAAATGGCACAATGGATTAGTAGGTCTTGACATTGCCGGCACCCTGATCCGTCTTTGCTGATCGCTCGTTGAAGTGAAAAATGGCCCGCGCTCCTCGAACCCTTCCTTGAACAACTGCGACATGTATGGACCTCCTAAGCCGCCAGATAAATTCAGCAGACTGATTCGCGGCAATATAGATTGCCCACACCGAGTTTCCAACTCTGAGAGTCCGATCTAACTCCATCGATACCGTCCCCCTAAACACCCAGTCCGCATACGCATCGCAAGACCCAAATTCACAGGCAAATAGCAATAAAGAAAATGCTCCTCCGTCGCAAACCCAACTTCAGTCACCACATGCCCGACTACCTGTTCCTTCTTTCTCGCCTGAGTCTAGCATACGGGTACCAGATTCCCAGTCCCAGACTAGCCATGATGACACCCCATTACCCGTCCCTCTAGAAGTTATGCTTGCTTCTATCGAATCAACACTAAGACGCGATTTCTCACTGAGACCTCCACATACGATCCAACGACTTGTTGAACTTGTTCTACGCCCTACGAGGCATTATAAAACACTGCCCGCTTACCTTCGTGCTGTGGATAGGGTGGTGTCGGTATCTAGCGGGGCTGATGTATTCCCCCTCTCATTCACCACACCTCATAATTTAATGGTTGATAACCAGTTGTCGAATGGCATAAATGGCGTGACGAGCTTTTCTCTATTTGGCGATAGCTCACTTGGAAGCGATGAATCTCTTGGAGGTGCTCTACTCACTCCGATCCCATGGCTGAACAGTGCAATGTCTGCTCATGCTGGCGAGGGTCTAATGTTTCACCACCCTGGAAACGGGCCTTTGCTTCACCATGGAGGTATCTTCCAGGAGCAACATCGCCCTCTGGAGACGCCAATCCATGCCACGGATACAGAAGACCCTGCTAGCGATGAAACAACTCCACATGCGCGTGGACCTCCCATGGTGGGCGTGGGAGATATAGGCCTACAAGATGGAAAAGATGTGGAAATGGCACTGCTGACGAGCGGGCCCGACGTCTCCTCCCAGGAACCGCTATTGCCCCAGGAGACACAACAGGACAAAGGCGATGAAAACGCTGGCCAGGAAGGGGACACTAACGGCAGGGCTGCAGCAGATGATACATCCGTAGCCTTGGAGGCGCAAAATAGCGCGCCCTCTGCTCAAGTAACAGATACTATAATACAGGAAGGGGGTGGCACTGAAAACGAGGACAATGAAATAACTAATATCGGCGCATGAGATGTGCTAGTAAAATCTTTTCGTGCTATGACGCGCTGTAATTGTGGCTTTCTTTGGATTTCTGGGCGAATGATCTAGGTTTCTTTTAGTTAGTTATCTGTGGGAGGAGTTCTGTAGCCTGGGCGGTAGAATATGCTGCATTTGAAACGAAACACTGCTACAAAGACGCCTACGACCCCAATACGATCCCATTTGTTAACTATATTTAGCGACTTCATGCATGTTTGCTATTGACGGGTTTGTCGTTAAAATTAGCCACCATTCCGTCACATGATACCGTGTTTAAACGTCGCGTCAGGCTGACAGGCAACTACGTCGTTATTATTAAACTAGTTCAACCTCTCCCTCCACGCTATGATAGAGACAGCCTCGTAGCCACTTCTTCCAACGCGGATTGACGCAATCTAGTAGCAGAAATGTCAGTATCCCCCAGTTTTTAGGGTTGCTGTATTGACCGGGCTTGAATTTTAGGTGTAAGCTCTAATTGGACCTGGTCTCGAAGATGATTCTGGACATTAACCACAAAAATCACTCTAGCGAAGATCGACAAGCTCTCAATCCTGGGGTATGCAACTAGAACTATTGCAGTATATTTTGTTTATTTGTTCTTAACATAATCTGCTGCACAGCGTCCGCTCCTTTGATAATACTCGAAGCGAGACTATCCAGTTCCACACTCCCTTAACACTGATTGTCGGATACAATGGATCAGGCAAGACTGTACGTATGAAATGGACAGATATAGCCGACTCCGTTACTAATTTGCCATCAGACGATCATTGAATGTCTTAAATATGCTACGACGGGCGACCTTCCGCCCAATAGCAAAGGTGGCGCTTTTATACATGACCCAAAGGTATAGCTTGAGCTATGTTGGCAAACTATTGAGATGACTTTATGCTAAGATATCAAACGCTTAGCTATGCGGTGCGAAGGAAGTTTTGGCTCAGGTGAAACTGGCCTTCAAAGCAACTTCCAATGCAAAGATGGTCGTCACGCGAAGCCTACAACTAACAGTGAAGAAATCGACCCGCGAGCAAAAGACCCTGGAAGGCCAGTTACTAATGGTGAAAGATGGCGAAAGAACTGCCATTTCCTCTCGAGTAGCCGAGCTAGACCAGATTATGCCACAATATCTCGGAGTTTCAAAGGCAATCCTGGATAATGTCATATTTTGCCATCAGGACGAGAGTCTCTGGCCAATGAGTGAACCGTCTGTGCTTAAAAAGAAATTCGATGAAATATTCGAAGCACAGAAGTACACAAAAGCCATTGATAACATTGGCGCTTTGCGAAAGAAGCAAAATGAGGAACTTGCTAAATACAAGATCATAGAACAATATGCTCGAGAGGATAAGGACAAAGCCGATAAGGTAGGGAAACCTTTCAATTATTGCTAGTCACGTTTACTGATTCGTCGCAGGCGGAGAAAAGATCAATTGTCCTCCAGGAGGCAATAGAAAAACTTCGTACTGAAAGTCATGATCTTTCTAATCAAATGAGACGGGCCGCAGAATTGGCAGATAAAGCTTGGAAGGAGTCCGAAAGTTTTGCCGAAGTCCTTGGTGCTTTAGAAGGGAAGCGTATTGAAGCCAAAAGCATTCAAACCAGCATCTTCAATCTTAAGCAGCATCTTGTTGAAGTTGACGAGTCGGAGGAATGGCTCGAATCATCCCTAGAGCAATTCGAGTCTCGACAGGAAGAGTACCGAGAACAGGAAGATACGTTCAAGGAGAAGTACTTGGAGCTGAAAGAAAATATTGAAGGTAATAGACGCCGGCTGGGCCTGAAGCAAGCTGAGCTTGGTAAGCATGAAAATGATAAAGCTCAGTTTGAACGACAGATGGAAAGACGCGGCAAACTTATAAGAGATATCGCCCGCCAAAACAATCTTCGTGGATTCGAAGGTAGCCTGAACGATACTGAGATCAATGACTTTCAGCAACGAATCCAAAGGCTTTCTAAAGACAAAAATCAAGCTCTAGATAGAGCGAAGAGAGACACACAGACAGAAACACGAGAAGCACAGGGTATAATAAATCAACTAGGCCAACGAAAATCTGCTCTCCAAGAGGCTAAAAATGCTGCCAGACGGCAGATATCACAAAATGATAAAGAGGCTGATTCCTGCCAGAAGCGCCTTAACGAAATTAATGTTGACGAGGGAAAAGTGACGCTTCTCGAGTCCAAAGTACGGGAAACGGAGCAAGACTTACAAAAAGCTAAAGAGAACGCGAACAACTCCTCCTGGGACAAGGATCTTCAGGCTAAAAATGCAGAACTCCGCTCGCTAGAGGAAGAGGCGTCAGCTTTGAATACAGAGTTGATAGAAAACACCAGGAAAGCTGGTGATCTTGCTCGCCTTGACCACCTGAAAAAGGAGCTTAAGGATAGAGAACGGAGCTTGGAAACGATGACAGGTGCCCATGGCGACAGGATATCACAGCTCATTGGTTCAACTTGGAGTCTTTCAAGCATCGAACAAGAGTATGATTCAGTCCTGAATAACTCTTCTTCAGCCTTAATCAAGGCAGAGCGTGAGCGAGATGCCACCAGCAGGGAGCTAGAGTATGTTGATATCACGCTAAAGAATGCCCGAAAATCTCTTCAGCAACATAGGCAAGAATTAAATGACTGCATTGAAAAAATCCATGAGGCAATAGATGGCGATCCGGAAGAATACTTAGATGTTGTCAAGCAAAGGCAAGAACAGCTTGATTTGGCCAGAAAAGATATGGACCAATATGCAGGTCTCGGAGAGTATCTTAGCAAGTGTCTTGACGCAGCACAGGATAAGAAAGTCTGCCGTACATGTGGTCGTGGTTTCAGGACAGAAAAAGAAGCCAATGAATTCGAAGCTAAACTTAGGGCTTTGGTGAAGAAGGCAACGATGAATGCAGATGACGAAAGCATTCATCTATTGGAAGAGGCTCTAGAGACGGCAAGGAATTCAAGTACATTCTACGATACGTGGGGACGTCTTTCCAATACAACGATCCCCGAAACCGAGAAAGAAATCACCAACCTTGAGTCACAACGGGAGCAATTCCTAGCAAAAGCCGAGGAGCATGATGTGATAGTAAGCCAGAACAGTGAATCTAAGAGGGATATCGAGTCTTTATCGAAGATCATTACCACCGTCGTTAAATATTATGCTGAAATTAAAACTCTAAAAACCCAAATCCAAACCCTCTCTATAAAGCAGCAAGAGTCAGGGGCCTCGAGAACGCTAGAGGACATTCAGGATACGCTGGCAACGATTGGAGAAGAATGCCGTGAGTTAAAGAGGGTGATCAACAAAACTACAAACGAAAAGGAGCAATCTAGATCTGAAATTACTCGGCTAGAACTTCATCTTCGTGATGTACGCAGCGAGTTCAATGATGCCAAGTTCCACCTAGAAAAAAAAGCCTCCATCGAGGCTCGACTGGAAGAATACCGCAGCCTTAACGCAAAACAGCGTGATGATATGGAAAAGGTGGATCGGGATATTGAGGACCTTATCCCAGAGATGTCAAAAGCCCAAGCTAAGTATGACGACATTAGTTTGCGTAGTGAACAGAAAGAGCGGACACTACAGCAAGAGGTTTCAAGCTTGAATGATTCAGTGCATCAACTTGATCTTGCCAACGAAGAGATTATTGCGTATAACGATAGAGGCGGTCACCACCAGCTTCAGCGAAGCGAGCGAGAGGTGCAAAATATTACGACGGAAATTGATCAGCTGGAGGGAGAACAAGGAGCCCTCACACGGCAACTGAATGCCATTTCGGCTCGTCTGAAGGATAGTGAGAATACAAAACGCCAATATTCGGATAACCTTAGATACAGACGGGAAATGAAGAGTCTTGAGGAGGTGAAAGCAGAAATCTCGAGATTAGAAGCTCAGAATGCCGATGTCGATCGGGATCGTTTCAGGCAGGAGTCAGATCAGCGCACACGGGAGTATAACAGCCTCTCTGCCAGGCAGGCTAGCAAGATGGGCGAGATGAAATCAAAAGATGATCAGCTTATGCAACTTTTAGCTGATTGGAATACAGACTACAAGGATGCAGCCATCAAATTTAAAGAGGCTCACATCAAAGTTGAGACCACAAAGGCTGCAGTGGACGACCTTGGAAGATACGGCGGTGCTCTAGACAAAGCTATTATGAAGTACCACAGTCTGAAGATGGAGGCAATCAATAACATTATTGAAGAGCTTTGGCAAAAAACGTATCGAGGCACGGATGTTGACACCATTCTCATCCGCTCCGACAACGAAAACCCAAAAAGCAAGCGTTCTTACAATTATCGCGTGGTTATGGTAAAGCAAGATGCCGAAATGGACATGCGAGGGCGATGCAGCGCTGGCCAGAGAGTTCTTGCCAGTATCATCATCCGCCTGGCACTAGCAGAATGCTTTGGCCTAAACTGTGGGCTAATTGCACTTGATGAGCCGACAACTAATCTGGACCGTGATAACATCCGTTCTCTAGCAGAGTCGTTACATGATATTATCCGGGCAAGGCAGCAACAGGCGAATTTTCAGTTGATCGTAATCACTCACGATGAAGAATTCTTACGAAACATGCAGTGTGGGGATTTCAGCGATTACTATTATCGAGTCTCTAGGAATGAAAGGCAGAAATCCATTATTGAACGGCAGTCTATTGTTCAGGTAAGTGACTTTTACTTATGCTATACATTTTTACTAATTGTGTTACTCTTAGGTGATGTGAAATTGACGACTAGATGACTACCTTGTATTGGGTACTCCGTACATATATGCATATTGCGATTGCCTTAATTGGGCTTCGATGGATGTTTTGGTCTACCGGCGTTGTAACAACATCTTTGGAAAAATTATATTACGAATAAAATGAGGATCCAACATCAGATTTTAGTGCGAGGCACTGGACATCTAGGCTGTACTTCGTGCCATAGGATATTTTAGAATAATGGTTGGCAATCCATCGAGAATGAAATATTGCGTAGAGAACTTCATAATCTCCCATATTAAGATTCGGATTTGAAACGATAAGAGACACCCGGTAGGTTATTCTGCCGCCTCCTCCATTTCCTCGTCCTCCACAAGCGGCACAAATCTAAAATCCACAAAACTTACGGTCCCTGTTGTAGTCGTTTCTAAGTTCCGAGTTGCTCTAGCTTGTGCCTCGCGACTAGTCATATTCTCGCCTAGTTCGATCATAAACTGCATGCTCAACACACCTTGATTGTCACCACGGATGCTAACTTTGCTTGATATGGCCATGGCACGTAACGCTTTTCGGACAAGTGCAAACCGATAACTCTGGCGGACGCGAGATTTTGGAGGAGGCGGGCTCACCAGAAACGTCTCTGCAACAGCGGGGGCAAGTTTTCCCCGTTTAGGAGGTTTAGAGCTGCCATCGTCGTTGAAGGACTTGTATGTCGAGTCGGCAAAGTCATCCGACTCTTTGTCGATAGAGAATTCCACGGCCGATTCGCCAAAAGGCCCTCCTGATGCAGAAAAAGCAAAATAAGGAGCAGCTTTTGAAGAAGCAGAAAGCGTCAAAACGGTAGGATCGGTTGAATCTAGTTCCGTAATCGCATTGTGTAGCCAAAGGGACCTCATAATTATCTTAAAGACGATGGCATCACGCTGAAGGGGGATTTCTACATCTTCTGTGGAAGATGTAAATGTCGGATCATCAGGCTCGTACGTAGTGAGTTCACATGTGGTGGTGACGCCAGCTTCTGCGAGAGTAATACATAACGGAGATCCGGGCCTGACGTATGTGATAGTGCATGTGCGGTCGAGATGCAGGGCAGATGCTGAAAATGCATTGGAATTCAGCACGGGATTTGAGGGATGGGCGGAGTCGGTCAAGCCGAAAATTTGAAGGGTCTCGATCAAAGCGGTGAGAGAAACGAGGAATCGGGGGTATGATGAAGTGTTAGATAAATCATCTTCGGCACTAATCTGACTGGGGATAGCCGTGTCGTCTGGCTTAAAGGAGAAGCTTGTGAATAGAGACTTGTCTAAAAAAGCGAGTCCTTGCATGACCCTCCCGTCTTCTGCAGAGAATCGGATCCCTTGCGGAGTAATTTGAATTGCAGCCTTTGAGGCAAATCCGATACATCGTAATATGACATAAAGATGATGGGTGAAATTAGAAACGGCAGAGAAAATCGGTGTGGCACTTGAGTCCATAGTTGCCATCAATGGAGAAAAGAAAACCGTTCCTCAACCGGGCTGTTCTTTGAAATAGCGCAAATAAGAAAGACGATATTTGTACATAAGAAATTCCGACGGATGAAAGGTGGGAAAACCAGTAGGTTTATACATATACACCGACAGCACAGATCATGAAGACGGCTCCAAATCTAAAGGAAGTCAGAGGACGCTACTTAGAAGGTATGGTACCAAAGCTCTCACCCAAATGCAAGAGATGCAGGCACACCACACAATGCAACGTTTGACAGAGACCGATCTACCACTGTTAGTAGAAGCTTTTGCGGCCAATACGGCATTACTTACTCAGGCCAAAGAAGCCAGTGAGCAGGATACCTGTGAGAAAATTTAGCAGGATATTCAGAAAATATTCAATCCAACATGTCTATTCTAACCTGCAACCAGGAGTGTGGATGCAACGAAGAATTGGCTGTCCTTCGAAATCACAGGATAGACGTGGTTCGCAGATGCTGCAACCCAAACCTCTTCAAGAGACATTGGAGTTGATGAAAGATGCTAAAGTACTAAGGTATGAAAATAAGGGGATTTGCAGTCTGGAGTGTAATTGTCTGGCGAACAAGACCCGACAAGAACGCACGATTTGTGGAGTGATGTGAAGCTCTCTCGTCGCGTCGCAAAGTCCAGGTGTTCAGATGGCGCGGTTAGAGTTCGGCTAGCGGGTTAACGTATCCCAATGTCAGCCTGCAGGTTGGCGGGTCGGGAATACTATCATCCGGCGTACTCTCGACATCATCGCTTCTACCGTGATGAGCTGGGTCACAGACCAATGATTGCGTTTGAGGGTGATTCGATGCAGGATGTCGCCGACGGTAGTTGACAGTAGGCTAAATGCTGCCTCAAAATGATATTATTGTGGAAACATTGACTTTCCCAGGAATAAAGCGCAAAGCGTCCGACGAGCCTACCCCGGAGTCGAAGCAGAAGATAAAGAGAGCCAGAACAGGATCTCCAGAATCTGAGGCTGGTGTTCGTTACTTTTAAATAGTTGAAAGAATATCTGCTAACATTATGAGTTGAAGGAAAAACCCCCACTCAAGCTTGTACCATATGCGGAGAAGGTATGCCATCATTCGCTCCGACCTGATATCCCTGCTAATATTTCCTATCGCGAAGCCCGCAGTGTTAGAAGAACGGCGCGGTGACATCGAATTTCGTGTTGTTAATAATGACGGTTCGCGGGAAAGCTTTATCATTCTTACGGGACTCAAGTGTATATTTCAAAAGCAGCTCCCTAAAATGCCGAAGGACTATATCGCACGGTTGGTATACGATAGAACACACCTATCTATGGCGATTGTGAAGCATCCATTAGAAGTTGTAGGGTATGAAACTGTGCCATTTCAAAGCTGTCTTTGCGACTTTTGCTGATTGTTGCCACGCAGGGGAATCACATATCGACCCTTTAAGGGAAGAAGGTTCGCTGAAATTGTTTTTTGTGCCATATCTTCCGATCAGCAGGTCAAAGGATACGGTGCTCATCTCATGTCACACCTAAAGGTAGTACTTCTCCATTTCACTGGAGCTTGCAACATAGTTTCACTCTAATCGAAGCCGAATAGGACTATGTGAAAGCCACTTCAGATGTAATGCACTTTCTGACATATGCGGACAATTACGCTATCGGGTATTTCAAGAAACAAGGTTTCACAAAAGAGATCAGCTTAGAGAAAGCAATATGGATGGGCTATATTAAAGATTACGAAGGCGGCACCATTATGCAATGCACAATGATCCCGAAGATTCGGTACCTTGAATCTGGGCGTATGCTTCTGAAACAAAAAGAAGCTGTGCACGCTAAGATACGCGCTTTCAGCAAATCTCACATTGTCCACCCACCCCCAAAAGAGTGGAAGAATGGGCTGTGCAAGATTGACCCATTAAGCATCCCAGCCATCAAAGAATCAGGCTGGTCTCCCGATATGGATGAATTGGCTCGCCAGCCACGGCACGGGCCCAATTACAATCAGCTTCTGCATCTCCTTAATGACATGCAAAACCACAGCGCCGCCTGGCCATTCGCACAGCCGGTGAATAGAGACGAGGTTGCCGACTATTACGAAGTCATCAAAGAACCGATGGATTTGTCGACTATGGAAGAGAAACATGAGAAAGACCTGTACCCGTCACCACAGGACTTCGTAAAAGATGCTATGCTAATCTTTGATAATTGCCGACGGTACAACAATGAGAGCACACCTTACGCTAAAAGTGCGAATAAGTTGGAAAGGTTCATGTGGCAGCAAATAAAGAATATACCGGAGTGGTCGGTAAGAGTTTATCAGACTCCCTATACCCTTTATATACGACTGACTACCCATTTTTCGATAGCATTTGGCTGAGGGGCATTGATTCGGGGATTGGGAATAGCTCGGTATTTTTATAGCGATTCTTAAACGGGGCTAGATTATAGGATAGCGGAGTTCAGGGGCTCTGAAGCAGTATGGTTGAGGTAGAAATTTTGTGTATTTCTTTAAATGCTCTGTCAATATTATACCTGGGCTTTTAAAGCCCCTTTTGCTGGCTCGGACGTGGAACAATAATAATGCGGGTACATGCGTCTGTGCTAGTGAGCTCTCACATCCAAGCAACGCCACAATCGAACTCTCTCTCTCCATCCAGTTTCACTGTTGTATCACGCTTTTACGCTCTTTCAATTCTCTCCAATCCTATGCCAGAAGGCCTTTTTTGACCTTTGCCCTTCATTGAGTGGCATGTCCATCCACTGCTGTTAACAGTTGTTTGTTTTTAGCGCGACTGGACTGTCCAGGAAACATTCTCTCTAGCCGCCACAACAGGCTGAAAATTCACCCTTTAATCTGTCTCTCATACTATGTTTTGAATTAGAACAACTGTTGGTTTGTCGACACCACTACCCTCAGCACTTGTATTGCTAGAGAGTCCAAAGCAAGATGGCTTCATCGTCATCTATTCAGGAGGAGGAGCATCGCAACAGACTCCCTACTCTCCTTGAGGTCCTTAGTCGCAGAACGCTCGCGCCTGTTGATCTCTTTTCCTTCTATATTTATATGAGAGACCAACAGTGCTCTGTTGACTACCTAGATTTCTGGTGAGTATCCACAGTGGTCTTCTATACTAATACCAGTGATTAGCTGACATCGGCGCTCGCTTCAATAATAGGCTTGATGTATCACAACACATGTCCCTTTGCCGCCATTATGTTCGCGAACTACGTCGCTCCGTGCTCCTCGAGACCCCCGAACCAGAAAAGTTCGACTCCTCAGACTCCCCAAACCTCGCACCTCCTAATGGTGCTGGCCCTTCGGGACGTGGTTACCCCCCCGGCGACGATTTCGAGGACGACCAGCGCTTGTCGGCCTTTCTAAGATCCGAGGGACGAACATCTATGTATTCAGCGCGAAGCAGTGAGGACTCTGGCCGGTCAGAACGTCGCTTTTCCTCCGTCGATCGGACTCGACGTGTTAGCGATATGTTTCCCCAACATCATCAAAATAACTCGAACGGCTCCCCAGGCCACACTGTTGCGCGACCTGACATTCGTGCTAGTGCTGTGCGCATACTTTACACATACCTACTCCCTGGATCCGAACGAGAAGTTGTTCTCCCCGATACTATTGTTGGGGAAATTGTCCATATGATTGAGCAGGAGGGCAGAGATGACCCTGAAGTTTTTGATACCGCCAAAGATTACGTCTTCCAGGCTATGGAGCGAGATGCCTTCCCTGGCTTCCTACAGGCAAAGGCCTTGGGAAACCTAGTGCCGCCTAGTATCCTAGCTCGGCTTGTCCTTGCTTTGACGAGTTTGGGAGCAGGATTCTGGGCTGCGTTTTATGTTGTTCTAACAGATACTCCACGACGTACAAGATGTTGGGTACGTTCATAGCCTCTTTTTCTCTTCGCGCGAATTTCGAACTCAGAGAACTAACCTGGTATTGTTAGGTGATCCTACCTTTCGTCGTCGGCGCATATTTCTTATCCTCGTATCAATACAGAATCGACCCACTCCTCGCGTTCATCGGCCTCAGCGAATACACTTTTATGAATTGGACTTCAATCCGCGAACCCTATGTTCGATCACTACTTCTCAAACGAGCGTCCGTCTCGCTTGCCTTTGCTACATTTCTTTCTATCGCCCTATGCGTTCTTTTTATTTTCGTCCCTGGGACTCGATTGTAATATCATATTTCTTTTTTCTGCCAATTATGATGAACTCGCTTGCGATGTATTCGATAATCATATTTTTTGAGATTTCCCCCTGATTGTTCGCCGCATGGATAATTGATGAACCTAGTTTGGGAACTACTAGCCTTGGTGCACGGCGTTACTTATTTTACTTTATACTTCAGTTTTTACTATTTTTGTGATAGGATCTCATTGCCGCGGTCCCCTTCTCTATTCGCTGTCCGTCGCTTTAGTTATCGATGTGGTCTTCGACCTTAATTCTTCATGTATGTTAACTTGAAAGAATCCGCAGTGAAAATTAATACCTCGCGACAGTTACTGCCAAGGCCGCTTTCCAGGTTATGACAATCTATCATTAACCCCAAGAATTCGTTTCGTATTTCTCATTAGCCTCCCTCCATACTCACTGTTGAGCGAGTCATGAAAATTCATCTCGGAGTTTATCCCAGGATAACCGTAGGACGACCCAAAATCGTTGGCAGCACTAAATTCGCGTTTGTAACCAAATTTGCGCTCTCCGTGGCCTGTCCTATCCCTAGAAAAATGTAAAGACCTTTTCGAGCCGGCCCCACCTATGCTGTCTCCACCTTCACCGCTCCCGTCGTCATGATCGTCCCATCCATTAAGATTTCTCTCTAGACGCGTGGCTCGAGCTTGTTCTTGGATATATCTCCTTTGTGCATCCGATTTAATCTTGGCGATTTCATCCTCGATCGCACTCATCACTCCCTGACATCGATATTGCCATTCTGATAGAATGGTGACCATGGAGTTTAGAGTATTCGGGCGAATATCACGGAGAGGCGCGATGGAGATGATTTTGATAGTTGGGGGAGAAGTTGCTGGAGAAAAGCGAGCCGATATCAATGAGGAGTATATCGCATTTGTGACTAGACTCTCGAGTTCAGTGTGGGAGGAGAGCGAGAGTGACGTCATGACGGCAGAATACGTGAGAGGATTATGCGTTCGTGCCAACGTGAGAAGTGACAGGAGGCGGAGCTTTTGACCCTGGGCCTCGTTCAGGAGGGGTAGGTCCGGGGTGGCTGTCGATGTGGTTAGCAGTTATCCGACACAGTTAGCTCGAGCACGGTCACTTGCATTGATATTCCTCCCATGTCCCCCAAGCAAACAGCTCCAGTAGTGTGAGAAAGGGCCGGTACTCCTCGGGTGTTTCGGGCGATCTGAGGCTTTGTACAGCTGGGGTCTCCAGCAGCTCCGCAAAAACAAAGGTGTTTGGGGCAGCGGTGGCATTGGATATGAGATTGGCCAGAAAGCGGGGCGACGGCGAGGCAGTTGAGGTTGCTAGGTGGATGAACGGCTGAATGGCCTCCAGGGCCTTGCTGTGTATCTGCTCCATTGTTGAGAATATATGCTGGGAGGGAGTTTCGGTGGGCGATGTGAGACAGCAGATCCAGAGGCACAAGGGGGACGCTGAGCGGGCCACGAATACTCCGCGGTACCAGCGAATCAAGAAATCAAAGACAATTTAGGCGTGAGATCTGCACAACCGCTAGGCAGCCCACAACCCAGCCTAGCGTGCTCCGTGTGTGAGAGATGGAGTCGCAGATGCTTCACAAGACGGAGCTGCTCGTCCGTGCCCGGTTAGCGCGATCGCCCGCGCAGCCGCCCGCCGCGGGCCGACGATTATCCGCAGGCTAAGTCAGCCTGGCGACTGCCCACCCGCCGGAAAGAGACGACGAAGGCGTGTTAGCCTCTTGGGGCGAACGAGACAGGAGTTGCGCAGAGTTTACGCCCGCCGTCGGATGAAGTTTCACACGGTTGCGGATTGTGTCGCCCATCTCACGCTCACGCTCACCCTCAGCTGGAACCCGTAACCAACTGCGCCCTTCGGCGTACCACGCGCAATATGTGAAGGCTAGTTAGTTCAGCCAGCGTCGCATTTTACCGCCGAATCCCGCGCCTTGCCTCCCACTTTGGCTTTCCCATAAAGCCATTTTCACTCCCCCTTTTACTTTTCAGAGAAGCCGGCCTTCTTTCCCTCTTTCCTGGTCCTTAGATTCCTATTTTCCCACCTTTCCAATTGAAATATCGATGATGTCGGGACGCTGGTGATGAACCAGAACCCTCGCCGCAAGCGAACGGAATACGGGCTACCCGGAACACCCTTGCTTTTTTTCCCGGCCGGTTACGCTTGATGCTGTGGCCTTTCACCGACCGCCATCCAAAATGATATCTCCGTCCTCTTCACGTTCTGCGAGCTATGATCGCACTCTATCCCCACCCCACACAGCCCCACCGAGTGTTAAAATGGTTAGAACGACTTTAAGAGTGGAGGGCATGACATGTGGTGCTTGTGTTTCTGCTATCGAGTCGGGATTTGAAGGTGTGAAGGGCGTACAAAGCGTGTCTGTTAGCCTTGTGATGGGCAGAGGTGTCGTGGAACATGATTCAACAGTTTTATCCCCAGAAAAGGTCAAAGAGATGATAGAGGACCGTGGCTTCGACGCTGACATCCTCTCTACCGAGCCTCTGAAATGCGCTAAAGACGGACTAAGTCTTTCTCTTAATAATGGAGGTCCCCAAAGTCGGCTTTCAACGACAACACTGTCGGTAAAGGGGATGACCTGTGGTTCGTGCACATCAGCAATCGAAACAGGTCTAAAAGGCATCGATGGGGTAGTTGATGTCACCGTTTCGCTACTCTCGGAGCGAGCGGTAGTCCAGCACGATGGCTCCAAGATTGCACCAGATCAAATTGCCGAAATAATCGAAGATCGAGGGTTCGATGCCGCAGTTTTGGACATTATCTCTCCCGAACAACCCGGGAATACTTCACAAATCAACGAGTCCGCGCTAAAGAAAAGTCCAACACAAATGAGTACTACAGTTTCCATCAAAGGAATGACCTGTGGAGCTTGCACTTCAGCCGTTGAAGGTGCCTTGAAAAATGAACCCGGCTTGATTCGCTTCAATATCAGCCTTCTGGCTGAACGAGGCGTCGTCGTCCATAACCCAGCCACCCTTCCTACCTCAAAAATAGTTCAACTTATCGAAGATGCCGGCTTCGATGCCTTTATTCTTTCCTCTGACGTCGATTCTTCTTTTCTCAACCAATCTTCCGCCTCGCTTGGGTTTAATCTCTATGGTTTAACCGACGCTGCAACCGCTACTTCCCTAGAAACTCAACTGCGCGGGACCTCTGGGGTACTGGGCGCAAACGTCAAACTTTCAAATTCACGTGTCTCTATAACGTATGAGCCTTCTAGAGTCGGTATCCGAGCGCTCGTCGACGTCTGCGAAAAGGCCGGGTGCAATGTCTTGATTGCCGATTCTGAGGACAACGACGCTCAGTTAGAATCCCTAGCCAAAACAAAAGAAATACAAGAGTGGCGTAGAGCCTTTTGGTTCTCACTTTCGTTTGCCGTTCCTGTTATGTTCATCAGCATGCTGATGCCGATGTACCTCCCTGGTCTGGATTTTGGAAGTTTCGAAATTATTCACGGCTTGTTCTTGGGCGATCTTGTTTGTTTATTTTTGACAATACCCGTTCAATTTGGAATCGGGATGCGATTTTATCGATCCTCATTTAAGGCTTTAAAACATCGTTCGCCTACCATGGATGTGTTGGTGATGCTGAGCACTTCTCTAGCGTTCGCCTTTAGCGTTCTCACAATGCTTGTCTCTTTGCTCTGTATGCCCCATTCGCGGCCAAGCGTCGTTTTTGAGACCAGTACGATGTTGATTACCTTTATCACTTTGGGTCGATGGCTGGAAAATCGCGCCAAAGGGCAGACATCTCGTGCCTTATCGAAACTGATGTCCTTAACCCCATCAATGGCAACAATATACGAGGACCCCATCGCTGCTGAAAAGACAGCCGAAATGTCATTGGGTTATCGCACTTCGACTGAAGAGAAAAATTCGCCATCTGGCCCTGTCCGGGCTTCGAACCAGAAAACAATTCCAACTGAGCTGCTCCAGGTCGGTGACGTTGTCTGCCTGCTTCCGGGAGACAAAATTGCTGCAGATGGTATGGTCATTCGTGGAGAGACTTATGTTGACGAGAGCATGGTTACTGGCGAAGCAAACCCAATTCATAAAATTCAAGGTGCTCAGGTTATAGCTGGCACCGTTAACGGATCCGGATGGGTTGATTTCCGCGTTATAAGGGCTGGGAGAGATACGCAACTCAGCCAGATCGTCAAGCTCGTCCAAAATGCCCAGACGAGCCGAGCACCAATTCAACGTATGGCCGATGTCGTTGCCGGCTACTTTGTTCCTGCAATCCTGACTCTTGGGTTGATTACGTTTGTTGGATGGATGGTTCTCAGTCATCTGCTTCCTACGCCACCAGATATTTTCCTTCGCGCCAGCAGTGGAGGAACTTTGATGGTCTGCCTCAAGTTGTGCATATCGGTTATTGTCTTTGCGTGTCCGTGTGCTCTGGGACTAAGCACCCCAACTGCTGTCATGGTGGGAACTGGTGTTGGTGCTGAACATGGAATTCTCGTTAAGGGTGGTGCGGCCTTGGAGTCCGCAACAAAGATTCGACACGTTGTCTTCGACAAAACCGGAACCCTGACAACAGGAAAAACAACAGTTGCAGACGCTAAAATCGAACGCACTTGGTCCTCAAATGAGTGGCGTCGACGGCTTTGGTGGCTCGTCGTCGGCCTAACCGAGATGACCAGTGAACATCCTATTGGCAAGACCATAGTCTCCGCTGCAAAGGCAGAAAACGGAGCCTCAAATGACGATCCACTTAATGGCTCTGTTGTTCAGTTTGAGGCATCCGTTGGCAAGGGAGTTTCAGCCCTCGTCGAGCCTGCGTCTGGTGTTGAACGAGTCAGATTCAACGTTTGTGTTGGTAATGCCGTTTACCTTCGCTCGAAAAATATCCAAGTCCCTGTAAGTGTCGATGCAGATGCCGATGGCCCACTTTCTCCCACGATTTCCAGAATCCAACCTTCCAAGTATGACACCGTGAATGGAGCAACTCGAGTGCATGTTGCCATAGACGGCGCCTACACAGGTACGATATGGCTTGAGGATTCATTAAAACCTACAGCGAAGGCCGCTGTTGCGGCTCTTCATCGAATGGGCCTTACTACTTCCATTGTTACAGGAGACACATTCAGCACTGCTCGAGCTGTTGCAGCAGCGGTGGGTATTCCAGCAGATTCCATCCACGCCTCAGTCAGTCCGATCGAAAAACAGGCCATAATCGCTAAGCTTCAAACGGTCTCCGGAATCTCTGTCGCTATGGTTGGTGACGGAATCAATGATTCTCCTGCTCTAGCAACAGCATCGGTTGGCATTGCACTTTCCTCTGGCACTGATGTTGCCATGGAAGCTGCAGATATTGTTCTTATGAGGCCCGATGATCTATTATCCGTTCCTGCTAGTCTATGCCTCGCCAAATCTATCTTCAGGAGAATAAAGCTTAATTTACTTTGGGCATGCCTGTACAATGCCATCGGCCTGCCGTTTGCAATGGGTGTGTTCTTACCATTTGGAGGAATATCGCTGCATCCAATGGCCGCTGGAGCTGCAATGGCTGCCTCTAGCGTTAGCGTTGTGGTGAGCAGCTTACTTCTCAAGCTTTGGAAACGGCCCCGGTGGCTTGATACAGAGAAGCTAGAGAGGGAGATTGAGCAAGGCAAGATCGACCCAATTGGCTACAGACGCCGTGGGTCCGATACGTGGTGGCAAAGCAGTCCATTTGCATCCGATCAACCGGTCCGCATTGGACGCGGCGCTACACGCCTTTTCCAAAAGGTCGTCAAGGTGTTGCGGCCGAAAACGAGGAAAACAGAAGAAGATGGATACGTTCCTTTACAAACAGTCGAACCGACTAGCTAGCCCTTTCTTACTATCTTTTTTACTTAGTCTTTTCTTGATCGTATGTATTTAGCCCGTTTCAAAGCATTGTCATCATAATACCCGCTAGGCGTGTTTATATGGGTTATCCGTTGTTTTTTTTTGGGATTTTCGGGAAGAGATGCATAAATGTATGTACTTATGTCAGATGGTTACATAGGGCTATTAATGTCTGAATATATTTCGTTAAGCAATCTTCCCATTATTCAAACCACGAACAACCTCTGAAGTTCAACCGAACAGTCGACATTGATCCATAGCTAGCTATCGAGGAAAGCTTACTGAATAAAAGGAGGCCCAGAATATAGTGAGAATTGAGATTATAGATAGAGACCAGAAAGAGAAAAAAAGAAAGCATATAGTTCCTAGCTTCTAGCTCCAAAGTAAACGCATCATATCATCAGGTCTTCCCCTTTCCAGTGGGCTTTTTTGGTGGTGGTGGGAAGTACATTGTAGGGGTAGGCTGCTGGGCAGGTGTTCTAGCGTCCGTGCTGGCCGCTGAAGAATCAACCGGCTGCGACCGCAACGGGAGATCATGTCCGCCACTAAGCTTATTGAAGGCCATCGTGCGCGGAGTGATTGGCTGCAGGCCATTCTCGCCCTGGACAAAGTTCGGGTAGCAAGGTGACTTAAGGGATTTGAGCTCTTCAAGAGTCTTTTGCTCTTCGAGTTCCTGGCGTTTCCTTTCACGGATCTCATCTGTCGGGAGGCAAGATATTATGGCAAGAATTAATTGAGCGGTGAAAATTGTGCTGTCGATGTGGTTAGCTCAACAAGGTAAGGAAGGTGAGTACCCTGAGAAGTACCTACATCATGATGATGGTGCACGCAAACCCCGACTTTGCTTGCTTGCAGTATCCAATATTGCTAGGACGGGCGGCGACCTTGCAGTTTTTCGTGATATACCACGGAGCACCCGGTTGGGGATGTTTTGGATCCGACATGTCGCTTCCACCCTGCCATGCTGCCGAGACGCAGTAAAGCACCAGCAAAATGGTATGGATCACGACAGAGAGAGGTGGGTAAAAGACATTCAAAACAAACATTGGCGTCTTAACCAAGAGGAAGAACATGCTCAACACGGAAATGATAAGATTGAAATTTGTGATACTATTACGGAGTCATGACGTTAGAACTCAGTGGAATAAGGAGGGTGAGAAATAAAGGAAGTAGAGAAGTATTGTCTCCATACAATGGGCTCCACGGCCTAGGCACCGTGTACGGCTCGTAGTTTGCAAATTTGTATATCAATTCATCCGGCGAGCTATTGAAACCGTTGTCTGCGCCATCTTGCCACAGCCTCTTTCGATATAGATTCGGAGAAGCGATTCCAAACAGAGCAAGCACAGCAACGGTAAACGGTAACTCGATGGCGAGCAGAAACCTGAATGCGAAGGGGGAAATGAACTTTCGTGGCAGATACCACATCGGCTTCCCCATCATGCACAAGCAGCGACGCCAGGCAAGGAGGTAGGGCGGTAGAGGCGGTCAAGGGCCGCCTCTCTGGCTGGGGATGATGACCGGGCTGAGGGGGTCACGGTGCGATGGTATCCCAGCCGCGACTCCAGACCAGCCGGCAGCAGATAATTAGATGGCTTGAGCGAGAAGGCAAGTCGAAACGCAGGATCATGAACCCATCTCCAGCACCTTTAGAAGGTAGGGCGGCGCTCATGATGTTCGCCAAATCGCTAAGCGCCGGGGTCCTGAAGCAGCGCGCGGGATTGGACCGCGACGGCTGGCCCGCTCCGTCATGGGTTCTTCTGCAGTGTGACAGGCCGCCAACCCCGGCCAGCCAATGACGGCTCGAATCAGCTCTTTTCACAGTGCTGGGCGGGCGAGCCTGGCGTTGCAAGCCGATCGCCCGCGAAATGCATCGCGACGCCCAACTGGCAGCAAACCCACGATGGCCGTTTTCGACTCAAACGGGCCGCGCGCAAACAGGCAATTCTGAGTCAGCGGGCTATCTGCACTGGGTGGTTGGAACGCGTTTGTTTGTGATGTTTGCACCTTCGGATAATGTTTCGGCGAATAACGGAGTGGTAATGCTTACGTAATCAATAATTAGTGACCCGGTTGCTTAGTCAGTCAGCCATCTTGCCCCTCCCGCTCCCCCACCACGACCACATCTCAAGCTTTGACGCTCCCAGCCCCAGTCCGCGCACAAGGTTCACGTCCGTTGAAGGTTGTTCGTTCAGGCCCCACCACCGCCAATCTCCGCTTCAAAACAGAAAGAATGGGCACTCGGAGTCTCATTTGTGTCTGGTACAAGGGTCGCTTTGTTATTGCCCAGTACACTCAGTTCGATGGGTACCCAGAGGGCCAGGGGGGGCACATTTTGCGTTTTCTGTTGGCCGCCGGCAATGTGGAGCGCTTAAAGGCTGGTCTCGAACATGTCAAAGTCATCAGTGACAAGGAGCTGCGGCAAATTCAAGAGAAAGTCCAGCAGGATAGCAGGGCCAAGAAAAATGCTGGAGATCAGGCTACAACATATGACAGGATGAGCGGGGAGAGCGAGATGGATCGCCTGTTCCCTTCTCTCTCCCGCCTGACGGGCGGGGGCATCCTAGCCGTCGTTGCCGAAGCCACCGCCGAAAAGACCATCCCCATCCTCATGGATTTGAGATTTGCCAATGACTCCTTGTTCTGCGAGTGGGCCTACTGTGTTGATCTTGATGCCGGGGTTTTTGAAGTATTTGGAGGGGGCTGTTCCAAGGAAAGCTCCGGCAGCACACGGTTTCAGGATGTTGGAGGACCAGAGGAGCCTGTCCCGACTTTCATTAAAAGCTTCCCCCTTGACAAACTTCCCAAGAATCAAGACGTGCTTGTTCGGACTTTAAACAAGGCTATTGATGCGCTGCATCGGGGACGAAGGGGCGATGGTGATCTTGATGATGACGAGATGGAGGAAGAAGAGGAAGACGATGAGGAGGATGATGGTGAAGAAGAAGGGGACTTGAAGGAGGGGAGTGACAAGACTGCTGCAGATGCCTCGGGAGAAAAAATAGCAACATATTGAAGTATTCACGGTATCCGAAAAATCGCCAGACTTCCTTGCTCAAGGGCTTCTTCTCGGCGAAAATGAGTGTCCAATATCAGTAGTCGCTACTAATACGCTTTATTTCATGCATGTAACTACTACACTCGACATCTTGCAGCTTAGGGATGTGTTATCTAGAATTGTCGGTGCCGGATTCAAACTTCCATTACTCCTAGCTTCAAGGCGGGCTGTTCCTTACATAGTTATTACTTAGCATGGAGCTGCATAGAAATATCCGGCCCAGGTCCAACATCATGAACCACCATTTGATAGCCATCATTAATCCACACCAGAGCTGGATTTTTCATTTTCTAGCATAGCTCCCGGCGCGTGAACCGATCTTCCCGATGTCGCAACCCGTCGCTAGCAAGTCCGGCATACCCCACGAGGTTCGTACAGCGACAGAACCGCGGCAAACCTCGCTGTACCCTGTCCGGCTCTCCTATATAGAGCGAGTCAGCTCAGAAGTGCGACTTTTCCGATTTGAACTCCTATCAGAAGATTCTACCTGCTCAAAGTTTGTGAGTGTATCGTTCTTGTCCCTTAGACTCAGTATTCCCCGCAGAAACCTGGCATTCTCAAAGCACCTAGCCCCGTATTCATATCCAGAAGATAAATCTAACGAAGTCTAGCTGTATCCACCGGAGACCTTCACTTTTCTTCCCGGTCAATGGGTGGACCTCCACATACCCACATTGCATGATGCAGGTGGTTTCACAATAACCTCCACGCCGCGAGAGGCTTCTCCCGGAGCCTCAGAACAACCGTATATCGAGCTTGCGGTGCAACAATCCCCAAATCCAGCAGCAAAATGGCTCTGGTTATCCGAAAAGGAGATTCTTGGCACTGAGGTTCAAGTGCGAGTGGGCGGGTCATTTGTTTGGCCTCCACCTGTCACAGAAAGCCATTTCCCAATAACCGATATTCGCAATATTGTTTTTATAGCGGGTGGTGTAGGCATAAAGTACGTTCTATTCCATTTCCAATTACTGATTTAACACTACCCCAGCGTTTATTCTGCTTTATAAGTATGTGAAAGGCATTGCAAACATGTTGCTTCAATTAAACATCTAACATTGTCTATAGCCCCCTCATATCAATGATCTCCTATATACACGACGCTAGGTCTGATTTGCACCCTTCTACCAAAGTTCACCTTCTTTATAGCACCAAACTCCCATCATCAGTTCTTGAATCAAGCTACAGAGCTCAAGATATGCTAGACCACATCCTATTTCTCCCACGACTTAGACATATGGTGCGCTTACAACAAAAGGAGCAACAGGAGGGACAAAATCGCGGAGGGCAACTCCATGTAAAACTATATCTGACTAACATCTCCGCAGTCGATGTCAAAGGCGTAGAGGATGAGCTACTTGGCGATGTGTGCCTTTATGACCGTCGAATCTCAGTTGCCGACATACATGACCTTGTTTCGACGGTAAGCAATGAGCGTGGCAAAACTGTATGTAATATATGTGGACCCCCGGGAATGACAGATACATATGTCGATGTGCTGAAAGGGGTTTTTGGGGACGATAAGGTTTTTTTCGAAAAATGGTGGTGACAGGTGGGTTGCTTCCTTATCAAATAGTTGGTTTAAAAAAACATGGAAAGCCTGCCTGTGCAAGGCGATGAGGGAAAACACAGATTGCCAGACCATGGAAAAGGGTATCATGTATGTATACACACATATAAAGCATCGAAAAAAGTGCTCCCCTACAGGGGTATATATCCTAAAGAGGGTATTTAACAAATGAATTACCATCCACCAATATGTAAATCCTTCAGCTCCAGAGAACGCCGAAGCAATATGTAAGCATACTATACAATCATGCATGTCGTCCGCTAATTTTGAGGGACAACGATTCTCCCACTATCGACCAGCATCGCCTCATCTATTCGTTCGCCAGGGTTTCCATGCTCAAGCCGTTTATAAGATACTATTCGAGCTTCATTCATATCAATATCGAAGAACCGGACACGACGAACAAAGTTGCCATATCCACCGTATCCCCCAAAACCAGCACCCCCAGCATAGCACATCCACAACGCTGGGAGGTCCTTTGCATTCTTTTCAAGCATGCAATAATCGTTGGCATGATCACTAAAATCAACGTATTAGCGCCTTGTGTATCAAAATAGGAGGAAGAACGCACTGTCCACATGATACAAGTACAACATTTTCTTCTGTAAGAGCATCTTTGAACCCGGAATTAAACCTCGGTGCTGTCGGGGCCTCAAGCCACCCTCCCTGATACGGATTCTTAACATTTCGATACTCTGGTAGTGGGATATGAATAAACGCCAAATTCATATGGATATGGGTATAAGACTGGTGGGCCTTCTTCAGCCTTTTTGCAGTAGTCTTGAACCAATTTATCTGGCTTGGCTTGAGCCAATCATAACCAGGATACTGGCGTTCATCTGGAGAGTACTTATGCGTGTCAAGCAGGTAAAGGCTGAGAGCTGAATGAGGGGAGCTATAACCGGGAATTTCAAGGAGATAATTGCCGACCCCATCCACATCTTCCGGTCCTGGCTTGGACAGAGAGTATGGTAGACCTTGCAATAGCGACATGAGAGCTTTTCTATCAAGATTGCCTTCATCATCGTGGTTTCCAAATATCGCTGCATAAGGGATCTTGCGTTTGATGAAGAGCTCTGCAAATTTATAGGTCGCTGTCTGAGCATCCGGGGCTGTATCGCCATTGACCTGATCACCACTCAATACAACTAAGTCGGGCTTCTCCTCGTCAAGCAATTTTCCCAAAAATTCGAGCGTTCGGGGGTCGGCCTCACATTTGTTGCCATCCTTGAGCTCAGGAGAAGGGTCACGGCAAACTCCAAAACCAGTCGCTAAATGCAAATCTGAAGCTTGCATGATTTTAAATTTGCCACCTTTTCTTATCCTAGGTATTGGCTGTTCTATTTTCTTGTTGGCTCCTCTCCGGATAGTCAATCGCGGTTCAGTGACTGTATCCAGGAGCAGGGGAGTGTCCTTTATTTCCCAGTTTGGACGCGGGTCCACCGCATCAGCGCCAAAGAGAACATCAAGCGCAGTAAGCGTATCGCTGGTGTGATGCGAAGACCTTAGAAGCCAAATCCCTCCTGGTCTGGATTCCCATTTTGCATCCGATCCGGCTCCAGGATCCAACCGGCCCATCTTCAAATCTACAACGATTTTGTCGGTTGGCAGGAGGTCTTCCTCCTTCTTCCTCTGAACATGCAAGTATGCTTTCGACGTCCATCCCTTGCCCAAATACAGATCTTTTTCAATCCTATGCCAAAGTGACGCATCTAGCCTACAGCTTGAGAAAAGATTTATTGAGGAGCATGTAGCAATCGTGACATCGGTCACAACCAGTCCGGGATGGTAAATTGGTAGGTATTGGTGTATACGGGAGGGTAAAACAGAAACGCGGGAATCGAGGATGAGGATGAATAGTAGGGCCAACGTAACCAGTGCACCGAGTTTCAAAGCCGTCCGAAGCTATTATGGTAGGAGGTAAGTTAATGAAGGTCAAGGTAGAAGAAAAATATCCCAACATACTATTCGGCGGTTCATCCTGGCGACAAACCGCTAGCTTAGGGGATCTTCCTCAGGCTATATCTTCCTTATAGTGTGAGATTCGAGATTCAAAGATGGGATACCGCCCATCGTGCGAAATGTTGAAGCCAACAATCGAAGAGACGAGAGAATATACGATTAAATATCAAGAGGCTTTCGCCCAAGCCCGTCCCGGTCCTTTGCCTCTCAAGTATAACTTGATGAAGCGGTCGTGCGGCCACGCGAGTACCGGGTGGAAATACTATCATCCGGATAGCTAGTTACTCCATGGTTGTAATTTTTTTTTTTGAGATTGACCTCACCCGCTCGAAATCAGTCTCTCTAGCTAATATATGTGTCATGCTCAGCCTAGTCGAATGGCCCAGTTCCTTTCTACTCTCCGCCGCTTCCTAACACGACATCCCAAAGCTGGCGCATATGAACCGCTCAACACCAACTTTTCAAGGTTCGAAGAAGGCGATGTTGTCATAGTGAATGGGAGGCATCCTCTGTTGACAGCACCATTGGGGAAGAATAAGTCTACAGGAGTCAGTCGTGGATCGATTGAGCACAATGATATTATTGGGAAAGCACCTCGCGACCTCGTGCAGGCACGTAAAGGTTTGTTTCACAACCATTCTCCATCCATGCCAGCTTGCTAACACCTTTTCTCTCTGCACAGGCCCGCAATATAGGATCACTTTCCCAACCCTTGAAGAATATGCTACCCTAAGCCCCCGATTAGTCACGCCGGTGTGTGTTCTTTCGTGGCGTCCAAACATTAGAGTATCATTGACTGATTGGGGAGTAGTAGGTCTATCCTGCTGACGCCAGTTTAATTGTGTCGCTTTTAGACATTCATGTACCAAGCCCCGTAAATGATGGGATGCTAGGTGAACCTCTAGAAATTCTTGAAGCAGGAACCGGCCATGGATCACTGACGCTGCATCTTTCGCGTGCAATAAACGGTGCCAACTCGTGCCCACCTCGCATCCCACGCCGTTTGCAGAGGCACACTGTCTCGCAAAACGATAACAAAAGTGTGCTGAAGAATGAGGAATCGCTAGTGTCGGGCGGAATTGAGCCCAGCCAACAGGCTTGGAATGCCTGGCGCTCTCAACGTCGAGCTATTATTCATACCATAGAAGTCTCAGCCAAACACTCTACTCACGCTGAGAAAATTGTGCGAGGCTTTCGACGTGGTATGTATGCTGGAAATGTTGATTTTTACGTCTCCAGCGTTGAAGAATGGATTGAAAATGAAAATCGACGCCGAAAAAAGCCCTTGCTATCAGATACACCAAAACCATATCTTTCATACGTTATTCTGGATATGCCCTCAGCGCATTTACGAATACCAAACGTATCCCCCATTCTCAAGGTTGATGGCCTTCTTGCTGTATTCATGCCAAACGTGACGCAAATAGGAGATTGTGTAAAAATCATTAAGGACAAACGTTTACCGTTGCGCATGGAAAAGGCAGTCGAACTCGGGACTGGTATCAGCAATGGCAGACTTTGGGATATAAGAATGGCTATACGGCGGTCCAAGCCAGCCCCGGCTAGTGAAGAAGCCGAGAAAACACAACCTGGAAAGGAAAAGAACGAGGAAGTGTCTGACATAACTAGTCAAGACGCAGTGGCCGCTATAGGGCCCGAGGAGCCGCGAGCTGGTGACCCAGTGTTGGTCTGCCGACCCAAAGTTGGCGACCGAATTGTTGGAGGGGGCTTTATAGGACTATGGAGACGGATTGCCGAGGAATAGACTACCAACATTCAAATAAACGAGAGAAGCTAATATTTATCGCAACTTATCAAAAACTTCGAGCAGCTTTTCTACAGCTTGGCCTTCGCCGACCCCTCATCCACCCCACTGCGCGCCAGCACCCACTCAGCGACGTCCTTGACGAGCGCTTCCTTTATTCCGTCGGGCTCCGCATGTAGTTTATGGTAGCCACCATCATATTTCTGAAACGTTGAATCACTTACAGAAGCCGCCTCCGTGAAGCGTCTAGAGGCGTCGAAATCATTAACCCGATCAGCAGTCCCGTGGCACACCCAGAGTGCTGTTGCTTGCGATTCCATTTTGGGTGTATGCTGCAGGGCATCAAGCCAGGCTGCCCGATCCAGCATTCCTGCAAGCCCTTCGAGCGTGCCAGTATCATGGCAAAGTGGATCGTTTTTCCATTCCTCACAAACACGCACGTCACGACACATGGTGAGTGGATCGAGTGCTTTGAATAGTTGGTGTTGTGGTCTTAGTCTTGCAGCCAACCTTCCCATGAACACGGTAAGTCTGTAAGGGGCGCTATCTGGGTGTAAGGCTATCAGTGGCGAGTACGCCAGAACTCCCCGGACCCAGGGCGGGAAGTCTGGTGAATTGAGCATGTAGTAGAGTACTTCTGCACCACCCATACTGTGGCCCATCAAGAAAACAGGCGGTATCGTCGATTCTGCTGAGCCCTCTGCTGATGCCTGCTCTTTCAGCGAGCTATAGGTGCTCGTCAAGAACGAATGAATATCCTTCAACACAGTCTCAGTTGAGCCCGTAAGGCCTCTAGATGACGGGCTTGTAACAGATTTGCCCCATCCACTGATGACGCAGCAGTGTCAGAAAATATAGATATAGAGATAGTCATGATACAGTCTGATAGACCAAATATGAGGTTTAGTATGCATACCGCTGATCAAACGCCCGCACTTCAATGCCATAGCTAGCCAGAGCAGGGAAAAAGCCGTAGTACGCATTGCCTGTCATATTTAGCATAAATGCCTACAGAAAATGCATGTGAATGGGCTCATACAATGGTCGCTAAATCCGTGGACGAAAACGATGACAGCCTTGGGAGGCCCGTCGGTCTGCATGTAGAAACATTAGTTATTGAGGTATTATCTGGCATCCAAACTATATGTATGATGGAAGAGAAGGATTAAGAATCGAAGGCGTCAAAGTCACGCCATCAGAGTGTGAGAGCTGTAGTTACCTTCCATGTTTTCGTGTATAGCTTGATTCCTCCATCCTCCGGGGTGTGTTGACCCTCCTTAGTGACAAGCATGATAATAATAGATGGGCAAGTGGTAGGGGATTTTAAAATGGAAGTGTAGACTCGTCAAGTGAAGTTCTAGGAGTTGTTGAGGAGAGGGCTTGGTAGTTGGAAGTAAACTAAATAGTCTATTCCGTATCTACCTCATAGTTATGTAGTTGGCTACCTAACCAGCTAGTTCTATGGCTAGTTCCATGGCTTCGATCAGGCAGACCGACCTTCAAAAACAACCAAGTCAGAACCAAATGGGAACTAAGGGGGCTAACCAACCATCGGAAATCAACTCAATTTAGAACATTCTGGATGAAAGCCAACTTATTTCAATAGTCTCCTTTCACGTAGTTACTATAACATGGAGATGGATTTGATATGGGATGTTCACTTCCCATGACTACGAAGTTTTTTGAAACAACTGTCAATGGAAGTGTCTGTATGGATTAAGCACAGCGAAATAAAAAGCCATCGTTCGCCATCATAAAGTGAAAAGAAAGTAGGTCCTGAGCAGCACCACCCACCAGCAAATAAAAACCAAGTAAAATGATAAATGATTTCTCATTGCTCCCCAAATCCAGCCTCCACAACTAACCATAAAACACCGCTCAGCAGTCCCTGCAGCCAGATGAGAGAGACTACAGCAAGAATGCAAACACTTAGGGGCAGAGTACACAGGCGGTGGATATGAGGAAATTGCCACGCCGTCCAAGAACAAACTCAGCTGACAGAGAAGGATGCACAAACGACCATACCGAGAAAAAACAAAACCAATGCAATAGGACAAATATCAAAAGAGGGGGAAGGAGTGCGGCACGAAATACCAGATCAAGAATGGCCAATAGCTTTGCCAGTCAATTATAATGAACACGAAAACAGGAGACCCCTCATATCGGTTTATCCCGCTGCGGACCAAAATCTACCTCGACAGGCTTATTCTTCTTGCTCTTAACGGCAAACTCCGCAAGAAGTGCCAGATGATCACTAGGGAAGTGATAATTTGGGAACCCAGGAACCCTCTTCAAGTATTCTTTATCAACCTCACCTAACAGGGCTGATACTTGAAGTGAGTTGGAGGAGTACCAGATGTAGTCAATCACGTCCGTGAATCCAGGAGTGTAATTAGTAAACTTTAACTCGCCAATGGAAGAATATGCTGATTTCAACGTAAATGGGTGGCTCATTCCCACACGGCTAAGATTTCCGTACAGGCGTTTTTCAAGGTCTGGATGCTCTTCAGCCATGCGACCATGAGCTAGAAGATTATAGACAGCCGACCCTGGGCGAGAGTTGAAATCACCGCAAACCAGAATAGGGATCTGTGACGCGCTAGTGTACTGCACCGAGGGGGCCGGTTCAACAGGGGTGGAAGTTCCTTGATTCTGTTTCCCATCTTCCGGCTCCGAGAAACGAAAGGCCGCCTTGTCAGTGCATGGCGGAACTTTGGTGTATTTCTCTGCGAGTTGCGTGACCTCTTCCATCATAATGGCAACCTGGACGAGCTTCACATCTTTATAAGCCGGGTCCCAGTAGATATGCGCATTGACGACAATCAAACGCTCTCCCGTAATCCTGTTTTCTAAGAATATCACAACAGCAATATTATCCTTCTGCCATAGTCTATTATAGATGTCGTCCTGGCCTTTCGCATCCGGTCTTCGAACAGCGGTCTGACCGAAATGAATCATATTCTTCTCAAGCAGAACGTATTTACTGCCCTTGAAAAAGGTAGCGCAACCATCCACTAACTTAGCCTCCTCTTCCGGCATGCCTTGAGCTCGACCTTTTGGCCAATAGACACCCTTGTAATCATTGTACGCGAGCTGTTCGCGGAAAAAGCCATGATAGCTCCCTTGATCGATTTCCTGCAAGCAAACAATGTCCGCATCGTGACCGCGTATTTCATTCAACAGAAGGTCTCGTCGGAATTCCCATGCTAGAGCTCTTGATGGCGCATATCCGTACTGCTGGTTTGTGGCATATCTGTCGCAAAGAGTATTGTAGGTAAGAGCGGTAAACTTGTTGTCACTATTGCCGCCAGAAGAGGAGTTTTTGCCAGTTTCGTCAAGAATAAGCCAGTCGCGATTCGAAGGAGGCACCTGGGCTGCTTGGAGTTAGCTAGGGCGAAAAAGAACGAAAAACGGGAGTGTAAGAGACATGGCCACATACCAGGCATTTCTTCTTTTAGGTATTTAATGAGCGACTTCGTTCCTTCCTGCATAATGCGCGACTTCAGAATGTCCGCGAGGGGATTACCCTCGATACCAAGGGTGTCAAGCTGGTACAGGTAGCCCAACTCGAAGGGGAGGGTTTGGAGGTGGTTGTCGAAAAGAAGGAGCTTCTTGAGATTGATTAGCATTCCGATTTCCTCCGGTATTTCCGTCAGCTCGTTACTCGAGATGTCTAAATGGGTTAAGTTTTTCAGTCTCCCAAGATTTGGAGGAAGTGTTTTTAGTTTGTTATGATTCAGATACAGCTTGTCAAGAAAGATATACTGAAATAGCCCACCGGAAAGCGAACGAAGACCTTGCCCACCAAAGTCAAGAGCCATCCAGTCTTGTCTACGGTGATCTTTGGTTGCTGTTGCCCGATTTCGTTCTTCTATTCCATTATCATTTTGATCTGCCTGGTTGGACGACAATTGCAGGCCTTTCGTCTGTTGTGCAACCGCCCGCGCGTAGTAATGGGGCGAGCTCGCCTGTCTTGACTCAGCAGCGAGCTGTAACTGTAGCTGCCAGTGCTCATTCATAGGCTCTTCAATCTCATCTTCCACATTGGCAGTTGTTCCATTCTGCAGGTGTGCCGGGGCAAAATGCTGGTTTGTTGAGGCTAGCGTTGCCGCGGTAAAACTATGCTGGTGAGCGAGATTTGACGTTGATTGCGAATGAGGGTGGTGGGTCTGCTGCGCATGATGGGGATGATGGGTTGGGTGCTGGAATTTCGGCATTGGCATTCCAAACCGCTGATGGGATTGGCCATTCATCATGACAGGCTGGCCCTGGTGGTTCTGGGAATACATGGCGTAGGAGTTATGGCTAGGCGATTGGTTCAGAGGAGGAGAACGCGACGGTGAAGGGGTGTCGGTGTTGAACTTGAGCCTCCCGTTTGGGGAGCCAGTTCCGTTTCGGAGAAGGTGTCGCTGGTGAGCAGAGTGGTGATTATGCTGCTGGGCCTGAAAGTAAAACTGCCCGACCCCAGGCTGCTGGAACCTGTAGGTACCATCTGCCATTTAACGAGGCAGATGAGACCGGGGGTGTACTTCAGGGAAGGTTAAACGAGAGATCTTCAAGCAGGATTGAGTCGGCGGGAGATGTGGTAATGGGTGGAGTGAACGTCTGTGTCTCTTCAACATCAGGTCCTCAGGGGATTCCCCTGCGAGCGGGCCTGTTTTGCAGTCTGGTGGTCTAAACACGGCGAGGGCCGTCTATCAGGTAGAGGTAATAGCCTCCTCGTGCGTGTTTTGTGACTCCCAACCACCGGTAGTGACGGCGCTAGCAGCGGGCTTGCAAGAAGACTCGGGGGCCTGAGGCGCAAGGGAATCGAGTCGAGCTACCAGAGAAGTCGATGCCACAATGAAAGCTTCAGAGCAAGATCCGCCGATGGTCACGCAGAGCAGAGAGCAGTCATTGATCGCGCTGTGTTGGTCTGCCTTCGCCGTTTCAAGACGCAGTTTGGATCTGGCGGGAGAACCTTGAAGATCACCTGACCCGCGATGCCCGATCGGGCACGTCAGTCAGGTGACTGGTGGCGGCGGTTTCGGCAGAATCCTTCCGGCGCGGGGAGATGAATGAAGGAGGAATGAAGGACTTGAACTTCCACGGACAGACTTATTATTGCAGATATTCTTATTGACCAAGCGCACTCGCTGGACTACCGTTGCACCGAGCTTTGTGCTTCGATTTGCCTCTAGCTGTGTGGCTTGCACCCCTTCTCAACCCGGAAACTGACTACACATCCATACAAACAAGGCGTTGCTCGGCCTTAACCTGCACGCCAATACGGTACTCGCCACTGCCCATAAGTCCGTGTGGTGAGCTTCAAGAATACTTGCTCGGTGGATCGCTGCGGCGCTTGGGCCAGAAAACGATCTCCTCGAAGCAGCTTGTCTATCTCTGAAATCCCCCCCTGCTTGCCCGACCACGGACCCTTCTATGTGCAATACGGCATATGTCTTTGTGTGTTATCGCTGTTGGGTTTCAAGTGTCGGCTATTGATGCAGGGGAATATCACAGTGGGCTACAAAAGTCGCTATTGTAGGCTCTCAGCTCCGTACGGAGTACAGAGTGCGCATTAATGAGGGAGTCCTCCGCACTCTTTCCGTTGAGCATTGTTGAATAACTACTATCCGTAAATTGTATATTCACTCTGATACCGGGTTTCGCCTCAAATTCACTGCAGTCTGGAAAGGGCCTCGTATGACTTCCCCTGCATTAGCAAACGTGTTTCATCATCAAGAGTTTGAGCCCGCGCTGTTGGCTGCTGGAGTTTCCGAGCATAGTTAACTTCGGTGCTTAGAGCCTCCGCTAGTTAGTTACATATTGTAGCCTCGTTTCTATCGAAACCGAACAATGCTAGACGTCCTCAGAAATTGATTCAATGTGCTCTGTCGACTCTTCAGTTGCCCCGCAAGGCTGGATGGAGAGCCCCTCTGTTGTTTGAGCGAATTCTCCGAGGTGTTTCACGCCCCTTTCTGCGTCATGAAGAGTGCTCAGTACTTAATAACATCCTCTGCTAACACGCAATTTGTGGCCTAACTAGTCATCCCGTTGGCGCCCGGATCGCTACCATCAGCGCATATTTCGTGCCGCTCAGGGTGCCCATGCGATCCTTTCTCGATCACAAGCAAGCGAGAGCGCTTCAGCACGACCTTCCCCAGATGTGGCTGCTCAGAGAATAGGGGCTTCACCGAAAATCATCCCCGTGCGCGCGCGAGAAATGGCCGGGCCTGCCGGGCTATCGTATCTCTACATCCCTCCCACCTCGTTCGCAAATGATCTCGGACGGCATGAATACTTCAACCTCTCTAGCATGACCATCGCCTCATCATCGTCCGCTGCCTCGTCCTCAACAGACTTTACAATCCATCCTCTTGTTCGTCAGCATGGGCGAACATACCTCCGCGATCCAGAAAATCCCTATCCGTTACCATGCGACCTTCTCGAAATCCATCGCCAATCGCTGCGATCGCTAATGCTGATCGAGGTCTTTGGCGCCCCGTTCTGTTCGCCGCATTTCGAAGATACTCCGCCAAAGCGGGTGCTCGAGATTGCATGTGGATCTGGGTTGTGGTCAAGCGCATGCCACGAATATTTTGCGAAACGCGGCCACTCGGAGATTTCTTTTACCGGAATTGATATCATCAACGTTGCTTCGGATCTACAAAAGCAAGGTGTCGACTGGGAATTCAAACGTCATGATCTACGAACATCCAAACTGCCCTTCCCAGACGACCACTTCGATTTTGTTTTCATCAAGGATGCCGGCATTGCGCCCTCAGGCCCAGACCTTCAAAGCACCCCGCTTGCAGAGTCTCTTCGCGTCTTGAGGAAAGGAGGCGTTCTAGAAGTCTGGGAATCGGATTTTATTTTTCGATCCTTGCTTCCTGATCCACCTAGCGTTCCTGGATTGTCAGAGCGAACTGAAGGGCTGGCCGAAACTACAGGGACGTACACCATATCCTCAGCCACCCCCTTTGCGGATGCGCAGAACCCATTTTTGCGCGACTATAACTTGTGGATCGAGAAAGCATTCGAAACACGCAAACTTACTCCAATGCCCTGTGCAACTGTGAACCTATCTTTTACCTCCGAATCGGAATCGTTCGAGAGCGTGGATAGCCGCAGAGTCGCCATACCTCTTGGAGAGGTAAAGTGGGAGCAAAAACCACACACAGGAACAGCGGCGCGGCCGCCACTGACAGAAGAGCAATTGGCCCTGCGCCATACTGCCTTGTTAGATGCTTTGCAGATGATGGAGAGCATGGAGCCAATTCTTAGGGAGGCCAGTGGAAAAGGAAGAGCCGAGTGGGACCGCTGGTGGGCGAGTATGAGGCAAGACCTATTGCAAAACGATGGTGTCACAAGCGGCGAGTGCTTGGAAGTGGGTGCGTGGTGGGGGCAGAAACGGTGATCGGGAACGTTTCAGACATAAATAGGCGCTGCCTCGATGATCTTATAATTCAGCCCATGTCAACTCGTTACATTCTTTCGTCATTTTGGTCTGATTGGTGTTGTTGCCGAAGCTTCTCATCGGCTAGAGTAATGGTTCTTGAGAAAACGGTACCGCTTCAGGTAATACCTATATCATGAACAGGTTTAGGCAACTTTCCACGGGTCCAGTTGAAGCTGGGACGAGATTTCAACAAAAAAGGGGCAAAGAAAAATAGAGTGGCGGTAGTTTTCATCTCTTTCTATCTTGCGTGTATATAGTAGAATAACTTTTAGGGCTCAAAATTTTCCTCTTCTTGTTCCCAGGTCCAAAGAAAAGTAGATAGGAATATTTACTTACAGTGCTTCGATTTCTACCATGTCAGATGTCAGTCTGGGCAATGAACTTTTGAAGAATCCTAGTGGAGGTTGACAAGAGCGCACCTTTCTTTACAAAATAGGCTCTCTGGATGCCTTTTTTGATCTGTTCCTCGTCTTTCAAGTGAGCCTGACTCAGGAATGCGCGATGGAGTCTGTCTCGAAAAAACTGATACCCAAGGGGATAGTTGCGGCCTAGATGTAAGAGTTCTAGCACGTAGACGGTTTGGATTAGTATCATAGCTTCAACCAGCTCTGACACTGCTAACACTGGTATTGAATCCGGGGCATTTTGTGCATAGGGGAAATCTTCTGCCTGTGCGTTTACATTTCTAGTACATACCCTTGTAGACCCGCACAACCTGATATCGAAGGGCGTAGTGCATATTGCAGGGTCTCCTGCTTAGAGTTGAGGCTGCTATCTGAGCAGCCTTAGAGTTTTCTGCCCGTATGGTATGCTCTCCGCCTTCCGCACGGAATCCAGAAATGTAGGTAGGTTGTTAATATTCCGGCCCGCCGCCTGGAAGGTTGGAGTCTGCGGGAGTCCGCGTTTCCGCGACGGGCCGATGAAGACGATCACGTGGATCGGCCAACCGGGCCGAGGCCCGATCGATCGGCGTTTTGGGGTGAAGCAGACAGTCAACTTGTCTTCCAGGACGCATACACCGTCAAGCCGCGTTCTCAGTGAGAAGTTATAACACTGAACTAAAGCTACTATGGCATATCGACTTATGGCACGAAGGCCATTCATCCGTACAGCCTTCAATCTGCGCAAATGCATGCCTACCACCAGCTCTCCCAATCTTCCCGAACCACAATCTTCATCTGCCCCTCCCGCACATCACAAATTCGACTCTAAATGGCTTTCGAAAACGAAACAACGCCTTGCAAAATGTATGCAATATGGCTTGAAGCCTGAGCAAGCTCTTGTTGCTGGTGATATATCCCAACAAGTAGCTCGAGACTGGCGGGAACTCGTTGCAGGCGGCGAGGGCTTCTTGACATGCGAGAAGCGACAAGGGCTATCAAAACACAATGTTGTCTGGGGAGAAATGGTATAGACAGTACCTGACCTGATTGGCCAAACAGACATATTTGATACTGACTTGACTCTCTTCTGTCTTTGGTTGATGGCAGGATGTCATGGTAAGTACTGATAGCCTCTGATGACACGTCATTTTGAATTGTACAAGTATTTTTTGATGCTAGGCTGAAGCAATTGATGCTAAATTATAAATAAGGGTAGGTTCTGGTCTTTTAGTTGGTTCGCGTCTGCGACACGAAGCTTCGGCACACATACTGAATTTCTTCGCTCAAAGGGCATGTAAACAACGTGATGTATGTACGATATGCAGAAACGGGTCGTGTCAATTGGACACGCAATTTTGCCATGTACCACGACCCGGCGCATGAAAAGCAATGGCTAGAAATGATTGGGTCGACAGGCATTGGTCTTATTCTGAAAAGCATTAAGATCGATTATAAATTCGTATACATACACCGCCCTAGCCTTGACCCCGGTAGCACGCGCGTTCACTAACTGTGGTTACACCGTAGCCGATGACATACCCAGACCAAATCAGCGTGTACCACAAGCTGGCCCATGCACCGCCGTCCCTGTCTTCACCCAACCCCAACGCCTACTCTGACCTAGTTTTTGATGTAGTGATTTTATCTGAGGCCAAACAGCGAGTGGCAGCGCGCTGCCATGAAGTTGTCGTGCTGTACGATTATCGGATTGGTAAGAAGGTTTCCGAGCTTCCCCAGTATATGATAGATCAGTTTAGGCACACGTGGGAGCTTCAGCAGGAAGCCAAGAGAACCAATAGACAGAGGATGCAGGAAATAGACGACCGGATAAGGGACTTGGAGGTGCAGAGTTGGGATCGCAAGGGCGCAGTTGAGGACATGGGCTCTGTAGGGTAGACGGTGCTGCATCTCTGCCCAACATCATGGCTGGTGGTGCATGAACGCTGCCGGCACGTGTTCAAAGTGTTTCGGGGGTAGCGGAGGGTTTAAGCTTCCCATCCACGTGAGATATCCTTCGAAACATGGGAGCGGCGGATGTTTGAGGTTGATTTAAATGTGCGCTCGAGATAGACTACTGGCGTGAGCTGCCGCAATCCAGCGCATGGACCGTGTCACGGACAGTGAAATTGCAGGCAGAAGCGCGGGTATTGCCACGCCGGACGCTTAGCTAATCCTGTGGCTTGTACTCCGTAGTCAGTTAACTCACTCCCTAGCCTCGAGGGCGGGAAAAAGTAAACCGCCAACACTCTCTTTGCACCCTCCGCATGGCCTAGCTGCTCTCTGCCTAGGCCCACGCTTATCTTTCCTTTCTGTTGCGTCTGTATTCTTTATCTGTAGCCTTCGTCTACGCTCTCGCACTCTTTGCTCTCCCCCCAGCCGTCCGTTCCTTGGCCATTGGCTGCCAAGTGGATTTGGACGTTGACCAGCGGCGCTCTTGTCCATGACACGACCAGCAGCAGCAGCAAGGAAAAATCACCAAGGTAGTCGTCATGAAAACGGTCAGGTCTCTTCTAGTAGGAAAGTCTCCAAACAGAAGTCGAATGGCCATTTAAATGGAACTTTGAACGGTCACAAACCCCCTCCCGTACCCGACCTCCCTCCCCTCAACGCCTCCGGATCCGAGCGACCCTCGACAACGCCGTCGCCGGGCAGTATTAAGTCGGATGATGCTGTGGAAGGGACAAATATGGTGCTGAATGGGCAAATATTGGCTAGGGGGGATGGGAGCAGTGGTGGTGTGGCGCCCAATGGCCATGTGCATCAGCCCAGTTCTGCAAACGGGGTGGCTTCAGGAATAAGAGGTGGGGATTGTGTCAATCGCCGGCCGGAGAAATTGATGGGCCCAATGCCAGGTGTTAAGAAGGCATATGCTAGCAAATCCGTGAATCCATTTCATCTTGCTTCCACGATCCTCAAAGCTTGCCCCATGGCCGACACCATTGCGATCCTTATATTTCTACTGCAGCTCCCACCTATCATGCTTACTCTCGTTCAGTTTCTCTATGCCTCAATGACATTTATGCTTCCAGCGGGCGTCTCCAGCGGTACACTTACATCGAACTTCGACATCTTTCAGGGGCCTGCGGGTACTCCCTCCCTCTCGACCATGATCGCTATGGATGCATTTTGTCTACTGGTCTGGAGTCTATTTATGTGGAATTGGGCTCGAAACTTCGCTATTGACCTTGCACACATTCAGGTAGCCATAGCTTTAGGTGCCGGAAGTTCAGGAGATACAAGTGGCGTTAACGCGTTCTGTGTTTCTGTTCTTTTGGCTGTGCATTTGCTTCGAAGTGAAGGGATACAAGATTTTGTATTTGGACATCTACTTTCCGCGAATATTGTTTCGAGTGACATCTTGGAGAAATATTCGATTTTGATTCCCACTGAACTCAAAAGAATACAGAGCCCTTCCTCTCCAGGCTGGGTGCGAAGTCTTCTTGCTGTGCACATTCTGGCACAAGCTGGGACAGCAATGGCTAGGCGGTCTATGGCGAAAAATCGATCCCCGCCACGAACCAAAACAGGGAAACGACATGATACAGAAGCATCTGCCGGCGCACAATTTGACTCTTCGACTCTTGAACCTGGGGCATCTCCCTCACCACTGACCAACTCAGAGGCTCTTCCTTTACCTGGTTCCGTAACGAATGAAGGCAGGGATCGTGTTTCCAGTGCGAAGAAAAGAAGACGACAGGCGAATGAGGCGAGGCGATTACAACCATTCTGGGCTGCATTAGCAAGCACAAAACTTACTGTCACTCGTGAGTATGACCGTTCGAGGCATGGAAACTGGTACTCTCCCGACTTTCCAGTCGCCGAAGATGATCTTGAAAGAACACCTCCAGGCAACGGCCTGATCTGGATTACCCATATTGATAGCAGTTCGATCAAATTTGCGGCTAGCGATCTAGCAACAGATGAAGACCCTATGTTGAGTGGGGCGTATGACTGTGGAGCCTCTGATACTGACCCGGATCCTTTCTATGTTTGTGTTAATGGGGCTCACTGGGCCCCTGTTAGCCTGACTAGGATTCCTGAGAATTCTGATGAACCTTCTTTAGTTCATTGGAGAGGAGAAATTGCTGGATTGGCACCTGACTGCGCTTACGCCTGTAGTTTCGTGCGCTACGATAATGACGAGGAGATTGGCTTTGTGAGCATGAAAACACCTCCGGCTTCGGATACAGATCAAGGTAAGAACTTTGTGTTTACCTTGATTCCTGGCAAAACTAACATGTACGCAGCATCCATTGCCCCTCCTATACCGTCATCTCCAAGCCAGTCTTTGCGGCCATCTTCTCCAACTACGACTCTGAAAAACTCAATTGTCAATGCGGAAGCCAAGTTAAACGAGCGCCGGGCCAAGCTGAAAAGAGCTAGAAATGACCACAAAATTCAACTTTCTAAAATCAAAAAAGAGCTCGACAATTTCACCCATCGCCTGAACAGTGGTGGCGATGACAGCAGGCAAAAGCAACGGTCTCTTCAGTTGGAACGAAATATCCGACAAACGGAAGAGGCAACCGCCGCTTTTGAACTTCAGTTAGAAACTCTCGGGAGTATACCAGAAGAAGAAATGCAAGAATGGGATTCTCACAAAGCCATCTATCAGCAAGAAACTGACCAATTGAAGTCTCTGAAAAGTGAATTGGACGATGTCAAATCTGCCACAGATCGTGAAGCGTCATCGGCTGAAAACGAGTTGACAACTATTGTACAGAAAAGAGAGCGCCTTCAGAATCGCTGTAACAGACTTTCTGAGCAATATGAACGTATCACGAATGCTAATAGTCAAGGGCTGAACGAGCGGGAACGACGTGCTGCCGAGCAAATTGCTAAAGAACAAGAGCATGCAAGGATAGAGGAAAACTTCCAAGAGCAACTGACAAGTCTCACTGCTTCCCTAGAAGAATACCAACTCCGTACCACACGGTTATGGCAGCAAGCTATGGCAATCGAACAAGTCTACCAGCAGCAACAACTTTACATCAACTCAGGCCCATTGACACCCGAAGGCGATCTCCCAGGAACGAAGACGCAGCCAGTAGATACGACTTCTTTCAATGGCCCGGTGTGCCCCAGTGTCCCAAACATCACCACGGCTTTTCCGATGTATAACGCAAATGAAAAACCCAGCTTGGCCCATCGGAGTTCAATGTCTCCAGTTATGGGAACCTCGCTCCATGCAGGATACACAGAGCCACAACTCTGCCCGTCTTCCCCCTTCGCCAGCAAGCGCTCAATGTTCACCCCAGAACAAAGTAGCCATCGTGGCCGTTCCATGTCAAATTTTTCTAGCCGTAGTACGCAGGTGGAATACAGCACTCCCCCACTCTTTGGGGACATTGCAGAAGCAGAAGTTCGCCGGAATCCTACCTTCATCCCGAACCCACTGAACCATAGCTTAGCTCAATTCAAGCGGACTGATAGCCGAAGTAGTGGTAGTGGGAGTGGAAGCGGAAGCGGCGATGGTAGTCCCCATTCTAGCCGTCTGAAATCTGCTTGGCCAAGTTGATAAGGGATAGATATTGTCAAGATGGATTGTTGGTTGTGCACAGATAGAAAGTTGTTCGTCCCTCCTAGTAGCTAGCTTCAAGAATCGAAGTGCTCTCTGTAACAGTCGTGTCATTCTTAATAAAAAAATACTTGTTTTACTCTGGCCAGACATAATTATGTTGCTTCAGTCACCACATGTGAGATGATCAGGTATACGGAGTAATATGAACGATATTTCTCATATACGGAGTATAGAGCCATGCATTTATAGAAACGGTGCTGCTATGATATATGCATCCGAAATGGGAATTCTATAAACGAAATTGATCTGAAGGGTAAAATATAGGATACTTGGAGTTCGCCGTCATGTCCATCTAACGCTGGAGGAAGAGCAAATAGAACCGGGAAGAGCTAGAACACAATTCAATCATGGCTCCCCTTCTCGTGGTAAGGGAGTGACTGGTTCACCGATCTTCCAAAAGCGAGTGTCCGCGTATGTAAGGCATAGTTCATTTGTAGAATGATATGTTTCAGATTGTTGTGGCTGCCTCTGTGATTGCTCGCAACATATCTTCATGACCGTGCCAAGGACAACTACATGGTCTCCAACTCGAATGCTCGAGGGATGATATCTGCACTCTAGTATAAACGGAAAATTAGGTAGAGAGCCATTATCCGCAGTAATGCTTGCTTCCTCTCCTTGAATAACGAGTCGCGGCGGTTCGCCTTCTGAAATCGCGGGCAAATTGTGGGGCGAGCTCAGCGACGCAAACCTAAACGTGCCTTTTTTATCCTCAAGCAAAATATTTTCATGGCCTCTTGAAAACTCCCTCGCTAGTCTGGCTGTGGCCTTGTTCGACGATAACAGATGAACCAAAAACCGCTGTGACGAGAGGATCGCATCATATGTTTCTGATGGCATTTTCACGTTGAAGGACACAATTGGATCTGGGTATAACGTTACAGTGTTAAAGGATGATACAGTCATTCCTCGAAAAGCAGAACCAGCGTCATTATTTGGGAATGTAGATGTTATTATTGCGACTGCGTGAGGGACCAAACGCATAAGCGAGCGAACCTGCGATTGGATATTAGTGTCGATGGCAGTGAGTGAATACGGCTCGGTAGATATATCGTCCTCCGGAGCTTCTGCAGCTTTCTCTAGAGCTGTCTGGGCCCCATATTTCGACTCCTGGGTATGGGTAGGTGCAAATGACTTTGTCAGCTTGTTGATTTCTTGCGGAAGCGAACGTAACCCAGGCGTTATGGTAGGGCGGACAACATCGGCGATACTTGTAACATGCTTGAAGACAATGGTCTTAAGCATACGGCCATAATGGCGCTGGCACTGGAATGTTGCAAGTGAGCCAAGGGCGTGAGGACGGAACGGCGAAGCCGCACGAGACACAGCTAGTCTCGAGGTGAGAACAAAGGGCATATTCCCACAGAGTCGACGTTTGGTAGCGAGAGCCGATACTCAATCATCTTTCATACTAGGAATCCACCACCAAGTTAACGAGGTAGCCATGTTAAACTGTTTAGATGTTCGCAATAATGGTTTGCCGACGACAGTGATGAAAAAAAAAGCTTACCTAAGCGTGTCACAACATCCAGCATTCGGCCTCAGCATTCATTTTCTGTTTGACAGCTATTAAGATCTAATTCCTTTATAACAAGAGTGAATCACCGACTCTAGAGCCGAATAAACACCAGCACAATGTCAATTGCCATCCCTTTCCGGCGCATTGGTGCGCCATCGCTCCCTTCTACTACGACCACCTACATCTGCTCCCAGTGCCGACACGCAACGCTTCTACGCCGTCCTAAACGCCCCTACACCTTCACACAGCTCATTACCCTTTCAGACGGAAGCACATTTACCCACCGCACTACTTCGCCTCAATCAGTCTATCGATCTCTCCGCGACACTCGCAATGCGCCGCTCTGGAATCCTTCGAGCGACCGCCTGCTTAACGTGGAGGAAGACGAAGCGGGTAAACTGAGAGCATTCAGAAGCCGATTTGGACGAGTATGGGACTCCGCGAGTAAAGTCTCTGCAGAAGCAGGATCGAAAAGCCGAGCGCCGGCGGATGAGAAAACTGCACCCTCCGCAGAGGAGATGGAAGATGAGGATGATAATTTATTGGATCTGATTAGTTCGTTTGGCCAGGCGGAACCAGAAGCTCCACAGCCGAAGGCTGGGAAGAAAAAATAAGTGATAGCTTTGTTGGTTTCTACATGCACGTTCATGATCTCCTGGAAATATCTTGTTTCCCCTAACAACCGGGTTGTACGAGTAGAGAGACTAAGTTTCGTTCGATATATGCATTATTGCTATACAAAGTGGGTTTCTAGAGGTGATTTTTGCGTGAGAGGCTCTTCATTTTTTTTTTTTTAATGTACAGATAAGAATCAAAAGCTGTCATACACCCCTAAAATGCTACAGCATCGTTCAGCATTAAGTTCCGACCGTATTCTGGAACCAAATATTCATCGAAAAACAGCGTATGGCGTTGTGTGAGAAAAAATACCTGCTTGCGTAGCTTCATTATCATACAAATTGCTCGCCCTGAAGCATAGTCGACTGTGGACATTCCGTGGTGGGGCCAAGCTCGTTACGGTCCTGAGGGGGCTCAGAGACTGGTGGCGGGGCTCCATTGAAAAATGGATTCGTATCGTCGCCTGCATCAAGTTGCATTAGGAATGTTTCCCATAATTCAATCAACTAAGTCAACCGTTAGTCATCTCGAACTATAAGGAATGAAGATGGATACACTTACTTCCTTCTGGGCCTCAACAGCGCTCTCCAAGAACGTTTCAACGCCGGATTTGAAATCTTCAACTTTCTCTTGCTCAAACCGTTCAAGTTCATTCCGCATTAATTTGCCCATATCCTCGAAAAGAAGTCTTGTCTGATGCACTTTCCTCTCTGCATCTGCCACATCTGCATTGGCTTGATTTAATCTATCTTGCTGAGATTTCCCTTGCCGCAGAAGCTTATCTTGAACATTCCTTCTTTTTTGAAGTTCTGATTCGGCGGTATGCCAACTCTGAAATGATTTTTGCCGTTGACTAAATGCCATTTTCACGCTTCCTATGAGCCGGATATACTCGTCTATTGTGATGCCCAGGGTAAGTATATCTTGCTGGGCCTGTCGTTCGTAAAGTTCACGTATTCGAAGCTGGATTTCAGAAAGACCCTCTAGGGGACTCGACAGGGCAGGGGATAATTCAACAAGCGCCAGCGAGTGTAGAGATGCTGAAAAATCACTTGCAGCCTCAGCAAGCCCTTTACGTTGTTGGATCACTGTATCCACTGCTTTCATCAAACCCTTCAATTGATTCTCAAGCGCTTCAAGGTAGATCTTTCTATCATGGAACCACTGTCACCAGTTAGCCTTAGCAGCAGAGTACATATTACTAGGGTTTCTCACGTCATCATGTTCGACGAATTTAGTTCCCCCACCGACCGATATGCCCAAAGAGCTAAACATCCCCTTGCTTTGACCTAAATCTGGCTCTCGGTTTTCTTTATTTTTAACATCCATATTAAATGCTTCGCTTTCCAAGAATATCTTTAAATCAGCATCATGCTGAAGTACCGGATGCGCTGCGATTTTATTCAGCATACGCTCCAATGCAGCTCTTCTTGATTCAACAAAATTGGATTCGAAGCGACCGACTGCCTGCTTCTCCGGTGGTGGAGGTACAACAATGCCGGGGTTATTATTATGCAGAGAATTGTATAGCCACAGAAAGTCACGATATCTTCTAGTAACGGCAAATTCGGGCCGTATGTAAGCTTTCGATGTAGTCTAAGCGCAAAGATCAGATGGTAATCGCGAATCATGGAGACCACATAATACGCACCTTTGTCCTAACCTGGTAGACAATGTGGCTACTTGTGAGATCACCTACTTTATGGGGATCCCCAACTGTAATATAAAATGAAGGCTTTGCAGCTTGTTCAACGGACATACTCGGCTTTGTCTGCTTCTTTGGTACATCTCCGACGTTCGGATGTGGTTGGATAGGAGGAGGTCTCATTTTCGGCCGAGTGTCGATATCATCTTCTAGATTGACCGATTCCATGAGTGCTGCACTGGATGACTGAGATGTTGATGATGTCGGGCGTGTTTGACGGGTCGCAAATGGCTCCTTTTGGGGAGGAACGGGGCCTTGCTCAGAGATGGGTTGCAACGAGCTGCCACCCAGCGGACCTAGCGGATCACTCGAATCGTCGACAGCCTCCAATTTTGTCACTTGAACACCAAATTTCTTTGGCGTACGTACGCCTCTGGACGAAGGAGATCGGGGACTGGTAAGGGACGATGGGGAAGCGAGCTCATTCTGTTTGCCTATTGAAACGGTCAATCAAGATGTAGGCGACCATTGTGGAATCTGATCAAAGATTACCAGACTCATTCTCATTAGAAGTCTTGGACTGGGAGGGCATATCTGGGATAGCAATCAGGTCCACGTTTGGGTCAATAAATGGTGTGCAACTTGGGTTTGACTTACCACCCCATGGCGAATCGCCATTGTCCAGATCCATGAAGCAAGGGGAAAATGAAACACTATTGAAGATTTGGGAATTCTTGGCGCAATTCTATAAGAGCAAGGAAGTTTCTTCAGAGGGGCGATGAGAGAGAGAGAGTATATAGAGACGATTCGCGTCCGCTTGGCGGCGCAGTTAACTAGTCAGCTTGCAAGCCTATTTGAAGAATGACCAGAAAGCCTGCCTTGGCTGGGAGCGGAGTAACTATGTGCCGGGCATAAACCCCCTCCCAAGCACATACTCCGTACTATATAACCCTACTATGCCGCTCAAACCACGCGCGTCAAGATGCGGTCTTTCCATCAATATTGTACTCGGCCTCCCTAGGCTTCTGTGTTTCGTTGGAGCCCGCTCTCGCCTAGCGTCGCTGCATACGGGGCCTTTCGCGCCCTGCGCACCACTTTCCTGCATGTTATCCCCCGGACTGACTTGCCAAGGGAAGAATGGAACACGATACCGACTTATCCAACCTTTAGGATCCCAGATTCGCGGGAAAAGGCCTAACGTATGGCTCGCTGTGGATGATTCCAACAATGCTATCGAGTATGTCACTAAACGACCGCCTCACGGCGATAGTCATGCTGGAGAGTCACCCTCCGCCGCATTACTTGCATTCAAACATGAACTTGCAGAGACTTTTCAAGAAAGATCCAATGATTCGCAAGCTTATCCATTATATTCCTGATTCGGAGCCTGGTGGGCCAATGATGGTTCTTGAAGCATTTACTAACTCGCTTTGGGAAGCGCGGAATGCGAGGCCATTGACTGCAAAGGAGATAAAATGGATTATGAAGGGCGTTCTTCTAGGCATATTTACAGTTCATATGAAAGGGTTGGTTTATACTGGTGAGTGTAAAGTGCTGAAATTTTATTTCAACATGAATTTTGAACTTGGCATATTCACTCTCACTTTAGATCTGAAAATGGAGAATGTCGCCCTTGGCAGGTTTGATCACTCAAAACCGAATGAAAATGTTCGTGAATTGATTGTCCGACTCGCTGATTGTGGTTCCAGTACGTTAGGTTTTATTTGATATTGATATGTTTTGAAAAGTCCCTGACTTCTCGCGTAGTTAGTAAGCCATCAACCAAAGAAGTGACCTCCCTAACATACCGGAGCCCTGAAGTTCACTTCGGCAAGCCGTGGACTGAAAGTACAGATGTTTGGTCCTGGGGAATAATTGTGAGTATTCTTAAATGCGGAGCTTTATTGTGTGTACATACATTCTGGCTAACTTCCCTCACAGCTAGCGCAATTGCTTCAAGCCCAAGTCAATCATAAATCACCAGGAATGTACGATACGATTTCCACGGGACCCCTGCAGAACAAGACGAAAGCTGTTCGCGATCAGCTTGCTATTGACTTTGACCTGGCCTCCGTTCCGTTCTATGTTGAGGACAAACATTGTGCCGGTAAGCTACCTTCACCACAGCCAGACGAAGCATACATGTGGGCAAATGATATGGTAGAGAAAGGCGTTGCTGGCGAAGACATCCAGTTCTTGGTTGAGGTTTTAAATCCGGATCCCAATGCACGCTTGACTGTGCGTGAGATTCTTGAGAGTGGATATTTAGAGGTCTGATTTATTGCATAAAGTCCCATATAGTTTTACTGCATTGCTTTAGATGTATCCTGGAATACGGCCTTAAGCCATCTAGACTCTATGTATATGCTTTTCCGCCGTCGCATAGCCACTGCAATTAGCTGGGCTTCCAAACGTAAAGGTGGGCATCCCTTATCGCTAGAGGGTGGCAAGCCTATCGAGGCGATTGATATAACTTGAGCGAACATTGAACCTAAAATGAAAAGAAGAAAAATCTAACGTTTGATTTTGATAGGGCAGTCAATAGCTAAAGTGCTATTAAAATTTAAGGGGTATTTGCACGGAATAAGTACTGTAACATCTTCGGTCCAAGCAACGAAGTGTCATTGAATCCACGGCATACCAAGCTTATGCATTTCCACGGCCAGCTGGAAGAGATAATCCAAACTCTCGCACTGGGTCTTTGCCTTTGCGACAGTATCGCCCCATACGTATCTGCCAGAACAAAATTAGCAATTGGTTCGGCATCTAAAGCGTAAAGCGCTGGAACACATACATTCCATGTCGACGGACAAGCACCGCATATGTATCCGGGTATTCATCCATAGCTTTCTCCAAGCTCTCAGTTAGATCCTCTTCGAAAGCTGTATTCTCAATAATGGGTATTCTAAGAGTGTCATGATATCCGAGCATGCCTTTCCCTTTCCCTTTTGGAATACCCTTGATCTGCTCGATGTTGTTGATTTCAAAACAGCCAGTTTTGCCTTTCTCTCTCTCAACTAGCAGCGTAACTAGGACTGCCCATTGTGAATGTGTGTGAATTGAGCAGGTCGCCCCTCTTTCGAAGGCGGCCAGGAACAGTGGAGTGCACGCTGAGGGGTTCAAATCCAGTGGCTTCCTGATATACTGTCGTGCAGAGGGTGGGTATTTCGGCGTTGGATATGAAAGGACGAAGATGTCTTCGGACTTAATCTTTTCTTTCTGCACTCCAGAAGGGGCTATGTAAATATGATCGCCTTCACGAATAGAAGTCTAACAAAGATTGCTTACAATTAGCGTACCCGTTTAGGCAATATTTAGTAGAAAATAGGAATTCTCACACCACCTCCGGTCCCAGTGACCCATCCCAATCTGTAAAAACCTTTGCACATTTCTGGAATCAGATTTGCAGGATGTTGTGGGTCAGAAGACTGGACCAGGTGGTCGCAGCTCTGTGTTTCCGTGCTGGCCATTGTACACCGCTTCCTGTCCAAGCAATCGACAGAGGTGGAGCGTAGGTGTCAAGCTTGGACTTAACCGGGCGAATTGTGGCTGGTATGAGGTTTCCGAAGTCCTCGAATATGCCAGAGCCCGATACAACCCAAGATCAGAAAGCTACCCCTCCAAGCATGTGTGAGCAGTGCGGAGGATTTGCGGCGGGCAGCCACCGGCCAATGAAAACAAGCCATCTAGGCAGTTGTGCAGCGCATTGGACCTGTTCGGGGATAGCGCCGTGCATCGTGGACGATACCAGTACGGTAACGCCAGGCGTGGGACGCGTACGATACGGTCGTTACTAGCGGCACCAGCTTGGCCGGGGTACTTCGCGCAGCTCAGGAAAGAGGCCACCTTTCACAGCTCGCCGATTTAATTAGCTCCAGGCCACGGACTTCACCTCGACCTCGTCTATTTATTCCCGCTCCATCCTCTACTACCTGATTCTCTGACTTTCTCCTTTCAGTCGATCTCCCTTCATTGTGTTGATAGTCTAGCTGCCCGTCCTCTTGGGCGATCCTTTCACAATGCGTCTCAACGCCCATACAGCCTCCGTCATCCTGTCCTATGTAGCTTTACTGTCCCAAGCTCAGGCAGCCGACGAGTCAGTAAAAAAGGAAGAACCAACTGCTACGTCCATCGATAGACCCGCATTCACTGTAAGCTTTGGCCTACCCGTCACTGCAAAAGGCTTTTCCTAATTGTCCCCTGCAGGCTTCGAACGTGAAAGCACCATTCATTGAGCAGTTCACAGACGATTGGCAAAAGCGATGGACACCCTCGCATGCTAAGAAGGCGGATTCGGGTGAAGAAGAGTGGGCGTATGTTGGAGAATGGGCTGTTGAGGAGCCGACTGTGTACAAGGGCATCAATGGTGACAAGGGATTGGTGGTGAAAAACGCCGCCGCTCACCATGCCATTTCCGCCAAATTCCCCAGGAAGATTGACAACAAGGGAAAAGACCTCGTTGTTCAGTATGAAGTTAAGCTTCAAAGTAAGTCAAGTATACCGTGGCGAGACGTTTGTTGTGTCTGGCTAACGTTGGAATAGATTCCTTGGTCTGTGGTGGTGCGTACATGAAGTTGCTCAAGGATAGCAAGAAGCTCCATGCAGAGGAGTTTTCAAATGCCTCCCCTTATGTTATCATGTTTGGACCGGACAAGTGCGGTGCTACAAACAAGGTATGGTAGCCTCCATCTATAACCGTAAATGAATTCTCCTAAATATGTTTTTTTCTAGGTTCATTTTATTTTCAAACATAAAAACCCCAAGACTGGTGAATATGAAGAAAAACATTTGTCGAATCCGCCGACGGCTCGTATCTCGAAGCTCTCTACTTTATATACTCTCATAGTTAGGCCAGACCAGAGCTTCCAGATTCAGATTGACGGAGAAGCTGTCAAGAACGGAACTTTATTGGAAGATTTCGAGCCTCCCGTCAACCCTCCAAAAGAGATTGACGATCCAGAAGATACAAAACCCAGCGATTGGGTCGATGACGCGAAGATTTCGGACCCAGATGCCAAGAAGCCACAAGACTGGGACGAAGATGCTCCGTTTGAGATCGTGGACACCGAGGCTAAGAAGCCCGAAGACTGGCTCGACAATGAGCCCACGTCTATCCCCGATCCCGAAGCTAAGAAACCCGAAGATTGGGATGACGAGGAAGACGGTGACTGGGCTGCGCCAACTATTGCAAACCCCAAGTGTGAGGAAGCCCCTGGTTGTGGAAAGTGGGAGGCTCCAATGAAGAGGAACCCTGACTACAAGGGCAAATGGACTGCGCCCATGATCGACAATCCTGCCTACAAAGGCGCATGGGCCCCTCGAAAAATCGCTAACCCAAATTTCTTCGAGGATAAGAGACCCGCTGACTTTGAACCAATGGGTGCTGTAAGTTGATCCTCCTAAGCATTAATTATAAAAATGGCCTGTTACTAATTGAATTGATGTCAGATTGGCTTTGAAATCTGGACCATGCAAAATGATATCCTCTTTGACAACATCTATATTGGCCATTCCGTTGATGATGCCAAACAGCTGAAGAAGGAGACGTTCGACATCAAACACCCTATTGAAACAGCCGAAGAAAAAGCAGCTGAACCAAAAGACGAGCCCTCCGGTGATGATGATAACCTTAGCTTCAAGGAAGATCCAGTCAAGTACGTTCGCAGCAAGGTTGACCGCTTCGTTGGGCTTGCCCGAGAGAACCCTGTCGAAGCCATCAAGGAGGTTCCTGAAGTTGCAGGTGGCTTAGGCGCTCTTTTGGTTACCTTACTCTTTGTCGTTTTCAGTGCCATGGGTCTTAATAGCCCCACACCCGCCCCAGCGAAGAAGGAATCTGGAAAGGGCAAGGATAAATCGAAGGAACAAGTCGCTGAAGCAGTGAGCACTGGAGCAGAGAACGTCAAAGCTGGAGCTACAAAACGGACCAAGTCTAGTGACTAGAGAGAGAAAGAGAGGATGATTTAGGTTGAGCTATCTGTGCTAGCCCAGTCAACAGGCTTAAAACACATTTTCGGAGCCATTACCCAGCTGCCTTTGGGAAATTAGATGAGCGTTGGTACGATATCATCGGGAATGAAAAAAATATTGGCAGGTATACCAATTCATATTATAATTGAAGGTAACGCCTCTTATGCGTCCTGGAATGGCGTTTAGCTGGCCATCGATTGCTACTTTATATGCACTTTTTGTATGACTATGATGTGGTGAAAATCAGCGGAGTGCGAGTTTACTTCAGCTTATCAAATTTTATTTATGGTTCAAATTGAAATTTGTCATGGTCAATATCGTAGCTCCATACCCCGTAGACCCGGCACTTCGCTTATTTTCAAGTCTAGATTCACGAGCCGGAGAGGGCCCCTGACTTGTTTGATTATGCTCCTAAGCACGCGTCCCTGTTCGTGGCATGCCCGGTATTTATGTAGATGCCGATGGCCGTACGATAAAAGGTATTATTTATCTTATATTCCTACTTTTCATTTCATTCCACATAGATATATACAGAGATAGCACAGAGTATCAAAGTCGAATTTGCCAAATTCAGTCGCTGCTCTCGCAGACTTGTCGCCCCAGAACTAAAAAGAAAAGAAAAAAGTTTCTAGGAAATACAGCAGGACACTGAGAGTCATAAGGCGACCGTGAACGAAAAGATAAAGCCAATGAGAAAAACGAGAGCCACACGAAACTATTGATGTGTGGGCATTACTACGCTGGCTTTTGTGTTGATAGCGTCTTCACTCCTCCACAAGCTTGTGACGGTCTTCAACTGAGTATAGAAGTTCAATCCGGGTTTACCGTAGAACGTGCTTGCACCGCCGCCGGCGATACTCTTCTTGTTACCGGTGAATGAGAACATTGGGAGGGGGACTGGGATTGGTCTATGGAGAGAAACGAGGGATTATTATTAGCCAATGAAATCTGGACAAAGGAGAGGGAATAAAAGAATAAAGCTTACACATTGATTCCAAGCTGGCCGGCCTCCAGTTCGTGTTGGAAGCGAGAGGCAGTTGGCCCAGAGCGGGTGAAAACAGCGGCGCCGTTTCCGTACTCGTTAGCGTTGATGAGAGAGATGGCTTCGTCGACGGTTTCGACCTCAAGGCAGACAAGAACGGGGCCAAAGATCTCCTCACGGTAGCATTTCATGTGTGGCTTGACGCCAGTGATGATGGTTGGACCAACCTTGGAAACGAATATCAGTCAAACTGCTAGAAAAAAAAGACTTGGATCGAGTGCACAGAATACATACCCAGTTACCATTAGGATACTTGGAAGGCGTGTAGCCACGGCCATCAAGAAGGATGGTGGCACCCTCCTTTTCGGCACTGGCAATAAGTTCCTCGATGCGCTTCTTGCTATCTGGAGTGATAACGGGGCCCAAATCCGCGCCCTCTTCGAAGCCACCATTAACATTAAGAGCCTTTGCGCGCTCCGCGATCTCGGGGAGCCATTCCTTAGATTCGCCAACCATAACAAGGGTAGACAACGCCATGCATCGTTGACCAGCAGCACCGAATGCCGCACCAACAATGGCATTGAGAGCATGGTTCTTGTTGCAATCAGGAAGGACAGCAGCATGGTTCTTAGCGCCCAGGTTAGCCTGGACACGCTTTCCATTAGCCGATCCACGAGTGAAAATATATTCTCCAGCACGATTGCTACCGACGAAGCTAATGGCCTTGATAGCAGGTTCATCGAGGATGAAATCAACGGTTTTGGCGGCGCCGTGAATGACGTTGATAACACCGTCTGGGAAACCAGCTTCCTTGGCGAGTTCAACAAGGATCATGGCAGCTCCAGGATCCCGCTCAGATGGTTTCAGGATGAGCGTATTTCCGGTCATTGTCGCGATAGGGATACACCAGAGAGGAATCATAGCTGGGAAGTCTGCGGAAAATGAATTAGACCCGCCCTATTCGTGAAAGGAATAGGAGGAACTTACTGAAAGGGCAGATAGCAGCCACAACGCCCAATGGCTCACGATAGGTTCTTGTTTCCATATCCTTTGCAACCTCGAGCAGTTCGCCGGTCATCTGGGTTGTGATACCGCAGGCAGTCTCCGCCACTTGCAAACCACGGAGAACATCGCCCTTAGCATCAGCAAAGGTCTTTCCCTGCTCCAGCGTAATGCTGGCAGCAAGACGATCCCAATTGGCACGGATCAGGTTGACATATTTGAACATGATCTGCTGTCTTGCCATGATGCTTGTGGCTTTCCATGCTGGGAAGGCCTTCTGGGCACTTTCGACCGCAGCTTTCATCTCCTCGTTGGTGCTCTGGGGCACACGAGTGACGAGATTGTTCGTCGCTGGGTCATGCAGGTCAATCCATTGCGTGGCGCTGGACGAGACGAATTTATTATCGATGAAGTTGCAAGTGTCCACCGGCGACGAGATCCGCTCGTGGGTTGTGGGATACTCAGTGGCAGTCGAGGCAGCAGACGTCGTCGCCGCAGGCATTAGCTGTTGAGCAGTGGCATGTAGCCTGCGAGCAGCTATGACTGATCGTGAAGCTTGCGAAGAAGGCATCGTGCGCGATGACAGCGAGGCTAGAGAACTGCGGGGAGAGCTAAGAGAGCGAGCGGAGAGAGCAGGGATGGAGCGGGAGATAGCACGCCGAGCAGCCATTGTCACAGACGGGCAGCAGTGCAGCAAACAAGACGATGGTAAGGATGGAAAGGAGGCCGTTAGCAAGATAGAAAGAAGAAGAGGACGAAGCAAAGCCGCGTAGAAATATATCGAAGTGCTTGTCCGGGGCAGCTGTAGCGTTTAGTGGCGGTTCCTCGGATAAGCGGTTGCACGCGGCCTCGCTGGTCAATCAGAACCCGCCGTGGCGACCAGCCATCGCCGCTCGGCCGGAGCTTTTGCAGCGCGCATCAGAGCTGTACTCCGCACGGAGAACGGAGAAGCTCTGCCATTATCGGCATTTATGTTATTGAGCTGCTGGGTACTCCGAACGGAGTTCAGGCAATGAGCGAGGATGTTATTATTAATAGCGGTCAGGTACTCCAGGGGGAGAATACAAGCTTTCTCATATATGGTTCGCCAAAGCTTTCTTCGAGGCAGCAATCTTATACTATTATACTCCATAGTGTGTACCTGAGATCAGACAAGCATTTACAGGCATTCCTCTTCGCCTCTAGAGGGTAGTTTCAACTCTTCACTACATATAACCGGGCTGGGCTTGGGTTTAAGTCCAGCTCTATCAATATCGCCCCTTCTGAGCTTCTAGCAGCCGCTCGCAAGCAAGGCTGTTCCTGTCTATGAAGCTCTGTCCTCATAGCAAGTCTTTTCTGACCAGGATAGCCCCAAACCACAATTTGGATCATCTTTTCGACCCCAGAAAACACCTGGCAGGAATTTGCGGGGGACATCTGTCACATGACCTAAATTCTTGGCGTCAAATATGGTGACATAAGCAAAAAAGCCCCGCGAATTGCCAGCACAACTTCAATGCGAGTTTAGAACCAGAGTTGTATCAAGATGTGTCCCATTTGTACTGTCTAAGAGAATATGTAACGTACACCGCCGCTTCACCTATTAACTCACTCGCTGCCAAGATAATCGTAAACCAGTCTGGCCTTAATGACTTTGCCGTTTTTCTCGGCCACCACACGGCGGGTATACCGCCTCACGCCGTCGATAACTTCAAACCCCCAGACCTGCAACGCAAATTAAGTCAGCTCGTCCTCTCACCAAGGCACCAAGGAATATATTTAAGCGCGTACCTGCTCAGCTGTCCAGCCATCATTGACGCTCTCCACCCAGCTCTGCACCCAGAAATCCTCCCCCTCACCAGCCACGAACCCCTCCACTTCGGATCCGTCCGCCAAGGTTTCACCCTTCAAGAACTTGGTGACAGCCACCTGCTCGTCTCCAGCCTTGGTCTGAACTTCGACATCTGGGCGAACCTTACCGTCTGCTGGTGCGGTGCCGCGTACATATCGTGATCGGCCCCTGACAGTGCCGAAGATGTGGTCGGTGTGTTCGTGCTCCTCCCAGCCTAGGACACGCTGTTCGGTGGTGCCCGAAATGCCGCCGGTGAGGGTTTGCGCAATGTCAACGTGGGAAATTCCAGCGTCGTCATTGTACTGCTTGACATGAAGGGTGATGGTCGCAAGGCCGATGGTCTTCCGTGTTAACCAGGAGATTCCTTGCTACAGTTTGCGTGTTAGACTTCAGGCTCCTTGGCCCCGCTTCAGAGGGGGGAAAGAACGTACAAGAGACAGAATGGGGTCGGTATCGTTCGAGATCGTTTTGTTCTAATATCTGTCAATACACTCTGTAGGGCGTAGGTCAATAACTGCATGGCTTACCATAGTCCAGCGACCGTTGAGGTCCTTAATAGTCTTTTCAGCAGGAGCAGCCATTTTGATAGGTGGTTGAGGGCTTGGTCAAGATGGGCTAAAAGGCGTGAGGTATACTAGAGAGCGGCAGAGACAAGATTACAGTGAGCCTGAGGGCCAAGTGGTGAACAGGGGAAAAGGTCTAATACGGCCAAAACGGCGGGGGCAGCCCCCTCTATATAGTAGTTCCACAGACGAAGCAAAATGCGTTGTGGGGTACAAACGGAGTGCAGCGAGTCGCTGAGCCTCGGAGCAGCCGCTACGCAGAAGAATAATCATGTGCGAGCAGGGTAGGCGCCAAGCAGCGGCTGCGCAAGGCACATGCTTTTGCACGCGATTTTGGGTTCGCCAACTGCGACTCTCCATGGAACTGCAGCCTGCGATCGAGCCTTAAGATGGCTTTTGGCCCCATCAGCGCGGCGGTCCGCAAGCAAGCACAGGCTGCAGCGTTTCGACGAGTCTGAGAGGCCCATCAGCCAAATCTCCCGGCCAGTATGTCGAACCGCCACTGTTTGATTCAAGCCATTGGTTATTGGATCTTGAAATTTCCATGAAACAAGGGCCAGCCACGGTCTGAATCTGGGGTGAGAAGACAGACATATCGACTACTCCGCATCGATTAAAGTGGTCGCATGCTTCGTGCCGTCTAAAACACTAATAATAGCAATCCTCCGACCGTCGACATCGCTGAGCCATCACCGAATAGGATGATGAAATATGGCTCGAGCTCACGCATCAGCAATATTGTTTTCTGTGCCTATATGTAATTAGCAGAGCCGGCATGGTTGGTAACTACGTAGTTGAGTTACTGTCACTACTAACTAACTAGTGGATGTAAGGGGTTGGATGGTACCTGTTAACGATGCAGAACGGCCACGGCCCTTGCCACAGGCAGCAAGGAGAAGATACCCACAGGCAGAGAGGTGTGGCTTCTCCCAGTGCATAGTTGACTATCTTGGTCCGGAGTATATTGAGCTGTTGACCGCAAAGCATTTTCTCTGGGCTCTTAAATTAGTTTCGACGACCTCATTGGCGGGTAGTCAGGTGATGCTTATTGTTGACATCAAGGGTTCGCGATCAAATACTGTTAACTGAGGAGTTGAGAACGCCAGAGGAAGCGGAAGATACTCGACTCTGTATTTTGCGATGGCTTTCAACAAGAAATATGCTGGTCTCCCGGATCTGGTGAGTTGGTACAGTCGAACATAGTGCACAGGCTAGGCTGACTCCTGGCATAGGATCTTGCGCCCGACATATACGAGACCCCCGAGCTTACAGACGATTCGACCCTGCCCGTGAGAATCCAGATAGCCTAAGAGAAAATCTGCGAAATCCTGACGCTCTACAATAGACAGCTACCGTTCGATCCTCGTCACCCTTCCCAGAAGAAACATCTACTGCAGGAATTGACCGCCAACGTTTACAACCTGACCATGCACGGTCCCAGTTTGAGCCTGTAAGAGTAGATGCGAGCGGCGTAGATTTTTCAGACAGTCTGGCCTCCAGGAGAAAGTCGTATCGAACTGTTCGGCGATCAAGGCGGAGACGGGATGATGGGACAGAAGTCTTAGGCGATACCAGTGAAGATGAAGATGAATCTCTAGAGCGAAAACTAGCAAGATTGCGCAGGGAAACAGAAGAACTAAAAAACGAAATTGCCAATCGGAACTCTCAGTCGGGTGAACGGGAGGAAGAAGACGAAAACGAGCTCTCACAGAAGTCGATTTTGGAGCTGAATAAAACCCTGAACACCCTCTATATATCTTCGAAAGGGGGGCAAGGCTCATCAGAAGAAGCGTTCACCCGCCAACTCGCCACCGGTATTCACATCCCCAAATCTGAAAGGGCGGATGAAACACCTGCCGCTCAACAACTGGGTGGAATACCCTCATCACTCTTGGCAAATACTGCGTCCTTCGATGCCCGGCTTACTCTCCTTGAAGCTGCCCTCGGGCTCTCACAAGCCCCCATCTCAGTATCTCCTGATGACCCTTCAGATTCTGACCTTCCGCCAATTCTCCCCACCCTACGTCACCTCTCTTCCCAACTCTCTACCTTAACGAGCACCCTGACCAATACAGCATCCAGCGGCCCGGCTGCTATCCCATCTACACTCACCACCCCACACCTCGAAGCTCTAACCACCAGAATTCGTAAACTTACCGCTGATGCAGAAGCACTCACTGTGGCTCGTCGACGTGCCACAGACGCTGCTCGCGCCGTCCTAGCAGCCCGTATCGCCGCTGGAACAAGTGACGAACCCCCCGAGATACCTGCCGCAGCGGCACAGGCCACGCCTACGGAAATTGAGGCTGCAGCTAGCGAGCAGGCATCCAAAATCCAAGCTCTCTACACCACATTGCCTACGATCACCTCTCTGCACCCACTGCTACCTAGCGTCTTGGAGCGCTTGCGCTCATTACGAGTCATCCACGCGGGTGCAGCGAGTGCTAGTGAAGATTTAGAGGTTTTAGAGAAGAGGCAGGGAGAGATGAGAAAGGAAATTGATCAGTGGAGAGAAGGTTTGGCAGCCATGGAAGAGCGGATCAAAGAAAGCGAAGCCTCTATGAAACGTAACGTGGATGTTGTGGGCCCGTGGGTGAAGGGTTTGGAGACAAGATTAGATGCTTTGGATTAATGACTCTGTCGTGTTTGCTGTCAAAAAGCAGAAGCATGCCTACCGGCTACATCGCCTCGTTCTATACTTGCGTATACCCCTTGTCGTAGCAGCTGTCATACCTAAATGCCAATTCAAAATCTTGAATAATTTACATAAGTTCTATTTTCATCAACTTCAGCTTAAGAACGAACTCTAGGGATACGCCTCATAATTTTGATTTTGGGCACCACTCTGACCTCTAACCACCATCCACGTGTGAGATGCCTTCTAGCACTCTGCCTAAACCATTCCCATGCGTTAATAACCGCCTCACTAGGGAATATTTTCTTGAGAAATTCTGATTGTGCTTGCTCTGTCCCATCTTCCTGACCTGGCTTTAACAATTTGAGTCCACCAAAGCCTTTGATTTCTTCCAAGAGTTCCCAGTTATCTCTGCCCTGTACGACATTTTCATTTTCGACCAAGGCATAATCTAATCGATCCCAAAAAGAGAGTGAATCGATCAAATTCTTATCTTCTGTTTTGTCATATATCCAGCGGGTGGTGCCGGAGCGTAAGGTTGGCATACGCCCGTCGGCTGACCCAGGAAGAACCACCATCGGGTGTTCCGGAGGCGCCTTTTCTAGAAAATGGGTAACCCCGGTTTGGCATGTAAGAGTATCCATATAGACCCTTAACACTGGTTCGGTGTTATGGGCAAGCTTGTGGAGTCGGTTAAGCGCTTGAGCGCCAGGATAATTGGCAATTGAGGCTGGGAGAAGCACAAAAGTAGAAAGTAGGAAAGTAGCGAGGGTAGAAAGGAGTAAAGTCACGGATAGAAAACGGTATGGTACAGATTTAGCGCGGTGGATCCAGATATACGATGCGCCGAGAGCAGCAGCAGCGGTAATAGGGGGAACAGTGTATAAAATAAATCGCCATTCTTTATGCGGCTGAGCGCTATAGAGAATGATGTATGCAAGAGAGGGGGTAAGCAATGAGGCTGCAGCAGGTCGTCGGGCCGGGATTAGGCACGCCATTGGGATGGCAAGAAGATAGGTTACAGGGTTGAGAAGCAATCGAGGGATTGCACTCGTGAAATAAAAATGCCAGGGATGGACTCCCCAGTTCGACGCGTTCCCGGAGACCACATTATACAAGAAAGCCGAAAGTTCAGGCCAGAGAGGATACTTCTGCCAAAAGAATGAATCGATGGGCACGGAAACAAAAAGTCCGACCAAAACGCCGCAAACGCCAGCAGGAATAACCTCGCGGCGAATATTAACGTTTCCTTGAGTCCAGTGGTAGATAGTGACTGTCGCAAGGAGCAATGCGATTTCCGAGCGGAAAATGATACCCGCAAGGGTAAGAAAGTAGAGACAGAGACGATATTTCACAGCCGATTTAGAAGGGGTTGGGTCTACTGCAGCATCAGGTAGAAGGCATTTCAAGGCAAAGGTAGCTACGAAGAACCCATTAGCTCCACTACAATCTCTCGAAGTGGAGAAAATGCTCACTGATTCCAAATGCAAACATGTTTGGAAGAGTCCGGGATGCATAGTATATCACATGGAACTGGCTGGCTTGGAGGAGAGTATACCAAACGCCTGCTTCTCTACCGAAAGCTCGTTTGACAGCGCGGGCGTATGCTATCAATGACACTGCGTTTAATGCTCCCAAAATTCCCCTTACTTCTTTGTATTAGTGAAATAATTACATGCAGAATAAAATGCCGTACCTAGTAGTTGGCTTTGTATCTTCGCGTTCAGCCATATGAACGGCCGTGCAACTCCTGCGAGCACCACGGCTCCGACGAAGGTCCGCGGCACAGCGCCTGGGAACGTGAAGTGATCATAATTTTCACGGAACGCGGTTGATGTATCCCCTGATGGTATGCCATATTTCAGGATATCGTGGACAGCTTGGATATTGAAGGACTCTTCGACTTTCGTGTAGGGCGAGAGGAAGAGATGTAAGAAAACCAGGCAGGGGATGAGCAGGAGTAGCTCTGGCAAATAAAACATTCATTGTTAGTATATTGAGGATGACTGAGATACTTGAATCACGTACCAGTGAGCCTTGCCATTATAAATTCGCGCCCATATGCGGTTCTCCTGCCTCTGGCGCAGTTGAACGTTGAAGCTCCAGACAGGCCAGCTCATCGTCAACACGCCGACAGCCTAGCCACCAACTCCGCACATCCACACTTCTCGCAACCTCTCGACGCTCACCCGGAGCCTGCTTCTTGCTCCCAGATGCATTGGCAATAAGCAGCCCAATGCCAATCGCAATCACAAAATGTTCTTCTTTATGTTTGGAAAGCTCGTCTACAGTGCGTAGCTCCCTACCCGTCGCAGGTCCCGGCGCATAGCTAACCAAGACAACCCGCTCCAGGCATCATCCTGATCATCAACGCCATCGCCATCCTCTCCGAAGACCGATTTCTAGCCAGAAGTATGCCCACTCCAAACTACCACCTACACTACTTTTTGCAAACACAACAGAAGGGCTCATTTCGATTTAACACAGTTGGCTGGGGCCGTACCCAATCGGACCCAGGATTCGGCACCGTAAACGATGACTCCAGCATCAAGGCGAAGTCAGTCAACCTGATAGCCAGCGTTCGAACTGTCATGAGAAGTACGTGCTTCACCCATCCTCGAAAATGACCCCGGACGCTGACTGGTTTTCTTTGGCATAGTTCCCTTAATCGCCATAAACACCGTTGTGATTTTATACGAACTTATCCTGGGATAGACTAACTATATGCCCATTTTAAGACCTTGCGTTTGAAATACATCGGCCATCGTTTCCTGGCCTTCATCGGTGGTTCCAACTCCCTTTGGGGTGGTCTCGTGTCTGATATGTCAGCTGCGATGAGAATGACAAATGAAGACAGAATTTGGGAAAATGGGCGTGGCGTTGGATTTATGCACGAGTACGAGGCCCGAGGGTGTACTCTATATTATTGTACATACACACGGCACGACGGGGACGGGCAGTGCTGTTGAAGTTGAAATTCTACGAAGCGGATATGCAATCCACCGGTCTAGGCTGCCACATGGCGGTATGTAATAGCAGAACAGCGTCAACTTGTACTGACACATGGTTGGAAGACAATGTATTATCTTTTTTCCTTTTCCCTTTTGGCACTAAATAAATATATACAAACAGAATGTATTGTATTTGCAAACGGCATGAATCAGGAGAGATAAACGCACCGACACCATCAGACACAAATAGCCGTCCATCAATTCCAGTTATAATTACCACATTGTTCTGAGAATAGAAGGTCGCTAGTTGTCCAAAGAGCAAGACAAGGCAAGAATCTTTGGGGAGAGAGGCTAGCAGCAAAATAGTAATTGTATAATCATGACTTGCGACGAGAGGGCCACTATATTAGGATTAACGGCCCGGCTTCGAACCCTAGATCCGGGTAGGGGTAGAGGAAGTCTTCATATAGGGGATAGGGAAGCAACAAAGAATCCAGCAATTGGCAGACGTTCAATCAAATGCAATACAACATTCACGCCAGGGCGCATGCTCCATTTTTGCAGCGTTCATATTTTTTTTTGCAGGTAATATAAAATTAAGAATAACTCAGGCGGCATTATCCAGCCTAATAGTTGGAAGAATGGTAAAAAAATTCCAAAAAAGTCAGATAGTTACATCCGCCACCAGAGGACTTGGAGAGAAGATCTGTTGTAGAATATCGCTGAGGATCGGTAGGCGATTTTTTCAAAATAATTTAGGGAGCGAGTGTGTATCTATATGGTGAGAGATCTTGAATCTAAAGAGAAAAGAAAAAAAAAAGTATATCTGAAAATCGGGTATATATGGGGATCCAGATCGGGAGGAGCGGGTGGAGGGATACCTCAAAAACGCGTAGATCTTTCATATAGATAGAGAAGAAAATAGAGGAAGAGAGAGCTCGTCGTAAATGGTTTTCGTATATCAAACTCAGAAAGAAGAGCATAATACTTAGACATTATTAGAATACAGTAAACGACTTCGACCGCAGATTAAACCGGCTCCGTTTGGTCGACGCCTGCTTGAGCAGCGGGTGCTTGTGCTTTCCCGGCGGCGGCGGCGGCGAAATGGGAGACGCAGCCTCTGGGGAGACGGGAGTCAGAGCGGTTCTATCCGTGGTGACGGAGACGCTGGTGGCATTTGTCGAGTCGTCCTTGTCGTCGTCGGTTGAGATATTAGACGGCTGGGCGCCAGTGGACACGTCAGTGATCGATTCGGGCGGGAAGGCTACCAGGGGAGGGACGGGTGGTATGTCGGGGACTCGAGACTCGCTGCTGTGGTCCTTTTCGCGGTGGAATAGTTTCGAGTGGCTGACGCTTCTGCTAACTAGCTTGAACCGAGCGCGCGCACTGGTCTTTGGTAGGCCATTCTCCTTTTCGGCCTTGTTGGTGTCAACGGCGCGCCGATCCTCACTGGCCTTGGTGAGTTTACTCTCCTCGATTGCGGCTTTGAGCTGAGCCTCTTCTCGTTTCCTGGTCTGTTTCAGAATGGCTTCCGACTCCTTTTGTTTCAGCTTGATCTGCTTCTCTTTCTCCTTTTCGGTGGCCTTCCTCTCCTTTTCCTCTTTCGTCCGCTCCTTTTTAATATGCAGGTCGCCAATCTTGGGAATTAAGGTGCTAAGGGGCGATTTTGGATGCGGGAGGAGATTCGAGAACGTCTTGGGGCTGGCTTCGTCGGACTTTCGGGCCAACTGCGGCGGCGCACTTGACGCAGGCGCCACAGGCGAAAGTGGGGTGTTCCCGTTTACCGTGTGGACGGTGGTACTGCTGGTATCGGTGGCAGTGAGGGCACGATTCAACTGAGGGGGAGCTAGGCATCCATCCGGCTTGTGCAGCGTTGGCGAAGTGGGCTCCACCAACTCGGCATCATCCATGGCGGGGATTGGAGTCTCTTGGGCCAGTTCTTCCTGCATCGCTTCGAAAGTGGTTTCTTGATAAAACAGCACGTAAGCCGAGGCTAGGCCCGGGCGGTCTCCGAAGAAACCGCGAACGTAGTTCTTATCAACGGGCTCCACCATCTCATCGTCAAACAACAGCCAGCCTTTGTCCTCAGTTTTGATGATGGCCACGTAATGGCCATGATATGGCCCACCGCCGATGTGGACAACCACAGCGTAGAGCTCATACAGGCGATCCGAATCGTCAGCGTCATCGGTGGTGTTGAACAAACGCAGGTGGTACGGGTAAACCACTCTATGGAATAGCTTCTGCAGCCGGTCTAGGTCTTCAGAGTACTTGAACCTCTTAAGGTGCAGAGCCAGCACTCTCGGTAATCGCTTGAGTTTCATTCTTTTCTCCGCCTCTTGTAGTCCTCCACAGTTGTCGCAGTGGAATTTATTCCGTTCACAGAGCACTTCTTCTTGCGAGAATTTGCGCAAACAAGACGTCACCGATGTATGCCTTTCAAGGTCAACCGATAAATCCAGAAACACTTCATCTCTCTGAGAAATCGTTTCGCATGTAAGGCACTGCGTTTCCGAAGTTAGCGTTCCTTCAAATAGTTCGTGGACCCAGCGAGTGTTATGCGGTGATGCGGCACCACTTGAAAGCGTCGTTGACACTGAGCTCTCAGTTCCAGCTAGCTCTGAAGTGTCCTCACTGCCATCGGATTGCTGATCAGCATCCGATAGTAAGCTCGCATCAGCCTCAACATTGGAGACGACTTCATTGAGCAGAAGATTGAGAAACTCGTGGGCGTCCTGGTGCATCGTTGTTCTAAACATCTCGTGTTCTCGGCGGAGGACTTCCAAAAAATGGTAGGGGCGGATCACGCCCATCCGCTCGGGGCTGGCGACAATGGCTTCAAAAATGTCTTTCAACGAAGTGAATAGCGATTCTTTCATGCCGTAACTCATAGAGTTATCCGCCGTTTCTAGCACAGGTAGGGTGTGTAATGCGACTTTCTTCTTATATTCGACAGAATCTTTATTATCTTCGGGTCTATTTAGTTGGTTTACTGGAGGCGCGGGCTTCCCGGGAGTGGGAGGCTGGGTTTTTGATTTGAGAAGCTCCTCAAGAGGGACATTTGGGTCAGGGTAGTGTAGGTTTTTTGACAGAGCATCGTTTAATATGGCAGGCGGAGAGCGTTTCGGGTAGTTGATCACAGCATCTCGGAACGGAACGGAGTAGTAGAGACATTGCAGTATGGAATTACAGTAACTATTGCAGCGACGCAGTCAGCAAGAAGCACGACACGGACAGTCCGAGGCAAAGCAAAGCGTACCATGTGTTCCCATATTGCACCTGTGTTCCATTAGCACCGCTGGCCTCTGGAGAGTATGATGAGAGCCTTACATTTTCCATCCCAAAGAACTTGTCGCTCCCATCATTCCGCAGAGGGCCGGCGTCGAGCAGCATTCGTTGCAGCGGCGTCAAGGCTGGGGGGAAAGCGTCCTTTTTCGCCTGGGTTGCAGCAGTGTCAACGGCCTAGCCGGAGCCGGCATTCAGTCAGTACAGGAACGATTTTTTTTAAAAAAAAATTTCCGGGCGTGAGCCTATGGACAAGGCGCTTACATGGTTGCTCTTGAGCTTGTCTAGAAGGCCGCCCATGGTGAGGTGCGGAGGGGGTTAGGTTGCCGGTGGGAAAATTGTGCTCAACCACGGAGAGCGGCAATGCGAGGACAGGGCGCAGGTAGGCAGCAGAGGTAGCCCCGGTCGCCCCGACGCGAGACGAATATTGGCCGGTCTAGCACCCGCCGGGCGTCATGCGAAAGAGGAGCGAGAGAAGGGGAGGGCGCAGCGAGATTGGATCGAAGCCGGTGGATGGAGAATGGCGGATGGAGGGGACGGGCGCCGCTACGACGACAGGGAGAGCGGGTTCACGAGCACAATGGCGGTCAATGGCAAGCTGGACATGCCGTCGCTCGGAGTCTGGGAGGGTGAAGAAGCGCAGAGCAGACGGAGAGACAGGCCGGCTGGACAGACAGGCAGGTAGAGCGCAGGGCGAGCGGCGACGACGACGGCGAGAGCGAGACGCCAAGGGTGGAGAGCGAGACGGGACTGAGCGCGGGTTGAGCAAGCCGGGGGGCGGGCGGAGAGTCGCAGCCCAGCGTCGCGTCTCTCGTAACAGCCGGCGAGACGGGGAGAAACGCCGTGCGGGTGAGGCTGCGCTTGGAGGTGGGAGGGAGGGCGAGGGCGAGGGCGAGGTTTATGTCGATTGTTGGTTAACTTAGGTAGCTAACAGGCGAAGGTTGACTTCCAACAGAGCAAGCAGCAATACGGCGGATCGCCAACTCGGGCGACTTTCGCCTCTCACTCTCGCTCTCTCGCTGGCTTTCTTGATGCTTATACACACGCAGAATAAATGCGACGGCCTTTCTGCGGCCAGGGCGCGCGCAGGCCACCGGCCAACGAGCTAGAGAGCGACGAGCGCAGAAATTACCCGCTGCTGGCTCGGCGCGCCCGATGCTAAGACGCTGCAGGCGACGAACTACGAGACTCGCGACGAGACGGCAGACACACGCCCGGCAGCGCTGGAGATGCTCACCGACGGACAGACACACACGCACAGCCGCGCTGGGGCTCTCCAGCGGCTAAAAGTTGAAACAGCCTGCACGATCCTGCGGCGACGGCTCCCCCGCGCTTCGCCGGACGCCCGCCAGACCCGCGTTTCGGCCCCAGAAAAGCAGGGAAAAGCTGGTCGTGTACCCGTCGCCTTCGTCTAGTCTGCATTTGCTGCCATGATGTCCATCGTCGTGGTGGTGGAGGGCTCTGCCGGCGGCGGCCAGACATGCCATTTCAGTACATAGGATCCCCGCCAGCTCGCCCAGAATCGCGCGCCGGGACAATACGAGGCGCAAGGCTTGTCTGTTCCGATATGTTGGTGATTATTATAATAATGCCCTCACTCCAGCTTCCATTGCCTGCATGGCGCTTCCCTAGCATTGTCGTCCTCGCCCGGCAATGTACATACCACGCCCTTGCGGAGAATTACCAGACCCCCGCAATTAAAAGACGTTGGTTAAACGGTCGCCGCGCCTGGATCGCCCGTCCCCAGCAGTTGGCCAACCGGGTCTCCAAGCCTCGCAAACCTGGCAGCTCGATTTGACTCCGTCTCGCCGGGCGGATCTTGATGGAGGCCGGCATGCAGGTGCCATGCCAAACCTGTTGTTGGCCAGCCCATCAAGCGAATCATCCATATAAACCCATCCAGTGTGGCGATTGCGACTTCAAACCTACAACTAACTAGGCCGATATCACCTAGAAATAAGATGATCAAAAGGCCCTCCTTTCAAAACTATCATCTGCATACCTTTCAGCCCATCACAACTCGACTTCTCCCCTTCTTCTCAAGACCTCTGCACAAGCCGATCAACAGGATGTCCCGGTGGTTACACATGTTGCGAACCCGCGACTGGAAAAGCCAACAGCCCGCGATTGGAGGGACCGTGCATTGCCGCTATGGAGATGTTGGATGATCTGTTGGCCTATATTCAACCATCGAAGGCATTAGCTTAACAACTTGCCAGTCAAAGGCGCATCATCCGGCGTTGCTCGCGTCTGCTCTCCCCTCCCGTGTTAGAGCTTGCACGCTGATATGTGGAGTGTCGTCAACCCTGCCAGTCATCCGCTCTGACTCCTCACATGTCCTCCACCAAAACGCACGCCTTCACATCGGAATCTTAAACATGGTTGTTTCTGGTGCCTACATCGATATGCATCCCTTTTATACTTTTTACTAAAAAAATCGTTGATATGCAGATCCCTGATTCCTGGAACCTTCTGCGTAGCCGCTGTGGTTCTTCTCGCCCACATGTCGTGGCACCGCGTAGCATCGGCCACCCCGCATCCCCCCCCATCAACGTTCCCCATTCTCTTATCCTCTGTCTGTTAAATATCGCCACTCGTGGCCGTCTTACGCTTGGTATTTTTGCATTAATACCTCTATTATATCCTGCTCGGTTTCTGTTTGAAATGAGCAGAACACCCCACTCTCAGGCCCCCGCATCGTCCACACCACCAACAGAGCCTCAATTGGCACCCAAACTTTTTATACCTTCAACGGATATCAAAGGGTCCCCGCAGGTCAGCAGGTGTTGACTGTAAGAAGAGAAGACACATGACCATTCAGGCCGTGCAAAACATCTGGCATGTGCTGTCAGCAACACTGCCCGTCAGGTTTTCGTCTGGCATAACCTGGAGTTGATGAAGCAGGTTTATGAGGATTGCTTTCAGCAGGTGGAAACTCCCTAATGTTGTCACACAATCGTTCATGCACCTTGAGACATACTTCTGGTGCAGGGGGGGGAATAAATATCCGAAGGTACACAGGGAAATGCTTGTCTAACCCCCATCATCGCACAAATAAACCACACTTGCAGATGATAAGCGAAACTCGCATATTGATGCCTGTCATTATTATGGTGAATGTTAAGATTGTCTCGAGTCGCTTTTGGAAACAGGCTTGCCCGATCAGTGATGTCTCCAATTTGGCCTATGAATGCCTACTTAGAGGATACCAACATCCATTCCTGGTTTGGAGCATATTCAATTTGTTCTTGTGCAGTGATAGAAAGGCAACTGCTATCACTAGTTCTTCTTTTGCCATATATACCGCTGCATTTTCACCTCCAGAAAATATTTCTGTACGTGATGACAGCCATGCAGTTGGTATATATGGCACCCTTTCTTTATTTTCACTGCATGGCGGCAAGATCCTACTGGTCACAGTGCATGCATATAATGACAGGGGAACAGGCAATCTTTTGCTCTTGCTGTTGCTCTATCCTGCTTCAACCCCCAAAGACAAACGCACTGCCGTTACACCACCTAAAATTGTACCAGCGTTCAACTATATACATACAAACGTCCTTTATTTAACCTACAAGATGGCGCCACGCCAGCCCAACCATTCAGGGCCCTATGGGAATAGTATGGGAATGGGTTCAACGCGGGCCTACGGCAGACCAGTGGGAGGCACTCGACAGGGCGGTAGCGGTATTGGGCCACCCCCGGAAGAGGCTAATCTGGTATGCCTTGGGAACACATCAGCATACCTTGCTATGGCTGTCTTTGTGGTCATTGTTGTCGTCGCCATCACTCTTGGTGTGTTGTTGGGAACTGGTAAAATAAAATCTGGCGGAAAGGAATGGTGATGCGTCCGGCTACGAAAAGTGAGAAAACTGAATTGGGTTCCAAAAATAGCCCTGGTATCGACGTATTTATGAAACATCATCGAGTTATTCTAGCGATTTTGAATTTGTGGCGGTCTGCAATGCATGGAAACGGTGTTATACAGTTGGTGTTTTGTGATACACGAGGATTAGGATATTGTTAAACGTTTTATTGGTTTGGTAATCAGCGGAGTACAGAATGCCGGATCCTGCTTGAGCAATATGTCACTTGAGAAATGCAGTGGTCTGTGGAAGCCAAATCTCTGGGATTTGGAATACTCCTATCTCCGCGGGCGCGAGCAAATGCGGTGTGCCTTCTTCTAGATAGTTACTTGCCGTCAGTAAATGTTCCTATCCTAGACCAGGTTCCACAGTCCTGGAGAAGGGGTATGGTCTAATAGAACGAGACAAAAGATGATCTTCAAGACTATGTAGACGAATGGCTAAGAGCCGCCGGAGTTTATTTTATTCCGATCTCCGGTCGAGTATGACTCGACGCAAAAATGTATGGGGGAGTGCGCAGTCAGGCAATTCATGCTCGATTTCTTTTATAAAGGTTGCTGTGTATGAAGAACCGATTTCTAAGACTGCGGTGGCCTCAGTATACCACACCGGTGTCTGGTCGGCTGCGAAATTGCATCCCCGCAGCCAGCGTGCCTTTTGCTGCCCTGCCTTCACTCCCTCCCCCACCTTTCCTCCCGCACACCCAATTTCTCTCACTGTCATACCGCGCCAAAGATCCAGACGACAAAATGCCGAAAGAAAAGGTCACTTTTAACCTGAAAACCCCCAAGGGTACCAAGGACTGGGCCGGCCCTGACGCACTCCTCCGCGACCGCATTTTCACCACCATCAGCAACGTCTTCAAGCGCCACGGCGGCACTGCGCTGGACACTCCTGTTTTCGAACTACGTGAGATACTGGCGGGGAAATATGGTGAAGATTCAAAATTGATCTACGATCTGCAAGATCAGGGCGGAGAATTGTGCTCCCTCCGTTACGATTTGACCGTACCTTTTGCGCGATGGCTGGCCATGAACCCCGATGTTCGCAGCATAAAGCGCTATCACATTGCAAAAGTATACCGGCGCGACCAGCCGGCGATGACAAAAGGCCGTATGCGAGAGTTCTATCAGTGTGATTTTGATATCGCCGGCGCGAATTTCGATTCCATGGTCCCTGATTCAGAAGTGCTGAGAATTATCACGGAGGTATTCGACGAGCTGGGCTGGAAGGGGAATTATACAATTAAAGTGAATCACCGCAAAATTCTCGACGGACTGTTTGAAGTCTGTGGCGTTCCGAAGGACAAAATACGCACAATCTCTAGTGCTGTGGATAAATTGGATAAGCTACCTTGGGCTGATGTGCGCAAAGAAATGGTCGATGAGAAGGGCCTTGATCCTGCTGTGGCAGATAAGATCGAAACATACGTTATCCGAAAGGGAAGGAGGGATTTGCTAGATTCTCTGAAGACGGACGAAGTACTCGCCGCAAACGCATCTGCGAAGACTGGTTTGGACGAAATGAGCTTATTGATGGACTATCTCGAAGCCTTTAACATCCTGGACAAGGTATCGTTTGATATGAGCTTAGCAAGAGGACTGGATTATTATACTGGTTTGATCTACGAAGTTGTTACTGAGGGCTCTGCTCCCACTGCGTCTTCTTCTGCACCAGAAGCTCAAAAGGCACAACGCTCGGGAAAGAAAGATAAGTCGAAAGTAGATGCGGACGAGGACCGGTCTAATGATCCCTCGGTTGGCGTCGGCAGTGTTGCTGCTGGAGGTCGTTACGATGAATTAGTTGGCATGTTCTCAAGCAAAGCTCAAATACCCTGCGTTGGCATTTCGTTTGGCGTTGACAGGATATTTTCTATTACAAAGGCTCGCATGGAGCGCGAGAAGAGCGATGCTCTCCGGAGCAGTGAAGTGGATGTCTACGTCATGGCGTTTGGCGGAAAGGGGTTCACTGGCTTACTAAAAGAAAGGATGGATATCTGCAGATCACTGTGGGAAGCCGGAATCAAGGTAAATATCAACTCAGAGTACTGGTTGTTTTAAGGATAAACTGACGCTGCTTTACAGGCCGAATTCTCCTACAAAGTCAAGCCCAAACTTCCCCAGCAGTTTAAGGCTGCGGAAGCGGGCAGCGTTCCCTTTGCTGTGATTCTAGGCGAAGATGAACTTGCAGCTGGTGAGGTTAGAATTAAGGAGATGGGCTTGCCAGAGGGGCACCCTGAGAAGGATGGTGTGCTCGTTAAAATTTCAACTCTGCCATTAGAAGTGAAATCTAGGCTAGAAAGAAGGAATGCTAAGACTGATGGAGAGGGCATTGGCGAGGGAATTTCGAAAGGAGTTGAAGCTCTAGAGGTTGCATAAGGGGGTTTTCCCACCTATTAACACCAGTTGATACCATTCAGATCTCCCACAAAAGCCACGATAGAATAAAACATATTTAAACACACTTGCGAGGTCTACTTCGCAATTTATGAAAGAAATAGAGATACAGAGTGCATATCTCTGCTTTATGCACCAGAAGCAACCTTCATTAAGATATTTTTGACAGCAGGGACTCGATTCACCATGTCCAAACCAAAACCCCTTGCCCACGCCACTGGTCCGTTTCCAGGAACGTTATACAGTTTATGGAGAAAATCACACCCAGCGCCAATCTTTGCGTTGGGATACCACCTGTCAGCAGCGTAGCGTTCCAGGCTCAGTAGGTCTCCAATATCCATACCGTGCTGTATAGCATATTCTATCGAACCGTGAAGTGAAGCTACGTCTGCGACACCCAGGTTCAAGCCCAGGCCACCGAGGGGGTGGATAACATGTGCGGCATCTCCAACAAGGGCAATTCGAGGTGAGATATATGTAGAGGCATGGCGGTGTCTAAGAGGGAAGGAAGCGATGGTTCGGGGTTGAACGCCACCAACCATAGGGGGGATGGACGAAGGGCAAGGGGTATGATTTAAGCGCCAGGATAGCTCTTCGTTGTGTTGATTCGATGGGTCTGAAGACGAAGATGGGAGAGTAAACATATAGTTTAAGTCTGTCATCGATAATCGAAATGCAGCGTTCACCATCGAAGTGAAGGCCTCCGGGGGAAGGGATTTCAAATATGCCGCATTTTGGACGGTGGTAGACCAAACCAGTGTAGCATAATTGCCAGGAAGTGGGAGCATAGCAACTGGCCCGCCGATACCGGGAAGAAAACGTTGGTAGGCTGTTACTGGCTTCAGAGAAGAGGTATCTGAGGGTGATAGCTCGAGAGTAGCTACAACACCATGTCGATTGTAATCCCAGCCGTCTGTTGATATGTCCGCGAAAGATCGAACAGGGCTATTGATACCATCCGCCCCCACAAGAAGTCGTGCAGCAATTTTCGGTAGTTCAGAATCTTTCCCTGCAGCGGCAGACGACGAAGAAAGTGACAGCACCGGCCACGCGGACAGATCAGGTCCGTCCGAGTGATCGACTCCATTCTCAATGGCAGCAACGGTGGTCGACGAGAAGACAGAAACTCCATCGCCCAGTGACTCTATCCGAGAAAGTAAGCCGCGAATTAAATTCGCGTTTTCCGTCATCGTTGCAATTGTCTGAGAAGAACCGCCCGGAAGCAAGTTGGCAGACCAGTCAAACGATATCCTCGACCCAGTCACCCCGTCCCACACTTCCATCTCCTCGTAGGGCTGAACACGGGAGGCATCGACATGTGCCCACACGCCGATTTTCTGAAGGAAGGCGACGGACGAAGGAGTCAGGCTGCTCACGCGGTTTGAATACTGAGCGGAATCGAGCTTCCATTGTTTGGCCTTGCTGATGTCCTGGCTTTCAACAAGCGCGACTTTCAGCTTCGAAGTAATAGGAGAGGCACCTGGTTAAATAGAAACCATCCAGATTAGCCAAATCAGCACAATTGAAAGCTTGGGGTCTCGTACGCAGAGCTGCTAGTAGGGCGAGGCCGGCAGGCCCGCCCCCAACGCACACGATGTCATAGATCTCGGGGATTGGAGGGCTGGCGGAAGTGGACGCGAGCCTTGTGTTGAGAAGACCATGTCTACACGATGAGCAGACATATGCTGATAGATGTGGGCGTAAAGGGAGTCGCATGGTGGCGTGTGTGGAGTGAGGTGTCTGGATTCGGAGAAATCGTGGCCCGCAAAATGAAGGTACGTAGAAGCACGGGGCATAAGATCCGGACGAATATTTGAATAAAAGTTACTCGTCATTTCGAAACTACATAGCTCAATTTCTTCCATGTCTATTTTAAAAGATTTAAACATGCAGAATAAGTATGTTCAATTATTAATGCGAAGGATGCCAGTGTATAACATCAAATTATCGCCTGGATCAATACCAGCCCCTTGATAAGGCGCTTCTGATCATCTCTCCGATACCTATCGTAATTCATTTGGCGCTTTATGTTTGTCCTTCTGTTGCGAACTCACTTCTCCCCTATCGAGTCCATCCTCCATCTCCACGATAAACCTCTCCCACGTTGCTAGCACCCCCTGATAAAACTCGACGTGCTTCTGTGATAAGGCACCTAGAGTATCCCGAAACTCAACGGCTTTGATGCGCTCGAAATCAGCAATTTCTCGAACAACTTCCTCGTCAAACATCTCAGACGTCGTTTTCGAGGTCTCCACCTCACGATTTAGCTCGTCAATACGAACCTCTAGTTTGCGTACACGGTCTCGACGACTTGTCTCATGGTTAAGGCCTCTCATATCTTCCATCTTGGAGCGAATGAAGGAGGCAGGGCTACTTGTGAGGGGGTTTGTCGCGTAGTATGAAGAAGGATTGTTAGTAAGGTTATCGCGCTCTCCAACGGCTTTAGTGCGATAGTCAACAAGGGCTTCATAATCGAGCTGTTTCTGCTCTCGTGTCTTGAGCAGTGTCTTCAAAGAAACAATATACGCTTCCATGTCGCGAAGACTGCCCAGGTAATTCTGATCGGTATGATCTTTCAGTGATTTTATGCCCCGTGTCGTTTCCTCTATTGAGGCAGCGAATATCTGTAATGGAACTTCAAGATCGGGCTCCAATGGCACAAGCTTGCGGAATTGCATTGCAAGTTCGCTATAATCGGTTTCCAAATCACTTTCCCGTCTCGTAACACGGGACACCACTTTTTCAACGTGGCTCAAATCCTCATCAAGCTTGTCCGCTTTTTCTTTCACTTCAATGAATCTCTTATCAGGCTTGTGGACTTTGGTAAATGCGTTTACAAGGGTGTCCGTGAAATTGTCGAAAATTCTACCAGCCCCCTCGGAAGAGCCGGTAGAATTGCGAGATGGCCGCAATCTCATATGTGCATTCCAGTCCGGCGATTCTAGGAATATGGCTAATATAGGAGCACGCCGGAGGACCGGATGTAGGGCAAGCCGCTTGATAAAGCGATGTAAAGACCAGGCACGACGATGTGTAAAGTCAGGGCCGAACCTGTCCCCACGGACATATTCCATCTTGTGTTTGTCCGGAAGGGGTGGTACAGCACATGCTGGATATTCTCTATAGAGTGTTTTATAAAGAAACAGAAAATCGGTGAACCGTCGGCGAACGGTGAAGTCATAACGCTGAAAGGATTTGAAATCGGTCTACGCCAGGACCCATCACAGGCAATCTATGTCAGAAAGAGCAAGTTTCCAGTTTCTAGGGACTTAAGGATGGGTCTGCATGGGAAACAAACAAGGGAGACTAACATGTGTAGTCACAAGGTAGGAAATAAATGCATCCTTGGTGCCATCGTTCTCCTTTAACGGCGTGTCCACTGTACATTCTAACGTTCCATCGAGGCCTGTGAGATAAGTCATGTCTCCAGGCGTGGCCAAAAGCTGATCCTCGCTAGCTAGACTCATGCGTCTGTTGCCATTGACATCATGGCTGGACGGCTCGGTATCTTCAGTATCGGTGTGTATATTCGCGGGGCCAGATGTTTCGCTTTCAGTGTCATTCCTCCATGACACGGAATCGAAGTCATTGTGATCCATCACAGGGTGTTGTTTCCCCAACCACGGCAGGGCCGTTGCGGGCTATGGGTCGCTAATCAAGGCAGGCAGCTGCGATTCAGTGCGGTAGTCGCGGCTTGTCGAGGGTATGTATGCACGGCGTGTGGTTCTCAGCCAGTCCGGACAAAGAGCTTAGATGGTGATAATAATCCTCAATGTTTCCTCGTTGCTCTCTCTCCAGCAGCTTCAAGTCTAGGTTAACAGCTGATGAGTTAATCCGGCTTGGGGAGTTAACTACGTAGTTGAGCTGACTGAGAGTTCACGTGCTCCCAAGCGTGGCTGGAGAATTTTAAAACGCGAAACAACAGCGCGTTCTTCTCTGTTTCTTTTAATCCATCTCAGCAGTCCATGGCAGATTCCACTATGTTTGCAAATGTCCATGCATTATCTCACCAGTCTGAGTTGCATACATTCATCAATAAACAATGGCAATTTGCAGAGAAACCGAACTTCATTAAAGGATAGCCATTATGAGGCCTTCAGCTAAAGCACAGGATTGACCGACCCATTGCCAACACCCATCACACACGGAGACTTGGAAACCCATATTACCCGTTCTTTTTGAGAAAAACATCGACCTATCGCAGTATGGCGCCGTGGATATCGTTGGTAAGACGGTAGGCAGAAAGCGAGGTAATTGCACCGGGAAATGCTTGAAAGAGGCAAGTTGCTATTCGCTGGGGATATTTTTTTTGGTTTTATATTTTCGATCGAGCGACACTAGTTCCGATTAAAGAAGTTCGTTGAAAAATGTCAGACGCATCGAGGATGTTCAGCGAACAAAACGCCATTCGCTCAAGCTTTACGCGAGCTGCAACTTGGCATCTGGACTGGAGACCCTGACTTTCAGACAGAGCATGTCCTTGCCGGACCTGGTCCTCAACAACGCAAGAGTTGCCGCCAAATTGCTTTTGTCCAAGATCGAGCTGTGGGGAAACGCCACCACATGGCTGCCAGGGCCGCCGAGGTCCCATTCGACATAGAGGCCGTCGAACGCGTATCCTTCAGTGATTTCCGGGGCTCTAGCGTACACTTCGTTCTGGATCTGGCTGAGGAGTTGCGCGTGGGACCCATGCGCGTCAATGAGGATGGGGGTCGAGGTGAGCGCGTTGATGCGGAGCATGATTGCAATGGGAGACTCGGCGAAGTGGTGGATTCTCGCCATGCTGAGAGATTGCGTACCGGCAAAGAGGATTGATTGACTGATGGCGGAGATGCGATGGTTCTTCGAGCACAGGGAGCTGGAGGGGCTGCTAACGAAAGACTTGACACGTAGCTGGGTTGGGTGGAAAACACACGGAATAGCCTGAGCTTGAGGAACACCGCTTATGACTCGCCTTGCGGGGGGTCACCTGCGCGTCGGTGTATGTATGTATGTACACCGAGTTGGCTTTCCAGATCAGGCACGAGAGCCCCAGCCGAGTTCCCGTGACCTCACCGCCCAACGCAAACACCCAGAGGCTTCGGGCCTGTGTTCTCCATAGCCATGTATATTTCTGGAGTCAACCATACGATTCTCGCTGAGCTCTCCCGAGCGGTACCTACCCCTCACGTGTGGCCGGGTACCGCCGCTCCTTGGCAGCAAGTGGGGGAGGCCCGGGCCTAGATTGGCTGGCCGCTGGTGCGGGGCTGAGCAAACCGGAATAACATATAGCCGAACGACAGTCATACTACGATGACTAAGCTACTATTGAGCCAAGACTTTTGACATTCAATGTTTTCCTGGTTCCTTCCTATTTACTTATATACTAGAAGAAAAGTGTCACAAATTCTATCAAGTGATATCAGGTCAATGCCCCCGAAAAAAGCAGACTAAAAATTTTGGGCATGCTAATGTCCTTAAAACGCCAGGATATTTTCCCCAAATGAAAAGAATGAAGCTAAAAATATTATTAAGAGCTAGTCGTATGAGGCTCTCCACTTCCTCCCGATTTCTCATTCCACTTGGGTTCCGTGTGGCTTGGGCTTTCCTCGTCACCGCTTTCGTCATCATCGTAATAAGGCTTTTCTCCGTCCTCGCTTCCACTGAAAATTTCTTCGTCGCTTTCCCCAGCAAACGCGTCGTATAACTCACCACCCCGGCGTCGTCTTTGTGGATTCTTCTTGCCAGCTGCCGCGGCCACAGCTCCACTAAGCGGAGCCTCTTCGTCATCCTCAACGACCATCTCAAACTCGTAGTCATCGCGGGGGTTATTGCGTAGGCGCTTCCGATGTTGGACTACGAAGTAAATTCCCAATGCAACGCAGAAGGTGAAGATGAGAGCAACAGACCCATAGATCCAGATTTGAGTGCTCTTGGAAACTCCGAATGTGGGGAAAGGTGATGGGAGGAAGTTATCTGCAAGTGTGCTATTCCCTGTTGCCGTCGCTGTTGGTGTCGCCGTCGGTGTGCTGGGCGACGGAGAAACTTGGTTAGTGGGTTTAGCGTTGATGGGGCGATGAATGTGGTCGGTTGGCGTTTGCGTCGCGGCGTTGGTCGCAGTGGGCATAAGAATACTGGTGGTCGCGACCTGAGATGCAACTTCGCTGGTGTCGTGGTCGTGGTCATCGGCAGCTGGTAGCGGATGAAGTTTCTGTTTCTTTCCGTCAATGGCTTCTCCCCAAAGCGTGAGCTGCCAATCCACAAACACGCCAGTGTGTTCATTGACTTCAGTATCCTTGACGATAATCGTCCACTTTCCCTTGCCATCTTCACCCCTATAAAATCAATTAGCAACTAAGCACATAATTGCAAAGCGTAGGACCTTTCTCACCAGTGAGCAACGGACATAAATGTCCAATCAACATATCCCTTTCTTTCGTAGTCCGCGCTTCTGCTTACGCTCAGGTGGCTGACAACACCGCTGGGGCTAAGAAGTTCGACGCTCAAATCGCCACGGCGTGTATGGTTGACGTTCATGGTAACGGTAATATGCTCAATGCGCTCAAGGTTACTCTTTTTCAGCTTATCTGCAGTGACTTCAAACGAGCTTGCAAGGCCATGTGAGCCCTGAGGAACTTCATGCTGTACCATTAACCAAGGTGAACGAAGCCACGCCTGAGGCTTAACCAGTTTCCAAGTCTTTGCCAAATCAACCACAGCATACGCATCAACTTTTCCATATCCAAAATCATGACTGAACTTTTTGCCGATCGCCGTTGTTTGCCACCCTGGACTATTCAGATTGATTGGAATCGCAGTTTCAACAATTAGGTATTGTATATCCCGCCATGTGAGATCTGGGCGTACACTAAGAGCAAGGGCGACTACCCCAACCACGAGGGGTCCGGCAGCGGAGGTGCCACCATGCCTGTTGGAGCAAGTGTCCAAGCCAACATCAGTCGTGGAGATGGCGCCGTTGCCACCGCTGCTATATGTCACAACTAACTGTGCAGAGCATGACTCGGAGTAGTATGGGTGGCGGTCTTCTTGATCGATAGCACCGACAGTGATACTGTAGATGCTGTTCGTGTATCCATCAAAGTTGCAGTTGTCCCCACTTGCAGCTCCATTCCCAGCAGCAAAGACATATATTGAACCCTTGCCGCCTCGGCCTTTCTGGACGCCATTGACCATAGCACGTCGAATGAGGAGGCCAGGAGCATCCATTGTTGCGCCATTATCGACGGGACCCCAAGAGCAAGAGTATATCTGATTCTTCTGGTATGCGTAGTTGATGGCTGCAGCTTCGTCTTCATCGGAGAGGGGCTTCGATAAGATTCGGATACCCGCAACTTTTCCGCCGTAGGCCACGCCAACGCCGCAAATATTGTTCTTGACAGCGGCAACTTCTCCAGCACAACGGGTTCCATGTTTATCATCGACAAGCCGAGGTTTCGGCTCCTTCCCTTTGTCATTAAAATCGTAAGAGCCTTCTTCAAAGTAGTTTTCCTTGAGATCATGGCTATACATATCTAGACCATCGTCAACGATTGCTGTAATAGTGCCGTTGCCAGTAACTCCGTCTAGCCAGAGCCCTGTCACATTCAGGTCATGACCGGGCTGCTCAGTATTGAAAAGGTGCCACTGGTTTCCAAAAATTGGATCTTTGATCATGAGCTGGCCGGCAATCTGCTGCTGCCTCGCGATTGCGGCGGCTTCTCCTCGGGACTGTTCTGAGCGCCTGGGTTCCAATACGGCCACCGACGGCGGCGGAGGTGGTACCCTCTTTGCCAGTCGTTGCCTCAAGACCAATTTTTCTGAATGAAGAATGCCATCTAGTCCATTGTCATCACCTCCTGCAGGATCGAGGTGGCGTTTCCTTCGTCTTGACCGCAAGTTATCGAGCAGATTATCCAGGCTCGTCCCTCTCTTCTTCGCAAATGAAAATGTATAATGGTCCTCTAATTCTCCTATTTGCCCTTCATTCCTTGCTCCTAATAGCTGAGCAACTTGGTCTGGGGATGACGATCTTCGAAGGTGAACGGCAATATAATCACGGCTCTCGTGGTCGCGCGGGGCGAGACTCGAGGAGGAGAAGGAGATGAAGAGTGAAACAGCACCGAGCAGTGATAGAAGCCTCATGATTCACAGAAAGGAAAGTGCACACGATGTCGTTGTCGATGTGTGGCTGGATGGCGGTGCCAGGCTAGTGTAGGTCTGGGGCGGAGGAGTTGTCGGAAGGCCAGCTTGTTATGAAAGGAGCGGCGATATATAGATAAATAAAAATGACAGTTCGCAGGGGAGAACTTAGTTATTATCGAGTAAGCCCAAGAAGACTACCCGCTGCATCCTACCCTTGATGTGGTGCAGAGGACGCGCGTGTTGGCTAAGTGAAGAGGTGGCGGCGAGAGGGCGAAGTTAAGTAGTTAGTTAAAGTGACACGCTGGCTGAAAACGGACTCCCACAAGCCCGGTGATGGCAACGCAGGCAGCAGAGCGCCCTCTGTCCGATGAACGAGCAGCAAATCAGACCTGCGGCAAGGTCAAGGGGCACAGATCCATCAGTCGAGAAACTGGAAGCGTTAGGGAAGTGGGCGTCGATGCAGGCTGGCTTGCAGTGCCAAGCGCGATCGATCCTGAACTGGCTGAAGGATCACAACTCTGTCGCTACGGAGTACGAAGTACTTTCTCGACTTACGGAGTACTAACCAGTTACTTGACTAGTGCGCGGGAGAGGCCTGGACGGCCGGCGGCCTCGCATGAATTCAAGAATAGCTTCGAGATTCGAGGCCATCCAGCGGCAGCCGCATTAGCCTTTGTTTCATTGCTATTATGGAATAATGTTTCCTCCGCCACTCCGTGCTCCGTCTTATTTAACTAGTTACAGTAAGTCTGTTACAGCCAGGAGACACTCCCAACTACACCAGCAGCCCATCTCTACCTCCCAGGGAGTGCCAGAAGAACCTCTCGACGGGCAATTATGTCACAGCCTCTTCAAATACTACAATAAATATTCCGCTGGCTGGCCTAAATATTGCTTTTTTTAGGTTTGCCTGTGTTCCCCTGTAAGGCCAATGTTAGAGCGAGCCCAAGCGGCTTGGAGGCTCTGGGCACGGGTTTCACTGTTGCTGGATGCTCCTCGAAACCCAGTGTGGTTGTATACTTGACACGCCGTATGTAGAACTTAAGCCCTACAGCAAAGCTTTTGGCAACGAGCTTAATATCGTTGGATTTGCAGTGCGGATCAAATATATCATGCAGAGGCTGGGCGAGGGCAACCACTGATGATGAGACTGCCTATCACATCAGGCCGGTTTGCTTCGATTCGCATTAAATCTGCGGGCAAACAACGGTAGTGACCAAGGAAAGCTTCACCATTACATTTGGAATTGTCAAACGACCCTACAGAAGAGGCCTCTATTGTCAATGCGATTCGGCATCAGGAAACGACAAGGGTTTCAATCCTCCAGGGCAGCGTAACGGTGCCTGAAGCAGAGGTACCCACGATAAAACGCCTCATCAAAGCAGGACTTGCCTTTTTGGCTTCCCGAATAGCCTAGAAAGACGGCTCGCAACTTAATCGGGACCATCGAGAGCCAGCTGAGACTGCTTATAGCTGGTGCGAGACGCGGCAAAGGCTTGACCGCCTCCCATTGTGGTAAGGGGGACGTATCATCGCTGCATTGAAGCCGGATTTAGCTGTGGGCCACGGCGGAGTCTCCGTCCGGGCCTGGCGCGGGAGGATAAAAATCTATGCGAACTGCAGTTGGATCAAAATGATTGAGACATCATCTGTTATGCAGAACACGCAAACAAGGGCAGCATATGGCCCTGCTCGGCGAGTTAGGAAACGTTTAGAAGCAAAGAGAGGATGTAGTAATACGAGCGCTTGTGGTTTTCTGGCTCACATTTTCTGTGCAGCACGGCCGTTGAGCCGTTTTCTATCGAGCACAGACTGAGAGAGCCAATGCAACCATAGCTCACAGCACCTCCTTGTGTCTGCAGATAATCTGTCTTCCCCAGCCCAGTGCTGGCTGGCACATTGCCTTCGCAGGCAGTGGTGTTGCTGCTTGCGCGGTTGGGCACGATCCCCTGCAACGGCCATCATTGGCGTTGACCACCCAGCCACCCGACTCGGCCAACCGCCGCGCAAAACGTGCATGTGTGTCGACCACGCCCAGAGCAGTGCACGACACTGCTAGGATACGATGCAGGCTTCTCTCTCCTCGAAGCCTGCGTCTTCACTGCCTGGGAGCCTGCGCACGGCTGCTCGAGAGCTTCGCTGTCCATCCTCCACAGGCCCGGCGGCCGCCTTATCTTATCGGATGTGACGCGCAGAGCCCAACGGCGCCAACACGGTCAAGCGAGGCCGTTTCTTCACACCGCAGTTCCACGAAACCAGTCTGTCTTCACTTTGCGTACGACTCCTTATTTTTACCCGTTGGATGCGCCGGGTAAGCTGTGTTGTCGTTTTGACGCTATCTCAGGGGCACAATTGAGGTTGCTGACGAGATCTAGTATCCATTTCTCGAGCTCAACCTCTCCCTTTCTCCTATATTGATATAGTCGTCGAAGAACATAGACAAGCCCACCGTGAGACTCGACCGCGTCTCATTACTAGAAGCTATTATCGAGCTGCATGGGCTCGACAGGGTGCTGGAAAACGAAAAACTACTCCATATACTACATTCACTACGGGGCATAACTAGACATAAGGTATGTCTTCAAATTTTCAATAAAAAAGCGTGTCGCCAGCTCACCGAATAGTCATGGCTTCACGGCGAAGGGCAGGCTCGATCTCGCAAGCGCCCATGGACGCAAAGTCGTACCCAAGGGCTGTTCAACCTCGATATGTCGAAAATCAAGATGACGAGAGCTTACCGCCGGGCCCAGAAATACTTATTATACGTGGAAACTCAAATGGACGCGCTCGAGGCTCTACAACTTCGAGCTCATTCGCTGAGAGAGCCAAAAATCTACCCCCAGAGCGCCAACTTCCTAATCCCCCTCTCACCGACTCAATAGATAATATCCAAAGGTCCATATCAATGCCAGCAGCCGCAATTAAAGCAAATACAACAGAATCGCGATCCCCGCAGACTCGGCTTTCCAAAAATGAAGAATATGAGCTTCCTTCCGCTACTCAATCTTCTCCCCATCCACAGTCCAGCGAGCAAGTCATAACCAGGACCAATTCGCAGGCTACCTCAAAGAAAGATGATGCAAAGAGACGAGATCGTGACTGGGCACCGGCGCGATCCCCATTGCAAAAACTCGAGGTAACGCTGAATGATATCAGCAAAGAAGAAAAACGCGCAAGGATCGAGGAGGCAGAAATGCTCCTGAAAGAAGCTAAAGCTGGACGGAAAAATCGTCTCGCAGTTCGTGATGTGCGCGAAACGCCCAAAGTACACGAAGCAGGCCAGCAAAAGAGAGATATCCCTCGACCAGCTGCCCTGGAGGATACTGGCATTTCAAGAAGCACTAGTTCACGAAATAAAGAATCGGTGCAACATAGAGCTACGGCAGAAACATCGAAGCCTGAGCCTAGGGAAGCCTTAGTAGACCGCGATAGTAACGACTACCAAGACGAAGTAGTCGCTCAGCGTGAACTAATACCGAATACTGCTGGAGATCGGAGACCATTCCAACCAGCCCAGGGCAACTCAAAAGCCCCCGATATGAGCTTTGATCAGTTCATGGCTGGCGACGTCGAATATTCCTCGTCACAGCGGCAGAAGTTACAACCCTCTGCAAATCAATTTAGGTCTCAAAGCCTATCTGCCAGCAAGAGTCCGTGGATGCAAGCACCGCAATCCGCTGCTCCCCCATCGAAAGCAGGCGCCCCTGTACATAGAAGCAATAGTAAAAAACTTCAAAAACCTATGCCTCGTGAGCTTATGGACCGATTTGCCCCAGAAGCCTCTACAAACGTTCCAATATATGGAGCTCAGGAACATAACTATGAAGATTCTCCTGAGGCTGATGTCCCTACCCCAAGAGCCGAAATCGAGCCTGAGACTGACATCAAAAGCTCAATAAGACAGAAGAAAGTTGACCCAGTATATCCTAGTCTGGCCACCGTCAGCACTGATGGTCCATCGGACGATCTAGATTCCGCAGCAGGGGAGAAAAAGACAGAAAGCAGGCAGAAGCGCATGTCTGTTACATTTGCTGTTCCCCCACCCACTCCGCCTCCCCTAGATGAATGGAGAAGCGCTACTGTTTGTAGACTGCCTGCAGATCATTTGAACCTGCATCATTTTGATGCTTCAAAGGCATGGTGGGAAGGGGGCGGCTCAGGAAGACGAAAGAGAAGTCAGTCAATAGCTAACGACGCTCCACTTGCTTCACCTAAGATCAAGAGTATGTCTACACATTTCTATGATACATTGAGACTTATTCAATCAGAGAGTTAATAACTTTAATATAGGGAACGTCGCGTTCGATCCTCCACTACATTTAAGATGCGGTCCTCTCCTTCGGTTTACTGGTATTAAGAATGACCGTATTGACACCCGTGTGGGGCCTATCGAAAGAGAATTCTGGAAAGGTAGCATCATGATAGCTACCAAGGATTCTGTTTCTTCATATACCGTTCCACCCACTCTCCGAATATTCTCTCAACCTCGGGACCTGCTTCCTCCTCCTCCGGCAGAAATTCGATCTGAGCACGGGGAGCAACTAGCCCCGGAATACGTTGACCCTATTGCTGGGCTCACGAAACTTGGGAGAAATGGAAAACTGCTTTATGTTAAGCCAGTCGATCATATTGAAGAAGGCAGAGATCTTTGTTTTGTAGAGAACGAGGATGGGCTGTTCGAAGACTCTCCCATCCCATTGGATTATAGCGCCAGTCATCAGGTCAGTAAGTCGCCTGACGCGCGGATCAAAGAGACAGATGGAGAGTCTTTTGGGAGATACAAAGAAGTGAAGGGATTCCGACTATACGCTGATTCAGCAAGAGATGTGACCTTTTGGCGCTTTAACCTGGAAATCGAGCTTGGAAAGAAACAAGAGCATATCGCGTACCGTATTAACCAGGGCTCTGCCCAAGGCTTCTGGGTTCCAGCGAAAGGCCAGGCAATGAATATAATGTTCTACAGTGGTAATTGCTTTAGTGCCACTGTTGATACAGACAAATTCAGCGGACCCGATCCGCTATGGCGAGATGCTCTCAATGTTCATCAAACACGACCATTCCACGTCATGATAGGCGGCGGATCGCAGATTTACAATGACGCAGTAGCTTCCAAGACTACACATTTCCAGGCCTGGCTGGATATAAAATCTAAATACGAAAAATTCCAGCACGCTTTCAATCTAGACATAAAAGCCGAACTTGAAGATTTTTATTTAGAGAATTATTTACAGTGGTTTTCACAGGGTCTTTTTGGCATGGCTAACTCTCAGATCCCGATGGTCAACATGTGGGATGATCACGATATAGTTGCTGGGTTTGGATCTTACCCCGATGATTTCATGAACACGCCTGTGTTTTCTGGGCTTGGGAACATTGCATTCAAATACTATTTACTTTTCCAACACCAGAGCGTCCTAGAGGAGACACACTTGAATGAACCAAGTTGGATTTTGGGACCTACTCCTGGTCCTTTCATTCACCATCAAAGTCGAAGTATTTTAATGCATTTGGGAAAGCGGGTTGCACTTTTGGCAGTAGACTGTCGAACAGAACGCACTGTAAGTGCTAGATCGGGAAATTTATTATCGCTTTAACTAACAATTTTTCCAGAAATATGATATTCTAAGCGACGCCACTTACGATTTGATTTGGGGCCGATGCCACCAGGAAATTATGAAAGGGGAAACAAAGCATCTTCTAGTGCTAATTTCACTTCCTGTGGCCTATCCAAGGATGGTGTGTACTGCTGTTTGCTTCAAGGGGTTGTGGCGAGTGCTGACAGGGTTATAGGCGTGGCTTGAAAACATGACGAGCAAGGTTATAGATCCGGTCCGGTCCCTTAGTAAGGTGGGTTTGTTTGGGAGCTCTGAGAACAGGGTGGGTAATGGTGCAGAGTCCCTGGATGATCACTGGACTGCGAAGCTGCATAAACTCGAACGAAAGTGGTTGATAGAAGATCTTCAAGAGCTTGCAGCCCAGAAGTCTGTTCGAATCACTATTTTAGGGTGCGTACTCCGTTTACACATTTCCATTCTGGATTCTTCTAATTTCTGACTCCTATTATTTGTTGCAGAGGGGATGCAAACTTGGCAGCGATGGGACAATTTTATGCGGACCCAAAGCTCGAGATCCCTAAAGACATGGATTATCGATATATGCCAAACGTGGTATCATCGCCGATTGTCAATGCACCGGTTCCAGATATCATGAGTGATGCACTCAATCGCCGAAACAAGGTCCACCATGTTGACACAAAAACAATGGAAGACATGCGGCCGATATTTACACATGATGTCGACGGCAAACCGAGAAATAACAAGCGGCTTCTGCCGAGAAGGAATTGGTGTTGCATCCGAGAATACGCTCCAGGTTTGTTGCACGCATCATTAACTATATTACAAACATGAGAAGCTCTGGATTCGAGATCTGACCGCTAAAATAGGTTCAACGCCCGCCCACACGCCTTCAGAGCCAAGCACCCCGGATCATCCCAGAGTGGGGAACCTTGCAAGGTCTCTATCGCTTTCTCGTGGAGAAGGCCGCAGCTTTGGAAGAAGTTTCTCCATCTCCCGTCGCTTTTCCCTGCGGGGCCCACCGCCCTCAAAGGGTGCCGACCAGATAGTCTCGGTTCCGCAAAATACCACAAAGGAGGCCGTGCCACGACCGTTGGAACACGGGGATGGCTATTTCCCGCCACAGCCAATACGTCCGCAATCGGACGAGGCTGGGCACGAACCAAGGCCAGGCGACTTCATTCGACGGCGTACAGACCTCAGCGTCAGGGACGTCAAACAAGCACTCCGACAAGGAAGCGATATGCATCATTTCATCAACCTTGAGGGTGGCTTGGACATCACGCTGAACTGCGAAGTCAGCTCCACCGACCCTGCAGGCATCACGACACCGTACAGGGTCCTGGTGCCTGCATTGGCGTTCGATGGCGAATTCGAACCTAGCATCCCTCTCCAGAAGAAAAGATGGTGGATGATCGGGCCGAAGCGGGCAGAGGCAGGGCAGCAGAATCGAGACAATTTGAGCGACGACGAGTACGACGATCGCCCGGTCCCGGATGCAGACAGACCCTACAGCGACGGCCCAGCGCAGGGGAAACAGGGCCCGTCGCCTCCCCCCGACGGCGTGGAGCAGGGATACAGCGGTGTGGACGCATACAAGCCGAAGAAAAGGCGGTTTGGGCTTTTTTGAAACTGGCATGAATCCCCTGGACCGCGTCGCATTTGTTTCTTGCTTTGTTTGAGCCGGCTTCTGAGTGTTTTGGCATTTTTGATTTGTACAGCTGGCGGGCCGCCCTCCGTGTGTTGCAATTTCAGATCCCCGTAGTATTAATCATGCGTGTGTACGAGTATACCCCTGGTTAGGTTGCGAGCAAATGATAAGGTTCTCTTCGGCGCGTTTGAGCCCTCGAGAAATGATTTGCAGAGTGGAGATTGATCTTCTCCCAAGGCCAGTTACTGTAGCATCTACCCTCGCGCGCAAGAGACCGCAGACGCCCTTCATTTCGCGAGGCCTCGATTTGCTCTCGCAAACGCCGCCATTTGTAAGCCCAGACGCTGTCTTGCGGTCCAGCCCCAGCCTGCTCGCCGCCATATAACCACCACGCGCTCGCCCTACCCTAGCCGTTTCACCCCCGCAATACCTTCAAGCTGTTTTCCTCACTCTTCCGCCGTCGCGCCTGTGCTTCTGTCCGCTCTGGTGTCGGCTTCTCCATTGCTGCTGCAGCATCTCTTCAACAGCGGACGGCATCTCCAGGACCTGCGGGCGTTGCGCTGCAGTCGTCGAGCGTCAAGACCCATCTCCAGCACAGGATGGCGCATTCCAAAGTGATCAGTGAGTCGTGCGGAGCTGCTGGACCCCGGTTTCCGCTGCCCGGTTGATGGCATCAAGGCTAACGTGCGTGTGTTTGCGCTGAAAAAGTCATCGGCTCCGGCCCCGCCGCCCACACCGCCGCCATCTATCTGTCGCGTGCAGAGCTGAAACCCGTTCTCTATGAGGGTATGCTTGCCAATGGCACTGCAGCTGGTGGCCAATTGACCACGACGACGGACGTTGAGAACTTCCCCGGGTTCCCCGCCGGCGTTGGAGGTATCGAGCTTATGACCAAAATGCGTGAGCAATCCGTTCGATTTGGAACCGAAATCATCACAGAAACCATTACAAAGGTGGACTTGTCCAGCCGGCCTTTTAAGCTGTGGAAAGAGTGGTCTGATGGCCCCGACGATGCGCCCGCACACACCGCAGATGCCCTCATCATTGCTACAGGTGCCAATGCGCGCCGGCTAGACCTCCCGGGCGAGGACAAGTACTGGCAAAATGGAATCAGTGCTTGTGCTGTGTGCGATGGTGCGGTGCCTATTTTCCGAAACAAACCCCTCTTCGTGATCGGTGGAGGAGACTCCGCCGCCGAAGAGGCCATGTTCTTGACCAAGTATGGTAGCAACGTCACTGTGCTTGTGCGCAAGGACAAACTACGAGCTAGCAAGACCATGGCTACCCGATTATTAAACCATCCCAAGGTCGTGGTCAAATTTCACACTGTAGCGGTGGAAGCTCAGGGTGAACCCGGGCCCCGCGGCTTGATGACCCATTTGAAGGTTAAAAATGTCGTTTCGGGTGAAGAGGAAGTTCTTCCTGCCAACGGACTGTTCTATGCTGTTGGACATGAACCCGCTACCTCTTTGGTGAAAGGCCAAATTGAGACCGACTCTGATGGATATATTGCCACTAGACCAGGCACTAGCTACACGAGTGTTGAAGGTGTGTTTGCTGCAGGAGACGTTCAAGATAAGAGATACAGACAAGCCATCACCAGTGCAGGTACGTTCTCATGCCCTATCCAGGCCCATGGTATTCTGAGTGTGACATTGACACGTTTATATAGGATCTGGCTGCATTGCTGCCCTGGAAGCTGAAAAGTACATTGCTGATTTAGAGGATATCCCTGAACCTGCCGTTGCATCTACCATCCAGCAATCGGCGACCCAGGAGGATCATCAAAAAGAAGAAAATGCACCCGCTTCGCTGGAATACAAATCTAATCCTTTACTCTAGATCATTCGCGACAATTAGCTCTCGTTCTGATAGAATGTCATTTTATGTATAGAGATTCCTGGGGAATTTTCTGGGGGGTTGCAACGGTCGCCATTGCTTGGGGTTATGTTCTGATCAAATTGGAAAACTACTAGACTATGCCAAATGATAACAATTTATTGATACACGCATCATCCGCTCTCCTTGTAGTGTATATCTTTTAGGGAGGTATAGGTAGGATTTATATCTTGTTCGGGGCAGGGCAATGCGGCATAAAAAACTTGCAAAATACTCCCTATTGCTCATTAGAACAGTCCTCAAAACCTAGCCAGCCATATACAGCCACAAAGGCCAGGTTTTTGCTTATATAGTACTTGTAAAGAGACGGTGTTGAGTAGAAGAAATAAACATACTGGACCAATCTAGTTTTCTAGTCCCACAGCCTATGAGCAGAAACGAAAGGAACAAGAGGGCGGAATTTTTGAAAAGTAGACCTCTGGCAGAGCCAATGCTATGCCGGTCTCCTGGACCCGAGAAGAGAGCATCTCAAAGAGAGAGGAAGAGGCGGTCCCTCGGTCACTTAAACGTATCATCCTGAGGTTCCATAAAAGCCTTTTGATATCATCCGGCCAGGCTTGGTGCGCATAAGAATCTGGTAGATATATCCATTTTGGCTCTATGAGCCCTCCAAGGCATTCAGCTCCCTGGTTACTGGGCCAAAATTCGAATGCAACAACCACTCCCACACAGCAACAAATCAGTACTAGCGCGTTATCAAAATCACGGGATATACCGCAAAGGGAAATGCATATAGAACACAATCAGCTCGCGAACACAACAAACCATTCGCACAGAAACTGAATTTTGTTATTTCTGTGACCTCCTTTTCATTCATCACTGTCCCTCCTATGATCATTTCAAGCTTCTAAGAAGCTGTTGCTGCCATAATAAGCAGTCACAGCTTTTCAGAAGCCGTGAAGATCACAAACACGGGCGTCTCCTGTTCTTTTGTCTCCTTTTTCTGTCTCCTTCAAAACATCTGAATTATTTTCCCCCTGTTTCAGAAATCACAGCTTAACATCTTAGCGTAGGCTGTCATTCAAGATGAATACCCTTCCTAGATTCTACCGTACTATCAACCAGCTCACCACGAATGAGACAAACGAGGTTCCGGCGAATTCTGGTATTTCAGGAGACCAGCAGCCTTCCTCCGCCCAAGGCCCGGACATGCCACGCCAGCTTCTCAATTGGGTTCCGATTGTCATTGAAATCATCTGTGCCCCTGAGCATCCTGGAGTCAACGGTGGCAATGGCCGTGAATTCAGCTTTTTCGATTATATCCCTCGCGACATGATCGGCCGCAAGCTCGAGTCCTCCAATATTCGCTGGGAGCCAGCTGGTCGCTATTTCGCCGGCATCCGCAACAGGTATCATGACATCGTCTTGAATTCGCAGACTTGGGACTGCCAGTTCTGCGGCGATATTTCCAAGTATTTGTATATGTCGGGCATGCCACGCCTCATGGAGGTTCGCAAGTGGTTTGTTTATGCCATTCCGATTTGCCGCACTGTTGGCGCCTGTGATCGAAAGGCTGTCGCCCTTGTGGATAAGATTTTCAGCGAGCGATTCCCAGATGTTGCGATCCCGGATGGCCCTTGCTGTGAGGTCTGTGGGTTTATCAACAACCTTAAGTGGTGTACTCGCTGCAAAATGATCCAGTAAGGCACACCCTTCTCGAGATTATATATGATACCTAGGAATTCTAATATATACCCATGCTATAGGTACTGTTCAACTGTGTGCCAGGCACATCATTGGGCAACCCACAAGAGGGACTGTAGAATGGTTGAACGTGAGAAGGTCATTGCAAAACATTAAGCAGTAAGACACAGATATCCACATATGCTGCTGCCAATACTGACACTAGCATATTTATAGTACAAAATGAGCCTTCCATAAAAAGCTTAACGGCAGTTGAAGGGTCTTTGACAGCTTTTCTGTGACATCTTCTTGACTTTCTCTTAGTTTCACTTTCTGGAGGTATGGAATGGATAAGAGCCGTTTTTTGTCAATTTCATTTGAATAAGGTTGAGCGATGGGTTTGTCTGCTTTATTAAGTAGATAATCAGTTAATCCTTCTGTGTTTCAAACTGCTGTCCTAGGCAGTTCTGCTATTTCTTCAAGTTGGATGTTGAGGGATGCACATACCTAAACTCAGCTAGTTAACCTAATTAATAGTACCCGGCGATTGGCTGACTAATTTATTACTAATAATCCTAGTTGTAGGCAAACAGTTTGGCCTACAGAGTAATTTTCGAAGACCAGACCTTAGTAAATACGAAGTCTTAAGTGAATGGCATACCGCCTGGTAGCCAGTGATGTTTTGGCAGGTACGGAAAATGAGGTAGGATAACTAAAAGTAGACTATCAACAGTCAAAAGGCAGATAGGCGAGAGCTTTGGACCCCGAAGAAGGATCTAAATATGCACAGAAAGAGGGAAAATGCAGATTCAAATAAAATATATCCATGATGCTGTCGCTAATGCCAACGCTCCTTCCATGCAATCTCCCCATAAACATACAGATAGAAAGAAGAAAATACGTCTTAGCATGCCTATTATTAGCTGCTGGCGAGAGTAGACATTAGCCAATGTTCCTAGAAGTTTTTACTGCTGCCATCATCGGCTAGGCACATTTTCATGGCTTGTACAAATTCATCATATGGGTGTGTCGCACACCACCGGTCTTTGACCTCGTAGGTTCGCCGTTCCCACTCCACAGTATCGTCTTTCCACTTAGACAGCCCCTCATCATTCGTTTTGCGATTTACATCGATTTGCTCAAGGTATGGCTTTTTTATATCCTCGGGTGCATCGCGCCACATTTTTCCTAACGACTGGCGGATTTCATCACGGGGGGCCCTGGCTTCGGAATTACCTGTCGCCTGACGGTGGGCATCGTCACATTGTGCCTTGCAGACAAACCAGTAGTCTTTTTGATACAGAAGAAAAGGGTTTAGTGGTTGTTTTCGCGGCCTTGGTTTTGCAGGCCCTAGTTCTAGGACAATAGCATCCCACATTGCCTTGTCATAAGCTTCTTTGTAAAGGACATCGGCGACGTTTGCCTGTCGACCAGGAGATGCCACCATTTTCCCTTTGATGTTATTTATATTGGATGGAGGTGCTTTGCGTTTCTTAGAATTAGCTGTTGCTGGTTGGGAGGATACGTTAGGGGGCGTTATAGTGGGGCCACCAGAAGGCACTGCATCTTTGGGCAGTACAAGAGGGCTGGGGACTGTAACTGGTCCGACGATTGATTCAAAAACTTCTCTTGCAGCACGTAATCCAGATAAATATGCACCATGTACCGTGGCAGGGTGTGTACCGCACGTTGCTTCTCCAGCAAAATACAGATTTCCAATGGACTTCGCCATGAGATCGTAATCTCCTGGTAAGGCTTCTGCAGCCACATACGAATAACTGCCACGGGAGAATTTATCTTGGCCCCAGCGAGTAATGATTGTCTCCAGAGGATCGGTCACAACTGTATTTTTAAAGACACTTCGAAGTTGAGACATGACATCGCGAAGAATCTCTGAATCCGAAGAATGCTCGGCCTGGTGCGCGGAATCCCCCGCCATCAGAGCGATAAGCATCGGCAGGCCACTCATCTTTATGCAGTTCCAGAATAAGTAGAACTTGCCGCGCCCAGGGGCATAATCTGCTTGGGATAGACTACCCGAGATGGTTGGCTCACGTAGGAGCCCAATCATATCCCTTTCGATGTCCCAAAATGGTGTTTCAAACACTAATATCACCTTATTCATAACACCAAATCCTAATCTATCGATAGCATCTAGTTTCCAGGATGGCAAAGCGGGTGAAAATGATATGGATTTGCTTTTCAAGACACCAAGAGGAGCGGTGAGAACGACTTTATCTGCCGTAATTACCTCACCATCGGCAAGGTGAATTCTGGCTTTCGCTTTTGGCACATCATTTTCTTTAAAGCAAATCTTTGAAACTATCTTGTTGGTGCGTACATCGAGCTTCGTAGGGTAAGACCACAAACCCTGTGGAACTTGTTGATATCCTCCGATAATCTGCGCATGTTCACCCTCGAATTCGTTGCCCATATCCTGGTCCCAACCTGATAAGCTAAGACTCCCGAGATTGGCAGCATTGGCGTACTCTAGGTTCGCGTAGTGCCAGTTGAGCAGCCTCATGTCTTTTGGGGTCAACGGTAGGAATTCTTGACACTGGCGGATCGCTTCATCCATAATAGCACCAAGTGTTGGGGTTTCCGATCCTTTGGCCATTTCATCCAAAGAAATCGTAGCGGAACTGGAGATACCATCGCGCAACTTCCACCCCATGGCCTGGTATGCCAGAGCAGCAGGAATTTCTTCAGTAATTTCAATATTGGCGAGCTGGGGGGAGACCACTGGTTTGATATCCGCCGTTCGATGACCCACCCCACGCCGAAGTCTTTGCGCTGGAAGCAGCATATCTATTGTCCCAAAGGCTGCCGCATCTTCATACTGTTTGATTGTAACGCCGTCATCTAAGAAAGTATCTCGTCCAGAGTCTAGTAATTCACGATTGCCCTCAGCCGTCTTATTAATCTTCGTTTTGTGGCGATACGTTCCAGAGCGATTGAGAATATCATAATAAAGCTTTTCGACCATAGCATCCTGAAATTCATCCGCAGGCTGGCCATCAGAGTCATGTATGGTGGAAATGTCTCGTAAGAGATGGTATCGTAAGGCTAACTGCGCACGGATAATGGGATCTAAAGGATTCCCGTGGTCAAACCCTACAACAATCTGAGCCCCCATTTCAGCAGTGGATCGTAAACCAGGCTCTAGGACATCTGAGTTTAGAGATTTCAGCGGATGAGAGTAAATACGGCCACCAATTCGCCGTCGTCCCTCAAGCACAATCACTTTTGGTGAAACCGAATTCTCATCCAGATTTTGAAACAAATTCTGCACCTGTCTAGCACATCCGAGACCAGCCATGCCTGCGCCTATTATTACTATTGTTTGTCGCTCTTTTTTACGGGCTCCTTTTAAAGCACTGGGATTCTTTGGTATGTCGACACAACCGAAATTTATATAACCACCGCGTACAAGCCAGTTATAAGCAACAGAAGCAAGATTCATCCATCTCCAGTCCTTTGCGCAACCAAGTGCCTCTTCTTTTGTGACGCTAAGCATAGGGTTTCGGGTCCATAATCGAAGAATACCATTTCGAATAGAGAGATACGCTGTGACATGAAGGTGACAAAGATGGTCTTGTAGTATCTCCTGTTCACCTTCATGAAGAGCGTACGGGTTTAATCGTGAGGCATGGGCTGCAGCCACACACTGTTGAGCATAAGCCGACGAGGACAATCTGTAAGGAATTGACGATCTTGGGCGGGCTTGGTTAAAAATAGCCGGTTTCTGTTTATTCTGGAGCGACAAGTGTTCCGGTGAGGGAGTAGGGGGGGTACCGAGCGTGAACCCACTTTGAGCGTCTGGGGTAGTAGGCTTGTCAATGGGAAGTGGTGAGATCAAAGATGCCGAAGTCATTGATCTACTTGGAGTATACGGGATTTCTGAATCCTGAAATGACCTTTGTGAGTCCTCAGAACTATCGCCTCGGTCACACAAAGGTTTGACGGGTAAATTGGAAGGCCAGTGAGAAGTAAGTGGTCTATTTTGTGTTTGTTTATGTTCCTCATTCTTTGACTGGCATTGCTCTTTCGGTCTCTTAGGGGAGGTAGTGCCTGCTGGCAAGCCATGTTGCTCAAACGTCTCATGACCCAATTTGGCATCTGACTCGGTTTTGATTAGCAACCTTTCTGATTCAACAACATTGGCCGGCTCCGATAAAGCTTCGCCGTTATTTAATGCACTGCCGCCTATGCCAACCATTTCGGGGCAAGCAACAATATACTCGAATCACAGTAGGGAGGTCGGAGAATCTGTATGTATAGGACTTAGGTGTAGTATGAATAACAAGGCCGGCCTATCAACACAGTTGAAGGCTATCTTTCTTCTTTCTTAACATTAACGGCCTTATTGAAAATTGGATAACAACGCCATTCTTGTGCGCTAAGTCTGAGAAACTCGCCTGACGCAAGATGTTGTCGGGTCTGCTTTGGCATGGGATTAGAAAAATGGGGCTTCCTTCTCACAATGATCTAAAGATCAAAATTAGATATTTCAATTCTGTGCAAAATTGATTGGAAAGAAGTCGTAGTGGAAAACATAAGCGTATATGAAAGGGGTTGGGGGGTACTTACTACTTGCTTCGAATGGCGCTTTTTAGCGGAAAGGCGTAGAGACCAGACCGACCATCATTCAGGCGATAGCTATGGAGTTACATACATCCTTCAGCTTCACAAAGAATCTGTGTCGAGACAATTCCACTGCATAAAACCCACCAGGTCCTCTTCTACTTCACGGCAGTTCAACATGGATACATAGGCCCCCTTCGCTAGGACCCGAAATGTTACATAGACGTCGTCCCCAGCGTACATTTCAGACTGACATCGTCTCGCAACGTCTGCCCTTCACTGCACCCAAATCATGCCACTTTCACCCACGGACCAAAGACATAATATAAGACCTCGGGGCTCGGCAGCGTATTTGCGGCCCTGTAGGAGATGTTCTTGATCATATCCATCTGATATTGCCGGCTTTGCATCCAATGTGTGGTCTCGCTTGCAACCCACTTTAGCTTGTGGAAGAGAGGAAAACCCAACCCCATAATACATAATATGCATATCCGCTTGTCTTTGTAGTGCGCCTAACCTCCATACTACTATATGCTAATACACGTTCAGTTCTACGATTTCCCGAGCTCCTTTTTCACCTACTCCCCCTAATGAGCGTTACCCGAGTGCGCAAGATATGCATATATCTGTGTCGGGATTGCATATGTGTTCGAGACAGTAACATAAACCCCACATTAGTAACGATCGGCCCTCATAATACATACTCCCTTATTTCCAATACAACCTGAATATCCTCATTTTGACTACAGAAACCAGAGGACATCTTACTCATAAGCGCTAGAAAGCATCCGCAGAAAGTGTAAATGGCTTTGTCTTACTCTCTACGAAATGAGTATAACAAACGCCTTTGATCACCTGTTTCCGAGGCCTCGATAAGGTGTTTCTGTACAAATCGAGTTTTGGAAATTAAGAAATTGCTAGCTCACTGCAAATCAATTGAAGAACTATATATTGCAATAAAATTCGCTCCAATGTAGTCTAAAAGCATGTATACCCTGCCCTAGTTAAATCAGTCAATTCCTATATCCTATACACCGTAAGTGTAAACCAGAACCGTGTGGCGTCAAGTCCGCCGATGTAAACTATAAGTATCATCTATCTCGCCGTCCCCTTCCCCGAAAATGTCAGAATCATTATCTGTGAGCTCGTCCTGATAGCCTCGAGTGTCTATTGCTACGTGGTCATTATCTATATCCCTCCGAAGCTCGCGTTCTTGATCTCTGAAGCCGATTTGCTCTTCCTCATCCCGATCCAGCGGGCTGGATGCAGCCATGAATTCGTCAGGATCATCAGCGAAGGAGCCAGGCGGGGGCAGCTGTGACGGATCGGAAGCTGCTTGCGCGAGAATTGCCCGTTCTTCAGCCTCAAGTTCAGCAGCACGAGCGAGGGTACTGTGAGTATATTTGTTAGTTGAGAAAATGTAACTAGGCGGGATATACTGAGTACCGTCTATATATATACCAGCCAGTAAATATTCCAATGCAGACGCCGATAATAATGCTAGTGATATTGATAGCTTTCGGGATCGCACCCATTTTTTCTCCGCTCTGGGCGAGAATGCGAAGCCTGCTGCCAATAAAAGTTGCCACAAATAATTTTGGAGTTATTATGGCCGTGGCAAGACCATACATGAGTGGTTGCACTGTAGGAAACGTTGATATTGCTCCATTGCATACTGAATACGGTAGTGGACAAAGTCGGATCATGCACAGAAGCTTCAGCCCATCGTATTTTAAGGTCAGGGCAAGAGCTGCGAAGCGCTTATCATGTTTGATAATGCGATGTACGAATTCAGAGAATATTGTGCGAGATAGTATAAAAGCACATGTTGATCCGACAACTGTTGCTGTAGCGAATACTATCCAACTAAGCAACACATTAGCAATCTGATAATAGCACTGAAGAACACTCGTAATATACCCTTTCCATATACCAAACAAATAGCCACATACTGTCCCAATAGCAGACCAGCCAATTAGGGGTGGAAAGGATACTATAAACGTGCAAACCCATAGAACAAAATACACCAGAGGGGATTTCTCCCAGTCCGAGGCAACGGGTTCCAGCCATTTGAATATATGGCCTGAGAGTATCATAAATCCAACAGTAAATGCCGAAACGACCAAAAACGCAAATATAGTCACAACCTTCTGCCATACTGTCAATTCTGTCCAAAGGTCGTAGAGCCGGATATAGGTTCTTCTAATACGATTAATGGCCTTATCACGGAATCCGACGGACGCCACGAGGGAGAAGGTGGACGAAGTACGCCTACGGCGGCTGAGACTGGAGCGTGGCCGGCTCCATGGTGGGCGAATTGGTTCTAGGCCAGGGGAGATAGATTGCTCTCGAGATAGAGGTGAGGCCGGAAGCAGCTCAGCGGCATCTAGGTGAGAGTGCATGGGCATTTCTAGGTGAAAAAAGCGGCAATTGATATTGACGCTGTGTTATCCAGCCTCTGTTTGAGAAGGCAAGTTAATTCTTATGCCTGGTCATCAGTTCGCGGTGTTCGTGGGCGAAACGGCTAGTTAGTTGATCAGCTTCCGGAGTACCCGGTAAGTTAAACGCGAGGAAATATCACCGCAGCGAGGCAGGGGTCAGTACATTGCAACTGGAAGGAGGAAGACCGGCCGGAGAATCATATATCAGCCGCAAATTGAATGAAATGCGGTGTTCGAGCAGGTATGACGGTCGAGAGATGTCTCGACAGCCCGCCTGCAGCCACAGATCATCACGTAACTTGCTGTGTTGCCAAGCCCGGGCTGTTGTGCTGGTGGCTTAGTCAGCGGGCCGAGCCTCGCTCCCTCGCCGAGTGCATCCGATATGCTTTGCAGGATTTTTAGCCGCAGGAGAACGCGCAGCCAGAGAGTGGAGAAGCAGAGACTATATGGTTCACCCCCAACATCCGTCTTGAGCACTCCACAAGGGTGGTTTATAGTTAGTTTAACTACGGAGTACTCTGTACAACAAGCTGCGTTCCTTTGTTGCGACCAACCCGATCATCCATTCTCTGCCTGCTACTCACCCTAAACAGTATCCCGCTCGCTTCTACTATGCCGCCGGTCGAGGCATCGCCTGCCAGACCAAGACAAAGCTGAAGAGCCGTATATCGTTCGAAGCACGTCTGCTATCCCCCAACGCCGCTGAGCTGTTCTTCTACGCGACACCACACACACACAATGAGAGTTTCACAATATAGTATGAATACAGAGCAATCTGTACGGAGTATTCTGTAGAGTGGCAGCTTAAATGAACTTGGTCGGCAACCTAACTCAATGAAACAAGAAGATGACAGACAATTCATTTCAGACTCTCCAGTCAAGATAGTAGCAAACTTGCTATGTTCTAGCAATCATACTGCGCCCAGATAGATATTATTGGAATATTTTTTGTATAACAATGTCAACATAGTACACTCAACTGCAAATCCCATCTATAGCATATCTAAAATGAACGCTGTTTATGATGTTTTAAGTAGCTTTTATCATCAACCACTCTACACAGACCATATGGTAGCTTGTTAAATTGAGTTAGCTAAAGTGTTGCAATGATTCCAGAATGTACCCTGTAGGAGTTACTAAAAATGCACTGGACAAAAAACATGTCAGAGAAACCCCTAAATAAATGCAGCAAGTTGTTTTGATCTGGGTTGTGGCGGGCCTGTAGAGAGTTTCCTGTGTTGACTAGAGTTTGGGGTGAGGTTGAGGTGCTGGTGCTAGTTGGTTCACTAAGGCTGAGCAAACAGACCTTGAGATTCACTACAAGCACCACCAGCCTCATGTCGTTGTTTTACTTCATTCAATAACTAGACAGCACTGTTTCACTGTTGCTGTGGTTGTTGCCGCTTCACACTTTTCTTTTGATATCTTCAGCTCTTTCTTGTACATAGTCTATCATGTAACACGTCGAGTTAGGTGGCCATCCTTCACCTCATCTCATCTTCTGATCCCCGCCCGAGCTTTTATTTATATTTCAAAATGAGCATTCATCTATCATCTTGATTTAGATCAACATCTTTGTTTATGCCTTTACTTTTACTAACCCTATAGCTGCTCGAATCGCCCCTCAGCAGCCATGGTTGCAGAGGAGATCTTTGAATCATGCTTGCCTGTTCTCAACGATGCTGATATTGACGAGGAGGAAAAGGCAGAAAGACTAGAAGAGTTTCTGCGCGACAAGGCTCAGTTAGAGGGAACAGCTCTAGAGAATGCTGTGCTGGATGTCCTCTGGCGCCATCGCAACTCCCTGAAGGGCGGCGCCTCGCCTCCCCCGCTTCGACATACTGTCATCCGCCGCTCTTCGCCTGCATCGTGGCAGCTCACTCACTCATCGACTCCCATATCTTCCCCGTCTACCAGTACCGCTGCCCTCTCCGGCTTTCCCGTTCCGCGTGGTGGCTTTCCCCGTACCCCTCGGTCCTTGACGGCATCCCCCTTTACGTCCCCTCGCCCCTCACCTCGCCTTGCGTTCGTTCAGCCAATTCCCCACAGCCCCAGCCTCAATGCATACGAATTTGCTGAAAAAACATCAATACCGGAATATGGTGACCTAGGGAGTGATAATGTAGATTGGCTGGTGAACGAAGATGCCAAGAGCACTGTGTCGTCTACCGCCCTGAGCGGCGCTGCTCCGGAGTGGGTAGCCCCAAATGATATGAGTCCATATGATATATTACGATCTGTTTTGGGCGACAGGAATTCAAACGATGACATTGAGGCGGCGCTGGTGGCCAACGGTTACGATCTTGGCGCGACGATAGCTGCTTTGACCGAAAAGGACGCTGTGAACAATACTGCAACCTCGAGCAATGAAGGCAGAATTCTGGTTGGGAAGTCCATGGCTATGGAACTTTCACGTCCTTCGACGCCGTCAAATCAAACCCGGAGCCCGATTGTTTGCAAATACTGGTTATCCACCGGCCAATGTCTTCGCGCGGACTGTCGCTTCAGTCACGATTTGACAAATCATATCTGCAAGTAGGTTATACTGTCTACCCACTCTGTCTCTAGGAGGCTTACACATGCGTAGATACTGGCTGGTGGGCAATTGCCTTGCTGGAGATGCCTGCCCTTTTTCCCATGACCCCTCCGCGTTGGTCGGATGCCTCAACTTTGGGGTGAATGCTAACACAACCTTTGGCTCTTCGGCGACACAGTCCCAGCAAATGCTACATCCGCACGACAACTATGAGGCTTTCCCAGCTTTGCAGCAAGCGATCGGTGATCAGTGGCCTACATTCTACCCTCAAAAGCCTTCAGCTCAGTTTATGCCTAGCTCCAATCCACACCACCGCGGAGTTTCTCCTTCTAATGTTCGAAATAGAAATAGCCTGCTAGGTCAATCTTCACGACCCCATTCACGACCAACTAGTCGACATCAACAGCGCGATTCCGCCGGATCTGCACTGTCCGTTGATGACCCGGAGATGTTTCCCACCCTCTCATCACTGAATCCAAAGGCCTCGGGCAAAAAGCACCATGGAAAACGTGGTGGACATAACCTCACCCGGGACGGAAATGTTAATAAGGAGGCCTCACAAAACTCTATCGCTGACGTAGTTCGAATGTCACCCTCCTCAAACCAACGCAAGGGTACACCCAAGGCCATACGTCCTGTCAATGATAATAACGAGAGTGTCGGTGCTTCTCCTTCAATACCTACACCCCAACATTTGCCGTGGCTTGAAACAGGCCCTCGTACTAATCAACTATATGTCAAATGTCGTGTGGATGCGATCACACATGGTAATGTCAGAAATAAGTTTCTTCAAAGGTGAGGACTAACTCTTTTAAATCTTTATCTTCAACTTGTTTCTTACCTCATTGTAGTGCTGCTCAAGCATGGAACCGTAACGACGCAAGGGCTGCAAAGGCTTTGTCCCTTCGTGGCCAGGCTGAGAATGAGGCGATGCGCCGTTGTTACCGTGAAGCTGCGCGTCACCTTTATGACTCTGGCATTAAAGAATTAGAATCCAATCCTGACCATGAACTATACGTTGATCTACATGGATTCCATCCCGGCGAGGCAATTGAGCACCTAGAAAATACCCTTAAAGAAAATGCGAAGGTGAACCGAAAACTTCTCTATGCCATTACGGGTACTGGTCACCACAGCAAAAATGGAAAGGACAAGATCGGAAAAGCTGTAAAGAATTGGCTTACAGACTGGCAATACGTATTTTGTGAGTTCAACGTGCCGAGCGAGCGTGGTGGGTACATCGGAGGAGTGCTTGGTATAGATCCCACGAGCAGCGACCGGAGCAAAAGGCTTTCAAAGATGAATGGAAAAGATTTAAATGAGGATAAAAAAGCCCTTCAGGATGTTAAGGACAGCCTCGATGCTGGATGCTCCACGATGGCCCCTAAGATGGGCAAAATACAACTTTTGAAAAGGGAAGAACCCGAAAAGAGATAGAGGCCTCCCTTGGCCTGATAATGGTTACCTGGCGCGTCGGCGCCCTGCCTTTCTGGCGGTTTCTAGCCGCCTCCTTCAGATTGGCTTTCTCCATAAAGGTTTTGGTGAAAATCCTCACCCCTACCTTAGTGAAAGTGTCGAGCTTAGAACAACTGCCCTCGGAGTAATTATCGAGAACAGCAGTTGCTATTTTAGAGTTGCCATGTAAGGCCACTGAATGTCGAAATAGCTTATGTGATATGACTCTCAAGACTTTTCTTTGAATATCATGATTATTTGGTTGAACCCGATCTCCTCTATCTAGTGCCTATAGGCTGCTTGTGATAATTCCAGGTCATGGAAGTGTTGTATTCGTTAGAAAGTTGCGGTCAACGCCGTGTGGTTTCTGTTCGGGATAGTTATATGTCACCGCGGGCCATAGCTTAGGCGACGCGAGACAATTTTAAAAATGCCGTTGGGTACGATACTTTATGGCATAATGAAAACTTATTGAGGTTCCTGGGCTTTCCACTCCTCCATGTATGCTGTAACATCCATACCACACTCTTCTGCCTTTCTCACGATAGCCCTGGCCTTTTCAGCTACAGGGACATCAATCATTTTGCCATCAAGCGTCCACGCTCCTCTTCCCTGCTTCGAAGCCTTATCATCTGCGATAGACACCCGTACTGCCCATTCTAGCTCCTTTCTCCCTGGACTAAAAATATCCTGCACAACGGATATCTGTGAAGGATGAATGCATTGCTTTCCATTGAAGCCTAGTCTTTTGCCATCTTCTGCTTCAGACCTTAGAATATCGATCGCTTGTTCCTGCTTTGGATTTGTTCCGGCTTTGGCGCCATAGGAAGTACATACAAGATCAATCGTGGAAGGAAGATTGTGTGCTCGCGCGGCTGTAACAATGGCGGATCTAGCATAGAGAAATTCCGACAGAGAAGGTGTACGGGTAATACTTAAATCAAGTGCGAAGTCTTCAGCAGCAAATATTAGGCCAGATAACAGAGTTGACGTGGTACAGATTTCAGAAAGATTTGTGAGAGATTTGGCACTTTCAATGAGAGCCAAAATGGATATAGGCGAACGGGGAGTGAAAGCCGGGGCGGTAGAACGCGCATGCTCTACCATATCGTGTATGAAGCGAAGATCAGAGGCGGAGTCGACTTTGGGAGCCACTATCGTAGACAGGTTGGGCGATTTCAACTGTACGTGTTACCGGCAACTGTCAATTCTGCAGCCCTGGAGCCCAGTATTGCCCTCGAGGGCATACACACCATTTCTTGTAGATCGCGTTCTGCTAGGCCGCTGCCTACTGAATTGATCCGTACGGCTCGCTCTCTGATTCCATCAAACTTTGGCTGGTCCATCTCGTTTCGAACCATATTGCGCGCCGCATCCTTTTGAGATGCCGTTACGCTGTCTTCCAGGTCGTATGCAACGCAGTCAACGACAAGATTTCGTGATTTTTCCAGCATTCGCTGGCTTGAGCCAGGCACTGAAGAGAGTGAAATTAGCTATTTGCAATGCTTTGCAATTGAATTGATATGCGTACCGTACAAAAGGGCCCGGCGAAGGGCTTGTTTTGTGGCCATGTTGGTACCACTTCCGCTTCCCTGTCTTTAATTCTCGAGGCCGAAATGTCTAAGTATAGCCGGATGAACTAGTTATATATGTAAATTCGAGAGCCTAGAGCTCTATGGAACGGGTTAAAGCTTCCCCACACTTCGCTTCTCGGCTTGACGACGATGCTGACATAACTATGTAGCTAACTTGCCAGGAACTGCCAGCGACGATGAGAACCGAAATAGACGGGTGAAATGCCGGGCTTCCCAAATTCTCAGCTGTGAAGTCCGTGTCTTAAGTGCACTGCCGCTAAGCCCACTGATTTAGTATGTTTGTACATACATGCTGTACATACATGCTCTATGTCTAGGTCTGAAAACCTTACGAAAGTAGGAAAATTATATAGCTAGTGAGAAAGGTAATAGATTAATTAAAGAAGAACCTTAGACATCACATCTGAAGCTCGTCCTAGAAGCTAAATAACTGCAACGGAGTATTCTAGAACCCCTGTTTAAAAAAACGATATGTTATTAGAGGATGGGTAATAGAAAGACAAGATGATTGAAATAGGTTAGTTAGCTGGATCAAAGATGGTCAAGGTAAATAATTCCATGGCATACCAGTTATGATTCCTAGTGTTTGGCGGATGATGACAAAATAAGCATAGAAGATCGCTGGAATTCAGTCAACGACTGTACACTTCTTTCCAAGTATAGGCATTCCTTGTATGTATTCATGTACCTAACGTAATTTCATAGGTGCCATCATACAAGATGGCGGTCGGGCGAGCTCCTCTTCCGATGGCTAAAAACCAAGGTGGATTCTAACAATCCTGGATATTCAGGAGCTCAGCTTAGGGGTGTGCATTTTTGTATATTCTTCTATGGGTTAGTAGACTCTGGATTAGTCAGTTTCCACGCATTTAGTGCCTGCCGCACTTCGTCTTTGTTGTCGGCTGAGGCTAGAGTTTCTCTTGCCAGATTCTGTAATGTTTCTGCTTTGGCCCGGAAATCTTGGGAATGGACCCAGCCATCGATAGGAATATCAAGAGAGCTAAACAGCTCTCTATAATCATCCCAGGCATTCTTCTCAACTTCATGCAACGAAATATCATGTGGACTAAATGCTATGGGGCACGGGCGGTCTGCATCGCCCACTAATTCATTCCAGTTCTGCCACACTTGATGCATCATCTGTTTGAAAATAAACAACCCGTCGTCTTCCCATGTAGAGCCAGCAAAATCAATAAGTTGCTGTCTGATCGTAGCATGGGGATCAGATAGGGTCTGAAATATGTCACTATCAAAATATTGAAATTTGGAAACGTAAAATCCCTGTAGCTGCGATAGTTGATACCTCAGAAACGTTTCTTGCTTTTCATTCTCGGTGAGGCCTGCCGCTGGTGGAAGATCGAAAAGACGAGGACCCTGGGATCGCAAAAATTTTGGTATTTTGCTTTGAACGAAAAGAGGAAGGCTCATGCAACCTTGCCAATCAATAATGCTGACTATTTTACTATTCTCAACAAAGATGTTTCCAAGATGCAAATCAGAGTGCCAAAGCGTAGCTCGAGATAACTCATTGCCTGATGGTATTATGTCTGGCAGGATTTTCAAATATTTCTCTAGGAGATGGATATGGGAGCTGGGAGATTCTTGGCTTGTAGATTGTCGTAATGGATCAGATACATTGCGTGGTTTTGCAAACCTGCGGATCCAGTCCATTTCACGATTTGCTATACCTTCAGCATATGAGACCGGGGACGACCCTAATAGTCAAAAGCTGTCAGTCATATAGTTAGCAGTAAGTTAATTCCACCTGTTTTTACATGGTCCCCTGTGTTTACCCATATGTCTTCGCTCAGCTTCCCAAAATTGAAGTGCAGCAGAAGGGCCAATGCAAAACCGACTAGGAACGCCTGGGATATTATGGTAGCCATTAGTTTCGCCGCGATAATATAAGCTACCATAGTATTTAAAGTCTACAAAACAGATATTTGCCTGTATTCTGACCATCTGAGAGACTAAATCCACTTTTTCAGGTATACCCATGGACAGCCAAGTTTTCCCCAGTTCTTCACCTTGAGCTTTTTCCATGATAATGTATTCCGTTCCAACCGGTTGGTCCTTCTCGCCACTCCAGGCAAGCACCCGTGGAACTGGGATATCAAGCTCATTGCGAAGAAAGTCAAGGGTTGCAACCTCGCTCGCTGTTGCTATTCTGGGGGGTAGGTAAGGGTTGGGGATTCTTGCAACAATTTGGACACCATTATCCATTGTAAGTAAAAACGCCTTATTATATGCGCCCTCGGGAAGCTTGACCATCTGGGTACATGTAGCGGCATTGACAGAACTTGCTGCAATATCCTTAAGCTGCTGGACGTTAAAAGGCTGATAGCGTTTTCGTAATTGATTTGCTTCATCCCAAAGCCAACGTCCTGAAGTGTACTTAAAGAATGTGTGGTCACTAGGATATTGCGATCCCACAGAAGCTGCAGCTGTTAGGTGGGACCTTGTCTATACAAGGACTTGAGCGGAGCCAGCTTACTGCAGGACTGGGTATGATATATTTTCTTTGTGAGATCACAAAAAACTCGCCTCGCACGCTAAAATACGTGCCTTTGTGAATTTGCCAACATCGTATAGCCAAGAACTTTGAGAAGGAGCCAAAAGCCCTAATACCGACTGATAACTAATACGGCCTCTATACCCCGAGATCCATGCCGTTTTCACTCGAGCTCATCTCAAGTTTGTATTTTCTCTGCGCTAGAGAGTTTTATATTTGCTGCGATAGTGTGCAGTCCACAAATTAATCTCATCAATATTTCAACATTCTCTTTGCTATTGGCAGGGGTTCACAATTTTGAAGACCCTCATCATTCTTCTTATCTCAGAATGTTTGTGTTTGGAAATTGAGAATTTCGGGGTACGGCCCGTTCGGCGAATTGGCACGGTCACGTGCAAACTCACTTAATTATACACTTCTGGTGGGAGCCTCGATGCTTCCCAGATGAGATTATCTCATTGAAAGCAGCCGTAGTACTCCGTATGCACAGGGGAGTCGCAGGCGTTCACTAATATGGATCAGCTGCAAGCTGGCGACCTGAATTGGCGCCTTAGTGCGCATCCTATCACACTATTATTCTTCTTAAGCTTCAGAATAGGTGCGTGGCCATTGTTCCCTAAATGGACTTTCTAAAAAGGTTACTCCTAATCGTGGCTTTGACTGACTGGATTTTTCGAATTAGGAAGCTTACTGATGTACCTATTTGGTGTCTTGTTTATTGATGATTTGTTCGTCAGGCCCTTTCCTATCAATGTTTTGGACAGGAGTATACACGGCTACCTGGAGGACACGTATTGATATCACTTTCTCACAGCGTCCTCGTTTTCATCGCTACGCTTCTCTTTCTCTCAGCCGATTTCTATTACCTGAAAAATATCGCTGGTCGTAGGCTAGTCGGACTTCGATGGTGGAATGAAGTCAACACTGCTACAGGAGATTCGCACTGGGTTTTTGAAAGCTCAGATCCCAATACGCGATCCATTAATGCTACGGATAAGAGGTTCTTTTGGATCAGTCTGTATGCAACTCCGGCGTTGTGGATTGGATTGGCCATTCTGGCTATTGTTAGGCTACAAAGCGTCATCTGGCTGAGTCTTGTTGGTATGTCTCAATTCCCTAACTACGACGGCTCTGGCTCTAACTGAATAAATAGCAATTGCGCTCATCCTCACCATCACAAATACGGTGGCATTTTCTAGGTGCGATCGCTTTAGCCATGCCTCAAACTTTGCAAGTAGCGCTTTATCAGGTGGAATTGCAAACAACATTACACGGGGTATGTTCGGAAGATTATTCAGATAAGCAGTTTTTACACACCTTCGACTCACCCTACAGCTTATTGGGGCATTTTCCACGATCCAAAATAATTTGCTGGGTTCTATAGAGCTGTTTTACTACCGAGTGATTATATTGGACGGGGCGTTTGGTGTTCATGACAAGAGTACGGTTTTTTCAGGGAATGTATACTGAAAACCGCTGCGTTTATATTCATCATGTTGTCTCTTATACCAATTTAAAATCATATCCAGGCAAAATGTATGTACAAAACGCAAACCCACAACTTACTCCGTACACGGATTCAGATCCTGGCCCGCTGTATGTCAGAGAGAAATTTCAACTCCTGCCTAACAGCCAAATCTCTGAGGATTTCTTCACTACCCCCACCGACGACGAACACCCTAACATCACGGCTGATAGCTTCGATCCTCGCCCCCCTACCGGCCTTGTTATAGCCAGCTCCTCCAAGGATCTGCTGGGCCTCTCGACACACCTTCTCCAAACAGCGAGTGGACATTACCTTCAGAAGTGCTGTCATGCCCCCGACGTCAACATCTGTATTGTGTCTCTCGTTTTGTTGGATAGTGTAGGCAAGCTGTTCTAGAAAAGCTTGACAAGGCTCAATGAGCTGGCCAAATTTACTAAACTTAGCACGAATAATCTGGTTCTCAATGAGAGGTCGGCCAAAGGTCTCGCGCGACATCGCATAATTAAACGCATCTTCGACACAAACGCGGGATAGGCGAATGCAGGCTGCCGCCATACCGAGTCGCTCGGGGTTGAAGTCTGGTTATTTAATTAGCTATGAGATGGGTTGTGTTGTGCAGTGATTGGGATGACTCTTACTAGACATGATATACTTAAACGCTTCATTCTCCTGTCCAACCAAGTTTTCTATAGGTACTTCCACATCATCAAATTCCAAGAATGTAGAACCACTAGCGTTGACTCCAGAGTTATACATTCTCCTTCGAGAAACCCCTTGTGAAGCCAAAGGTATAATAAGTAACGAAATTCCGCCACGGCCTGGGCCTCCGGTTCTAACAGCAGCGGTGCAATAGTCCGCAAAAATGGCGTTTGTGATCCATTTCTTCGACCCGTTTACAACATATTTATTTCCAACCCTCTTGGCGATGGTCTTTATTCCGGAGACGTCAGACCCGGCTGTGGTCAGAAAGAGTCAGTCCTCAGCTACATTCATGAGACGGGCCGGAACAAACCATCAGGCTCAGTGATTCCCAAACAAAAACGAATTTCTCCTCGAGATACCCCTGGCAAGTATTTTAATCTTTGTTCTTCGTTCCCAAAATTGATAATTGGGGGGCAGCCGATGCCATTGCCGGCATTCATGCCCCAGAGGATTCCAGAAAATCCTACCCTTTTCAGCAGATTAGCACTGAGACAGAGATACCAATAGTTGGAGTTTGTATATACCTTGACAACTCGTCATTAACAACAAGAGTGTGGAATACATCCCATTTCTCTGGTTCAATGCCAGCGGGCATGGATATTCCGCCCATATATTCCCGCTTCGTAGGCTTTACAATAGCAAACCCTTTTTCGACATATTTTCGTACGGCCTAAAGAAATGAGTAGGAATTAGATCGTAACGTAGAAAGGGTTCAAGCTTGGTACAATCTTTAATCTTGATATTGACATAATAATCTTTATTTTAACTCCAGATCAGTTGGATTTACCTCATCAGGGACTTGACCGACTCGCTCCCATTCCTCTGCATGTGGCATCAAATCGTTCTCAACATATTCGCGTACAAATTGACGGAGTCTCTTATGGGAGTTGTCGTAGTATGGCGATGAATTGCGGTAGTGCCATAGTGGCTCGGCGAAAGGAGCGGTGGTTGTCATCGTCCAGAATAACAAGAGAAGATGATATATCAAAACAATTCCAGAGTCTTGAACAAAACGCTTCGGTTAGTAACCTCATTTACAGTGCCAGGGCAACAGTGTGTATTCTCTTTGTCTTTGATAACCAACCAAGGGGGTATAATACCCGGCAGTTTTAGACACGAGGTGCAATGTGGGAACAGGTTTCATTCAATCCTTTTCGTTAGCCGGCCGAGTACCGGTGATAGCCAAGGGCATCAAATGCTGAGCAAGCCTCCATCTCCGCAAGTAATGAGGGTAGTTAATGGCGGCTTAACTCGAGCCTCGGCAAGGTGGTGGTTAGCTTCGCGTTTAAGTTATCAGGCCAGCCTGGGAATCCATGGTCAGAATTGGCAACGGATCGGAACATCACAGTTCTAGTGACGGAATTGACTGTGGATGTAGGATATACGTATGTATGGAGTACGCACATTGTAATAATAACATAGGCTACTCCCGCATCGTAGGTTGCCGGCACGATCCCTGGTGTTTTCGAAGGCAAATTGATATTTTCAACACCCAATGCTGCGCCGTCGCGCGACCAGAAAGACGGAGATAAACTCGCCGGGGCCGTCGTGAACAAAACCAGGCGTTTCATCATAGTTATGTACGATGGCGTGTGAAGGTCGGTTCCGATTTGGAAATTGTCTCTAGACCAGGCCGAATCTCAACGCCATCCCTCAACCGAGCCGAAGGGGCGGCGATCCACGGGCTGTCACGACTCCCAACGCAAGCCAGTAGTGGGACTTCGTTTGGGGCTCCTCCACCAGGCACCTGGCTGGCAGGGAAATGGGACGGTTCCTCCCGTTGCAGCGCCCAGGGGGGCTCCCAGGCCCGGCTGCAGGAAATGAGCTCCGGCAACCCAAACGAGAGGCGCGAAAAAAAAAAAACCCTGCATTTTTGGCGCCGCTGGCACCCACGCTGTCGGTGTAACTAGGTAATGGGCCCTGTCAGGCCGGGGTTGGCAGCACACCCCTATTACGGGCATGCTTGAACGAGGCGCCGAAGCCGGCTCGTTGGCATCGGTCACACGCTGGGTTAGTTACAGGTGCGCCTTTGTGGCTCGCGTGTGCATCCAGCTCGGCCTGTCTCGAACTGATATCCTAGCCGACCGAACGCCACAGCTGCAAGGGTGGCCATGGGCTGTTCACGATGCAGATATGCATCGAGCCGTCGCGGAAACGAAGAGCCCACAGTACTCCGTACTCCCTTCATTGCCTTTGTCTAGTATCTTTGAAGTTTACTAATAATTGTACGAAGTATAGGTCTTAATCTGCCAACTCCGGTCAAGCCAACTGCAACTCCAGTCTCCTCATTCTCTGAAACCCTAACCACTTTTCTTTGTGCAAGTCTTGCTTTGTTGAGGTAGCGTACATATGCATGGAGTACACACATAGTTGCATACAAACGGCGGTGTGTTGACAACCCGTATATTTTCTATGAGTGGGATACCCAAAAAAGTTCCGGCAACCAGGAACTGGCTCGTTCTTCAGATGCTCATAGAGATGGTACCGGCGGTGTTAGACCGGAATTGCAGTCAACGAGTAGTTACCCTAAACCCTCTCGCAGGGGCTATTCCTTCACTATGCTTCCCTCATTGACTGGGTCAACATGCCTTTTGGGCCGGGTGTTTAGTGGGCTACCTGTCATATACTGAAGGTTTGAAGCCTACCATTCCGCTTGCTTGTTCTTCAAGTATCAATATATCGCATTGGATTATCGTTATATTATTTCTTACTATTATTTGGCCATAAAAGTATGGCACACCTACATACATACCTTGAGAATATTCCAATGTCAAGACCAAGCTTAACTGTTGCCTAGTTACGTCGTGAATTGCACGGAGTATTGCAAGTTGATGTGTTGGCGGACCTTGATAGTCCATACAAAATCAATAAATCTACTTTATCAAAGTATTCGAAATACAGCCCGTTTCTCATTTTCATACCAAGTTGTTACTGCTTCCCATGTCATGAAAAGCAAAGATACATGGCGCAGGCTATTTCTTCAGTATCGGGAGCTCAGTGCCCTAGTATATGATCAGAACAAAGGCATGTTGTCCAAAGCCCAGCCTCGCATGCAACAAACCGATACATAAAACAGAGAAAATAGGAGGGAACCGCCTGTCTCACTGGTATGTTTGTAGGAAAACATAAACTCGCGTGGGCTGTTCGGTAACGAAAAGCAGCTGGCAAAATTACAGAGTTTCCCAAAGGGGTAAGGCGGCAGGTCTGATATTGTTCTCACTTCTATGCCCACTTCTGTTGTTTCAACCAACATCATCTCCTCATCATAGTTGCTTATCCATCCAGAATTGTCATATACATACCCCCAGAAGAAGTTTAACGTGTCTTACCAAGCCTGGTCTTCTGTAAGTTCCTGGCCTTCATTCGGCACAGCCAACGTGCATTCTTGATGTGACTACCTTGAATAGCACACGCGATCTTTATCATAACAAAGGCAAACATCCTAACTAACCTGACAGTCAAAATGCCGGGTAACTGGAATGAAAGAGGTTTGTCTCTATCTTGCTTGTATAACTTGCAATCCTGATCTTAGGGCAGTGGGATTCATGTAGTCATGAGCCATGATTTTTTTCTGTTTGCCAAAGACGCAATGTAAAAAGAGACAATTGGCTGACCAGATTACTGCAGGCGCGGCCTGGAACGCCGGCGAGGGCGAAGGAAACTGGCAAGAAGCTGGTTTTGACAATGAGAATAACTATGCAGAGGAAACTGGAGGTATTGGCCAGGCTGAAGGGTCTGGAAATGACGGTGGCTGCCGCAAGTACGTCGAACGTACTTTTATAAGATAAAGGATAGCTGACTTCCATTGAATTTCAGCTGCGGACAGTCTGGACATTTTGCCCGCGAATGTCCTGAGCCACGCAAGGCCTCTGGAGCTTGTTTCAACTGTGGTGAGGAGGGGTAGGTCATTCCACCATTAAGCAACAATGAGCCAATTTTAATTCGAGAAAATACAGCCACAATAAAGGAGATTGCCCGAACCCTCGCGTTTTCAAGGGCACTTGCCGCCTCTGCAATACAGAAGGCCACCCAGCTGCAGAATGTCCTGAGAAGGGACCTGAAATCTGCAGGAATTGCAAAGCTGAAGGTAATACAGCTTAGAACACTCATAACACGAAATTGTGACCTAAAAATATGAAAACCAAGGCCACAAAACCAAAGACTGCACAGAAAACCGAAAGCTTGATCAAAATGATATTCCCGATAAAATGCCCGAAGAAGCCTGGAGCATGATGGAAAAGGCGAGCAAAGAACGAGATCTAGAAGATTTCCGCGATGTGAGTATAGTTCTGTTCAGTCAACCACTCTCAGGCTGACACTCAGATCCCAAGGCTTTTAAAATCTACTCTAAAGCAGCACCTCTAGCAACGTTTGATGATATCGAGAAAGGTCTGCGCAAGGAAAAATTCAACGTTTACCTTATTGCATTGGTACTCCCCCCCCCCGGCCCATTCAATGGCTTATCTCTGACACGCTAAATGGAAAAGGAGAGAGAAATTGGGGACACTCTGATCTCTATTAACCTGCAGGGGAAACTAAATTGCAAATATGTTGTGGGCTTCTACTTCAGCGAGAAACCGCAACGTGCGAATCTCAAGACACGTTGGCCAAGTTCTCCTGAAGATAATCTCAACCGTCTTGCCGATGCAGGTTTTCCTATGGATCGTCAGGTTCCGAAATGTGACAACTGCGGGGGTATGCAATCTTCGAAAACGAGACTGGAGGGCGTTGTTTGCTAATCACATCAATCTTAGAAATGGGGCACATCCGCCGTAGCTGCAAACAGGACCGCGCCGAAATTGAGAAAGTTGAAGTTAAGTGTGTGATTTGCAAGGAGGCAGGCCATCGCGCTCGTGATTGCACCCAGCCTCGCAAGGAAAGATCTGGCTGCCGTAACTGCGGGTGAGTGAAGAAGTATTCCATGTCGTCGGAGCGTAAAACTAAATAAATACAGCCAACCTGGGCATAATGCCAAAGACTGTACAGAACCCCGATCTGCCGAAGGCGTGGAATGCAAGCGGTGCCAGCAAGGTATGTAATTTCGGTCTCAAGGTAATCCCAGGAGAATGCTGAAAGTGCAACCAGTTGGTCATTTTGCAAAGGACTGCCCCGAAAAGGGTGATGGCAACAGGGCGTGTCGCAACTGCGGGTAAGTTGCCTCCCAGAGGTCGAAGTATTTTTTCATTAAGGAGTGGTATAGTGCGGAAGGGCACCTTTCAAGAGATTGCGACAAGCCGCGCAACATGGATAATGTTACATGCCGGAACTGCGAGAAAAGTATGTTTGTACCTGCGCATCTTTTCTCCTGTTATGAAGCCGATTGCTGATATCCTGTCGTAGCTGGACATCTGAGCCGCGAATGCCCCGAAAAGAAAGATTGGTCAAAGGTTCAGTGCAGCAACTGCAAGGAGAGTGAGTAATAACGATAATGCCGTGATGAGATGAATTGTCTAGGACTGACTGTTCGTAGTGGGCCATACGGTCAGGCGCTGTAAACAACCGATGGAGGGCGGAGAGAGTGGAAACGGTGGGGAGTACGGCGGGGCTCATGGTGGGAGCTACGGCCACGGCGGAGGCGGACAAGATGCCTGGTGCGAACCCTCTGGTCAAGTCGGAGGATGGCCCAACGACCAAGCCAACACTGGCAGCAGCTGGTGAAGGGGTTGGATTCTGACTCAGAATTCGTGCGGCGCTCCTGTCCGTGTTCGCGGGAAAAGATCCACGTTAGTGCTGCAGGTCGATCGGAAGCTTTGTTGAAGCATTGTACTAGGGTATCTCTCGTCTGCTGCAAAAACTTGAGCCACCAGGCGGAAAAAAATGTACTGTACATACAAAAACAGAGAGTGAAGCTCTAGAGATTCCAGGCAGAGAATGCAACACATTTCTTACATAATCAGATTCTTTTCTTCCACGACCCGCGACGGTTCCACGGCCGAGCAAGCTGCACAACAAGGGCGCGACAGTACGGTACCGACCGCAGGGTCCGGGCTGCTTTGCAACTCAGAAGAACTACTCTAACTGCCTTCGAGAAGGAACATCCGGACTTATGCTGCTTGAAACCTGTCGATCCTTGCGCCTCTCGCGCGGCGTCGCCCGAGGTCCCAGCCGCCATGTCATATGCCCATGAACCAACTCCCTGCCGCCAATAACTGCGCAAATTCACCGACCACGCCTTTCCAAGCACGCGTCCTCTTCTGGAGGCTGGAGCGAAACACCCCCGGCGATGATCATCGGAGATGCAGAGGATGCAGTGCGACCTGATTGGCCGTGCTGCTTCAGTCGCACGTCGCCGCTACACTAGGGCAACCCGCCGAGCCAGCCTTTTGTCCACCAGAGTTGGTGGCACGCCGTGCCTGAGCGTGAAGGATGGATGGATCAACGGCCGGAGGTCCACTGAACCCCCCGGATTCCAGGGTGCAACGCTGTCCAGCAGCGCTCTCTCTCTTGGGTCTCCAGGCCCTGGCTCAGCAGCCACCGTGCTGGGTTAACATATCCCCGGAATCAAGGGCGGAAGAGACCCTGTTCCTGCTGCTGTATAGTTACGGACCTGGCTATATCCGCCAGGGCGACGCTGCAACCTACCACAGATAGTTACCTAACTTCGTGGGGGTGACAGGCACGCCGTACGACTACTACGTGTATGCCGACCTTTCGCACGGCGTAGAGCAGAACTCGGCCGGGAATGACGCTGCATGGGCAGAGACTCTTGGGGCCGCCTTCCCCATCGATCCACCGGCCCTTGAGACAGGCAACGGGCTGTTTTGTCTTCTTGTCTAAGGGCCGTGAGAGATCGTGTGGGGTTTCTCCAGACCACTAGGCTAATTGGCAGGAGCCAGACAAAGGATGCCGAACTCGTGGTGTCCATGGCGCCGTTGCCGGCCAGCGATCGTCTCCTCTCTGTGTTATTTGATGATCCTGGCGTCTGCGAGCACAGGGATGGTCGATAAGAACCTTTGTGTCTCCGTTTTTTCCAGGAAATTTTCCTTTTATGTTTCCCTTTGTGCTACCTTGCTTTTTTTAAGCTTCCCGCTCGATTTTTGTATACGGAGTACCCCAATGCTCTTCGCTACTAAGGGGCTTCTACCCATTTAACGATAAAGAAACGCGACTTTGCAGATATGGGCAGCAAGAATTATCTAGGGTTTCGAGGGACAAAGCTCAATATCGCAATCGGTGTGATTGCCGGGCTGGATTTCCTGTACGTGATACTGTGATAGGCTCCATTCCAGCGCATGCAGGTGAACTCCAGCTGACGCAAGCTTACAGACTTTTTGGTTATGATCAGTATGTCTTCATCTGGAATTTAATTGTTGAATTATACTTAATACTATGACTTAGAGGTGTTATGGGCGGTCTTTTGACCCTTCCATCATTTGCTACAACATTTCCTCAGATTGATACCCGAAAGGAAGCACAAGTCGGCCTCACTGCTCGCGAGAGGGACCATAGAGCGACAATTCAGGGTAACTGCATCTTGTAAATCTTATCATTGTATCAAAGAAACTTATCAATACGACAGGGATCTCCGTTGCTTCTTACAATGTTGGGTGTTTTTTGGGTGCCATCGCCTGCATATGGATCGGTGATATATTTGGAAGACGCAAAACTATCTTTTTTGGATGCTCCATTATGATCGTTGGTGCTATTTTACAGTGCGCCGCCTTCGATCTCTCGCAGTTTATTGTTGGGCGCGTTATCACGGGCCTTGGAAACGGACTGAATACATCGACGGTCCCAACTTGGCAATCAGAATGTTCCAAATCACATCGTCGTGGCCAACTAGTCATGATTGAAGGCGCCTTGATCACTGGTGGTATATGCATCAGTTATTGGCTGGATTTTGGCTTCTCGTTCCTCGAACCCAGCAGTATTTCATGGCGGTTCCCTATCGCGTTCCAGATAGTGTTTGCCGTCATTATCATGATGTTCATTTTGTCTTTGCCAGAATCGCCCCGATGGCTGATACTCAAGGGTCAGGAAGATGAAGCTATGCGTGTTTTGGGAGCCCTCAGTGACCTCGACGCTGACAACCCATATATCAGCACTGAATTCACTGCAATTAAAGAAACCGTCTTGGAAATGTCTAAGAGTGGATTCAAGGATCTCTTTCTTCGCAACAAAGACCGTCACCTGCACCGAGTCGTACTCGCATACGTCAACCAAGTGTTCCAGCAAATTTCTGGTATCAATCTCATCACTTATTATGCAGCTGCTATCTATGAGGGTAGCATTGGTCTGAACGGGTCCTTATCCCGAATCTTGGCTGCCTGCAACGGCACTGAGTATTTCCTTGTCTCATGGATTCCGGTTTTCATTATTGAAAAAGTCGGTCGTCGCCCACTGATGCTTTTCGGGGCGGTTGGGATGTCCTTCTCTATGGTTGTTCTAGCTATATCTACTAGTTTCGAGGGCCAGGCGAAGCCTGGTATTGTTGCGGCTGTTTTCCTATTTGTTTTCAATACGTTCTTTGCCATCGGCTGGCTTGGAATGACCTGGCTTTATCCTGCTGAGATAGTAGGTTACCCTTTCTTTCACCTTGGCGCTCCTACTATTGGAGATGCGGAAGTTAACATTCGCCTAGGTGCCTCTTCGTATTCGAGCTCCTGCCAATGCCCTGTCCACCTCTGCCAACTGGGCTTTCAACTTCATGGTGGTCATGATCACCCCAGTCTCCTTCAGTTCTATCAAATACAAAACCTACATCATCTTCGCAGTCATGTAAGGCGATTCACTCCGAATGGCCTTGTTAGCATGCTAATATATCCTGCAGCAACGCATTCATCATTCCAGTTGTTTACTTCTTCTACCCTGAAACGGCATACCGCTCTCTGGAAGAGATGGATACCATTTTCCAGAATACTGATTCTGTTTTCTCTGTTGTTCGTGTTGCTAGAGAGACTCCTCGCCGCTATGGTAAGCATGGCGAGCTTCTTGACTTCGAGGCGGGCGTTGAGCAATCGCGCGCTGCTGATGCAAGTGGTGCGAAGTCCGATACGACAGTAGAAGAAAAACCAAAGCAGGATACGACATAGCCATTGTCTTCTCCAATGTCTATTTCTTTTTAAGTTTGGTAAATCCAGTATTTTGTAGCGCTCACATTTTGAGACTAGTTTCCTTTCCTGTGTAGAAAGATGACATTAATATAATCTGTGATAAAAATACAAGTGTATTTCTCACTGGCAAATGGTTCAAAGTTCATTTGACGGCATTTCTTGAAACCTCTATCTGTGCAGAACATCTTGATAGGCTATCTAATCTGATCTCCCTCTAACGCGACGCAAACAGGCGCTCAAAAACAAGCAGAAGCAATTTTGATAAAGAGCAGAGGAAACAGTTATAGGCCTGGAACCCATCATGAGAAAGAGACACATTATGATAGTTTATAGGGAGCATATGCAGACTTTAAGCATCTGCTATTCTCCCGTCAAACTCATTAGAAACTCGTCTTCTAAGCTCTTAGATGTGAAACATGACCGGGTCAAATTAGGACACGAGCTGGAGATAAACGGTTTCATAATTTACCTAAAAATTGCCCCGGGCCAGGTACCTACTCCGGAGATAGTTTGATTGAAGCCTTATAAGCTCGCTGTCGTCACCGAACCGTGCTTAGTCATCCGCCAACCCCCAAGCTTGACAGCTTCAGGGCTACGCCGCTGAGCAGCACAGGACACCAGGCAGCTTCGATTCCAGATCTTCTTTTGCTGTCACGCATCTCCATTCCTCTTCGCACGCCATTCTTCACGTTCCTCTTTTCGGATTTGTGCTCTACGGTACGTACATATATAGGTACGGAGTATATTCATCCTAATTTGTTTCCGGAATGCGCTTGCCTGTTCTCACCAGCCACCTTTTCACCACAGACTCGCCACGAAGTGCAGCTACCACAGACTCCGGCGTTATCTCCTAAGCTCAAGATTAATCGCCCTTTCGCATTAGACTCAATTTCTTCAAGCGCGACCTGACGACAGCAAATACGCCCAAAACTACATACGCTTTCGAATCGAGTTGGGACGTGATATTTCAAAGATGGACTACTCAAATATTTTGTATGTGAAAACTCTGAATAAGGAAGATTACGGTCAAGGAGGCGACCGTCGGAAGAAGGCGCTCTGCCGAAATTTATTCAGGTCGAACGGTTTCTAACAACACAATCGCAGTCGTTTGGTCAATCTGGCCGTCGGTGTCATCATGGTTCTTGGAGGAATTTCACAATTCTTTGCCGACCCTAAATTGTGAGTTTCTGCGGTGGTTAATTAAGTCGTGGTGCACCAGCTTTGCGCGAGCTGGTCGGCCTACGCGAATAGATATTTTTGCTAACCTGATCCATCCAGCCGGAACATAATCATCGGCATTTACGTTATTATCTTCGGATTAGGTACGCTGATTGGCTTTCCGATACTATACGGATATATCGGGCTGACATTGACTTTGTTGCTTTTTGTAGCCACGGGCGGGCTTGAGCTTGTGCCGAATGTTCCGCCCCAGATCTCGCGACACGCCTCGTTTATGTTCTCGTTTATTGGCAGGGGCATTTGTAAGTGACCAAAATGCATCGACTACGGCGAATATTTATCTTACTTGGGATGATTAGTTTACGTTTTTGTGGGGTGCATTATCCTGGAGAACCATGTACTGCGCATCATCGCCGGCTCGATTGTGGGAATCGTGGGTGTTGGGTACGTTGCGCTCGAATTCATTCCATCTATCGAGCCCCCAGCGAACATGCGGGAGGCGGAGCCGGCCTGGGGAGCGGAGCAGATCTAGACTGGCGAATTCGTGACCGGGCTGCTACTACTACGCCAGCGGCCCCGGCCCTAGACGGCGTCCCCCACACTGCAGCCCTTCGATCGACATCCTGGGGTAGCCAGAGCCTGCCGTTCAGGCGCCTCCAGCCCTGGTACTGGCCGCTACGCTTTTTTTCCTGGAGAGACATCCGTGGTGTTTGAGTGTATACTTGGAAATAAATTGCCCTCGGCTTCTTTCGTGTTGTACTTTAAATGCATCATCGATTCCGCGCTTTTCCTCTTACGGCTAGCCCGTAGTCCCCGGCCCACAGGCCAATAGGCAGTCCGCCAGACATGCTGACGCACCCACCGTGGCCAATCAGCGACGCTGGATTGCAGATTGGCAATCTCGCATGACGCGCCACGCCGGAAGCAGCCTAGCGCCGCCCACCGGGCTTGACGCCGCGGGTTATCAGATGGCGCTTCAGCCGCAGCAGCAGGCGAGAAACAGGCGGAGGCAGCAAGATTTGTAGGTAGCGAGCAGCAGAGTAGCACGGCGAAGCCGCGGGCAGCTGGCCGCAGCCGAGAGAGACACCCCCGCCTGAAGAGCCTGAGCGCCGTGGGGGCGCACGCGGAAAAAAGCACGGCGGAGAACGTGTCGCCTGCACCAAGAGATAAGATAATCACGAAGTAAATCAGCATCGGATCAACTCCCGACAAGGATCCGCCGCGTTGCAGCCCTTTTTCCAGCCGGGGGGTTCGCGCTCGCATGCCTCGCTGCGCTGCTTGACTCGACTCGCTGCTGTACCCAGATCCTTCAGTCTGCCACCGCTGCTCCGTCTTGTTCTCGCGTCAGTCCACTCTACCGCCCCCTGAAGCCTGGAGCCTGGCAAACGATCTTCATCGACTCTCTGGAACCGTTCCGTGCCGAGCAGGCCTGGTGTCGCTTGAAGCCTTTTTTTTCTTCTGCCACTAAACCCTCCGCTGGTTTTGTTTTTTCCCGTTGTGCTCCAGATCGCTCCAGGTGGGTGAGCTTGTGCCTCCAAATCCGGCCCCTGTCGTCCTCGATCCTTTGTTTGCCTTTCACGTCCTCTTTTTCATCGGCTTAATTATCTGGCTTTTAGACTGCTCACTCGACTGCGACGCCTGTCATAGCCTGGCCTCTCGCCGATCCCCGTCCTTGCAGGCTTCCTCTGAAAATCACACCGCTTGCCCCCGACTTCTGCAGCGCTTATCACTGTACTCCATAGTTCGACTCCTCAACAGTTGGTCCTTGGCTTCCTCCAATCCTCCATTCCCTTCCACGTCACGCTTTGGTGTCGACACCCTCGAAACCCACTCTGTTGCTGGGCTCAGACCCAGTGATCCGACAGAGTTGAAGCCCGGTGTTTTTCTTGCTCCGATTCTCGATCCCATACCTGCCATCTCGCGGACTGCAGCCTTGGCTCTGTCGATAGTCGGGCATCATAACGCCTGGGCGCTGACCTTGATAATCCTACTCCAACCAGACCTTCCCCTGTTGAGCATCTCGGCTCTTGTTTGCTTGGAATCTCCGAAAGAACGAGTTCTTGCCGATAAAGCGAGCGTTGCAGGGGCTCAGCCTTACTTGCCTCAATGGACGTTATCAGGAACCCCCCTTCCGCGAACACCATCATGCGGCACCCATCTGCCGAAGATCTTGATGCCGCACACCAGCTCGTATCCTCTGCTCGCGGAGGGAGGGACCACATACCTGATTATGCTGGTTCGGGAACCATGGCGAGGTCAGAAGGTAGCGAGATCGAACGTGCTCCCAGTGCAGGCAGCGCAGGGAGAGAGCAGCAAATGTTGACCGCTCCCAGCGATGACAATTTATCTGATGCCCAGCGCCAATCTCCAAAACCACAGGGCAAAAATCAAATCTTTCTGGGTAATTCTTGCGTGTATGCAGCCAATTCTCACCCAACTAGTCCTACGTAGTTTTGATATTAACCCAGTCTTTCTTCTAGAAACTGTGGAACTAAAAGAACGCCGCTCTGGCGCAGAGCACCCAACGGATCGACGATATGCAACGCCTGTGGTCTTTATTTAAAAGCCCGAAATACTGATCGCCCTACGAACCGAAACCGTGCTCCCGCTACCGCTACCAACGGACCCAACTCTCAACTCAACGCCAACTCCAGAACCAGTTCGTCTCCAGCTGCAGAAGGGTGCCCTGGTAGACAATCTCTAGTCTCAAGTGATGGGAAAGAATCAGCTGGAACATGCCCTGGTGGTGGAAATTGCAATGGCACAGGAGGTGCTGTCGGCTGCGATGGCTGCCCCGCCTACAACAATCGTGTATACAAATCCACCATACGTCCCGCCGTAAGACACGTTTCGAGGACGCCTTCGCAGATTGCTGGCCAAGCAGGAAACATAAACCAACAAACGAGCGACCCAGCGGAGGCGCCCGGACAAGATCCTGGCCTGCCCACTGCCTGCCAGAATTGCGGCACCACAATCACTCCCTTATGGAGGCGAGATGACCAGGGTCATCCCATTTGCAATGCTTGTGGTATATAAAATATCCTCCGTTTCTTTTCCTTGATGGCTCACTTTTCTCTTTCTAGGTCTCTATTCTCGGCTTCATGGCAGTGCGCGACCAGTCAATATGAAAAAGTCGGTTATCAAACGGAGGAAACGAGTTGTTCCCGCTCTTAGGGATCGATCACCAACCGCCGGCTCATCCCACGATTCATCAGTCTCTCCCGAAATGTCAACCGCCTCTTTATCAAGTCAGTTTGAAGGAAGCAGGTTCTCACACCCTGAGCAGGCACATCCGTTTATCTTGGGGGAACTGTCGCCTCGAATGCTCGCTGCATACCAATCGCAAAACAACACTCCTCCCGCTATTGATTTCACTGGGTATAATTCAAAATCTGCGCCCCTTCCCCATTACGGGCCTCCGCAAACAGAGTATTTAAGCGTCGATCGACAGGCACCAAACAATGTGGCTTCTAAAAAGCGTTCCTTCGAAGATGCCCATTTACTCGATACTTCTTCTAACAACTCTACTCAATCATCTTCTGCTCATCTCCCACCCATGAAACATCCAGCACTCTCTTCCGTGTCTCAATCCGGCCGCTTAAGCTCTATCTCATCCCTTCTCAATCATGCTGAGCAACCCTACGACCAATCTCATATCGACCCATCCCTTGGTACATCTGCTCCGAGAAGACATCAAGCACCGTCTCCCTACCCTCAAGCGCCAACCTCCTTACCACCATCCTCGTCAACAAATATCGCCCCTGCACCTCCTTTAGGACCTGCAGCAATCTCGGAAGAAGCGCTCAAAGCAGAACGGCGAGCTCAACTTCAAAGAGAAGCTGAGAATATGCGCGAGGCCCTTCGGGCTAAAGAGAGAGAGTTGGCGTCCTTGGAGCCGTAGCAGCTTACTCTTCTTTAAGTCATTCTTATTGTCTTTTGTTTTCATCCGCTTTGATCATTCAGCGCCACATTTGACTTGTTCCAATATTTCTCGTTTCTGGTATTCCATTGAACTACTATGATTAATATCTTCGGTGTTTTTGTGGTTTGAATGGGTTCTTGACAACAGGCCTCTACTGGGACGGAAATGGAGAAAGGAGGAAGCGGCCTTTTGTCATCAAGTTTTTAACTTTCTATTTACATTTATGTTTCTTGCATCAGCCTCTAACACAATCACCCTTTCCTCTGAACAGGCTGTGAACCCTAAGTTTCGCGGGATTTTCTCTTCTCGTAGCCTTAATAACATTGATAATATGCCACAATTTGCTCGATATAAAAAATTCTATAGCACTATAGCCGCAACTCTATTCTAGTTTATGCACATCACATGAACAGTAGGCCGTTGATAATCCAATCAACCAACCACCACCCACTGAACTTCGTCGAAATAATTACCGAGGAATTTATATAGCGTTATATGTAAGTCGTTAGCCCGGCAGTGGCGATATAAAGGGGTATATTAAGCAATGAATAACAGCGAACATCACTATGCGGTGTCTGAAATACTGAGAGAGGATGCCGATCTTCGCACCCTGGGCCTAATTAACGGCGCACTCGACCCGCGCATATAACTAAACCTTGTTGGAGTGTCATCACTTCCCAACCAGCCGGTAACTATCAGCCATGGGCTGGTTAAATAGGCTCTCGGGTGTCCAGGATCCGGCCACGGCTCTATATCACAATGGCCATTTTGATCTTTCTGCCATGTACCATTCGGAGTGTAGAATTGACAAACGCGTCCCCGCAGAGCTTGCATCAATGCATGGCCACGAAACCTGGACAGGATGCTCTTATCGCCTTTGAAAAGAACCGGATCAACGTACGTGAGAGCTTGCCGCATCATGGCCCCGGCTCGTGATATGTCATGCATCCAGGGTTTGGGAGAACTGGTGATGACAACAAGAGATACTTCTGGGGGAGTATGACTGCGTTCCGAGACGGGTCGGCCTAGCCAATTGAAATGGTGTATCCCAGGGTCGCGCGCCATGCACCGCTGTTGCCATAATATCTCGTCTCCAGCAGCGCAAGATAGAGGTAGGATATCGGCAGGCTGCCCGTCATGTGAAAGTCCCGTACTGTCATCGGTGAAGATTGTTTCGTACTCAAGAAACATCGCTGCTGTCACCGAATCCGTGACTGGATTTGACAGGGCAGTAATGGGTAACACGACGGTCGGAGGCACAGGGCCTGGGTCACAACTCATGTCAGTGTTTGTCATGTTATGTTCCAGGAGAGCTACTGAAGAGACTTCACCATTCCTCTTGGTGTCTGTCTGTTGCATGAAGTCTAGAGCATGGTCTTGCTCATTCCGAGACTCCGACTCCACAAGCATGGGGTCCGTGAAGATTTCATCGCCCCAGTCAAATTGGTCTAGCTTCAGTAGCTCTGCGACTTCTTCTTCACTCAGGGCAGCCTGCAGAGAGCGGTCACTATGACAGGGCAGTGTTTCGTTGAATTGACATACCTCCGCGAGACCCACGCCACGGCTGCTCTCCTGCACCTGTGCACTCTTCGTTCCGTCCTCGAAGCGCTGAACACCGACTGGAACGGAAAAACAGTGCTCAACCAGGAAAACGGCTACATCCGGCAGCCACCTGGCAAAGAATGGAGATGCATCCCGAGGTGGCTGCCGGAGCGGGACAATGAAGGTGGCGCTGGAGCTGCGGAGCAGCTCTGTCGGGCTCTGAAGGGCGGCGTTGATGAGAAAGAATGGGCCAGGAGTGTCGGAGGTGACGATGGCTGAATAAAGCCGAGAGCCATGCTCCTGCTGCGACAGCCGCTGCGGGTAGCTGATATGGGAAAGGGCGTTGCAAGGAAGGTGTCGGTTGGGGCGGGTGGCATCTTCCTGCAGAGTGCGATGGATGAGTGGCTCCCAGCGAATGTGGCCGCCAGTCAACGATTGTGATGGCATTTTGAGGTCGTTTATATTTAGGAGTTTATATCCAGCCACAAAGGCTCCAGGTAGTCGATAAGATCGAGTAAGGATTTGATATTGTTGAAGCACTGAGAAATGACAGACAGAATGAAGTGGACGGAAAAGAATTTCCGGGTCCTGGTAGTCAAGAAGGGAACGACTCAAAAAAGACTTCCATGCCAACCAAGAAACAGCTCATTGACAGCAAGAACCGGGTATGACAACATATATCCTCAGAACGGAATAAATCACTGATAGTGAAATTTTGGGAGGCGGTTTCTGCATAGGCATAGCGGGCTAACTATGTCAAAGGAGCTCATTGTCCACTTAATATATAAATCAACAAGCAGGCCTTTGAGGGTGGCACCAAGTGACTCTGTAAGATGGGACCGTGAATATCTAACAACACAGACTATTCATGGGATCTGACCGACTTTTGAGGTTTTTAAAAAAGTATTCAATGATGGAGCATATTCACTGCCAAAACAAGTACCTTCAGCGTTATGCATCAAGATAGGCTAGAAAGGTTTCCAAAAAGAAAAAAAAAACACCTGATTGAAAAAAAGAAACCTGGGAAAACAAATTTCATTCAGCAAGGCAGAAAACAGAGTTTGCACAACAAATGAAGGCATTTCCGGCTTCTCCACAGCTGAATTTGGGTATCTGGGGTACTGGTGAAAGACCAGGCAAACAAGCAGCCAATACGGAGTACTGCCATAACCAGGGTAGGAGGAGAGGTTGTGGGGAAACTCTCCATTATTAGCTGGTATTTTCACCACACAAAGCTGAGATCAAAAAGGCACGGCTAGCTCTACTTGAGGCCCCAGGCACCGTTATGATACAGCAGGATGTTTGCGTCACTGCACGGACGTCACGGCCCCTGTAGGACATTGTTTGCAATCTTTTTCTTTACCAGTAGTGGGGGCGAGGAAGACACAATAGCTGAGACTTGAGGGTATCATTTCCACAACTAGTTAGCTTGAGAGGTATGTGTGGTTGTGAGATGTTGGAGGTACAAAAATGACAAGATGGCGATTATCTACGGAGTAGTTAACTATCACAGGCTACCATCGGTTAGAACGGGCCGCGATGGGCCTTGGGGGTGTGGGGGTAAGAGCATCGCCAAACATCCCCCCCAACACCCACCATTCACACCTACAAGCGCTGCAACAGGCCATTGGTCCCCTTCTTCCTTCTTTTCCCGTCGTGCATATCACACATGCGTTGTTTTCACACCTGCAGAAGACTCCTCGGAAACGTCAGCCGGTATACGAACATCTCTAGCCCCGCCCATTCATTCTATCTACGCCTTCTACTTCAGAACAACAACCGGACGACCCGTCGGATCCTCCAGCAGGCATACGCGCGGAGAACAATGGCGACGGCTATGGGGAAGCGCCTGGAAGGCAAGACCATCGTGGTGACGGGCGCGTCGTCGGGGATCGGGCGGAGCACGGCCCTCGAATTCGCGCGCACTTCGCCGAACGATCTTAGGCTGATCCTCACGGCCCGGAGACTTGATTCGTTGAACAAGGTTGCCGAAGACATCAAGGCCGAAGTCGGCGCCGGCGTCAAGGTGTTGCCGTATCAATTGGATGTGAGCAAGCCGGAGGAGATCGACCGCTTCGTGAGCTCGTTGCCGGCGGAATTCCGGGAGATTGATGTTCTGGTAAACAACGCGTGAGTCTGTCTGCTAGTTACATTCTACGTTCGCGGTTCTCTCTCAATGGAGAGCTAATGGGGTCTTGTTGGGGCTGCTTGTAGAGGTCTTGTCAAAGGCGTTGCGCAGGCGCCAGATATCAACCGGGACGATATCAAAGTGATGTTCGATACCAATGTCACCGGCTTAATAAATATGACACAGGCAATCCTTCCGATTTTCAAGAAGCGACCCGACGGCGGGCGAGGGGACATCATCAACATTGGAAGTATTGCCGGCATCGAGGCTTACGCGGGTGGCAGCATATATTGTGCGACGAAGGCCGCCGTGCGCAGTTTCACGAGTGCCCTCAGGAAGGAGCTGATCGCAACGAGAATCCGGGTCGTTGAAATTGACCCTGGTCAGGTGGAGACGGTAAGGATAAGAATAACGAGCCCCGAGAAGAAACCGAGAGTATGTCCGCTGATCACAATTTTGTCCTATTTATTATCATTATAGGAATTCTCCGTGGTTAGATTTTATGGGGACAAATCAAAGGCGGATGCTGTCTACGCGTGAGTAAAGAATAGTGCTTCTTGCTGTGGCAGACGGCTCTGACCAGATATGCCTTGTTGGCAGTGGATGCGAACCTTTGACGCCAGATGACATCGCCGAAGTTGTTGTATTCACGGCGGGTCGGCGCGAAAACGTCGTGGTCGCAGAGACCGTCCTGTTCCCTCAGCACCAGGTAAGCGGCCGCTCAGACCTCCCAGCAAAAGGGTTTCGGGGATGGGGGTAGTTATATTAATACAAAAGGGCGCTAGGCTTCCCCGACTGCGGTGCACCGGCGGTCATAGAGCTGGTCCACGTGGAGAGATGAAGATCGGCTTAGGGTGGTGCATATGGTTTTGTAAAGAAGTACGGAGTAATCAGAGACTAAGACCGCAATTAACTAGATCTGACTCGGAGATGCAGGCCAGCTGTGGGGATGTAGTTAGTTGACGACGCACTCGGCCGCCGTAGGGATACGCAAGATGATGTATGTCTGTGTGGATGTGCATGCGCACCCCATAAGGATCGTAGCTCGTAGGGCCGTGTGTACTCCGTCTGGGACGTTTGGAGCATACGAATTAGTTAGTTGGTTAGTTACACGGCGAGCGGGCCAGCTAACTAGCTAGGTAGCGGGCTCGGCCGGGGGCAATTGGAAACAGAGAGCATCAGTGTCTCAGGATGGAACTTGGCTCTCAAGGCCACGGGCATTTTAGCGGGGGGGCTTGTCGTTTCCACATCGCTTGGACGACGGCCACAGCCCCTATCAGGTGATTGTTCGCATATGCAGGTCATTTCACAATCCCCAGGATTGGCTCTGCATATCGGCAGCCTGAGAGAGAGAGTATTATTATTGAGTGTCTTGCCATGTGCTCGCAGCTCGTCCAGCAAACAGATACAAAGTGCGGAGTTGCTCCATAGTTCGTACCGAGGAACGGTCGCCAGGCTGGCTGTAGTAGTATGGATAAATGAGAAGTGCAGCGCGAGACGACTGTTGATCGCAATTCGACGGTCAAGACGATCGCAGCCATGGCGAAGGCGAAAAAGCATGCAGGAAATTCTTGCTTTGCAGATTCTCCATGGCCCGATCGATGATGGACGTAGAAGCAGCTCTCCTCCTCGGGCTGGGGAACGAGGGGGGCTGAGGTAGACTAGAGATCATCAAACGCCGAATGGCGTAGTTTTAACTACCGTCCGCGTCTCAAGCAGGGCGGTCGTCGAAGGAGGGGTTGGTTTGACGTCGGTCGTATACTTCGTCGATACGGGCGCTGTATACCGATGCACGCCCAGGCCGTGGCGATTCTTCCCACAACAGCGTGCGTCGTTGTCTTCAGGGCGCGCGGGCAGGGATTGTTCCCTGCCACGGGCGGCGCCCTGTGCTGGTGGGCTCAGTCCGCGGGGAGTACATACGCAACTACTAACTAAGTACTGCACGTCTCTTCTGGTATTCTTCATCCTCCAGCTGGTTTGTGGTCGGCGGCGGGGCCTGGCGGGCTTGGGCGCCCGGTTCTCGGGATGGGCACACCCGCCCTCCATCGGCATCAAGGCGGTGGTGGAAGCGTTCTGGAAGCGAGCGGCGGCAAACAATTTGTCTGTCTGTCGGTCTGCGTGCTGGGCGGGCTCTAGGCAGGACAGGTATCGCTACGCACCCGCAATCAAGCCTTGGGATGGGGGACCCGCGCGATCGAGCAAGGCACACGCGTCCACGGCTAAGTAGCGCAGCTACAGGGCTGGCGGTGCAGCGCGGAGCAAAGGAGGAGGGGAGGAGGAGGAGGAGGAGGAGGGCGTCTGGTCTTCGCGAGCCTTTGCACCGGGCGAGGGTTAAGGTTGACGGCGGTCGCTTGGGCGAAGCGGAAGCGTGTGGACGGCGAGTGTTTAGCTGATGGCGACGAGCTCTGGCCGGCTGCTGGGTGGCTGCCTAGGCTTGCCGAACCGCCGCCCGCCAGCTGGCTCGCCCGTCCGCTCGTTTGCTCGCAGGCTCTCCTTTTCGCGCCCGCGATCCCCTTTTGCCGCCTGTGCTGGCTCGCCATCGCCGTGCTGCGCAACGCGACCACGACGGCGCGCACGCCGTAGCCAGCCAGCTAACTAAGTGGTTAGTTATGCTCGTAGCCCACCAGCCAGCAACTATGTAACCAACCAGGCCGTCGTAGACTCGCGCAGTCGCTGGGTAGACGCAGCCCCTGACAGCCCGTCCGAGCGCGGGTTTAGCGCCGCCAGCCAGCCGTCGGTTGAGAGAGTCGCCCGCCAAGCCGTCACCCCCCCCCCCCCCCAAGCAAGCAAAGCAACGCAAAGCAAACCATTCCCATTCCAATCCCCAACCGCCCTTCTCTCGTCCTTCCCGCCCCCCTCTTGCCGCCCTCGTCCTGCTCTCTCCAATTGCTCTGCCTATCTCTGCTGTCGAGACGCTCTCCTCCGCCGTCTCTCTCTTTCTCTCTTTCTCTGTCTGTCTGTCTATCTGCCCCCCTGTGTCGCCGTCGTCCGCGCTCGCTGCGTTGCTGCCCGTCCCGTCCCGTCCGGAACCATGACTTCCACGTCCAAGGTGCGTTCTGCTCTGCGGCCTCTGTCGCCCGGCCTGCCTGCCTCCGTGCTTGGCTGATGCCCGCCTGCGTCTAGTTTCTGCGTGAATACAAGCTGGTCGTCGTGGGCGGTGGTGGTGTCGGCAAGTCGTGTTTGACCATACAGCTCATCCAAAGCCACTTCATCGACGAGTATGACCCGACCATTGAAGGTAATCGCCCGCACCACGCGCCCTCCCCTGCCCGTGTCTGCATGCTGACCTGCCGCCCGCCCGGTTGACAGATTCGTACCGCAAGCAGTGTGTCATCGACGACGAGGTCGCCTTATTAGACGTCCTCGATACCGCCGGCCAGGAGGAGTATTCCGCCATGCGCGAACAGTACATGCGCACCGGCGAGGGCTTCCTACTCGTCTACTCCATCACCTCGCGCCAGTCGTTCGAAGAGATCATGACCTACCAGCAACAAATACTGCGCGTCAAGGACAAGGACTACTTCCCCATGATCGTCGTCGGCAACAAGTGCGATCTAGAAAAGGAGCGCGCCGTGTCCCAACAAGGTAAGATTCGCGCCGCTCGCCTCCCATGGCGTTTCCTTAACCTTCCCCCATTTTGCATGCAAACTAACGCCGCTTCGCCATGCAGAGGGCGAGGCGCTGGCACGCGACTTCGGCTGCAAGTTCATCGAGACCTCCGCCAAATCCCGCGTCAACGTCGAGGACGCTTTCTACGATATCGTGCGCGAGATCCGCCGCTACAACAAGGAGATGTCTTCCTATTCGTCTGGCGGCGGCTACGGCGCCCGCTCGCCCGAAGGCAAGATGGAGGTCGACGACCGCGGCGAGAGCAGCGGATGCTGCGGAAAATGCGTGATCATGTAAAATGAAAGAAAGAGAGAAAAAAAAAAAAAAAAAAAAAAAAAAAAAACCCACCCCCGCCTCATAAAAAAAAAAAAAAAAAAAGGAAACAAAACCCAACGGTGGGAGAGTAGGGAGGGCCCCCACCCACCGCTCAGAGCGAGACGCCGGTCGTGCTCGG